TTCTTTAGGAGGTTAGTTATCGGGGCTGTTACCTTCGCGTACCCGGCTATAAAGCGGCGGTAGAAGTTAGCGAACCTAAGGAATAACTGCAGTTCCCTTAGGTTAGTTAGCGAGGGCTACTCGGTAATAGTAGCGACCTTCTCGGGGTCGGTATATACGCCCTCCCGGTTTACTCGGAATCTAAGGAACGCTACCTCGCTTTGTACAAAGGTATACTTCTTTAGGTTAACGAACAATTCCGCCTGTTCTAGTCTAGCGAGTATCCGGCGAACCGCCTCCTAGTACTTTTCGATGTTATCGTAGTAGGTATAGATAAGGATATTATCTAGGTATACTACTAGGATGTTATCGAGCAGCCCGGCGAGGGCCCGGTTAACGTACGCCTAAAATATAGCTAGGGTATTAGTTAGCCCGAAGGGTATTACCTTATACTCGAAGTACCCGTATCGTATTCTAAAAGCGGTCTTCTATTCGTCGCCTTCGCGGATACGGATTCGGTAGTACGCGTCCTTAAGATCTAGAGAGGTAAAGTACTTAGCGCTAGTAAGGCGCGTAAGGCTTTCGTCGATAAGGGGAAGCGGGCATCGGTCCTTAATAGTAATCGAATTTAAGGCGCGGTAGTCGACGTATAATCGCAAGGTTCCGTCCTTCTTTAGTACGAATAGTAGCGGAGCCCCGGCGGGGCTAGTACTATATACAATCCGTCTCTACTCTAACTCCTTACAGAGGTATTCCTATAGGACTTCTAGCTCCTGCTAGGAGAGATAGTAGAGGGATCCGAAGGGCAGTTCCTTACTATCTATTAGTTTAATAGTATAGTCGGTTGCCTTATAGGCCGGAAGGATCGCCGCGGAGTCGTTGTCGAATATATAGCAATATCCTTCTAACGTAGCGGGTAGGGAGACTTGTTTTGCCTCGCCCTAGTTAATCGCGTAAATCTAGAAGGTCGAGCCCTAACCTCCCCGGGGGTTCGCTAGGCGTAACTACCCTACTATATAGATAGAGGAGGAGTCTTCCTTCGATTCGCGCTTTAACCTCTTTAGGGAGACCCTCTCGAAGCTAGAGATTATAAGTCCCTATCGCTATATACCGGGACCGTTCTAGATATCGATGCCTAGGGTCTTTAAGGAATACCGGCTAAGGAGGATAGAAGGTCCGTCCTAGTCGATACCGTAGGCGAGAATCTTCGTAGTTCGGGTATCTATACTAGAGTCGCTAAGTTTCAACTAGAACTTATAGGCGCTGTAGTAGTAGGTTTCGTAGGTCGATAGCTATCTAAGTAACGGGAGTTAGGCCTCGATTCGGGGTAGGCCTATTTCTACCGCTACCTTCTAGCTAATCGTAGTTACCTAAGCGTACGTATCGAGGGCGACCTATATAGGTTTTATACCTTCGCTAGTAATAACAGTTCCTACTGTTTCGATAATATCCCTAGATTTAATAGGTCGGGGCCCCGTCGCGTCCTAAGTGTTTGCGACGAGCCTAATTAGTTTTTTAGCTAGACGGGGGTCTAGTTAGGATTACCGCGCTTTAATAGGCAGTCTAGGCGAATATAACCTATCTTGCCGTACTCGTAGCACTTTAGTCCTAAGTAATCCCCTTTATCTAGGGCGGCTTTCGCGGCTACGCCCGATTTCGGGGCTTTAGCCGCGTTAGTACGCAGTTCCCTAGCGTCTCTCCGGCGATCTCGATCTTTAGATTTTAGCTTATTGCTACTAGTCCGCCCTTTACCGCCTTAGGTCCTCGGATAGTTCTTCTCGATCTAGGTCGCTAGGTTAACTAACTTGTCCTATGTTTTAGGGATAGAATTATAATCGACGATCCGTCGGCGGGTCTCCGGGTACAACCGGGCGAAGAACTAGTATAGCTACTACTCTAGAGTATACTATTCTAGCTATACCTCGAGAGTCTCTAGGTATATTAGGAACTCTCTTAGAGACTAGTTAGTACGTTGTTTAGCGGACGCGTAGTCTAGGTAAGCCTAAAGCAGTCGAGCGTTAGGATCGTCTAGGAGGTTAAGTAGGAACTGCTTAAAGTTATCCTAAGTCGTATCCTTACGCTCGGCCTCGGTTATCCGCTACTAGTATACGTACTAGCGGTCCCTTAGAGTATATTCCTTAGAGAGGTACTGTATTACCTAGGTATACTTCTCGGCTTCCCGTTAGAAGGATCGTAGATTCTAGAGGAATACGACTTCGTATAATATTACAAAGTCGCCGTATTCTTTTAAGGACCTCCCCTCGTATTCGCTAGAGGCTTTTACCGAGCGTTTAGGAGGAAGGGCAATATCGGTTTCTATAGTATACCGCTTGTAACCGCAGCTACTCTAGAGGTCAGCTACTTCTTAGATTAGTAGCAGATATTCCTTTTCCGCCCGTAGGTAGGCGATGTCTTTCTAAAGGTCGCTTAGCTCCTCGCGTTCGACGATAATTTCCGGCTCGGAATCGTTCGCGTCTTCTAGCTAGATACTAGCGAGAGCTTCTATAGATTCCTCCTAGTCGAGTAGTTCCTAAACTCGTCCTACTTCGATATCTATAGAGGAAGATTGTTTAGTAGAGGCCTATTCTAGTATAGAGGGGTTCCCTAGCGAGTCGCTAGGATTCTGTCTAGTAGAACATCCTCCTACTATTGTTCGGACCTTTCCCTTATAGTTAAGGTCGGAGAGTTATTATATAATAGTTCTATAAGCGTAAGGGTATACGTAATAGAGGTCCGAGGTATAAAAGGTATAAACAATATACGGCTTACTATCTAAGGTATAATAACTCTGCCCTTCCTTCCTAGAGGAGGGCCCTCGCTATATATACAAGCTATTCTATTATCTACTCCCTACTACCGGTACCGCCTCCTCTTAGGTAGTAGCCGATAACCGGTTCCCTTAGGAACCCTCTTAATTCAGAACGTCTCCGATCGGTAGGGCATCCCTTCTATACCGGATCGCCGGAGGTCCGCGAGGGCTTCCCGGCCTACGTAGTACGCCCCGCCCGCCTCGCCGGAGGTTCGCTAGGGCTTCTCTGCCCTAGCGTGTTATAATACAAAGGTATTCTAGGGAATATTATAACTGCCTTTAAGACACTAAGTAAACTCGCGGTCTAGACGGTTATTAGTAATACCCTTAGTATACTAATAACATTGATTATTTCCGGTATTCTAACGCTGCGCGCGATAGTAGATACAACTAGTATACTTAAAATAAGGAAGCCGGGCAGGGGTAAGAAAAGGACTAAGAGGATTAATACTAGTAAGAGACGACCCCGGCTATTGATCGGGATAAGTCTGACTCTAACTATAGCAACGTAACGAACGGAGAGAGCGAGTACTAGACTGTCGAGAAAGCCGCGAATCGCGTTTATCTAGAGTTTTATAATAGTTAGTACTACTACGACCAAATCCTTTATTACGAACGTCGTAACTAGCAAGAGCATAACGGTAAGTTAAACCCCTCTTCCGACTAGTACTATCGCAAGCGCTACTATAAGTAGATAGCCTACTACCCGTAGTACTAGTAGTACTACTATTGCCTTCTAGAAGCGTAGTATACTAGGTAGCTTTCTATATAGGATTATATTTATTATACCTCTTATTAAGAGTTAGCGACCTGTCTCTAGCAAATCGACCGGTAAAGAACTATACGAAATCGTATTCTATACTACAATTTTCATATCTCTTTCGACTAGGTTAGAATATAGGTAATAGTAGGAGATTAGATAGGGCCTATCGACTACCTCGAGGGCTGCCTTATCTAGTAGATATATCTGCTATTATACATCCGGTAAGAAGAGAGAAGTCGGCGAAGATCTAGTATAATCGTACATATTAGAAGAGGATATAGATAATAGAGTCGAGGTTTATAGAAAGAAGAAGTTAAAAGAAAAGGAAAACAATTATATATATAGTAGCAAATAAATTTACTAGCGCGAATAATATATATATAAACAAAATATAGTATATAAAAAGGGATACAACAATATATATATAGCGGTATTGTCAATAGATACAGTAGAAGTTAATAGCGATATAGTCGTAGATATAATTAATACGAACTGCAAGTAGGAAGTACTACGAAGTAGTTAGATAATTAGGGGAGACCCCCTAAACCCCCCTTTCGCTTATAGCGGACCTTTCGCTTATAGCGGGCGTTTCGCTTATAGCGGGTAGCGCGACAATAGCTATAACCTCGTACCTCGGCGGCTATTTGCGTAGAATATTATAGACTAGATACGATACTATACTAAAAAACAATATATAAAGTCAAAACAGACGAATATAGTATAGCGGCTCTATATACGTATTTTGATTGTAGCCAATCAGAACGTTAATCCAAAATCCAGCATACGCGACTTAATTCGCGCACTCCCTCCTACACTCCGTAGGCCGGCTACCTTCGCTTCGCTCCGGGGCCGGCCGTACTACGTTCCGGAGGTCGCTTCGCGAATCATCAAAGCAATACCACATGTGTCCATGGCTGTCGGTCACCCCTATTGCTCCTGCTCGTTTGAATGTCGATGGAGCAGCTCGCCGTACGGCTTCAAGTAAGTTGACTATGTCCATTTCGTGGTTCGCTTGAAGGCTGGGATGGATCTACGACTTGTAGAGACGGAGAAGCGTCGAGATATAGCAGTAGATGCCCGGATAAAGAGCTGTGGTGCGAATGTGATATGGCTGCGATGAGCGTGAGCTAGCAGCAGGTTCCTACCTACCTTACCTTAGTAGTCGTCACTACTGCGAGAAAGTGAAGGATGGATTAGATTGTTGCCTGCTAGGACTACGGGTGAAGCTGACAACACAATCACTCCGACGCTCGGGAGTCTCGGGCGGTGGCTTTCCGCTAGGTCGATATGGTTCGGGCCTAGCGCATGCGCTTGCCAAGCCACAGCGATTGCGATAGGCCATGGAGTCTGTTCGATAATGTACCTTATTGATTGCACTCATTAACACTCGTGAATCGTGACTCGAAACTCCGTTTCCATCAAACATCAAGGACCCGGCGACTGGCCAACCTCGCCTCCATCGATCAATCAACAATCAACAACCAACAGCCACACAAAAGAAAAGAGAACGAAAGAGGGTGGAGAAAATGGCCACCAAATCCGCCCACAAACGTCTCACGCGTGAATACCAAAACCTCCAGAAATCGCCTCCCCAATTCATCACCGCCCGCCCCTCCGAGTCCAACATCCTCGAATGGCACTACATCCTCACCGGCCCACCAGACACTCCCTATCACGACGGTCAATACTGGGGAACTCTCACCTTTCCCGCCGAATACCCCTTCGCTCCACCCGCAATCCGCATGCACACTCCATCCGGCCGCTTCAAATGCAGCGAGAGATTATGTCTGTCGATTAGCGATTTCCATCCCAAATCTTTCAACCCCGCGTGGGAGGTTAGTACGATTTTGTTGGGGGTGTTGAGTTTCATGACGAGTGAGGAGATGACTACGGGTAGCATACGCGGGACTGAGGCGGAGAGGAGGGCGTTGGCGGTTCAGACTCGGTGGTGGAATTCTACTGGTGGGGGGTCGACGATGAGGACTTTGAAGGGCAGAGATTTCGCCGCCGCCGCCGCCGCCGCTGCTAGGCAGCAAAGGACAACGGGATTTGGCGCTATCAAGGCGGGTGATGGGGGAAGGAGATTCAGGGAGATGTGGCCGGAGATCGATGAGGAGAATTGGATGTGGATGGAGAAGGAAGGAATTGATCCGCAGTCAGGGAAGAGGATTTTTGTTGGTGGAGAAGAGGCTGCTGCTGCTGCGGTAGATGGAGTGGAAACCGGGCAGAGGCAAGCGGCTGCGTCAGCTGCGCAGAGTGCTCAAAAAGCGCCGCGGGAAGCAAAGGGTTGGTATGCGAGGAATATGTATTGGATCATTGGGGGAGTACTCTTTGCCTATGTGATGGCTGCGAGGTTGCTGAAGGATCAGCAAGAGTACTAGACCCACGGATGAATGACTTGATTATGGGTTTCATTAGCGAGGCGTACAGGACAGCGTGCGTTGCTTGCATTTAATCGGGAAGACTGTGACTCTTGACGGCAAGGGAATGAAGCCTAGGCAGAGTCAAAGCCTCCGTAATGTGATCATAGGTAATCAAGAGATGAATGGCAAGAATAGGTAATCCATTTCAGAATCAGGAATTGCTTTCAATATACGTGACTATAGAATCACGCATGGAGACCAGGCGATTAATGCCGTCCTCCGCGATAGCGTCACATCCAGCAAATGTTCCATATTCTGTCGTTCATGCTCGTAGCCATGTCCAACACAGCTGCTGCGAGCCTGCTTGCAAACAATATGCAAAGCGCTCACAGACGACGACCACGGCGACCACCCTTTCTTCGGGTGCAGTCGGATGGAGTTGGAGTAACGTCCTCGATACGGCCGATCTTCATGCCGGAACGGGCAAGAGCGCGAAGGGCGGACTGCGCACCTGGGCCTGGGGTCTTGGTGCCGTTACCTAGAGACATATGCGATCAGTATGGTTTCGTGCGGTGGAAGGATAGATGGACTTACCACCAGTGGCACGGATCTTGACGTGAAGAGCCGTGATGCCCAACTCTTTGCAGCGAGCGGCGACGTCCTGAGCAGCCAACATGGCAGCGTATGGGGAGGACTCATCACGGTCGGCCTTGACCTTCATACCACCAGTAACACGGCTGATGGTTTCGCGGCCACTGGAATCACCCAGGTTAGCCTATGAACCAAGCAGAAATTTATGATATATGCAAGCAAGCAACCCCACAAAGCCACGAGAGACGCCTCTTTTGCTACGTTCTTCGGAATGTGGTGGTTTCTGCTGATGGTTTAGACGTACGAAAGATCGGTAACGTGGACGAAGGTGTCGTTGAAGGAGGCGAAGATGCGTGCGACGCCGAAGACGAGCTCGCCTGTACCATCAATTAGTCTTTTGTCGTCCAATGATCGCGTGCACTGCTTCTTCGTGGAGGAGGAGGTGGTGGTGGTGGTTACTGACCCTCGCGGACCTGGGGACCGAGCTGAACATTCTCCTGCACACGAGGTGCTGCCTTCTTTGGTGCCATTTTGCTGGATGTGTGAGAAAGACTGTGGTGGATTAGTCTTGTCTTGTCCTGACGCTGAAGAACCGGAGCAGAAGTTCGAGATTGCTCAAGTTGGTCGATATTGAATGTGCTCGGCGCGAAAGTGCGCCAAGCCCGATGCTCTTCCGGCCAGCTCTTCTTTTCTTCTCTTGTCCAGCTGCAAACGTCTCTTTCTCTTCCTCTCCCACACATCAACATCGTCTACGCTCAACAACACCGACGTGTGCTCCACACTGCTTCGTCACGAGCCTGATATGCCATGACTGTACACTCTGCAGTCTGAAGTTCTTCACACGCGCCGCTGCTGAGCGACAAGCATACTAACCGCCAACATGGGAGACGCTGTGGTCGGCATCATTGGCATGGGAGACATGGGAAAGATGTACGCGAGGAGGATAGCAGACGCCGGATGGAAGTGAGTGCACGCTGCTGCTCGCCCAATACAGCATAGCACACCACCGCACATCATACCAATGGTAAGCCCACAACCTCCCCATTCCTCCCCTCCCACTCCTCCCTCTCTGCAATGATGACTTGAGTGCATTTGGCTCGAGTATGGTCGTTGGGCACCACCTTGCGTCGTTATGGCGCGCTGTGACCCGGCGGCTGTCAATGATGTAAATTCTCAGCTACCTTATAATATTTTGTCTGAACCGCAGCAACATATCCTACTTCGCCCTCTCAAACACGCTTTGGAGTAGAGCAGCAGCTAACTCTCTCACAGATCATCCCCCTCGTCGTCCGCATACTGACCCTGACCCAGAGTCCACGCCTGCGATGTCCCCGACAAGTTCGAAGCCCTTAAGGCCGAGTTCGCCAGCAGAGTAGGAGACACCTATGTAGACGTCCAATCGCTTGCGCTGAAGCGTGCTCCAGAAGAATGTTACAATTTTTGAGAACGGCCACTACGTGTCCCGCAGTAGTGACTGGATCATGTATAGTGTTGAAGCAAAGAACATTGATGCCATTGTCGCCCGGTATGGCCCAAGCACAAAGATGGGCGCCATCGTTGGCGGCCAAACCTCCACCAAAGCCCCAGAAATTGCCGCCTTTGAGAAGCACCTCCCAGCCGATGTCGAGATCGTATCCTGTCACTCGCTCCACGGCCCAGGCGTCAACCCCAAAGGCCAACCTCTCGTCATCATCAACCACCGCGCCAGCCAGAAATCCGTGGACCTTGTCGAAAAGATCCTCTCTTGTTTTGAATCAACATTTGTCCCGCTGTCTGCCGAGAAGCACGACCGAATCACAGCGGATACCCAAGCAGTCACCCATCTCGCCTTCCTCTCCATGGGCACAGCCTGGTGTGCCAATGACCAATTTCCGTGGGAGGTGCCGCGCTATATCGGCGGTATCGAGAATGTGAAAATCAACCTCATGATGCGAATCTACAGTAACAAGTGGCACGTGTATGCTGGTCTCGCGATCTTGAATCCTGCTGCGAAAGCTCAGATCAGACAGTATGCGGAGAGCGTGACGGATCTGTATAAAATGATGCTATCAGGCCAGACCGAGCAGTTTTCGGAAAGAATATATGCTGCGAGGGATGCTGTATTCGGAGCTGATGCTGGGACAAAGAAGCAGAAGAAGAAGAGTAGTAGTGGCGGAAATGACGATGAGGAAGAGACAGAGGAAGAGGAAGAACTTTTGCTCGAAGATGAATTACTGGACAAATTCAGTCTGGGCGACAAACCTCAACAGAGAGTGAAGAACAACCACCTGAGTCTTCTGGCCATTGTGGACTGCTGGTGGAAACTGGGCATCGTACCCTACGATCATATGATCTGTTCGACTCCTGTACGTTTCCATTACCCCCCCCCCCTTCTTTTCTTTCCCCCCTTTTCTTCCCGCCAACCAGCCATCCCTCCTCAATTCCATTCACTCCTAACTGACATGAAACCAAAAAGCTCTTCCGCCTCTGGCTCGGCATCACCGAATACGTCTACCGCTCTCCCTCCCTACTCTCCGAATGCATCGACACAGCCCTCCACGACGTATCCTTTCGCGCCGACGATTTGGAATTCACGTTTGCGGCGCGCGACTGGTCCGAGTGCGTGCAATTGGGTCATATGGATGGTTATCGGGAGAAGTTTGAGAAGATTCAAAAATACTTTGCTCCGAGAGTCGAGGATGCCACTAAGGTGGGGAATGAAATGATTAAGACGATTGAGGCAAATTTGAAGGAGAAGAGGATGAGGAAGAAGGGGGAGGAGGCGAGGGGGTGATGAGAAGGGGACGATGGTTTTGTGTCTGGTTTTCTCCCCAATGTTCATGTGTGTATATGATGAAGGTGCTTTTCGATAACTGGAGTGCGGTGCCGTGGTGTAGAGGAGGCTAGCTTGCTTTACCTTCCATGTTCTTCGTAGACATTGACGGATTAGCGTCAATTGCTCGCACTACCTACAGCTATATCATCTGTACCTCGAGCTCCTTCTCGATGGAGGGCTCATCTCCTCTTCTCGCTTTCTGTCGTCTCTACCCCGCGAAGGATACATGTCAGAGTCTCTCATTTCCTCGATCCGCTCTTCGTAGTATACCCTCCCCTGAGGACTGCGCGGACTGCGGGGCCCTGGCGAGACGGCGCGGGTGGCCATCTTCCTCCCACTTTTACGTCTGCCCTGCCTTACAGTGCTGGGTCTCAGGACGAATTCTTCCGTCTCTCGGTCATAGGATAACAGTTCAGTTTCCAGCTGCCAGAGAGGCGCCTCGGGGAGTATTTTGACGAAACCTTCTCGAGGTCGATCTCGCGCTTTCCAGAAAATGTTGGGTCGTTTCGTGCCGGCTTCTTCGGGTGCTTCGACCACGAGCTTCCAATCTTGCATCGCTGTGCAATCGTAGTCGCCCTTGTCATTCAGTCCGGGGCCGCGAAGTTTATACCTCGCACGCACCGACGGATGAATGTACTCATGGGTTTCAATCAATGGGGCGTCTGTTTGACGTCCGTTCGTAGGGTCGACAGCGGTATATCGGCCAGGTGTTCTAATCTTCGAGCCACCGAGGGCGTACACTCCCTCCATTCCAGAGAAGATTTTGCCAAATCCCCATCTTCTCGGTCTCTGATCAGTCTTCTCGTAGTAGTCTTCGACATCCTCATACTGGTCATGCACGTAGTCCAGGTCGAAATCGATGAAGGGCTGGCATTGAGCCATCATCCACGCCAAACTGATGGTGGCAATCTGCTGGTCGTCATATCCACCTCCAACGTTCGAGTGCGCCCCGGGGAACCACACCTGACGGAGGGTGGTGCTGTTATCCTCGAATTTTTCCCATAATGTGGGGGGGAAAGCAAAGCGTCGCTCGTCCAACGCCAAGGCCTGAAAAGCATAATCAATATGGTTACCCAAGGAAGTGTCGTAGAAGGAAAGCTCCTTCATCCTGTCCGACTGAAGGCCAACACGAGACAGCCAGCCGATCTTGGGCGTGCCCAGACTGCCGACAGTGTCCCAGACGCCGACCACTCGGACACGAACATCGGGAATAGTGAGGCGACGGCGCACCAATTCTCTCAGGTACACAGGACTCGCGACGCTGGGTTTATCTGGAAAGGGGAGATCTGGATGTTTCGGTCTATAATCTGGCTCATGCTGATGTTGCGCATCTCGGAAGATCTCAGCGAGGTAAGGCAGGCCTTCCTTGGTGAGGACGCCGACATCACCAATTAGACCGGCGATGCTGCGAGCACTGAAAGCACCTCGACTGAAGCCAAAGATGAAAATCTCGTCGCCGGGCTGGTAATTGTTGGCGATGAATTGGTAGCCTTCGCGCACGATTTGCGCCAATCCTTCGCCAGAGATGCCCAGCAGCTTGTTCGTGACACCGCCACCCGCACCGACGCCCCAGTGGTAGTAAACAACCTGTTGGATACCATCGGAGCTGACGGGCTTGATAGCACGGGATAGGCGCGTTATGTTGCTTGGAATGGCGACAGAGTTCTTAAGACTGTCGCTACTGGAGTTTAACCAAGTCCCTGGAGATTCGGGGTCAGCTCTCTTCTCTGTCTCGACCCTCTCCTCCCTCCTCTCTCTCTCCTGAGCAGAGCATAACTCACCATCTTCACATAGCACAATTCTTTTCCCCGGCGGTACATGGCGAACGCGGCTCAATGCTCGCGAATTGCTTCGGCGTTCACGTGTTACGGGCTCAGCCTCGGAGAAGGTCGACATGGCCGGTTGACGCCACAATCCAACTCCGGGCCAGGTCAGTATCTGGGCGCATTATCAGACGTGTCGCGTGGTATGATGATGAGAGGCAACGAATGCGCAAGTGATTACTTTGTTATTATTATTATCGTTAGCTATTATTACCTGTGGCTGGCCGCTGTATAGGGGCAAATCTGAAATTGGGCAGCGATAGGACAGCTGCCAAGACCGGATCATTCACCTCTTCTCGGTCTTTCTAGCCGGAGGGACCACCAGTTAGTTCGAAGTCGCGTTTCGCAGCTCAGCTTGTCGCGTACTTTGTAGTATGTACTTGGTATGCGCTTCCAACGCACATGACTTGTCTTTTCATATTTCCGTGCGCACCACTGCCAATTGGTCGCTGAGAGTTGCCTGAAGGCATAGAACTGCCGTGCCATTGGAGGCTCCGAGTAACAGATTGTACAGTAACAGGCTAACAGCACGCCGATTTTCTTTCAGTCGACTCACTCGAACACGTCCGTCCCTCCACGCGAGGCGCGTGATTGCCCAGCATGCCGCCCTTTCGCGATGACCAGATCTTGGTATGTTCCATGCTGCTCCTGCGCTCCAATCATGCCATGACACTGACCGTAGTGCTCAGATCATCGCGCCCGGCTCGCAAACGACGCTGGCGCAACTCGGTCTGCCCGAATCCTTCACTCCAGCACGCTACCGACTGCGCTCGCGCATGTTCCCGGCCGAGCAGAAGGGAGAGTACGAACCGGTCAAGATCAGGAAGAAGGAGAAGGAGGTCACAACGACAGACACACCAACCAATGGCGATGCGAAGATGGACACGGGCGAGGCGGAGCCCGTGGCGGAGTGGGAAGAGGATCGCATATCAGAGGACGGGGCGGTGTGGCCCATCCAGAACGGCAGCATCGTCGACTGGCCGTGCTTCTACGCCTTGCTCGAACACGTCTACAACACCGTCAACCCACCCTTCCATACCCCCATCCTGTTGATCGCCGAGCCCACGTGGACCCACAAGGAATACGAAAAGGTCGCTCAGTTCATCTTTGAAAAGTTCAAGACCCCTGCCCTGGCCATGATGGACTCCGCCGTCGCAACCACTTATGCATATGGCATCCCCACCGCCACCGTCATTGACGTGGGCTTGAACAAGGCCGATGTCAGCTGTGTCGTCGACTTTATGCTGCAAGATGCTGGCCGAAGCATTGCCGTGCCCGAGTGCGGTGGAAATGCTATGACGGACCGCTTAGTCGAGCTATTGGCGGGGAGAAAAGGGTTCAACCGAGATGTGTGTGAACAGCTGAAGAGGAGCCCCATATGCGAAATTCTCGGCCCGGACATTGATCTGCCAGATACCGATGCTGGTGCCAGTAACCCTGCTGCTGCCGCGTCGACGGGAGCTGCGGGCGCCGTGCCAGGGCAGAGGCCGGCCTCAGTAGCAGGCGAGCTACCACTAGGACCAGGGCCAGGTACGCAGGTGGGAGAGGAGAAGAAGCTGGAAGACGAGGAGGGTGTGCTCGATGTCGCGAGCATCGTGACCAGTGGCAACATGAGCGAGTACCTAGCGCAGAAGGAGAAGGAGAAGCAAGAAAAAGCTGCTCTGAAGCAAAGGAAAAACAGTGAAGTACAACCCCAACTCAACAAGCCAGCCCGGTTACCCAATTCCAAACGAGCCCGGAACACCTTTGTGTACGAGGACTTTGCCCTGCACGACGCGATGAAGAAGGCCGGAAAGAGCACCCAGGAGCTGGTAGATATGCAGACTGCTCTGGATGAAGGACCAAACAAAAGACAAAGGACACCCGAACCACAGTCCGCTGTGTCAGACAAGCCCGCCGATACCGAACAAGAGCCAGCAGAGGCCCCTACGGAGAACACGCCCACCGGAGGCTTCCGAAGAGAGATTGAAGTCGGAGCTGAACGATTCCAATCCGCATCTGGCGGCATCCTGGACCGCCTTGCTGATGCTGTACATCGGACCATCCAGTCCTGCGGAGAGATCAACAAACGAAGCGATCTATGGGATTCACTGATCATTCTTGGAAATGGAGCCAAGATCAGAGGTTTCAAGGAAGCTCTCGTGGCAACCTTGCAAGCAAAGTACATCGTCTCACCCTCGTCCGCCACCATCTTCACCTCCGAACTTCCTTCAAACTTCTCCACGCCCGTCGCCACCGGAGCCAATACACCCCAGCCTGGTGTACAGCCACAGCCACAGCCACAGCCACAGCCGCAGCCGCAACCGCAACCGCAGCCGCCGCAGCAGCAGCAGCAGCAACCGCCTCCTCCTCATGGAGGAGGCGGTGTCAATCCACTCCTGCATGCTGCGTTGACTGCGCAGAACCCCCAATTACATCCCCCGCAGCCCATGGGCCAATCCCCGATACCGCAGGGATTGCATTCAAGTGGCCACGGACAAACGCCGACGAGTATCAAGACGGCCAAGATTCCGGATTACTTTCCCGAGTGGAAAGAGGCCGGATATGATGAGGCCACGTTCCTCGGTGCGCAAGTGGCGGGCAAGTTGTTGTTCATTGTGGACGGGGGCGCTAGCAAGGGATATATGACTCGGACGGATTACAATGACCAGGGCCCGAGTGGGATACATGATGTACGGATGTAATGGTGGCAAATCCTCGTCCGTCGCCGTGTGAAAAAACACTGATTTGATGTGCAAACATCATGCCCAGAAAGGAAAAAAAAGAGGAAAGATGAAGCTGCTGTCAGCACAGATTTCCCTTCTGGAATAGAAAGGTGAACAAAGTGATACCCAGTCAGTGCAGTTCAGTCCATTCTTCTTTTTACCTTCACGTCGAAAGCCTTGCAGTAGACTCCCCACTGGTCCGAGAGTCGATCGATATTGCTACACGAGTAGACATAGTTTCATGGCTCCTGGGGCTGGATGATATAGCGTCCAGAAGAGCGAGCTGTTTTTCTGCCTGTGACAATTCCCGGGATTCGCCGGCCGTCGAGTGCAGCAATTAAGGGCGTCCCGGTTGGCCATGGTGGTCGTGTCAGCTTGTCTTACTATTAGGTCAGGAAGATACAATATAGGACTTGATCACTTTGTCACGTGAAAGCCGCTTGAGCCCGTCTCTTCCATTTTCAAATTTGATTACAAGGCAGTACCAGGCGAAGACAGGCAGGAGGTCTGTGTCTGTCCGTTGTAAGGTTTCACTGGTCAATCTGAGAAAAGTTTCATTAGAAGAACGAGGGCGTAGGAAAATTTCATTAAAAGCAACTACTCTACGCCGTACCATATGGGTATCAGTAGTATTACAATCACTCGTCATCGCTTTTCGTCATCCATTCTTTCGCGTTCGCGGCTGGGTCGGTGGAACGCGAGAGCAAGTCGTGATGTCTCTGCTGTAGTAGAAACAAACAAGTCGGCATCTGTCCTGTCGCCATTATCGTCGGGGGCGTCATCTGCTTCATTCTGGTCCTCCGTGTCATGTTTCGCGCCGTATACTTTCCACCGCTTACAGCTCGTTCTTGACGCTCTGGGCACTCTTGCTGGCGGCAACACTCTCGCTCGATATGCTCTTGCTGGCAGCGACGCTAGCAGAAGACGCGCTCTTGGATGCTGAAACGCTTGCGACTGAGCTCGCACTGGACGCCGAAGCGGAGAGGGACGATGCTGACTTTGGTCCATACTTCGAAGCGCTGGAAGAGAGCGAGCTTGCAGAGGCACTGGCAACGGAAGAGGCAGAGCTGGCAGAGACACTGGCAACAGAAGATGCAGAGCTTGCAGAGGCACTAGCGACAGATGAAGCAGAGCTCAGGCTCTTCTTCGCTTCCTCAGAAGCAAAGCCAAGGTTGTTGGCAATCACGTCGTAGTAGTATTGAAACTGGCTGTAAGCACCCTGAGTGGCCTCGGCGTAGTAGTTGCCAGCGCTCGAGGTGGCGGCACCATAAGCAGAGGCAGCAGAGTCCTTGGCGTTGTTTCCAGTGAGCGAAGCAGAATGTTTGCGGGCGAGAGCAATGAGCTCGTTGCGCTTGCTACCCTGTGGAACCTTGATGCCATTGCGGTCGGCCCACTCCTTGATCTGGCTGTCGCTCCAGCTCTCGAGGAGTTGATCGCTGAGTGACTGAGCGGCGCCAGCAGCAGACTTGGAAGCCGAAGCGTACTGTTGAGAAGCCTTGTCGGCGGCGATCTTGGAGTTACGGCGAAGGGTAGCAATGAGCTTATCACGGTTACCTGGCTGCGGGACCGGGACACCGCGCTCATCGAGCCAGGCCTTCAAGTCAGAGTCGGACCACTGCGAGTAGAGCCAGTTGCCCGGGTAGGCAGCAGTCTCACCAGCCTTCTCGGCGGCCTTTGCATAGTTGGCGCGGGCGGTGTGCAGAAGGGAATCGCGAGTGCGAGGGGATGGGTTAGGAATCTTGTGGTAGTCGAGCCAAGCCTTGATCTGGGACTCCGTCCAACTGTGAAGTGTCAGTGGAGCTGGCATCGCAATGCACCAATGCTTCCTATGACTTACCTGTCGAAGATCCAGTTCTGGACGCTACCGTAGGCCTCATTGGTTTGATCGGCAGTCTCGTGCCAGAGGTCCTGGACCTGCTGGAGGAGGCTGTCCTTATTCTTCTCGGTGCCCTTCTTGACCTGTTGTCCCTTTGAAGAGATGTAGTTCTGGAGCTGGTTGGCGTCCCATGAATTGTAGGGCTTCACGGCGTAGTTGTCCCAGTTGTCCTTGACCAAGTTCTCGAGGTCCTTACGGTCAGCCGGGGTTGGATATGGGACGTCGTGGTCCGACAGCCATCTCTCGAGCTCCGTCTCGTGCCACTTGTTGTATGCTATGCGGCCTTGAGTCAGTCAGATTGGAGCTATGCCATTGGGACAGGTGCCATCTGCAGGGTGATGGAGAACAACGAAACGCACCGGATTTGCCAAACCATCCGTCGGCAGCAACCGTCGTCGCGAGGGCGGCCACAGCCAGGGAGAATCTCATATTGGCGGTGCTTTCTCAGGGGATCTGGTTTGAATGAGGAGTGTCTGTCTGTTGCGGGTGCTGTGGTATTGAGGGTGAAGGCTGTTGTAAGTGCAGAAGTGGAAGAAGTGTCGGGCAGTGAGGTGAGGTGATGAGTGAAGTAAAGCAAGCAAGCAAGTTTGTTTATGTGAAAAAGGCAAGACAGCTCCTGCATTTTCTTGGGATCACCCTGACGCGCCTATGACGCAAACATGGCTCTACCTCAGCGACACAAATGGAAGGCACGCGAACGAACAATGGATGGGATGGAATGAATGGGGAAGGCGTCACCCGTCTTGATCGCACACGTGACGAGGCCCCGTCTTCATGCACAAATGGTGTGGTGTTGCGTAAGACGAATAATTATTTGCATCAAGATAGCCCCAGCGCCTCGCTATATGTTTCAAAAAAAAAGTGCACAAGTCCCTTCCTTCCTATGTCAGACTGGTTCCAACTTCTCAGGTACGGAGGTAGGTAGTGTAGTCCAGCGCCAAGTCGCACCCCTAGCTCAAGCCCTCTGCGAGACCGTCCCCAAAGCTTCTGTCCAGCCACTGCGACTCCTTGTATCGATAAGGAGTATGCACATCGTCCTCTGCATCGTCTCGACTTCGACTCGTCCCGCCAGTATCAGCACTCCCCGACATCGAGGCCACTTCAGCCTTGTCTGCTGCACGAGCCTTGTCATTCGTGATGCGGCGCTTGCCAAACCAACCCTTTTTCTTGACAGCTGTCGTGACCGAATCCCCATCTTGCCACTCGCTATTCGTGATAGACTGGGCATCAGCTTCGACTGCGCCATTGGCCGCTGCCGCTGCTTGTTGGGCAGCAATCTCTTCCGCAGAGATTTCCACGAGTTCGGCGTCTCGAATCCATCGTCTCCGCCGTGTCCATTTGCCCCAGTCATCAGTTTTGCTGCCTCCTTGCCATGAATTGTCATAGTATGTCCAACCGTCTTTGTCGCTGGATTTCTTGCCGTTCGCATTCGCGTTGTCATCGCTCCAGTCAGGGTCTAGCCTCCATTCACTTCCGGGGACCCATCTCCACTGTGTCGTGGCGAAATCCGTCTCTGGCAGTGGAAAGCTATCCTTCTCAGGCACATGGTTCAGGTGCTCGTCCGACCAGGGTTGCCGTTCATGGGGCAACATATTCGATGTGTAGCCAAGCATCACCCATCTCCGCTGATTCTCATAGATGGCAAAGGTGAAGCGTACACCGGGACCTGCTCCTTTGCGCTTCAAGGCCTTCGCGAGCGCGGCTGGAGCCCGGGGTGGCAAAGGAGGAGGTGTCTTCTCAGTCGAGCTGGGTTCGGGGAAACGCAACCCAGTAATGACAGAAGCAGCCCATCTCACACTCCTGCTCCGCCAAAGTATGCTTCTTGACGCTCGGGAAGGCCGACTGTGCCAGCTCAACCCAATCGTTCCGACGACCAGCAGTACCCTTTGCAACGTAATGATCCTCCATGGCGGAAGCGTGAGAATGATCCAGACAGGAGTGACAGCAAGTAATCTCAAGAACATACTCGTCAATGCAGGTCTCGTACTGGCGCTGGTGGCTGTGGTCTGTGTGCTCAGGAACTCTGTCAGCCGCAGGAAAGGATCCAAAAGCACATCACAGCGATGCGTGAAGATCTCGAGCGTGTCCAAGATCTCATCCAAGCTTTTCCTCTTCTCACTCTCGGATTCCGCTCTACTACGCTTCCTCTTATGCCCCGTCCACATCGTACTCGATAGCGGGGAGTAGCGCCTGCTGTACAATCCCGCCACGAGTACCATGAGCACAACTATGGGCCCAGCATATCGTAGCACGTCATCGCTATAGAGAACCACGAACCAGAAGCCGGCAACCACGAGGAACGACTCCCACGGGTCGCTCGTCGTCCACGATAGCAGGCCAGCGAGGTGACTGAGCGGTAGTATGAACGGATGTGAATATGCCAACACTCTCGTCACTTGTGGAGGGGTCGCAGCCAAGAGCGGACTCTTCTGATGTATGAGAACGGAAGCCTGATTCCTCTTCTTCTGCGTTTGTTGATTCGGCGAAAACGCAGCTATGGTGGGCTCGGCGAGGGAGTTATCGCGCTGGCTGCCATCGGATGTGCGGTGGTCTTCGGAAATGCGGGCGCTCATGGGGAGATTGAGTGGGAGATCTGCAGAAGAGGCGACAGGCGTCAGTATTGCTGAAGCTCGTCTGTTCGTCCACTTGCTTCTGAGCTTCATGACTCCGTAATGGGCGAGGAATCGCATCCAATACAGGATACACATGCCCCAATATGCTCTCGCTCCTGCTGAAGAAGGCATCACTCACCGAATGCTGCCATGCAGTTGAAGCAGTCATGTCCTGCCCGACAAGACAATCAAATCAAGAGCGTGCGTGTACGCCTGACCTTTTGTTTGCGTCTGTACCAACTTGCTATCCTCCAGTAAAGGTACAGAATGTCGTGAATGTGGTGGCACTGAGTGGGGGCGGCATATGGGCGAGAGCGTGACTACATGTATACAAGACTCGGTCGGGCGTATTAAGACATCACACACATGCCAGGCCAACCGCGGAGCATGTGAAAGTTTATTAGCTCGAAATTGGCGTCATGGCATGGGTACCTTTGCGGACTGTGGAGCGCAATAGTATACCGTAGTAATGCAAGTCATCCGCAGCTAGTCAGGCAACTCAGGCACCGCGGGCGGGCCAATTCACTATCAGAGGCGGAACTAGGAGGTAGTAGCGACGACAGGTCTCAAAGCGCAAGTGAAATGTGCAAATCTCGGAATCTTTGTTGATTTATGCTCAACAGAGTTATATGGTACCGCATGCTGTTCCTAGCACTGTGCTCCTGTGTACTATCATGGATCCTGCAATGCTACAAAGTGTGCATGAGTGCGCCATATCCTATACAAGCCCAGGCGATCTTTGCAGGTCGATCCTCAGTAAAGGAAGACCAGCTGATCTATCTCTGGACAATGGACTACTGAGATGTCGGTAGTCCATAGTTCCCAATATCGTCCGCCCGAGTCAACGCAGACAGCTGTTCAAGCGAAGTCTCCTGCTGGTTCTGGCCGTAGCTAGGCGACAGCTGTTGAGCCCCAAGGCTTGCCTCAAAGTCCTCGTAGGTCTGCTGCTGCTGTTGCAATTGCTGAAGATGATTCGACAAGCTCGGTTGCAACGGCTCAGTAGGATAAGTACTTTGCACTTCCGAAAACGTGGAAGGCTCTGGATATGCATTGTTTTGGTCGTCGGCAGCGAAAGAAGCGTCTGGCAAATTCAGCTGCGCGTCCAGACTGGAGTCTATGTTGCCGTTTGTCTTGATCGGCGCGCCCATGTCAGCTGGTGCCGGCGCGGCTTGCTGCAAAACAGGCAGGTCTGGATGAGTCTCCATGAGTTGAGCTCTGGTCATGTCGTCTATGGGAGTACCGTTTTCCTCAAAATCGATTACGCGCAGCCACTTTCGTTTCATCTTGGACATCGTTGTCGTACTGCAAACGATTCCGAAGCGGTCGTGAATCAGCCACACCAGGTCGTCGAGGTAGCGCGTCCGGTTCTTGGGGTCGCGAAGCCATTCGCGCACTTCCTGATCATACCTATATCAGCAAGATGTGATTGCCCTGACGGGTATTCCACTATGCATACCAGCTCCTGCTCCGGCGTCAGCACTTTAGGTCTTCCATTCTTCTTGTTCATCTCCGGAGGCATGTAATTCGTTCCATGCTGCTGGAGACATCTCTTCATGCGATAGATGCTGCTTCTGCCGACCTTGAGCTTGCGGTGGATGGTGGTAGGGTCGAAGCCAGCCTCGAGGAGTTCTTTAATCTGCTCCTGGATCTCGACCGATTGCTTGCCTGAGCCGGGCATTGTGACGGCTGGACCTGCTATACTCCTGGCGGTATGCTTCGACCGGGTCCCGCGACTTTTCTGTTCTGATTGATGAAGAAAGTTGTGAGAACAGAAAGTGCTGGCAAAACCTGAACTGAAAGCTGGAAGCCAAGCTCGGGCCGCGTCTTGGCAGGAGTCGCTCATCCCGAGGTCGTGAATGCAATCAAAACAAATGGGATACAAACGACATCTACATGTAGGTGTGCATTATTCCTTCATGGATGCCGTTTTATACCATCGCGTCAACTTGTATGGCTGGCCTCATTCAAGGCACATACATTGGCGTGGGTCGAGACATACACATCGCGAAGTGGGTTGGAATGCAGAGCCGGAGCATGATCTTGGCGTCTGGCAGCAGGCAAATGATTCTTCCTCCGCGTAGAAGTTGACATGATATAAAACGTCTCAGAGGCGCGGTCTCTGCCCTGAATTTCTTGACACACAGGACAACGACCACTGTACAAACTCACTCAGCATCATGGCCAAGACTATTCTCCTGATCAATGGCCCAAACCTCAATCTTCTGGGAACCCGGGAGCCTCACATCTATGGCAGCACGACCTTGGCAGATGTCCAGAACGCAGCAGTCAAGCAAGGCAGCGAACTCGGCATACAGGTCCAACACTTTCAGTCGAATCACGAAGGCGCCATCATTGATCGCATACACGAAGCACGAGGCCAAGTCAGCTATGTGATTATCAATCCTGGGGCTCTGACCCATACTAGTGTTGGCTTGCGAGATGCCTTGGTGGGCTGCGACCTCAAGTTTATCGAAGTACATATCTCGAATGTACACGCCCGAGAGGCCTTCCGACATCACAGCTATCTTTCCGACAAAGCCGTGGCTGTGATCTGCGGATTGGGCGTCTATGGCTATCAAAGTGCTATTGGATTCGTTGCTCAGCAACTCGAGAAGGATGCATAGAGCATTCGGCTGAACAGTCTCAGATGCCGACTTTCGCTCCTGTCCTTATACCAATGGAAACCGGGATATGGGAACAATGCTGAACATGGCGGAGAAGCATGGTGTGCTCGACCCGTGGAGATTCCAGTGCGGAAATAGAGAATGGCTGTTTTTGAGTCTACACGAGAGCGTCCTCGCTGCCGGCTGAGGCAAAAGCGTCGCATACCTTAGTCTGGCAGCTTAGATTCTGGATACCAGGCATTCTGCTGATCCGCATGGCCCGGTCGGAATTTCCAAGAAGCGAATGGCGGGGCTCTCGATGACAGACGTGTAGCCATAAGGTACCTCCTAGTTCAATCGCGGGGCCATTCCACCCATCTTACCTGAGAATCCATGAACAGTGTTTATTGCTTTACTAAACATTGGCCAAATGGAAAGTACTTAAACATACTCTCGGTACCAACACTCCGATATTCTCTACTGCTTGCCTACTTTTGACAATATGGATCCCTCGGAGGTCAACGTTCCCCCTCTCAAGGACCTCACTATCGATAACATCACCGACAATGTCAAGCTGATCAACTCTCAATGTCCCAATCCTCGCTTAAAGTACATACTCGATCGCATTGTACAGCATCTCCATGACTTTGCTCGAGAAACCCGCTTGAGCCACGAGGAGTGGATGACAGGCCTGCACTTTCTCACTGCAGTGGGCCAAATCTGCACAGATGTCAGACAAGTAAGCATACCTTACCTTTTTTGCTCTCTGGACTTGCTCGAGGTGGGGAACACTCACCTTTACCAGGAATTCATCCTCCTCTCCGATATCCTTGGCCTCTCTCTGCTAGTCGATAGCATCGACCACCCCAAGCCCTCGAATTCGACCGAGGGCACAGTTCTCGGACCCTTCCACTCCCACGAAGCCGAAACTGCGCCCAACGGCTCACAAATTGCACATGATCCTGAAGGCGAAGCGTGCCTGGTGCTCTGCACTGTCAAAGATACGAACGGAAAGCCGATTGAAGGAGTGAAGATTGATGTATGGGAGACAGACAGCAAAGGCTTCTACGATGTACAATACCCGGGAAGAGAAGGACCAGATCAGCGGGCTGTGATGCATAGTGACAAGGAGGGCATCTTCTGGTTCAAAGCCATCACACCCGTGCCATATCCCATTCCCAGTGATGGGCCTGTGGGCAAGCTGCTGGTGCAGCTAAGGAGGCATTGCTTCAGGCCTAGTCACATGCACTTCATGTTTGAGAAGAGCGGTTACGATCACTTGATAACGTGAGTGGTACATGTTTGGTTGGATATCATCTGTGGACCGGGACTGACGATACTGAAACAGAGCATTGTATCTCCGTGGCGACCCATACGAGACGTCAGATGCGGTGTTCGGCGTCAAAGAGTCTTTGATTATCGATCTGAAGACTGTAGAGGAACAGCATGTGAAGCAGTATGGCGTAAAGGCAGGAACGAGGCTCATCACATATGACTTTGTGCTGGTAACGGAGAATGATTCGAGGGAGTTGCGGGAGAGGAATGCTTTGGAGGCTACGAAGGCACTTGGTCTGAAGATGAAGTTGTGGAACGGCTTGCCTGTGCCGGATGTCGACTAAGCATATATTGCCACTGAATAATGCGCATGTGGACTAGACAATTGTTGACAATGCGTATCTACATACGGTAGACGCTCCGTCCGTTACTATTCATGCACGAGGACCAGGTACCTATAGAACATTCCTCCAGGTGGTAGGCTCTTGGGTTGTAAGTTACTCGAGGCAACGCAACTCCCGCTACTACATACAAAAGTGGTGGAAACTAGACTGCTTGTGTAGAGAATAGCAGAGAATAGCAGAGCATAGCGTCCCCCTACGACCATTGGTATCGCTTGGCAAGGCTAGATAACCTACAGGCTACAGGTACCTTTAGCGTCGACAAGGATTCTTCGGAGAACCACAAAATCACACTTCCAACCGGGACTCACAACCATTATATAAACTACCTTACTACCTCCCTTCCTACTACACCTCACCTTTTGATCAGAACCACTCCTCCCACCACCCTTCCCCCTGCTCGAAGCCTCCACACACCCACATCCCCCCCTTTTCACGTCACAACGCAAACCCCAATCCAAAACATGTCCACCACCTCCACGATTCTGACCGAGACTGAGCTGGACGAAATCTACTCTTTTGCGATTCAGCTCGCGAAAGAGGCCGGTCAGAAGCTTCTTGATGCTGTTGATGCACGGTTGGGCCGGACTAGTACTACTATTACTGGTACTACTGCTGGAGGAGGAGGAGGAGGAGGAGCAGTTGGTCATGTGGAGAAGGAATCTGCGGTGGATTTGGTGACGGAGACGGATGAAGGTGAGTGAGTGAGTGAGTGAGTTAGGAGGAGATTTATCATGGTATTTGAGGATGGATTTTGTTTTTCGCTTTTTGCTTCGCGCTTCGCCGCCGAATGGGGGGTTTTTTTATTTATTCCTGGTTGTGAAGGCCGAGCTTACCTTACTTGCGTGATGACCACCAACCGGCACGTATTTCCTCTGCGACACATTCAAGGCTTTCTTTTATCATCCTCGCTTTTTCGTATACATTCACTGTGCTGATTCTTGGGTTTTCTCTCCCTCTCCCCACTCTCCACGAAAAAGATGTGGAAGCTTTCATTCGTACAAGTGTGGAGGCCAAATTTCCCTCTCATGCGTATGTTCAGCACCAAGTCTTTCTTCTTGCTACTCATTTCCAACCTTTTTTTCTCCTTCTTCGCACTCGGGAGAATTAACAGGTGTGGCTGCTGATCGTTAATTTGCTAGATTTGTGGGCGAAGAATCGTATTCGAAAGGTCAATCGAAGAAATACCTTATTCCTGATGTAGGACCTTCGTGGTGTATTGATCCTTGTAAGTTGAGAACCGAGCAGAATGAGACTTATGGGTCGTTTATTACCCTGAATGACATGGCTATACTTGCTTACCTGAGAATGTGCTTCTCTAGTGGATGGTATGTGTCGCGGTCGAGCAATCTGGCGATGTTGAAAGCTGAGCGCAATAGGCACTGTGAACTTTATCCACTTGGCTCCATTCTATTGCGTCTCGATAGCTTTTCTGTGGAATGGTGAACCTATCATCGGGGCTATCAATGCTCCTTTTCTCCGGCAGTTGTAGGTTGCAGAACCTACATCAACACCAAATTTGAAGCTGACGCTGCCAGATTTACGGCCTGTCGAGGCAAAGGAGCCTGGCTGAATGAAACGACCCGACTGCCTCTTGAGCGAAACCCTATTCCCCCCATGCCCAGCAATGCTCCCAAGGGCTGTGTATTCTCGTGTGAATGGGTAAGGCTGAGACAGAGACTCCACCCCTATATCTACTGATATACTGTTTCTTAGGGCAAAGATAGGCGAGACATTCCAGACGGAAACATGCATCGTAAGGTCAATAGTTTCATGAACATGGCTGCTGAAATTGGGGGTCGGAATGGCAAAGGAGGCATGGTGCATGGAGTTCGAAGTCTCGGTTCTGCCACACTAGACCTATGTTACGTAGCCATGGGTGGCTTTGACATATGGTGGGAAGGTGGCTGCTGGTATGTTAGCGCCGCAATCATCCGTCCGAGCGAGATGACAACTTCGAGCTGACAATGTGATGTGTTAGGGAATGGGACGTAGCGGCGGGGATTTGTCTGCTAAAGGAAGCAGGTGGACTGATTACCACTGCCAACGCCCCCGACGACTATCTGAACGCTCCCATACCGGACGTGCAACTCGGTAGCCGGCTCTATCTGGCGATTCGTCCCGCGGGAGATTCAGCATCAGAGACGGGACGGCAGAGCCAAGAACGAACTGTTCGCGAGGTATGGCGGCGAGTGGAAACTCTGGACTACTCCCGGCCGGGCGTATGAAAAGAACACACTCGCGACCTCGTCGATAATCAACCCATACCAACAATCACAGTGAAGACCCAGAAGTGCGTAAGAGGTTACATTCTCATACATCGCATAAATTCCATCTTACAACTTCGCCTGCGACAGCGCATGAGCCACAACACTCTTAACCCGTTCCACAGGCAATTCCTCCACAGTCCTCCCATGCCAAAGCGTATGCTGAGCAAAAGCCTGATAAATCATCGCCTCCGTCCCCAAAATCACCTTCCACCCGGCCTCCTCCGCCAACCTCCCCAACTCCGTCCACGGCGAAGGATGATAACACATTTCCAACATGGCCCCTTTATGCTCTTTATTCAAAAACCTCTCCGCAATCCTCCTCGCCTCACGCTCCTCTTCCGTCACAGGCGCGAAATTCGGTACACAAGCCACTATCGCCCCCGGCCCTTCCAACGCCTCTGCCTGCTCCACAGATTTCACATGCACGAGCCCTTTTCCATATCCTTCCGCCCGACACCAAGCCATCACCGCTTCAACTTCTGCCGCGTCGCGATTGACTAAATATACAATTTCGCATTTCAAAAATTGAACTAAAGCGTACACGGCTGATCGAGCGGCTCCTCCGCCTCCGATGACGAGGCCTGGGCGATGGAGAAATACGGATGAGGGGTTGGGGATGTTTTGGAAAAAAGATTCGCGGACGCCGATGGTGTCGGTGTTGGTTCCGATGTATTTTTGGTTGGCGTCGAGGTAGATTGTGTTGATGGCTCCTACGGCGCGGCCGGAGGGGGTGAGGCCGTCTAGGTGAGGGATGATGGAGACTTTGTGGGGCATTGTTACTGCTGAGCCTGGGAGGGGGAGGGAGGGGAAGGGGGAAGGGTTAGCATAGGTTTGGGTTGGTTGGGGGAGGGAGGGAGGGAAAAAGAATTGGAGTCACAGGCTCTTTCTTTCTCTCTCTCTCTCTCTCTCTCTCTCTCCCTCTCTCCCTCTCTCCCTCTCTCTCTCCCTCTCCCTCTCCCTCTCTTCCCAAAAAAAGAAAGAAAAAAGAAAAGTCATCATCATTACATACCATACAACCTCTCATCCTTCAATAATCTCAAAAACTGAGAAATATCCGTCGATTCCAAGAGTTGAAACCCCCAAGGTAAACCGACTTCTTCAAAAACAGTATTGTGTACGAGAGGGGAATATGAGTGGGCAATGGGATAGCCGAAGAGGTAGCCGTGGCGTTCAAAGTGGTCGATGGGAGGATCGGGAGCTGTGATGATGCTATTGCTGTTGCTGCTGGGTTCTTCTTCTTGTTGTTGTTGTTGGGCGCTCATTGTGATGTTGATGATGATGATATATGGTCGGTCTTTGTTCGTTGGGGGATTTCGACCTCGAGTTGGAGGAGCTGACTTTAGGAAGAAGTGAATGGGCTTGCTTGCTGGTTTTGTTGAATTGGAGAAAGAAAATATTCCCAGTCGAAAGGTATTTTCTCTCTCTCTTTCGGGAAGAAAAAATTATACGTCTGTCTGCTCCAACTAAGCACCTCAAGTAATGTAATGTAATAGGAGAGGGTGGTTGGATTGGTTGTTTTTTCACTCGCCCGAGCACAAAGGTAAGATATCTCTCCCCGTTGTTTTATTTCCACACCTTTTGCTATCGAGACTCTCTCTCTCTCTCTCTCTTACGCGGAGACGATGCAGATCTTTGGCCAGGGATGAAAAAAGATCCCCTCCCCCCTCGGGACGGTGTTTGACGGCTCCACAAGAAAAAGAAGAGAAAAAAGCGGACTAGTCTAGTTCGAATCCTTCGTCCGAGTCCGTTGCAAGTTGTGATTGTCGGGTCTCCACGCCTTGAATATGTGTTTCCCCACTGTCCCTCCTTAGTGCAGTGCAGTCTGCCACTACTTTCACCCGGCATGGGCATGGCATCTCCCTCTTTTTTCGTCGGGGAAAGGGGGGGAACTTTTTTTCGGTGAAGAATTCTCTTCCCTGTGCCAGCCTCAGCTTTCACTTCCCACCACTACACCAGTCTCCTACGGAAAAAGTGTTAACAATCGCTTGGGACTTTGTCATCCCTCCCCTCCAGTCTTTTACACAACAACAACAACAAGAACAAGGTTTCTCCACGTGTGGAGACCCCGGACTGACTAGACTCCAAGACCAAGACCAAGAATAATATCGATACATAACCCACCACCCTGTCTTTTCTACTGCAGGACGGTCGCTTCGTTTTCTCTTTTCTCTCAGCTCTTCTCTCGACCTTGTCCTCCATCTCTCTCTCCCCCTCTCTATCCTTCTTCTCGTCTCACCAAATCTCTTCCAGCATCTCCAAGAACAGGAAAGAAAACAACCCCTCAAGAACAACAACACGTTCCCCAACAATGGGTGGTTTCCTCACCCTCGTCGAGGACCGACCTACGCCCAAAAATGTCTACAACTGGAGAGTCTACGCCTGCGCCACCGTCGCCTCCTTTGCCAGTTGCATGATTGGATACGATTCCGCCTTCATCGGCACTACTTTAGCGTTGCCTTCATTCGTCGATGAATTCGACTTTGACTCCATGTCGACGTCGAAACTTGCACTCGTCAAATCGAATATTGTTTCGGTGTATCAGGTAGGTTAACACTTGGGAATATTCCTACTATCGCTCGGTTTATACTACAAGCCATCAATTTCTTCTTCTATTTTTTCTGATGAGAGATAAAACAGGCCGGTGCATTCTTCGGATCTCTCTTCGCCTACCCATCCGCCTACCACGTCGGGCGCAAATGGAGTCTAATCATCTTCTCTCTCATCTTCACTCTCGGCGCCGGAATGATGTTAGGAGCCAACCGCGAGCGCGGTCTAGCTCTCATCTACGCCGGACGTGTCTTAGCCGGCATAGGAGTAGGAGCCGCATCCATGATCACTCCAATTTACATTTCCGAGATTTCGCCTCCAGCAGTTCGTGGACGGATTGTAGGGATTTATGAATTAGGCTGGCAAATTGGAGGTTTAGTGGGCTTTTGGATTAATTATGGCTTGTCAGAGACGATGGCGCCGAGTCATAAACAGTGGATTATACCTTTTGCTGTGCAACTCATTCCGGCGGGGTTATTATTGATTGGGGCTTTTTGGTTAAGGGAGTCTCCGAGATGGCTGTTTTCGAAGAATCGAAGGGAAGCGGCGTTGAAGAATTTGTGTTGGATTAGGAATTTGCAGGCGGATGATGTGTATTTGGTGGAAGAGGTCGCGATGATGGATGCGGCGATGGAAGAGCAAGCGGCTTCGATTGGATTGGGCTTTTGGAAGCCTTTTCTCGCTGTTAAGCGGAATCGCAAGGTTCAATGGCGCTTTCTGCTTGGTGGACTCCTTTTCATGTGGCAGAATGGGTCTGGCATTAATGCGATCAATTACTACAGTCCGACGGTGTTCAAGTCGATCGGTGTCGTTGGTACCAATGCAGGTGAGTATACCATCCCCCTTCACGATCTCGAAACAGACTGAAGTGACTAATTCTTTTTTTCCCCCCATCTATAGGCTTCTTAACCACCGGAATCTTCGGCGTAGTCAAAACCGTCCTCACCGTCGTCTGGATGTTCTTCCTCATCGACAACCTGGGACGCCGCAATCTTCTCATCATCGGCGCCGCCGGCGGTTCAGTCTGCATGTGGATTATCGGCGGCTACATCAGCACCAAAGACACTTCTGCCGCCGCACAAGCAGCAGCAGCAAGTCAAGGACTGAGCTCGGGTGGAATTGCAGCGATTTTCTTTTTTTACTTGTGGACGGCTTTTTACACGCCTTCGTGGAATGGAACTCCTTGGGTCATTAATAGCGAAATGTTTGACTTGAATACTCGTGGTCTTGGTCAAGCTTCTGCTTCTGCGAATAATTGGTTTTGGGTAAGTTCTTACACCTACCCATCTATCCCATCAATTCCCCCAATAAGTACTAACTCCATCATCCAGAATTTCATCATCTCCCGCTTCACACCGCAAATGTTCAACAGCATGGGCCCGAGCGGCTGCGGAGTCTTCTTCTTCTTCGCCAGCATGATGATTCTCAGCATTTTCTTCGTGTGGTTTCTCGTCCCCGAGACAAAATCCATCCCCCTCGAATCCATGGATCGTCTCTTTGACATCTCACCTCCGAGAAAAGCGAATAAAATTATTTTGGCGGAGGATCAGAAGCGAGATGCGGAGTTTAGAGAAAATGTTAATGGGGCCGGGTTGACGACGGCGAAGGAGAAGGCGGATTTGATTGAGAAGAGTAGTGAGAGGGGGAGTGAGGTTTGAATGGGGGTGGGGGAGGTGTTGGTTTGTGTGGGTTGTGTTGTGTAGTGTAGGGGTGATGGATGGGTAGGTCTGTTCATCATCTGTTATTATGATTACCTTACCTATCATCGTCACTCAATATATACCTATGTAAACTCAATACCGAAGAAAAAAGAAAACAACATCTATTATATGTCCGGCGTCGTCTCCCGTCAATCGAAGCATAGGTAGCGTAGCAATAAGTCCTCTAGCCGACAGTCTACCCTTTACGCTTTACAACACACACATCAGGTACACGCACACACATATATATATAAAACCTCACAACCGAGCAGGGAGGCCCACCAAAGACCTCCCCCCCCCCCCAAAGAAAAACAAAAAAAAGAAAAAAAGACACAAAAGAAAAGAAGAAGAAATCCCCGCACTTCACCGCCTTTTCACCGCTTAGGAGATACCTCAGAGTAAGGTAGGTAAAGTAGAGAGACTTGGAGCATGTTCGGGTCTACTGTAGGAATCCTACTTACTAGGAAGTACTAGTGAGGGAAAAGGGAAAAAGGGAAAAGCATCTTGCGGAGGAGGAGGGAATATTCAAGATTCAATATTCTTGGAGTCGGAGTCGGGATAGGAGAAAATTGGGAATTTAGAAAATTGAAAGGGGAGGATAAGGTAGGATAAGGTAGGATAAGCTAAGAATAGCTGGATGGATGGATGGATGGATGGATAGCTAGATGTATGTATGTATATGCATTATCGTATTGCATCTCATCTCAGATAATTATCGTACTGTAAGTACCTAGGAGGTAGGGCTAGATACCAAGTGAAAGAAACAGATAGGACGATAGATATATCCCAACCAAGCCAAGTTTAGACTTTTTTCTTTTCTTTCCTACAAAGTGAAAAAGCCACATTCATTCATTCATTCATTCATTCATTCATTCATTTTTTTCCCACGGCTTTTCCATCCCATGCTTACCCGTCCCCTCCTTAGGTAGGAGGTAAATGCATTATGCATATATCCGAAAAGCCACAAATTAATTAATAAAAAAAACATTTATCCCTGCTGCTCAACGCTTTTCCGGGAGGAAGCTAGAATATGCACTATCGGGAAAAAGGAAAAGGGGGAAGAAAGTAATTCCACTCACACCACTAATTGTATACAGTACATGGAAATGCAGTGGAACACACCTTTTTAGGCCTGCACTTCTTCTTCTACTTTTGATAGTTGATACATACTGTAGTGTGTGGTAGTATCGAATTTGGGATATTTTTCTGCCCGTGCTAATGTGGATCCCCTCCTCGATTCGATAGGATAGGATAGGGAAAAAAGTATTGGTAGGTATTTTTAAAACATGTTTGGATGTTTTATTATCTTTCTCTTTTTCTCCTATCTATTTGTTTACCTGCTTTACTCCTCTATGGGTAGCGAGGGGAATACCTAGTTGAAGTGGATTGTGTTTTCTTTGATAAGTACTACTACTACTACTACTACTACTACTACTACTACTACTACTACTACTACTACTACTCCTCCTACCTTGGTTCATTTACTTGGATCTAGAGAAAGAGAAAAGGGATTCTCGAAGCCGAGGGAATCTTTGCTCGACTGAGAAGGAATACTATTACGAAGCTACCTTATATATTCGACTACTCATCGATCGATCCAGAGGGTGGTAGTGAAAACAAACCAACAATCGAAATCAAGCAAACCTGCACACACACACAGAGATATACATACCAAGTCTTTACATCCCACCACCGACCACGAACGAAAAAACCCCCCTCAAGACTCACCTCTTCCGCGCCCACCAAACAAAAAACCATGCCCTGCAAACCAGCCATAAGCTCCCACAGTCTCGGCCGAGCCTGGTCGCACTCCCTCCCCACCAAACTCGACGCCGCAGCGTCCCACTCCCTCTCCCTCGAACTCTTCCACGAAGATCTCGTCTACCTCGCCGCCACATTCCCCGGCGGCCCAACTCCCTCCAACCAACTCCTCGCAGCGCAAACCATCCGCTCACTGTGTTCCGCCCGCAACATCTCCATCATTTCTCTGCAACCGTTTATGCACTATGAAGGACTGCGCGATCGCGAATTACACGAGGCGAGAATTCGCGAGATGCGGGATTTGTGGATTCCTTTGGCGAGGGCTTTGGGGACGAGGGTTATTGCTGTTCCGTCGAGTTTTTTGGGCGAGGAGGAGTGTGGCGGGGATGAGGGGGTGATTGTGAGGGATTTGAGAGAGTTGGCGGATTTGGGCGTTGCTGCTGCCTCTTCTTCTTCTGATGATGATGATGGAAAAGGGGAAGGGGAAGGGGATATCATTTTTGCCTACGAAGCACTCTGTTGGGGAACACACATCTCCACCTGGGAACAAAGCTGGGAAATTGTCCAAAAAGTCTCTCGATCGAACTTCCAAATTTGTTTTGATACATTTAATCTAGCAGGGAAAGTTTTTGCCGATCCCATGCGTCCCGGGGGAATCAAGAAGAATGCGGAAGAGGCAATGGAAGCTACTCTGAGAAGAATTTTGGAGAGAGTGGATGTCCGACGGATTGCGTATATTCAAGTTGTGGATGCGGAACGCTTGAGTACACCATTGATTAAAGGACATGAATTTTATCACGAGGATCAGCCGGCGAGGATGAGTTGGTCGAGAAATTGTCGGTTGTTTTATGGGGAGGAGGATCGGGGGGCGTATTTGCCTGTTTATGCGATTTTGAAGACGCTGTTGGTGGATTTGGGGTTTGAGGGGTATGTTAGTGCAGAGGTGTTTCATCGGGATTTGGGGAAAGATGATAGGAGTGTACCCGAGGAATTTGCCCAGAGGGCGAAGAGGTCGTGGGAGAAGATTGTGGAGGATTTTGGGCTGGAGAGAGGAGGAGAGGAGAAGGTGGCGGTGGTGGAAGAAGGGGCAGCGGGGAGATCTGCTGGAGGTGTTGTTGATCGATTTCCAGCTGTGGAGGGTGCGGCGGCGAGGGCGCAGTTGTAATTTTTTTTCTTTTCCCCTTTTCTTTACTGCGAATAGGGATGCGAAGAAAGATACATTTAGACAAATCAAGATCCTACCACACTACTCAAACAGAGACATGGAGCAAAACTGAACCAGACGGACAGACATTTCTTTTTACTACAACTATTCTTCTAACCCTCACGGCGAGTCCGTATTCAACGCAGCCCCCACCACAAATTCTTCACTATAATGCTTAAAAATCTCATCCCGCATCAACTTACGCGGTGCCCTCCGTCCCGTAAACAGTTCAAACTGCGCAAAAGCCTGCTCGGGCAACATGTCCAGCCCATCCATCAAAATCCAACCTTTACTTTGAATCTGCTGCACTTGCGTGACGAGTGCCGTCACAATCGGCATATACGCCAGTTCGACCACGACACCGCCCGTGCGGCTGCTGAGCCAGTCTTTGCGCAGCGTGAAATTCGTCGGCATGCCGTCGAGAGTTTGTGTCGGAATGGTGCTGACGATCATGGTGGGGTGGCGCATATTGGGGGGCCAGTCGCTATGGAAGGATTCGAGGGCGGTGACGGTGGTGTTTGCGGCGTTGGTGGGACTGAGTTCGGCGATGCCGTTGGTGCGGATGAGTTGGTTGTAGTGTTTGGCGAGCTCTTCGGCGTTGCCTGTGGTGCGGTTGCATACAAAGATGTTTTGTACGCCGAGCGAGATCATCGAATAGATGGCTGCGCGTGCCATGCCGCCTGCTCCGCACACGAGCCCTGTGGTTTGGGGGCGGACGGTGTTGGCGGGGGATAGGCCTCGACGGATACAGGCTCGAATGCCAATCCAGTCCGTGTTGTCGCCATAGAGGGCTTTGACAGGGCCGGTTCGGTTGCGTTCTCGAAAGATGCCAACTTCACTGGTGATGGACGCGATGACGGTCTCGTCTCGAAGCGGAATGACGGTATTGAGTGCCCCAATTGCTTTAGCGTGCGGACTCAGGAGATCCATCATGGGCAAGGTTTTCGTTTTGAATGGTTGCACGATTGCAGCTCCACCAAAGTCGTGTTCCCGCACCAGCGTCACAAAGTCTTCCAATGTCGAAGCCGAGTGCGTGCGGTAGGAGTGTGGCATGCCCATGGCCTGATATGCTGCGTTGTGCATCGCCGGTGACAGCGAAAAACTCACATTAGCTCCGTAAATGAGAAAATGCATGGGCTCGTGAACGAAGCTCGCGAAAAGGGCTTCGCTGCGTTCTTTGGCTGTCACGAGTTGCAGAATCCCTTCGGAATGGTCGCCATCAGGACTTTTAGGATCTGGGATTCGCTCAGGTGGTGCCACTGGCGTTAATGTATTGTTAAAGCACATGGAGGTTCGGCCGTGTCTGCCTATTGAAAATAATTAGCGAGAAACCACTGATGTTGTTCCATACTTGGGACTTACCAGTACAGTAGGCTATCAGGCGTGGCCCCTTGCCGCCATGCAAGGTCTGTACACGCTGCTGCAATGCTTGAATGGCAAAATTGTCTGCGAGAGTCCCGTTTGGCATCGTGATCTTCACTAGATCGCAGCCCAGATTTTGAGCCTTCTCGTAGATGTCCATGCACGCTTGGCCAGACCAGCCATCGTGCATGCGTGCGGCAGCAGCATACTCCCCAATCACATGGGTGCGACCTTTACTCGCGAGCAAGTGTCGGAGTTGACTCTGTTCAAATTGGAGGTCCAGTGTGCAATATTCGGGTCCCAGCCGGAGACAATACTCCAAGAGTTCCGCGCGGGACAGTTGCTTTTGTCGACTGTCTCGTTCATCACGGGTAACCTCTATAACGATGGGTAAGATTGACGACCTTCGAATAACAGCAAACGCTTCGTTAACAAGGTTGAAGCAGCTGTGCTTGCCCAGTCGCCAGGTATCACCATGTCGAGGACTGGTGCTGATCTTCAACAGGACCGCATCGGCGCCTATCTGTGCCTCATCCAGATCGATTCGTTTGGAGACCACGTCTTCGGCGGAGAGCGTGACAGAAGATGTAAACTCGAGCTTGTCAACACTCATCTGCGACAGTGGATAAGCCGACTGATGGGAGCGGCCCCGATCATGGTCGCCAATGATGTTGCGCAGAAGCTTCAAAAAGTCATGCTCGGTTCGTTTGAGGGTCAGAAATGGACCATTCGAGGCTCTGCTCGATGCCTGGCGCGGCCCTTCGTTGGGTGAGAGACTGTCCATGGTCTCGGAGACGTTGAAGAAGTCATAGTTGGAGCAGTCTCGCAACAGAGCCTCCGATGCACGGATGACATCCTGTATCCGCTCTTCAGACCACACTTCTAGAAGTGAGAACGTCAAATGTAAGCACGTATCTCGAGTAGTATCGTAGACTTGCCTGCTTGGCCACTTGGTCTGTATATGGGATTCGGAATCCTGGCGTACTCATATGATGCACGCGGATAACGAAGGGTGAAAGGCAGCAAAATTCTGTGGTAGGACCTTTTACTTACTGATGTAATCTTGGATGCCAGGAACATCACGAGTGACATAAATGACCGGATGCGATTGTGCCCAATCTCGAATCAGTCTGGCGCCATCACTCTCCAGGTCTGCGAAGCTGCACACAATCACGGAATTCCTGCTGTTGGATTCGAGCAATCGCTTCAAGCCTTCACAATGTTTTCTTTGATACTCCGCAGAGCCCTGTAGTTGTCGATACGCAGTTCGATTCGTACCGGTGGCTTCTGTGAATGCTCGATCGGATTCGACCAATCTACGATTATAGGCAGACGCTGCGAGAAAGCCCAAGGAACTTTTGCCCACCCCACGAACGCCGATCAGAAGGATAGATGCATCGGGTCCAAAAGCGACTTTCCGCGGTGATGGTGGACTTGGTGTGATCGTGCCGTTTGGTGGCGTTGGAGTGGCACTGCTTTCTCTCGACCTTAAAATCTGCTGTAAAGGTTCTTTCGTGTTCGGTCGAGGCGAGACCAGTCGCTCAGTGGAACTACCGCGCATATCCTGATACGATCGCTTCACACCAGCGTGAACGGTGGTCATGATACTCATTGATTGTGTCGATGATGTCGATGACTGCCGCTGCACACCGTCTCTGCCGGCACAGCCCGGTGGGCTCACTGGAAGACGGGGAACGATGTCGACACAGACGATATCATGGGTAGGTAAAGTAGTAGTCCTTTTCGATTCTGAGCGGCGGTGCTCCGGTGTTGACTCCGCTTGTATCAATGTAGTTCTAGTCGATGCTTGCAGATGAGAGGCTGGTGACGATCATAGGACGGTCAAAGTACTGGCCATAAGGTATTATGGTCCTTGGCCCGGCATTGAGCTCGAGCAAGTGAATAAATGCAGCTTGGACGCCAGAATTAGAAGCAGGCCTAGACGCATGGGAGATGGGAGGACGAGCCAAGAGTTGGGCCGGATGAAGACTCTTCCACACATCCGTGCGGCCAGTCGAGCGGTCGAACCGAACGAGGAGCCAATCAAGCGTCCGCCCGCAGTCAATATCATCGGGAGCGGCTTTCTATCTTGTTAACTCCGTCTGTTTCTGTAGGGGAAAGTGAAGTGAATTGACCGAGCCGAGGGGACACGCTCGTGGAGAAACACCATCGCAAGGGCATCGGATTTCTCTGACTGGTTGGCTGGTTTCCATCTACACCAGCAACTTCAACCCCGTGAATGGCCAGAAAAGTGCTGGAAGATGCGCTTGATCTGAGGGTGCCTGGTTATGTTGGAAGGCAGCCAAGAGCCTCCTGCAAATGGCCAGGAGCCGGTGTTGTCTGGCAGTAAGAGGACGCTTCCGGGAGATGCGGCGCAGAAGGCGAAGCGTGTGCGAGTGTCACGAGCGTGTGACCAATGTCGAGCAGGACGGGAGAAATGCGATGGCAATCGACCATGCTGCCAAACGTGCGATGCCCAAGGCCGCTCGTGCACTTACTACGAGCAGCCAAAGAAGCGTGGAATACAGCCCAACTACATCCGGACTCTGGAGTTGACCTTGGCTTGGATCTTCAAGAACTTCCCCGAGAGTGAACAACACATATCGAGTCTACTGCCGGATCCCGGAGACCAAGCCCACAAACTGATTGCGTGGAAAGACGCCGTTCCAGCGGAAGCTCTGCACGCTTCATGGCGGCATAGCGTAGTGTGCAGGCAAATAGACCAATTGCTATCAGGCGCAGATATCGAGCTTCCGCGTCCCATAGCAGCAACGACGGCGGCAGCCGCCGCAGTGGACAGCCAGGAAACTCATCATGCGGATGATGCCCAGGCTTCTTACCAGTCGCCACCACCATCTGTGCCCTCAGATACGGGCATGGTTCCCCCAGACATAGCGAATCCGGCGGCAGGCGTTATGAATGTACTCTCGCCAACACATGAAGCTAATGTAAGTGAAGTACTAGACTCACTCGAGCGCCCGTACAATGAGGGCGATGAGCACGCCCTCAATCTCTCCTAGAAGGCAAAAGTTTTTCCTCCCAGATACATCTGCTAATCGTGAATCATTCTAGAACACCACCAACGAATTGCTCAAGCTTCCACAGAACTCTTGGGCCTTACTCGAGCATTACTTTGCCTTCACGCACACATGGCTGCCAATGGTTGAGCGTCACGATGTCCTGAAGCTCATGTACTCCTACCCTCCAGGTGAGTGCCACAATCCATCTAGCGGTATATTCTGAATGGGTACTGCGCATGGTCGCCCCAGCATGGTCTGCTTTCTGAAATGTCACGAGGAAATGGAATGGAAGCCGCCGTTTGCCAGCTCTCATCCCATTCGCCATACTTTCTTCTGCGTGCTATCAGCTCTCTGCATTAATCCTTGATTAAAATGTCAGCGGCAGTATCGTGTTGTCAAGGTCGCCGTGGACAAGCCTCAGGACCAATCTTGCGGCGAGCGTCTTTGGGAGTCATTCGCTTACATTTGGCTCGTTTGTCCAGGAGGATTGCGGAAACAAGACGCTCTCGGAGCGGATCATGCTGAATTGTGGAGTATCATGGCCCTCGCATCGTTACAGAATGGTGCCGAAGACTCTGTGGCCTGTCGAAACACTGCCAAATCTCTCGTTCCGAACGAACATGGCTTTCAACTTGGCCATATCAAGGTACGTCTGGGACACTTCTATCTCTTCTATAGCATCGAAGACTCAGTTATCCGGCGTTCAGTCGCACCAAACGCGTCAAAAAGGGTCAAGGGGCGCACATAGAGGATTCTGTGCAGGGAGCTGATACATTCATGGCAGGCGTTGCTTATCCTCGGCCTGACCGAGATCATGGAACGAGCCTGGCTACCTGCATGGCTGACCATTGGATCAGCCATTCGCCTGTTGACGTATTCTAAACTTGGAAGAGGCACCAGCACGACTCTCTTCGAAGGCCGCACTAAACACACTCTGCTGGCCGCATTCGTGCTCGAACGCGCAGTTGCCTCACAAACTGGCGCTACCGCGCACATCAGGCCAGGAGATATTCAGCATGTTGGCTTCTTAATTGAAGATGGACTCGAAGAATGGTCGCCGTGGCAAGATCCCACAGCTGGTGCCGCTTCGAGTATGGCGAGATCTCCCACCAGGTCGATGAGTACGTTCAACGAGCTAGTACGAATTGCTTTACAGTTCCCTTCCGATAGCATCCTCGGCAGTCCTGGACTACCAAACATGGCATCAACGATGGAAGCAATCACTAAGCTTCTCATCAATGCGAGTGACAGCACTCAACGCCTCCACCCATCTCAGGCATTGGCAGGCCGGAAAGCACAGGTACCAGTGGAAGCGAGTAAGTTCCGCACAAGAGCTGCATAGTTCACAGATCACTCGATTCCCATTCACGTGAGAAAGGGCCTTATCAAAAGGCCTCACTGCTTTCACAGGCAAGTGCTTACCCTGTATGTCATTAGGTCGAGTCCACGCTTCAAGCCATAGTTCTACTGCGTTCTCTCCGCCATCCGCCGACAACACGCGATTTCAATTCATGAGCCTCCCCAGCGAGAGCATGGAAGGGCTCGCCAGCAGTACTCATGCAAATCAGATGCAGCAAATCCCAGGCCCGAGCAATTGGACCACGGGACCAGTCGCCACAGATATGTTGCAAGACGTTGCGCCAGGAGCCGAGGATGCAGGATCGGCCAACGGCCCACCCGGGTCGGACGTGTTTGAGGAATTAGCAATGCTCGATCGCACCGATTTCTCCTCGAATCCTAGCTTCATGCAGAATCTCGGATTTGGGCCTGACCTGGATTTGGCCGAGTTCTTTGGCGCAGACTATCAACCCTCCAATCCTCTCCTGACATATACGCAACCCGCAACATATGCCAGTCCGACGCAAGACTTCGAAACGACGGGCAACGACGCAGGTTGAGAGAAGCGCCTTGCTCATGAAAACACTGCCATGCTCTTCCGTGCGGCCGCCTCTGGAGTGGGCGAGCACGATAAGAGATATGTTCATCGACGACGTTCTACTCTTCCGTGCTGGACTGGGAGGGAGCAAGTCCTGCTGAGCTGCTCATTCAAAGCTGTGAAGCTAGACGACGACGACGATGAGGAGGAGGAGGAGGAGGAGGAGGAGGAGGAGAAGACTAGGTATCCAGCACGTTGCTCGATGGTGCAAGAAGTCTGGAAGCGAAGAAGATGGGTTCCACTGGTTGGCAGTTCAGATACATGTAGCAGCCGAATATGAAGGCGATGGGAGCCGATTGATACCTTAGGCCAACGGTCTGGTCTGGTAGGTGGTAGGACAGAGTAGTAAGCACGAGCGAGATGTGGGCCTTCATGTTCTTTCTTCACATGAGGATGACGGCACCGTCGCCTCCATCCACATTTTGGGAACTTTAATAGCAGGCGCAAACACAACCTCGAACACACACTCCCACTCCCACTCCCACTCCCACCCAACTCCTCCTCCTCTCATCCCATCGTCCTTCTCCTGCACTGTATACATGTACAATACATCCACCCACAATCGAAGATGCCACAGTTCAAGGTGACCACCGACGACGTCAAGGCATTTCTGCCAGACCGCTCCAATGGCCACTCCAGCGCCATTCCCAGTGAGAAGCGACTGGGCTCTGCCAACAGCAATCTCATCACCGGTCTGCCATCGGTGCCAGTCACGTTCGAGCGACAGCCATACCACGCTGGCGTCAACGACGTTCTCCAGCATCCTGGCACGGCTCGCGCCAATATCGCGCCTTCTAAAGAGTCTCCGCGTGGAACTGAGGTGAGTTCCTCCAAATACTTGGCACCCTTCAATGTCCAGAGATACCTGCTTACCTTCGGCCTGTCACCTCGCAGGGCTGGGCCGAAAACCACCAGCATCAAACAGTGCTACAGCAACACTGTGAATACTTTGACCAGGACCGCGATGGAGTCATCTGGCCCTTCGACACCTACCGCTCATGTCGCGGCTGGGGTTGGAACCCTCTTCTCTCCGCCATTGTCATGATCATCATTCACCAGGGTCTCTCGTATCCGACCTGCCCTTCCTGGATTCCTGATCCCTCTTTCCGCATCTGGATCAAAAATATCCACAAGGACAATCACGGCAGTGCCTCGGGCTCTTACGACCAGGAAGGGCGTTTCAGACCACAGCAATTCGAGGACATATTCTCCAAGTACGACCAGGGACACAAGGGCGGGCTGACGATCGGTGATCTGCTTCGCTTTCACAAAGGACAGAGATTCGCGATGGACTTTTGGGGACAGACTGCAACCTTCTTGGAGTGGACCGCTGTATACCTGCTGCTATGGCCCGATGACGGCGTGATGCGCAAGGAGGACGTGAGAAGGATCTTCGACGGTAGCATCTTCCAGCACAAGGCAGATGAGTACAAGCGGAAGCAGGAAGCGAAGACACAGTAATCGTTCACGACGATTGAGGTACAAAACGGCTTGCCTTTGGAGCACCGACATTCGAAGGAGAAGAGAGTTGGAACTACCTCCTAGACTTCTATACTGTAGACGCCAATTGGCAGCAGTCCAAGTGCATAAAGTAGCGGTATCTTTCGGCATTCGTTCTAGAACTTATGGCTCCCAAGCTCCCACCTCCCCATCTAGGTCACACACATCCTCCTTACTCTACGGCCTCCGCACTTGCCATCTACAATAATGGTATCAAAGGCAATATTCATTTATCCCCGCGGACGATCCCGGAAGGACGCTTTGCCGGATAACTTAAGGTACCAAGACGATATGTACGGCACACCTGCACTACCTACAGTACATCCATGGATGTGTAATCACTCGTCATGAAAGTCGCGCAACTGGATCTCGCGTCCATGTTTGTTCCTCCGACCATCCGCCTTGACATGCACACTACTAGTCTCGTGCAATGAGCTCTCTTCATCATCCCAGACTGCCCCTCGCTGTGGTATCTGCCAGTTGATGCTGATGATCTCTGCTAATTGGACATACTCGCCTTCGCATTCGGCATCAGGAACCCAGTATGCTTCTCGATGCACCACCAAGTCCCTCTTCTTGATATACTTTTGATAGAACAGGAACCCCCAATACCAGATAACACCCCAAAAGGGCGAAGTCACGCCGATTGCCGGCACCAGGTACCATGGGATTCCCGTTACGGAACTGTGAAAGGGAGATCCGTAGCTCGCTGGCACAAACGCAGCGACGACCATGAACGCGTTGGCGATGCCCAGTACAATGACATGTACCGGCGACAACCACGGCTGATAGCGACGGCCTTCCCGCCACGCCTCTTTTCTCTTGGTCTTGGTGATTGCAAGACCAATCGACACCCACAGGCTGAGGACGACGATGATGGTGTACGAGTAGAGGTTGACCAGAGTCGAGTAGGTCTTGCGTGGGTCCACGATGGCTGCCGTGACAGCGATCTGCAAGATTGACGTGAGCCAGTGGAGTCCAAATGCTGCGGTGGGGGCTTGCTCGATTTCATCGTCCAGCTTGGGCTGTTTCGACGTCCACTGCTGCCATAGACCATACGGTGTGCGATACGAGGTTGCAAAGAAGAGGGAGAAGGGAATGATGCCCTCTTTGGCGATCTCCTGCTTGACACGGGCAGCAGTAAAAGTCATCACCCACAAGTTGCCGAATATGGAAATGGCCATGATGACGGAGATCGCTTTGGTAGCCGACTTGTGGTTCTCGGACCACAGAGTGTCGAAGAAGAGTGTCGCCAGATCGACATTACCAGGTAGGCTGTTTCGAGTCTGCGGTAGCACTTCGCTCTTATCTACGACCAGGAGATAGCTGATATTGACGGCAAGGAACAGAACGCCAGTGATCAGCATCGCGAGCACGGTGTATTTCGGGAAGTGCTTTCGAGGGCTGCGAACTTCTGCGAGGACATAAAACGGCTGTTCATAGCCTGAGAACGCGTACATGCAGATCATCAACGCATTCGACCACGAGGAGACATCTGTTCGCTGCGTGGTCCAGACATCCTTGGTGAAATTGTTGCGGATTACGTCTCCAGGACCTCCAAATCTTCCGGCGGCCTTTGCAATCCCGAGGCAGACAATGGTGAGAAGGAGGGCTACTTTCGCCGTGGCGAAGATGTTGTTGATCCAGATGCCCATGTTTCTCGAAAAGGCATGGAGCATGACGACGAAAGTGAGCAGCGCGATGGCTACTGCAATAACGACGCCACGATCAGGGACCTCTTCCGACGCCTTATCGTAGTGGCCAGCAGCAGACAGGACTTGAAGTGCGCACGAGATGGCGTTGCCACTGAGATTGTACATCAATATAAACATGATCGAGAATGAGCATGTGGTTCGAATGTGTGGAAGCCGAAGATTGCTGTTGGGAAACATGAACTCCAGGTAGTTCTTCTCTCCGCCCGACCTGGGGACACCGCGAGGCTTGTCCTCTCCTCGGACGCGACGTTGTGGCATCGAAAGGCCGCATTCGAGCCAAACATACAGACCGCATACCGATATGAGGGCGCCGAGAACCCAAGCACACAAGGCACCGCCGACACAACCAGTGCCAGCGAGGACTTTGTGTGGAGAGAGAAAGATGCCGGAGCCGATTGTTCGATTGAGTATCAATGCGACCAGAGTGAAGCGACCAATCTTGCTCTTCTCTTTCGGGGCGAAGTCCACTCGTTGATAATCCAGTTCAAGATTGGCTGTCGAAGGCCGACCCAGCAACGCCCGTTCATTGTCGTTGAGGGGCATGATGGGCTCGTTACGAAGGGACAGCAATCATGCTGGCCGGCGTGAGGACGCATGCATTACATACATGTAAGTGCCAGAGAGGATACTCCCGCCCTGTGGCTGTATGCCCCCGCCCTCGATGGAAGAGGAACGGTGGGCAGGCTGTGTTGGTTGACTCTCATGCAAGTTCGCCTGTGGCGTGCATCTCGCTACGCTCACCAGGGCCCGTGAGTGGTGGAATGGGGCGCATAATTCGCCAAGCATCCTTCAAGATGATCAGCCGTGGTACTGCAGCGATAAGTCTTCCCCATCTGGAACACACAGCCTCAAAGATTGAAAGACGTGAGGCCGCCCTGACTAACACTACGCTGGACTCGTGGTCATGCCCTCCCTTTTCCTACCTGCCCTGACCCTTTCGTCACCAGCATCCCTCTGCCACCAGTGCTACCTGCAGTGGCTCCACTTCTGCTCGTTGGAAAGACGTGCGACCCTTCTACCGCTCCGTGCATGAGCCTTGCACGTAGTGAATGAGTGACCACTGGCAGTGGACCGCAACCGGGCATCACTACACTAGTCCATACCACAATTGACGATCCTGCCCGTCATGTCGTTCGGCATGAGCCCCAGCGACATCGTTGCCGGAATCAGGTTGGCATATAGTATCTACGACAAGGGCTTCGCAGAGGAGAACCGTGCTGGTAAGAGAGCTGTCTGCTTTCTACGCTCTCGACATGATCCGCTTAGCTGACACTGCTGCCAGATGTCCGATACTCCAACTTCAGGAACGAGATTCTGAACTTCCGCATCCTGCTCGAGCGGCTGAGTGAGGCGTTGAGAGGCGCTCAGACAAGATATGTCGAACGAAGACCGGTCCTGGGCATGCGTCCGCACGAGCCGTTGTCACGAGAATTCGAAGAGGAACGCATCGCCATCGTTGGGAATTTCCAGCGCACTTTGCAAGAATGCGAAGCTCTGCTGGAGAGGAACAAGCAATTTCGCATCCGCGATTCAAATGTGCTGGAGAACCTTCGTTACAATCTGGGCAAATCAGAAGTGCAAGTGGACCAGCTTCGAAGTCGCTTGCACTTTCATTCGCAAAAGATCAGACTCGTTCTGGATCGTTTGTCCATTAACCTGCTGACCAACATAGACGATAAAGTCGACGACATCCTGGCCATCAGCGAGCAGAATCTGAGAGTCAGCGAGGGGATTGAACTCGAACTCAAGAAGTTCCATGCGTCGTGGCTCGGCCATGTCTCTGGTCATGGAGTGCCGTCCAGATCCGCGTCAGAAGGTCTACACTCTGTGAGTGCCAGTATTGCACAACGTTTCGAAGACACTATCAAATTAGACGCACCTGCGGACCTCACCAATGGCGTACCTCTAATAGAAGGGTTCGACGCACTTCTGTTACATTTTGAACGTAGCAGTGAAGAGGGCTCCGATCAAACACCGGAAGGATATCTGCTTTTCTTGAAGGCTCGATGGCTTTTGGACCAGATCAAAGCAGGAGTGCAGTTCCAGAACGCTCGCCCCGGTCTGTACTATAAACGTGCAATCAATCAGGTCGAACAAGCAATGCTCGCACGCATCAGTCAGCCCGGACAGCTCATCGCGTATGACGAGAGTGTCCTACTGCAACTTCCGGAGACGTGTTTCCATATATGGCTGTCATTGTCGACAACGCCGTCGGTTGAGTACAGCAAGCCTAGCCCCCTTATGATACGGGGCGGCGAAGTGAAGGTTGCGCACATCAAACTGGCTTCTGAAAACCCGTCTGAAGGCTCGGTGACGATCTTTAAGAGCTCTGACGAGCAGATACGCGTGGTTCACGAGAGCATCCCAGCATCAGCATCGGAAAGAGTAGTAATCACACAGCACAATGTGCTGGTTCAAGAAGACAAACTGATACCTCGGTACACGTTTCCCACGCTCACAACACCTTGCCTGGAACTTGATATCCGGTGCCGTAACGTGGACGAGTATTTCAAATTTACCAGCATTGACGATCTGCACAATTTCCAGAGAGCTCTGATGGGATACGAAGTATCTCACGATCAGAGTAACATCATATGCCAATTCAGTGACCATCTGTCTCACTTGGACTGCAAGGGTCACGTTCAGCTGTGGCAAGAACCCATCGGGCTCGCCACTTCTATGCCAGGGCGGGACGATGCGGTGTCGCCCCTACTGGGGTCTGCGAGCATCAGTTCCGGGGGCTCTCGACATGACAGCTTAAGCTCCTCAATCGCTGCTACGAGCACTGTCAATGCAGCAGCAGACGGCTGGCAAGCGGATCCCATCAAGAAAGCATCTATCGTGATCTTCGCTCAACTCACGGACAGCAGGAGTAAGAACAAGCGCTTCGCTGCAGTGAACATCGACCTTGGAGAATCCATATACGTCGACCCCAGCTCGTGTCAGTGCCATCGCGATCCAGACTGCAAAAGCGTCGTGCTTCGGCATAAGAAGAGTACAAAGTTCTCCGTCCACGCTCTTTTCTCCGAGTCCGACGCGATGGGTCAGCCTAACCCCAGCACTTTCGACATTTTCCCCTTTCGCCTCCCGCGACATCCCGACCGCGCTTCGAGAGTTCAGACGAAGCAGACAGAGTACTTGGTATTTGCATTCAAGACTATTGAAGAAAAGACCATTTTCCTCCACGAGCTGAATATCAGATTTGCGGTCCGTGATCAGCAGATCAAGGACCAGTGGGCCTTTGAGAGCAGCATCCGATGGCGTCAAGAACACCCTGTGAGACACCGGCATCAGTCACATGGTAGCAGCCTGAGCAGCTCGCCCGGCTCTAGACACATGTCGCAGTGCTCCACGAGTCCGAGCACTCTGGGCCGTATGTCATCTCGAACACATCCCCGCCATACAAGCAGTATTTCGTCATCTTCTGGTACAATGCCTATCACAGCGGGGGCTGTTGACGAAGCAATTGCGAGTCCCCGGCGCCAGAGCTCGAATTTGACGGCTGAGACGGTGGTGCCTGGATCTCGGGAAATTCCTGTCCCACGCGAGGCCCTCGAGCCGAAACGGAGAGGAATTAACAAAATTCGAAATTTGTTCTCGTGACTCTGCTGAATTGACTTATATATCTTGATGAGAAAGATCGACGCTAGGGCAATTCTCGGTCGTGGACGAATGGATATACCAATCCCTGCTGCGTGGCCCCCACCGAGTGATATGCCAGCTGGAGATTTGGCACTCGCCTGCTTCCTGCTATGGGGCTTCGATCATCTATTACGACGTCAGCCACAAGCTACTCGACGGAGAGGGCAAAATCTCATAGCGAAGGTGACGTTATTTCTTCACGAAAAAATCAGGGTGTTTTTACGCCACAGCACACATTCTCAGACAAGCCAGCCACCCGACTTCTCGACTTCTCGCCTCCAGCTTCGGTGGTGCAGAGTACGTCTTCGCAACGGATACAAGCCTGGTCCAGCAATCTGTACAATGCTGCTGCTGTAGACGTCTCGATTGGTTTCGAAATAGCATCAGCCCCGTCGGACGACTCAAAAGATCTCAAAGCTCCACCAACCAACCAAGCAACCATACAAACATGACTACCACATCCGGTTTTCCCCCACAAATGAGTTCAACTCACTCACTGACCCAACCTTATTCAGCTCAGGCTTCCCCCTTGCGCAAATCGCCGTGGAGCAATCTCTCACAGCTCCAGGCTACTACTGCTGTGTTCGATGTGCTGTCAGTCAGTTAGGTTCTCGTCGTAGTAGTCTGTACAAGAGAAGCAGGTGTAGCTGCAACTGTAAGATGACACGAGACGAGGAACAACACAGAAGGAATTGACTGTACCGAGAGTCTGGATGGGAGAGAGAGAGAGAGAGAATATCTTAGTTAGGTTATTGTAGCAGAAGAAAAAAATCTCGGAGGTTCTTTTTTGCTATCGAAGCAATAATATAGGTATAGTATGACAGATAAAATGGATGAATAGACTGATTATATAATTCAACTTTCCCGGGACGGAGGAGGTATAAGAAAAAAGAGCGAAGTGAGGTTGGAATACTATATATATATATATATATATATATATAGGTACCTGTATGTATGTATGTATGTATTTCCTCAAGAGGGGAAGGAGGTCGCGTGGTCATGAAGTCTGGCCCACATGACCAAAAGTCCTAGGTTTTCTTTTTTCCTTTTTCTTTTTCTTCGTTTTTACATTTTACCTTGTGTACACATAAGTATAGGTTATTGGAGTGTATTCTTTTTGTTTTCTTCTTCTTTTCTATACTTGTGAGATTGAGTTGAAAGGTGATTTTTTGGGTTTATCTTTGACTTTTGATGATTACCGAAAGTACAGAAAACTAAGAGAAGACTAAGAGAAAAGGATATAGTATAGGCTAGGAGGTATGGCTCTGTTGTATCTATCATAACTTCTTTGTCTTTTCAAGGAGAAAACGAAGCTCTGGTATTGAATCCTGAAGTAGGAGGTATAGGAAGAGAGTTTCAAGAAAAAGGAAGTTGATAATAGGAGGTAGAGAGAGAGAGAGAGTCTTAACGTCATGGAAAAGATGAATAGAGTTTAACGCGGAAGAGATTTGAATTGAAAACTGAATCGCTGACAGGTTATAGGTTGATGGGTTGGTGAGAAGAGAATATAAGAATGAGAGATGAGATGGTCGTATATGGAAAAGGTGTATAAGGTATATATTCTTTTGGGGAAGATCTTCTGATTTAAGGGGGAGGAATTAGGAAGATGAACTAGAAGGAGAAGAAGAAGAAGAAGAACGACAAGAGCGACAGGAACAACAGGCATAAGAGAATAAGAGCAACAAGCACGATAACAGGAACAGGAACGGGAACAGGAACAAGAACGGGAACAAGAACAAGAACAAGAACAAGAACAAGAACAAGAACAAGAACAAGAACAAGAACAAGAACAAGAACAAGAACAAGAACAAGAACAAGAACAAGAACAAGAACAAGAACAAGAACAAGAACAAGAACAAGAACAAGAACAAGAACAAAACAAGAACGACAACAAGAACGACAAGATCAGGAAACAAAAACGAAAAACGGTCAACCACCATGACATCCAGCCTCCCCCCAATCCTCCCCCGATTCTTCCATCACGCAATCCAATCCTTCTTCACAGGCGAGCCCCGTCCGGGCCTCCAACCCATTCCCGGAACCAAACCCTTGACATTCGAAGCCCTCCTCTGTCCAGTCCTACTCTACTACATCGCCCTACTTCTCCTCCCACCATCCTCATCCCCATCTCCATCTCCATCTCCATCCCCTCAATCTCCCCAAAAACAACAACACCACCACCAAAAGTCCCTCCCTGCATCATCTCCTACTTCCACCTCCTTCCAAATCTCCACTCTCCGCAACCTCCTCGCCCTCAGCGCCGCATACTTCTTCCTACGCCTCCCATGCGCCTACCACGTTCCGCAGAGTATTGGTTTGACGTATCAGTTGGGACTCGTGGGCGTATATGGGGGATTACGAGTGTTGGATGCGTTTTTTGTGAGTTATTATGGTTTTGGACATGTTCCTCGTCGAGTACGATATTCGCATTTGGTGCGCGCAGAGACGCCGAGGGGAGAGGTGATGATGAGGCCGTGGGCGGATGGGGGAAGTGGGAGGAGTGGAACTGATGATGGTGGTGGTGGTGGTGGTGATGGTGATGGGGGAAAGGGAGGAGAGGGGATGAAAGGTGGTGCAAAACAAGAGCAACAACAACAACAACAACAGCCTACTGTCATCCAAGATGATGATGACTCGACGGCCATGACGAAAACCGCAAATTCCACATCCGTGGAAAAAAATCACCAAAATCCAGAATCTTCTTCCCTTCGACCTCGTCCTCAGCCCCCACCAAGAATTATATCCCAATCCGATTTACTCGAAAACATGACCAGTCAATCCTACACCGACCTACTCAACAACGACGACGGCTACATGACGTTGATGAAAAAACTCCTCGACGGCCCGAAACCCATTCCTGTCACCGAAACCGCTCACACCGAAGATGGTTGGCCGCACGGTTTCGGCGATCGTGCAGCTTGGGCACTGGAATTGGAACTCTCGATGCGTGGAGTCGGCTTTACGTGGACGACGGCAGATGTGCGACATACGACCAAAACGTGGTTGCCGACGGTGCAGAATCGTGTGCATTCGATTCTGGTACACGTCGGACCTGTGCTGGTTGTCGCGTGGGCGATTATTAAAACTATCTATGTGAAGCGGCTGGCAGTGATTTCTTCTTCCTCTTCTTCTTCTTCTTCTTCTTCTTCTGCTTCTTCGAAGCAGCCACCACCCCCCGAATCTCCCTTCGACGCCCTAACTTTCCCCGAACAATACCTCCTCACAGCCGCCTTAGGAGCCTTCCTCATGGCAGCTTTCTCCCTCGGCCATTCCCTCTTCGCAATCCTCTGTTCACCTCTCGCTCCGTCGCCTCTAGCTTTTTTCCCTCCACTCTACACCACTCGCGTCTGGGAAATCACTTCCGCGCGCAGCTTCTGGTCCTATGGCTGGCATCGACTTTTTGCGCGCCTATTTCTCGTCTGGGGCGTTTGGCCCGGCGAATGGGTGGAGAGAAAACTGATGGGTAAGAGGTCGGATCAAGCTGCTGATGTGGGCAAAGTTTTGGGAGGGTTTCTGAGTTCTGCTGTTGTGCATGCTTTTTCCGTGAGAAGTACACTGGGAGGCAAGTGGAGTGATGCGGCGGGTGAAGCGAAATTTTTTGCGTATAATGGAGTGGCGATTTTGGTGGAGGAGCTTGTTAAGATGGGAGTGAAGAAGTGGAGACGAAGTAGAGGCCGGAAAGAGAAAATGTGGTATGATGCTGTTGTTGGGAGGATTTGGTGGATCGGGTTGTTGTTGACTACGGGGAGAAATTTTGCACGTGGTTGGGCGAAGGCTGGTTTGGTGCGTGAAATGGCTTTCATGTAGATAGATGGGACCTTCCCGTTTTCCTGTAATTGGAAGATATCCTTCTCAGAAACCTCCATGGCCACCATTGCGTGTTGAATGCGAAGATCCTATTCCCGTCGATGGACTAAGTTCTCTCAGGAGAGGATACGAGTATTTGCCCTCGTGACAGCGTGGTAGTTGTATAATTACGACTCTCTGCACGTACAATCAGTATGCAAACATCCTCTGCCCTGCCTCCTATACTCCCTTACACCATTATTATCGGGTCTAAATCAGGTGTTGATGAATCGAGCGGAGCTTGATGCCAAGCCAAATATTTTAGGACTCCAATGTCTGGTATTGGTATATAGTCCGAATTGTCTTCACTTTCGGCAGAACTGCGGCAAGTAGAAAGTGAATCCTGCAAACTGCATTCAGGTGACTCTTACTCTTTGTAGTGGCATCGGTCCAGAGCGTCTTGGAAAGTCTGATACGTTCTTCCTGTATTTCTCCGTGTATCTCTCCACTGCAAGACTGGAACGCCCTCGCTATGCTAGCAGCAGCTTTCTCCCATCATATATTCGGACTGAGCTGGTCATACTTGACACACATTTCCACGCTCTCAATGCTCGCCTGCAAGAACTTTCTCGCTTCGAGGCCTGCCCATACCTTGACCATCGATAAGTCGCCGTTTTTGAGGAAAGAGCTACCGCTTTGTGCTCCAAGCTGTCGTAGAATGGGTAATGCACTGTACAAGAAGTCAGTATAGCCGAGTCACACACAGACTTGGGCGAGTATGACTTACCCAGAAAACAGATCCAGGTCCGGATCCAAGGTCCGGCCAATCCCCTCAAGTAGCAGAATCGATAGCACGACGTTGACAAAGTCACCTTCCAGCCGAACATGGTGTGATCGCACCATATCCAAGACTTCATTTAATATGTCCCCAATCTTGATGTTGCCTAGCGCGAAAGTCCTGCTCTTGACTCCAAGCACGAGGTGTTGCATGCGAAGCGCGAAGACCTCTTCGTCAATCACCGCATCTGGCTGTCTGCATCTCTCGACCATGAGACGACCAGATTTGTACCCATCGAATTCCGCAACAGACTTGAACAAGTCCAAGAAGTTTCTCCTGTTCTTCTCATTCAGCTCCGTGACGAGTCCTGCATCGATGAAGATGAGCTGCGGCCTGAAGTTCTCCTTGTCGATTTGTGCCAGCTCGTTGAGCCATGCTTCTTTCTCATGTCTGTAAGGTCGTAGGCGTGCTAGAACGTGCTCCGTGACATCCTCGCCATTCTTTGCATCTGGCTTTGGGTCTCCGACGAACTTCTCTCTGATCCGTGTCCCAATCTCTGTTCGTTCGTGCATGGTTGCTGGCTTGTAGAAGCGCACCATGATGTTTCCAGGATGGAGATCTGCGTGGATGAAGTTATCGATCAACAGCATGTGGAGGAACGCATCGAGTCCCTCATCAGCAATCTCCTTTTGAAAGACACCACCTCCATTTCGCAGGAAGTGTTCGAGGGGGATCCCCGTGGCAAACTCTTCCACCAGGACTTGACGCGTCGTGTACTGCGTATAAGGATATGGGAACCATGCTGTTGATCTGTTCCGGAAGTTCTTGCGGAAAATCGTCAAGTTGGCAGCCTCGATTCGGAGATCCAGTTGGAGCCTCATCATCTCGCCAAACTGCTTGACTTCGTCCGGAAATGAGAACCATTCCATTGTCGGTATGGCATTGATGATGCTTGCGAAGGCCCCCATGATTTTCAGGTCCCGCCGGACAATTCTTTCAATCTTCGGATGCAGCACCTTGATCGCCACATATTTGCTCGGCTCTCGATGTGGTGTGATCTTCAATAATGGATCCACCGTCTTCATCGCCCGTTCTGTGAAGTTCTTGGGCTTGTCTGCTGCTTCGTCGTCCGTGGCTGCCAGGTCCGACTTGAGTTTCGCCTTATACACCTGCGCGATAGCTCCGACTCCAAGTGGAGTTTCATCAAACTCCTCAAAAATATCCTCAAACTTCCTGCCGAATGCTCGTTCTATTGTCTCTTTGGTGATTTCAAAGCTGTGTGCTGGCGCGTCTGAATGCAAAGAAGACATGATGGCACACATTTGCTGGGGAAATATGTCCGTCCTGCTGGCTGCCCACTGACCCAGCTTAATGAAAGCTGCTCCTGCGCGCTCCATACTCGATACCAGGAAGCCATACCACCATATGGTGCCGCTCCTTTCATCGTCCTTGTCGGGGTTCCGAGCTCCAAGCCACATCACAGGCACACTCACAATCACAGGTACGAAGATGATGACCAGATGGACGAAACGAAATCCTGTGGCGATAGGCTCCACGAGCCATGTATTGAAGAACCTCCATACCTGCACTCGGAAGCCATTGCTGTTTTTCAGTCTGTCCGGCACACGATCTGCTAGCTCTTGTCGGGAGATTTCCAGCATGTGCTCTTCATGCGTCAGACCATCATCGTTGCCCTCGTTGTCCTCTGCTATTGACACGAACGCTGCCGGACTGAGTGCGGCGAGGAGCACTGTTCCTCCTTTGACGGGTGAGGGCGGCGGGGCGCGAAAGGCCTGTCGAGCATTGCGCAGGAGGGAGAAGGATCGTTTGAAACGGCCTCTTCGCACGCTGTATTGGATCTGCCGTAGGACTTGCGGTTGTGCAGGCGCGCCGCCTCTGTTCTGCTGGAGTCCTCTGAGGCATGCTCGGCCCCAGGTAATGGTGGCTCGCATCGTGGGACGCGTGCTGTCACCGGAGATGATTGCAGCTCGATTTCATGGTATGGGGGACTGCTGGAATTGGCGGCACAGAAGTGATGGCCTGGTGTGTCGATGTCGAATCCATCGTCCATCTGGACCAGTTGAGGTCTCTGAGGACATCCATCAGGTAGAACACGGTCGCATCGACGTCACCGGACCGACGTTCACAAGCAAAAACTACTTTACCTTTTATAGGATGCATCCTCGAGGCCGAAGTTCCGCCGTGGATATTGTTATACTGTACGTATGGTATCCTGGTCAACTCAAGCATAAGGTGTACTGGAAACAAAGCGCAGTGGAAAGTAGGTAGCAGCGTCTCTGATGGCACAATTTGTGGAAATCTATGTCTATAGCATACCTGATGATTGAAGCTACTCACTCCATCTCCTCCACCTCTCTATCGTACACCACCTTCCCAAACTTCCACACCATTTCGACCGAGAAGCGCCGCACGCCGTCCTCAGACACCTCGTCCAATACGAGTAGATCAGCATCTGCGTCCGCATCCAGACACCCCTTCACCCCTTCCAAGCCTAGCATCTTTGCCGGTGTACTCGTCACGCTAGCAATAGCTTCCGGCACCGTACACATGCTCCAGTTCCAGAAATTGCTCACGCACTCTACCAAATTGCAACAACTCCCAGCAAGCTTGTCTGTCCCCTCAAGTGTCAGCACAGAACCCTTCTTCACGAAGCGGTCCCCGTTCGTCCATTCATACACTCCATCGGGTTGTCCAACCGTCTTCATAGCGTCGGTCACGAGGATGAATCCCTCCGGATGTGCATTCCATGCAATATTGACCGTCGTGGGGTGGAGATGAATCCCGTCAGCGATGATGCCAAAGTATGGTCGCTCTGTATCTTCTGCTTTGCCCAATACGCCAAAAGGCCCCGGATTGCGGTGGTGTAGAGCAGGCATCTGGTTGAACAGGTGGGTGATCATCTTGGCGCCGTTGCGGATGGCGTCGCTCGTTTGCTCATATGTCGCCTCGGTATGACCGATCGAGAAGATAATGCCTCGGGACGTCAGATCGGGTACGAGAGAGGATACGCCGGGGACTTCTGGAGCTGCCGTGATCATCTTGATGGGACTTGGAAGCCCTGGAGTAAGGTGCTGTTTCCCATAGCAGCTTTCCATGCTGGACAGACCAGCGCTTGCTTCCCGAAGGACGTCCAGGCTATGTATACCATTCTTAGTGGGTGATATGAAGGGTCCCTCGCAGTGTGCTCCCAAGCTCTCACTGCCCTCGGATGCATCTCTATGCTCTCCACTGGGACCCAAATAAGGCAGGACTTTGTGGTATAGCTCCGGTTTGTTGCTCGGGATAGTCGGCAAATAGCTCGTCACCCCCGTTTGCACCAGCCTCTTGTTCAACGTTTTGAGCATCTTGATGTACGCAGAGATATCCTCCTCTCCGGCCTCATTAGTAGGTATCGTGGAGAAGTCGTCGCCGAAGGCACCGTTGAATTGCACGTCGATAAAGCCTGCACATACGATTTTGCCCTGAAGGTCGATGATGTGGTCGGGAACGACATGGTGCTGATAAAAGACTTCCTGGCTTCGCAAGATCTTGCCAGTGATGGAGGAAATCCAGAGGTCGTCTTCCACCAGAGTGCCATTCTTCACGAGTCGTCCGCCTGTCAAGCGTGTCACGCCACTCTTTGGTCGTTCGGGTGATATTGCCATAGGCATGTCGGCGGCAAGTTGCGACACTATGCGACCGCAGGACAGTCTTTCACGACGCGCAGGCCTGTGGAGTCAGTAGGTGTTGGAGCTGATGTAGGGTATTGTCAATATGCTGCATCGAAAGTTCGAGTCCAACCGGCTCTTGAGCACAGTGAGCAGGGAGAGCTAGAAACAACCAGCTGTAGGGCAGCACGCATCGAGCCAGCCGATGAAAATGATGCCAGCCAGCCCAGCGATAAGACGTCACGACGATGCCAGCGAGAGCAAAGAAGCTACTCGAGCTCGAAATTTGCTTTGCTTTGCATCGTTACAACTGCTCCATGTCGATGCCACCGCTATGCCGTACTGCCCTATCGTCCTATCGCGGCAATATGAAAGCATGGCTCGTGGAAGGATAAACGCGACCCATGGCATCAGCACGTTGCAGCCGGCGGACGGTGGTGATGATGAGCCTTTGTCAGGTCAGGTATGTAAGGTAGGTAGATCCTGGATGGATGGTGGGTGTCATTGTCACTGGCGGGGCCCGGGTGAAGTCGATTCACGACGTGTGCCAGAAGATGTTGTTCCCGCCGAGTCTTTTCGACAACGAGTGTTTCTGGCCCGAGTCAGCTTCTGGAGGACCGTAACCGCAGACCGACCTTATGTACATGTAAGTACCCGGTCGACTACTACATAGATGCTACCTTACCGTACCTCGCACTCTCAGTATCCCGGGCTCGCCTATCTGCCATACGACATTACTAACGTACACTGTCTAGGTTCCATATTACCTACTTACACGGTTGATCATACCAGAGCTGTGGGAAGGCTGCTGCAGTGCCCCGAACACAGCAGAGTCTCCTCCACTCGACTACTGGGCACCGCTGAGCGAGCAACGAACTGGGCTCCGTGACTGCCTACCTATACCGCCGTCGTGTGGTCTCGTTCCGGAGGATGAGGTACCTGATAGACTAACGAACCACCTCGCACGCGGTCCATAGGTCCTTATCACCACGCGTCGCGTCTGCTTCTACCAGGCTACGCGGGCAGCAGCTAAGCGCCTGTCGCCTGGGCCTGCCGAATGATCGTCGTGCCGTGGTAGAGTCAGTGGAGTCCTGGGACGCCGTCGGGATGGCCAGCACTACGGGCACTGGCACGGGCACTGGCACGGGCACTGGCGCTGGCACTGGCAATGGCACTTTGGGGCTGAATCCCGTTTGGGACGACATGGATCGGTATGTCACCCAAGAGCTTACCTGTCCGTCCGAACCTTAAGGTCGTCGTTGGGGTTGCATCTCTAGCAAGCACATTGTGAGGGATCTCGAAGCTAATCGTCATGGCAGAACTCTGGGTCAGCTCCTCATGGTAAGTTGACCTGCTCATTGCAACGTTGCACTGCAATATGTGGCTAGTGTAAAGCCGATGCTCATCATTGTGCCTGGATAGATGGGATTCGAGGGCACCAGCGTGACACCACAGATCAAGAAGCTTATTCAGGAGGACTATCTGGGCTCCATTCTGCTGAGTGCTAAAAATCTCAAGAGTAAGACGAAGCCTTTAGCAGCTGACATATACGTGCCGTGCATCGTACTGATATTGTCCAGATGCCGAGCAATGTACTGAGCTGGTACTCGAGCTACAAAAGTTGGCCTATGATGCTGGCCATCCAGTGCCGCTGCTCATTGGCATCGACCAGGAGAATGGCGGCGTCAACAGCCTGTTCGACGAGATCTACATACGACAGTATCCATCTGCTATGGGCCTGGCAGCGACGGGCTCCAAGGAGATTGCGTATGAAGTAGCGAAAGCGACTGCTGAAGAGATTTCAGCATGTGGCGTGAACCTGATGATGGGTCCAGTATTAGACGTCTTGACTAATGCAAGAAACCAGCCTTTAGGAGTACGTACCACTGGAGATGACCCCCAGGAAGTTTCTGCCTATGGTATCGCCTTCATGAAGGGATATAAGGATGCTGGCTTGAGCACCATGGGAAAGCACTTTCCATCATATGGCAGCCTGGAGTTTCTAGGGTCCGCTTTGGACGTGCCTACCATCACCGAGAGCCTTGAGTCGCTCAGTTTGAATGCACTGGTGCCTTTCCGCAATGCCATCAAAGAGGGTTTGGACGCTATGATGGTGGGCGGCTGCGCGATGTCTTCAGCTGGTCTGAATGTCATGCATGCTTGCCTATCCGAGCAAGTCGTGAACGATCTTCTCAGAAACGACTTGCACTTTGACGGTGTGGTCATCTCCGACTGTCTCGAAATGGAGGCTCTCAGCCATAACATTGGCGTCGGTGGTGGCACCGTCATGGCAATCAACGCTGGCTGTGACATCGTGCTACTGTGCCGCTCCTTCGTGCACCAGCAGGAGGCTATCGAAGGCTTCAAGCTTGGAGTCGAGAATGCAATGATGTCAAAGGACCGCTTGAAGCAGTCGCTGAAACGGGTACTTGACCTCAAGGCGAAATGCACCACCTGGGAGAAAGCGCTGAATCCCCAAGGCATTGAGCTTCTATCGCAGCTGCAGCCCTTGCACACTCAGCTATCGACAAAAGCATACAACTCATCAATCACAGTGGTGCGAGATAAAAACCGATTGTTGCCCCTCACTAATGTCATTGAGCCAGAGGACGAGCTTCTTCTGCTCACGCCGCTCGTCAAGCCCCTGGTAGCCTCTGCTGCTGCAAGAGCGCTCTCTGAGCAAGCCGCAAATGGTTCTCCCGAGCCAGAACATTTGCAGCGGAGTGCATCGGTCATGAGCGGCGAACGGGTGTTTCGAGAGCTGGGTCGAACGCTTGCTCGGCAGCGCACTGGCCGCGTGCTACACACATCGTACACTGCGAACGGGGTGCGACCGCAGCATGAGAACCTCATTAGCAGAGCGAGTGCCATTATCATCGTCACTGCCGACGCGAATCGGAATCTATACCAGCACGGTTTCACGAAGCATGTCTCGATGATATGCAACATGCATTACACGTCTGCAGGCGAGAGGAGAGAGAAGCCACTGATTGTGATATCTGTCAGCTCGCCGTATGACTTTGCCATGGACCAAAGCATTGGCACATACCTATGCACATATGACTTCACCGAGACCGCACTCATGTCGTTAGTGAAGGTTCTCTATGGCGACTTCATTCCTGCGGGTACTCTCCCTGGATCGATCAGCCAAAGTCAGAAGTTGTCGCAGTCCAAACAACACTGGCTCGTGGAGGCATTCAATGAGGAGCGCGACGCAAACTCGCTCGACGTCCTGGTCAAGGCGGTCGTAGATGGCAATGCACCCGGCTTGCACTCGGAAGTGGCAAGTGCAACATCGCATTCCTTTCTCCTGCGCAATCCGGAGATCCATGAAGCGCACTTTGTGGTCAGAAATAGCTCTACACAAGCGCTGTATGGCTTCTGCGCCACGTACTTCTTTCCCGCCACAGGTACAGGCGTCATAGGCGCCATCTTTGTTGACCCGAGCAGGAGGAAACTTTCGATCGGCCACTCGCTACACAATCGTGCGATACGCACCTTGCTCCAGAGAGAAGGTGTCAAACGCTTCCAGCTCGGCTCGCGTTTACCAAGCATATATCTGGGAATACCAACTGGCCATGGAGGTGAACGCAAGCGTCTGAGGTCCTGGTTTGCGAATCTAGGCTGGAATACTGCTCTTTCCCGAGCAATTTGCAGCATGGTCGCTCGTGATCTCTCGACGTGGTCCCCGCCTGACGGCATGGCTAAGAGCTTGCAGAGTGCTGGGGTCGATTTTGACCTAGTATATGGATGGGACTACGCTGGGCCCGTCCTCGATCATATTAAGACGAATAATAGACAAGGTCTGGCGGAAGTTTACCGGATGGCGTTGGCCGACCCTTCAGCGTGTGGAATCATTCGTGCCAAACGGCCTGAAGATGGAGCAATCGTCGGTACTGTGGTGCTATACAATATGCAAAGCTCACTTGCAGAGTTTATACCGAGCATGAAGGACCTGGGAGAACTTGCCGGTGGCATCTCGTCACCAGTCATCAGCCCCAGTGTGGGAGAGTACTCGACACTGCTGCAAGGCCTGATCTTGCTCGGGATGAGGCAAGTAAAGAATCAGGGCTGCAACGTGTGCATTCTGGATTATGTGAGTCGCTTCGGATCGTGAAGAAGCAGCAGCATGTTACTGTCACTGACAACCTTTTGCAGATGGACGGCGACGGAAATTTCGATGGCCTGAGTGGTATGGGCTTCAGCGTACTGCACAACTTTGAAGAAGTCAGCTGTGATGCTGCAACCTGGACCAAAATCCCGCCTTCTTGACAGCGTTTGCTAATTAATGGTTGATTCCCCTATGACATGGCACGTGCTATTTATGTACTTGATATACCCTCATCTCCACAGTGCTACGATATAATCTAGTCAATGATGTTCGAGTTGCCCAACAACGTTAACACGACATGTATATTTCCATCCTCTCTCAGCAGCTTGTCCTGGTCCCGCTATGTATAGCTCGCGGCTAATATGAGAATATTGCATGAATCAGAAACTGCACTTCTACGGACGAGGACAACGGACCTGGAATGAAGGTAGATAGTGGGCTCTACTATGTCCCAGAGGGATTAAAACAAGCAATTCACTTAGGTACGCTTCTCGATGAAGTCATTGCTTTCGTGAGGAGGTACAGGTACATGTACATAAGGTACTTGTATAGGTACATTACCTGCCTTACCTCCGAGTAGTGTAGTCTCACGTGCGCGCCGGCAGAACTAGCTGAGCTCTCCACGCTCGGGGGCCAGTTAGCGACTCTTGCACAGCCTATCACCGCAATTTCAGCGCAACGGATCCCGGATCATCACCACGTCCACTTCCACTGCCTTGAGCCAGAATGCGCTTCCACGTGCGGGACTGTCCTGCACATCACAACGTGCGCTGCCTCCAGAGTGAATCATCATCATTGAGGGATCCCGAAGCGAGAACGATTGGAAGCTACCTGAGGTAAGGGAAGGGAAAGGACAGGAAAGGTACGGGTAGTTCTTCTATCTACAGTACAGCCCGTCCAGTATCGAGCAGGTCGGGCTATCGCAGTCGCACAAGACCTGCACCACATTCAGCTTCCGGACGATACACTGGCCCTGCCTCCAAGGCGGATGGTGTGCAGCAACAGATGAGCGCTGGACGTCAGTAAAGGAACGACGCCCTCCCAGTCGAACGACGACCCCGTCCATCTTCCCCCCGTCGAAACACCCGGATCTTCGCGTGGATAGGAAGGACGACGTCGGTTCGACCACTCGAACGAGAGCGCTGCCTAGAGGCTCGAGTCGACGACACGCTCTTGGTGGACTGGCCATAGTCCTATGCGCCGCTCTCGCCTGCAATCCTACCTTACCGCAAGGCCGGCGCTGATGCGACGTCGCCGTCATGGATCTCTCAGGCTTCGATCCGTCGACCATGACCTATCTGGCCACGCAGATGCAGCAACCGAACCCCGTCGGACAGGACCCCTACCAGGAGATGCTGTTGCCGGCAGAGTACAATACCAACCACTCCACCTATGGAGGTTATGCCGGGTACGTGTGCGCATTGAACAAGTTCTCATTCCTGCTTCCCGCGACCATCGGAGGCTGGTCTCAGCCCAGGTGAGACGGTTTCGTACTGACTGACCATAATGAACCTCTGTGCAGAAGCGACGACCTCAACCTCCTCGCCTTACACCAACAACAACAACAACAGACCACCCCGCTTCCTCTCAAACGCTTCGCTGGCGCATACGAAGACCCCTTCTCAGACGTCGTCAGTGCCTTCGATGCGCCGACGCAGGACTCGCATGAACCCGAAGCCCCATTGAGCGATCCGAACAATAAACTCCTCGGCTTCTCCTTGCCCACCTTCGACTACACCCTGCTCGATTACACATATCGCCGAACGACCATCTCCCTGGCAGCACAGCTCCATGGCATGTTCTTTTTGGCAGAATCGCCCTGGGCCTCTGCCGGCGATGCCAATCCACCACCTTCCGAGCTCACTTGCTACCGAAGGAATCTCTTTCAGATCACCGGAGAGATTACACTCCCGCGAACGTTGCGCTATATCTTGACCGAGCAAGGAGAGCAAATACCCATCATTGGTCAAGAGCTAGTAATCAGTGCCAATGAGTCTACAGAAGGGAACTCTGTCAAGGTCATATCGGTCCCCTGGAAGACGCCTGCGGGCCCTTCCTCGTCAGTGCCGGAGGATAAGACGGAGCGTGAGCCGCCATCCATACCTCTGGATCTCATGAACGTGCAGGACTTGAACACAGACTATGCCAGTTCCCCATTCCAGTGGAAACGGCTGCAGTTCAGGATTGCAACAGCAAACAACGGAAGGCGCAAAGAGCTGCAACAACACTTTGTAGTGCGACTCAAGGTCCTGGCTACTTTGGCGACTGGCGGCAAGATACCCATTTGCGAAGTGCAGTCGAGTGCTATCATTGTGCGTGGTCGAAGTCCACGGAACTTTCAGTCTCGCAAAGATCTGCCCCTCAGCGGGAATGGTCATATGCGCAAGACGTCCAACGTAACACGTGCGGCGACTGTTCACGGCGGGGAGAAACTGAGAAGTGAAGCACCAACATCGGCGCCCGTGAAAACGGAGGCTCCAGCCCCTGCCATGTCCATGTACTCGTACGATGCTCACGAAGGCGTGCTGTCACACGAACCATATCAATGGCAACAGCAAGCGAATGCTGGGGCGCGTGATCCATCAGCAATGGCGCCTCCCCGAACACTACCTCAGGACCTAGGACATGCCCATCCGGCAACTTCTCCTGGACTGCAGCCACCGACGAAGGCTGCAAGACCACCACCTGCGCCAATCAATCTTTCCCTTGTAGAAGATGACTCTCCGAAGCCAGGAAGCAGTCAAACCCCTCCTGATTCAGCACAGAAAGCCAAAAGGTTGCACATTCCCGCTCGGCCGCCTTCTTTTTCAATCAACACTATCAACAGTCCCGACGAGAGTGCCGATCTTCTGTACGAGTACTTCCCGCTGAGTCTCGACGACTGGATGCCGCCCGTGGACGCAGTCTATCGGCCTCACGTGGTGCATCATATCAAGCTGAGGTCTGATCCGAGAGACCCCAGTACCTCGCATAGCGCTAGATCGAAAAGTAAGCGCATGTATGTACCCGACGACGACTGAAGGTCTCGAAGCCAACGAGTGCTACATCATGAGAGCATTCTGAGCTCCTCGAACGCTATTTGCGGTTCATAGCTGTGACGATGCCGAATTTGCCGGAAAGCTCGGCTCCCGGCATTGCATCTCAAGGCATTACATCCAACAATCGACCACTTTTCGCATGGATAGCAAGCACTATGCGGTCTTCAGTCTCTTGGCTTGCTGCAATCTCCGAGCTCTCGTTTTTCCAAGATACTGCGTTGAGATATGCAATCGCCCCTTGAACAGAGTGCCAGGTGGACAATTCCAGAGATGCGCCGGGCACAGTCTAACAGAGTATACACTGTCTTTCAGGTACCTACAGATTCTCACGGTATGTCGAATCACGACGACTGCCCTTTCACGACCTTCAGTAGTCTGACAGGCCTTTCCCAGGCATCGAGAATGGTGTCATCGCCCACATGTCTCCGATTCAAGACGATCGATGCGAACCGATTTCCAAGGAACAAAAGAAAGATCTATGCATTTCCTCGGCCTATCCGGGGCGATTTTTTTTTATTTAGCTGCCTTGATTCTTCTCCAGATTTGAGAAGCTTGAGCTATGTACGTACGACAGAACATCCTCGCTAGGTAGGTAGGTAGCTAGCTAGACCTACCTTTACGGCTTTACCTGGCTGGGTACTTTAGCTTAGTGTTAGCACAATTCGTGCCTCGCAACCTGAAATGCGAGAAAGATCGACTCGTACTCTTTCTTCTTCTTCTTCTTCTTCTTTCTTCTTCTTCTCTTCGCGGCGAATAAGAGCGGAAAGAGTGGAAGTTCACAGAGGGAGATGAGAGAGAGAGGACGAGAGGCCAGATAGCATCAAAAGAGAGAGAAATCTCTAGATTTACAGGCTACAGGCCAGTCTTGCCACTTGTAAACTTCCAAGGTTGTTTGTTGGTGAATACTCGATATTCTGACTGCAGTGGAAACTTGAAAGGGGAAAATCGACAGTGGGAGATGGACGGGATTTTTCTATTAAAAATAAAGAAAAAGAGGGAAGAAAATGGAGGAAATTGCGGCGAGATGATGTAAGAATTCTGACTCGCCTGGCGAGAGTCGTTCATCATGATGGGAGGAGAACTGTGAAAAGGATTTTCTTGTATTCGTAATGTGAGAAGAATTGACGATGAAGGTAGCAACGACACGCTACCCCACAAGTCGCCACAACGCCATGCGCCCCCAATCGCTCATCATGCTTTCTTTCGAACACGTAGCGGTAGTAGTAGTGGTATCTCAGAAGACTGGGAATTCTCCAAAAATAAAAGATCAGACAAGAAATGGACACCACACATGTTCACGCTTGTGCCTCCATACAAGCGACTGCCACGGCAGCACCGAATATAGAACTTTCCGGAGCCATGCTCAACGTGACGGCACCTCGTGAGCCACCAGACTGTTCGCAGAGGTCATCCAGATAGGTTTGACAACGTTGCCGAAAGCCCGGATACTTTTCAATAATGGTTCCATTGCACGCGATGGTGACGCCAGCAGACGATCTGGTCAGGGCTTCGGCCTCGGTGCGCACCGTCCAGAGCGCGTGCATGGCCGTCGCCAGGTGCGCAGCTGCTCTGCGAGACACGAGGCATGCGACATCGCGCACCAATTCGAGGTCTCGCGTCCGCGGCGTGGAGGGAAGGGGGTGTGCCTGCAGAAACAGAGAGCGCGCCTTTTCCAAGTTTCGAGAAGGGTCGCTCTCAAATGCTGCTAGTGTTTTGCAGTCGAAGGAGTAGGCGTGCTCCCAGCCCTCGGGCATGTGCCCGCCAAAGAGGCCTGCGTGCTCGACTGCGTCCACCAAGATCAGCCGGGCAATCTCTCCCAGGTATCGACCCGAGATCTGGTATTCCAATGGCTGGAAATCGGGCAAAGAATGGTTAGTATTCAACTTTTCGTCATATCTCGTCTTGGGTAATGAATGCTGTCCAATCATACTGAACTCTGTATTGATCAGCACACGCTCCGCCTGTTCATACCATGACTCGGGCCGCACGCCGAACTTCAACGTTCCTAATGACTTGCGAGGGAGGAAGACACCCGCGTTGGTGCCTGTACCCAAGATCAGAGACATGCGGGTCGAAGGATCGCGATAGGCTTGCGACATGAGAGTGCCGGCACTGTCATTGATGATGGCCCGCATTTGCACATTCAGGTTGCGGGCGTTGCATGACCGCATGATGAGCTCGCTCAGGTCCTGCCCCTCTACGCCCTGGTTCGCCTTGAAGCCCTTTCCCATGGCTCCGAGCCGGCCACTGCGCGGTGATGTCTGCTCGATGGGAAACGACCAGGCCAATCCCATGGCCAGTCGTGCGTTCGTTGTACCATTGAGATGATTGTACTCGCCCAGCATGTCACCAATCCTCTCAGCCATCCAGTCGAAGAAGGCTTGCCCTTCGAGGCCGCGGATCTGCTCCGTAATGGCGAAGCTGCGTATCCTGCGGATCTGCAAACCATCAGCACCCGGCTTGCTCTTCCCCGAAAGGCGTATGAGAGCAATGCGAAAGGTCGAGCCTCCCACGTCCAGAGCGAGGAAATCGCCCCGCTCGTGTCCGGTGGGTAATGTATGGGTATATGACGGCAACATGGAAATTGCCGACTTCTCTAGTCGTTCCCAACATTCGGTCTGCAGTTGTGTAGATATTGCCAAGAGGCGATCCGTCTGCAGATCAGCCTCGAACAGCTCTCGGGTCTCTTGGAGGAAGTCGTCCATGCTCTTATCGTGCAGGCCTCGCTTCGGGGCTACATGATGATGGCCCACGCGTGGCTTTGTGGTGTAGGTGGAGTGCACCACTCTCACTACCGAATGCATCACCGCACTCATTGCCTTCCCCAGCTTGACCGAGTGCAGCAGGCCCGAGAGAACCTGGAGGCAGTAGCGAGCGACAGCAAGGCCACTGGAAGTCATATACGGCGGAGGCGTGGCGGATAGAGATGCCCCGGTAGAGGACCGAGGGTCGGTGGTATATGAGAGAGCGAGAGTGAATGAATGGAAGGCGATGATGTGAGACGATGGCCTCCAGCGGTCCCTCGGGGTTAAGGTAATAAAGGAGCAGGCCTGGGTAGGTGGTGCTTGTGACAGCAGTGGGGGACTGGGGGGTGGTAGCCCGTCTAGAGGGCGAGGTTATGTATTAGGAGTAGCAGTGGACCAGGATGGGAGTAGACGACACGCGGGCAGCATGGTGGTGATACATCAGGTTGCGATCCTGGAAGCGGAGCGAGCGCCGCGGCGGCAGCAGCAGTTGAGGCGGCGGCAGAGGCAGAGGCAGTGGCAGGCGGATAGGAGTGGTAATAGTGGTAGTAGGTAGTGGTAAGGTACAGGTATGTAGGTAGTCGTGGTGGTCGCGGTAGTAGTAGTAGTAGTGGTAGTAGTAGTAGTAGTAGTGTAGGTAGGTAGTAGTGTATGTAGGTAGTACCTTAGTGGTAAGCAGCGGGATCGGAGCCAGGGACGTCGGGGGAACAGTAGTGTGTCGAGTGGATGGATGGATGGGTGGATGGATGGATGCAGAAGGTTTCATCGAGGCATTTATTAGGTTATTGTTGCAGATGGTGTTGATGAGAGCCGCGCGTGTGGCCTCTTGGGGGTTGCTAGGGGGGGAGGGGGGGGTGTGTGCGGGCGGGCAGGCGGGCAGGCGGGTGTCCCGTCGAGGAGAGAATCAGGTAGGTCAGGCCGATGGTCATCAACTGGTGTGTCAGTGTCAGAGAATCAATCAGCAGCTCAGGCGGGCGGCCAGGGAAGGAAAGGGGATTGGGAAGGGATTGGGAAGGGGAAGTGCCAATTGGGTGCATCATGGCCATGCAGAGCGAGCGCGGCGTTCCCAACTCGTCCCCAGCAACATCAGCATCAACAGCCAACAGCAACAGCAATAGCCAACAGCCAACAGCGAAAACGAACGAACGAACGAGTGGCTGCTGACGGGGCGCCGAGAAGTGGATAAAGCCGTGCGCGTACACAACAGTCACATTGAACACGCACTGCGGCAATGGATGTTGCAGTCTGGCGTTACATTTGATGACCTGAGGTGTCTGCCTGTCCTGTCCTGCCTGTCCTGTCTGGCAGTGTCTGCCTGTCTGCCGGTCTGACTGCCTCTCTTTCTCCGACTCCCTCTCTCTCTCAACGACGGGAACGAGAAAGAAGCGCGATGGTCCGAGGGATGGATGAGGAAAAAATGCAAAGGGCCCAGCCTTGGCGTCATCGGAGGCCGGTATGTCCCGCTGACATACCTCCTACCTACTTCTTACAGGTTACCTCTACCGCTGTACCTGTGTACTGTGGTTCATGCCATGCCGCTTCATGCTGCTTTTCATGCTGCACACTGCACAGTAGTAGTAGACTACCTACCTACCTAGTATCTAGTGCTCACACAATCCATCTGACACTGTCATACACTACCCTCCTTTTAGTCTCCTTTTCCTTCCTCTCCGAACACTCTCCAATCTTCTACCTATATTACCAGGTATCTAGGTACCTATATCCAATCCCATCACATCATCAGAATCCCACCCCCCGTTCCCAACATCCATCCAACCAGCCAGCCAGCCATTCAACCGTCGAACAGTTCAGCAGCAGCAGCAGCAGTAGCAGTAGCAGTAGCAGTAGCAGTAGTAGCAGCAGTAGTATCATGCAAAGCTAGAGAATGACCACCAAAAGGCAAACCAACCCACTAGTCAGGCAGTCCTTCATCATCAGTTCCCTACCTACCTTACCTCCTACCAAACGGAACCCGGCTGCTCTCTCTCTCGTTCTCTCACCTCCCACCTCTCACCTCCTACCGACCTACATGGAACCACCATCACTAGTTCTACACCATCGGCCCACCACGCACGAGGGATCCGTGGATCCGTGGATCTGCTTCTAGGTTGTAGGTACTACCTCCTAGGTACAGTACTAGGTAGGTAGGCTACGTACGTAGGCTGGTAGGAAGATAATGTAGGTAAGATAGGTACCTGTAGGGAGGGTCCGTTTTGTTGTGACGAAATGTGATGGAGCTACTAGGGCGGGTGGTACAATCCAGTTCATGTAGTACTTTACCGGGAACGACATGTACATGTAAGATATGTATACATGTATGTACATGTACTTACTGGCTACTGCTGCTGATGCTGCTGCTGGCTCTCCATCACATATAATCGGTGAGAGGGTACTGTAGTAGCACTACTTCCTACATTAGGAGGTAGGTACTCTCCAGCGGCCATGTCAGATCTAGGTCATCCGACCGACCATGGGGGAACATGAGTACGTGGAACGTCAGCAATCGCTGCAGTCGGTGTGTGGAATCTGTAGGTGTGTGTGGAATGAAACTGTTATCTGTTCGACTCTGTTCTCACGACATGCTGACATGCATGGCATCTGTCATTACGTTGCAATAATGCCCCATCGTGCCAGGTCGCGGCTAGCGGCTCTGGTTCATCCACGCCTCAACGCCTTGCTCAAACCAAAATCTCCCATGTCATTCTTCTTCATCTCCTCAAGAAGCGACTCGCAGCATCTTGTGCGAAGCACGTAAAACACATCGTGGTGTACCCCTCCGGACATCAGACCACAAATTCATCCCTGCTCGAGGAGATGAGGTGGTGCAACGTCGCACCTGTGGTGCTGCTGCTGCTTATTCCTTCGACTCGATATCGGTCGACGTCGTGCCCACCGGCTTGCCGACGTGGACATCGTCCATGGTCTCATCAGTGAACTTCAGGTCTTCCTCCACGGGAGTCGTGTCGCGAATCTTGGCAATCATCATCGGCAGTGCAATGAGCAAGCTGCCGGCGAGGAGTCCCCAGCACGAACCGAACTCGCTCATGTACGGAGCGCCCAAGCCATCCACGCGCCACATGATGGCAGCACCGGCAGACTGGATGCCCTTGTAGAATCCCGCATAGTTCGCCAGCTTGCGGCTGTTGTTGGAGAGAGCGCCCATGAGCCAGTAGACCGATGTCTGCCAAGCAGCGTCGTAGAAGCCGTAGAACATGTACAGGAACATGGGTCCAATGTAGCGGCCCTCGACCCAGTCCATGAGCAGCTCCGGATTCGCCTTGACTGATGCGCGCGTGTAGTCTTTCTGGAAGGCGTAGCCGCCGCCCCAGATGACCATGGTCAGCACGAAGAGTGAGATCCAGCAGCCCTTAGCACGAGCAGTACGTGAGAACTTCTCAATGTCGAGTGCATTGCCGAAGACGCAGGCGCCGACAATCTGCATGAACCAGTAGAGCACATTGTTGAGTGCGCGGGTGCGAACCGTGAACCGAGCCAGGTTGACACCGTTGAATTGGTAGGTGTAGAACCAGTTGGAGGCGAAGAACATGGGGAAGAGACACAAGACCCAGGGGTCACTGATCAGTGTCTCCCAGAGACCGAAAATCTCCGATTTCCAGGTTGGGTGTTTCATCAGTATCACCTTGGATCCGTCACTGCGAACGACCTTCTTGGCATCCACGAGGACCCACGCAAGCATGCCACCAACGAACGTCAGGATCAAAAAGCCGATGTACGTGCCACTCGATACTGCGCCATTGTGGTCATTGTGGATGTTCTGTCCTAGTGGAACCTAATGGGAAATTAGCATTGGAGTGGCTTCAGCAACAACAGAAGTCTTTCTTCAACGTACAAGACTGCCGATCACACCGCCCATGTTAAAGATCATCCAAAACCAGGAAATGAAGCGTCCCTTCTCAGCTTCAAGTGGGTACGACATCATGATCGCACCTTGAGCCGACCAGAGAATACCGGCGCAAACTCCGAGGAGCGCACCCGCAAAGGTCACGAAGCCCAGGTTCTCGGTGTAGTTGTAGCAGAGGTAAGCGGCGATGTAGATGGAGTAGCCAATTCCGCCGAAGGCGAGGGACCAGCGAATGCCGATGGTGTTGGTGACGGTTCCGGCGAGGAAACCCACCACGGCAAAGGTAGAGTACAGGGCAGTGTTCGAGTTGCTGCTCGCTGTCGCACTGAACTGGCCGCCTCCGCCGAGTCCATTGACGGCGTTGAACATTCCTAACAGCGCGCGTCAGCAGTCACCCATCTGGTGGCACACACACACGCGTGCGCGGCTGGCGATGGCGGCTTACCGGGGCACAGGAAGCATACGAAAGCTACCAAAAGCAGCTGAGCCTTAGGCGACGCATAGTATGGGATGGTGAGGAAGCCGAGCTTGTGCTCCTGGTACATCCATCCGCGAGGCACGTCGCGTTCATGATCGTGGTCGCTGGAGTGAGTCTGCGAGTCGGCGCGATCGATGGCTGGCGAAGGCGTGGTCTTCTCGTCGAAGCTCGCCATGGCGCGCGACGGGTGCAGTGCGGTCGGCGTAGAGCGATGGGATCGGCAATAGCGTTCGCGAGGTTCGCGAGGTTGAGGTAAGTGGGGAGTCTCGTAGTTTCCTGAAGCGAAAGTTTGTTGCTGCGCGGGCAGCTGGTGAAGTCGAGAGAGAGTGTGTGAGTGTGGGTGTGTGAGGTGCTAAAAGGATGTTGATTGACCAGAGATGTCACGCGAGCGGTCGAGCGCACAGCGCATCAAATAAGTATTGGCGGAGGATTGGACTTGCATGAGTGAATTCAGTGGTGAAGAGGAACAGAGCGCGCTGAAGTTGTGGGGGAGATGGACCCTTGGAAGTTGGCTGGCCGCTGGATTTGCCTGCAGGGTGTGGTGGATGTATTCCCGGTCGCCCAAACCTCTCTTCGTTCATTGGTGAATGGGGGGGTTGCTATCTCAATGAGAAGTTTACAGTAGAACCATTTCATTATTAGGTCTATTGATTGCAGGGTGAGCACGCGTGAGGCCGCTCCCGAGCGGAATTTATTGATTGCGGCCTGTTTCGCTATGGAACTATTGTAATTACTACTGTCCGTCGTTTGCAGGCTGCTGGGCTGAGGCGGCGATACCTCCTCGAACCATCTGGATCTGGAGCTGGGACAGGACAGGACAGGAGAGGACAAGACAGGACAGGAGAGGAGGAGGAGGAGGACGACGTTAGATGGTCGCACGACAGCTGTAACGGCGTGCGGCTGCGCGCATGGCGGGATCCGTACTTCTAGTAGCGTAGTGTGACACGCGGAAGCAAGGGCTGCGGGCACATGCTGGAAGAAAAAGATAGCCCCAACTGCGCGTACCGTTGCACTGGACAGGTGTAACACACTGATTGTGGACTCCAGTCTCCTTCTCCCTCCTCCCTCCCACTCCCAGCTCCCTCCCTGAGCCCTTCCTCTCCCTGGCCTTCCTCCCTCCTCGCTCTGCCGGTCTCGCCACGGCCAACTCCTCCACTCCTTCGCCCGCCGCCCTCGCTCGAGCTCGATCCATGGCCGCATCATACCGTACGGTCCGTATCCCCCGATGGAGGATGTCCCTACGACCTCAGGCCACGCGACAAGGTCCACCAGATACAGAGTAGATGCATCATGATACACCCTATCGTACCTACATGGGAGGAACGTGTCATCGCATTGCCATCCGCTCTGTCCACTCCACTGCCACTGCACGACGAGGCTTGTCCGTGTGCTCCGACCCGATGCGGCCACCACGAGCGCCTGTCTCGCAAGAACAATGACTGCCTCGAGCGACAAGTACCGGTATAGGGTCTAGTTCTCGCTTCCTGCCAGAAGTACCACCAGGCTCGGCAATCGGGTGGCCGCGTTCGAGCACGTTGTTGCATCTGAATGTAACAGCTCTTGCCAGCAGGCCGGTCGAGCTTCCGCCCGCCAGCGGCAAGGTAAGGTAGAACTAAGGTACAGGCACAAGGTAAGCTGTAGCTGTAATGTGACGTGAATCGTGGAAAGGTGTCGCCATCCATACGATACGGACCAGGCAAGGCGACCGAGTATATTCCGCCTGACCACGACGCTCTTCCCAAGTGACCGTGGAAGAGGTTGCCACGCCTGAGTGTTGGTTGCACCTATTGTTTGTTGTTCCCTTGCAGATTGATACCTACCTGACGTCCCCTTCGAAAACGCAACATGTAAGTGGTTGCGCAGCACACGGCGGGCATGTGGGTGTCCAGAAGGCTAAATAAGGAGTATCAAGGCGACTCATCGTTCGAGACGACAAAGCTACGGCTTCGAGATACATTTCCGAGTATATTATTTGTAGGTGTTACACCCTCGATGTTGCACGCCAACACCACTGACTCCGGCATCGTGGTCCAGATCGCATCCAGTCCTTCCATCCGACTCCGGAGAAGCCATTCGTGCTTGGTCTGCCAACAGGATCATCGCCCGAGGGCATTTACAAGAATCTGGTCAACGCGCACAAAAAGGGCGAGATCTCCTTTCGAAATGTCATCACCTTCAACATGGACGAGTACGTGGGCATACAACGCGAACACCCGGAGTCGTATCACAGCTTCATGTACAAGCATTTCTTCAGCCACGTAGACATCGATCCCGCGAATATCAACATTCTGAATGGTAATGCTGAAGATTTGGAAGAGGAGTGCATTGCATATGAAGAGAAGATCCGACGTGCAGGAGGCATCGAGTTGTTTTTGGGCGGCATTGGGCCGGATGGGCACATTGCATTTAATGAGCCTGGCTCGAGCTTGCAGAGCAGGACCAGAGTCAAGACGTGAGTACAGCATCTGACAGGCTCTCTCACCTCCACTCCATCTCCACCCACTGACATTCAGACCCACATAGTCTTGCCTACGACACCATCATTGCCAATTCGCGCTTCTTCGACAACGATGTGGACCTGGTTCCCAAGATGGCCCTCACAGTAGGCATTCAGACCGTCCTGGATGCACGCGAAGTGGTCATCATCATTACCGGTGCACATAAGGCTCTTGCCCTCCAAAAGTGTATAGAAGGTGGTGTCAATCACATGTGGACGCTCTCCTCGCTCCAAATGCACCCTCACGCCATGATTGTCGTGGACGAAGATGCAACGCTGGAATTACAAGTCAAGACGGTGAAGTATTTCAAGTCTATCGAACAAGTTGCTGCTTCACAAGGCTTCGGACAATTCCTGACTTCAGAGGATGTCGTGCGGAAGAAGCGCGACTCGGTCCTGGAGAAACTCGACCATTCCCGAAGTCCTACTAATGCATCTTTCACCATTACACCCGAGGAGACGACTCCAATCAGCGATACTCCTGTCACTCTGGCTCCACCACCAGCAGCACCGCAAACAGAGATGGCCCGATCTGTGACGCCTGACCTGGTTCCCGATTCCATGCATAACCGACTCCCCAATCAACTCACCGCCAGCAAACTCGATGGATTGGAGGTGAAGGATCTGCAACTCGCGGCGATGCACGAGCGGGTGGACTCTGCTACAGCGGCTTAGTTGCTCTCTGTCAATTCCATCCTCTGAGCGAGAACCTAGAGTACTCTCTTGTCTAAGGTACCTTACATACCTAAGGTAGTACATTGGGGAATATGTAACAAACAGACATCAAATGTGCTACTACTGTACACTCGAAGAAGAAGAAGAAAAGACACATGGTCTACTCACTACATATACTGAGGTGTGAGGAAGAGCTGTGAGCTACAACATGGCTAGCTGGTGTTGGCCTAGCGTTGTCTTGGGTTCTAGGTACCGTAGCTTGGGAGGTACATGTACCTACATACCCGACTCAGCTACAACTTTTCTAATGGAAGCTTCAAGTTGTTGATCACTGTAACATTGTACAGGAGGCACCTAACGATATGACATGACATGTACCTCGTGCAAAAAGAAATAAAACAAAGACACATGTCAAGCGAATAGTACATGTACCGTTGTGGTGTGTCAATCGCCTTGTTGTTTCACACACATTGGACCTTTCTTCACACGCACCCACACACACACTACACCACTTTGTCGGGCCCGCTCGGAAATCCTTGCTGACATGCGGCGTGGCGGCTGACATGTGGCTTGAGAGTGTGTGTGTGTAATGTGGCAGTGGAGGTACCTAATGAAGGAGGTGATGATGAAGAAAACTATTGGCAATTTCTTATTTCTACTTGTCTTTTTCTTATTTTTTTTTGTTTCAAGGTTCATTTTTATATCGTACTCCCAACCATCTAGCACGCCGGATTTTTATGGGCTAAAGGGGCAAAAGAAATATGTATATGTCTACCGCAATCGTGTGAACTTAATCTTCCATGATACTAATAATCCCATCATTATGACTCGTCTTCTTTTTTCTAATTCTTACCAGGTACTATTCTTTCTCTTCTTCTTCTCTTCTTTGAGTAATCTCTCCCTTTCCAAAAAGTCCGCTTGTTCAACTCTCGATTGTTTGACATCGACGAAAAACAGCAAAAAGAGAAAACTCGCGAGACTGAGGGCGAAGAGGAAATAAAAGGGACTACTATTATTTCCCGTGTCGTCGATGATGGCCGAGGAGATGAAGGGGCCGATGAAGGAACTGGTTTTACCGATGATGGAGAAGAGGGAGAAGAAGAGGAATTCTTTGCCGCGGGGCGTGACTTCGGAGATCATCTGGATTGGGGAAAAGCAAGTTAGCGGAGACTTTTTCTTCTCGGATCGGAAAAAGTGGTGTGATTGGGTGCGGGGACGACGACGATAAGTGAAAGGAGGTAGGGGGAGCCATTTCCGAGTCTTTGGGTGGTGGTGGTTGGTGGTAGGCGGTAGGCGGTAGGTGTATGTCGCAAAGATCCGGGTCCGGGCCACGTTAAGCGCCACCTTTTTTTTATTGCATGACAGCGGAAAGGTGCAGATTGAAAAGCCGCTGTCTCAATTTAATTGCGCACGAGTATGGAGATTTCTCTTTTCGTTGGGCAAAGTGATGTGCTGGCGTCTGCGGCGAGCCGTTAACAAAAAGGCCACGCCACGCGTGTCTGGTCTGTACGACTCACCTAGTGCTTGATGAGAGCTCGAAACCCACATCATCTGTGAGGAGTCGGGAACAAACAGCTACCCATGTACATGTGGTAGAGCAGGGCGGAGTGGAGATGGCCAGGTGCGTTGACAGCGGATACGAACATGCGACAACGAATGTCGTCAGGCAACTTAAGGTATAGGTACTGTACCTTATGCCCTCCCGACATGATCATGGTTGCGGGAATGCGGGTGAGATGTGTCAAAGAGCAAAGGAAATGAAGACCTACCGTCTGCGAGTACGAGTACCATGGACAGACAAACAATCCATAAAATACTTGGTAAACCCACACTTCCCATTTGTGGTGGAAGCCGAAGCGCTGTGTCCAGATGCCGATCATGCCCCAACCATCGAGCAGAATGATGCCCACAGCGACTGCGTTGAACATGGTTTTGGTGGAGAGTTGGAAGCGCTTCTGCACAAACCAGAACGCGAGAATGCCCACGCCCTGAGCAGCAATGCCGACGATCAGGAGATAGGTGAGCTGCAGTGTATTGTAGGCCACAATTTCATTCTGCAGGGTAGCAATGACTGTTACGGTGGTATTGAGCGAGTCTCCGAGCAGGAAGTAGCCTACAGTAAAACTCATCATCAGCAGTTGTGTGCAATGGGAGAATAACACGAACAAACGCTCTCCTTACCGATCAGGTACATGAGACTCTGACGAAGCTGCCAGATTTGTGTCAGAGCACGGTACAGCTGCCAGAAGCCGGCAATCACAATATTCATGCCTGGATCTTGTCCTGGTCTCCGCTTCTCGAGGAAGAACCACGGCAAAGCAACCAGAATCCAGACACCGGACGCGAACGCGATGAGCACGCTGAGACCATAGTTGTTCTTGGCGACGCTGGCATTCACATCGAGGCCGAACATGATGCCCACAATGATGACCAGAATGAAAATCTCCACGACACTTTGCACGATGAATGCGACATTGCTCAGCTCATTCCGCTTCATGCTGTCGGCATGGTCATATTCATCTCGTGTGATCTCTCCGTCCTCATACTGTCGCGCTTTCTCTCTCGTCTCTGGCGTGTTTCGTGCCAGGCCAGGAAATGCGGCCGTCCAATACGTCAGGCATAATTGATACGCGATCAGTCCCACCACGTACAAGCCCAGTCCAATCTGCCAGTCGTCCACCGTGTGCACTCCCAGCCAGCCAAAGCCAATCCCCCAGGCAATGAGCGAGAGCACAATGAGGATGTTGGGACGAAAAGTGCCAAAGTCGGCGTACGATCCCAAGACCAGGAAGATGACAATTTGGATGGCGAAGCTGATGCCGTTGCAGAGCAAGATGACGGAATTTATGGTTCGGTTCGATCCCGCAAAGTGCACAATCTGGTTGTCCGGGCCTCCAATGGCTTCGGCATGCTGATAGAGCAAGTTTTGTGCAGCAGTGGGAGCGAAGTTGAACAGGGTCAGACCATTGTTGCCCATATAATACCCGTACCACGCCCAGATCTCCGTCTTGGTCGTCTCGTAGCGCACATCAAATTGATCGGGTGCGACCGGTCGATCTTCTTCTTCCATGAGCTCTCCATCGTCCTTGTATATGGCGCCCTTGATGGGGTCCTCCGCTGTGGCAGCGACTTGCGCCAGACCTGGGTCAGTAGAGGCCATGGCTAGGTGGCCAGACGTTCTCGGGACGGGACAGACAGAGATTGTGGATGTGAGGAAGATAGGGAGAAATACAGATAACTTTTTTTTTCTTCACTACCTTACCTGACAGAGTATGTTGGCCGGCCCCGCTTCAACCATAAGGTAGTTCTACATTACCTACTAGTGACCAACAACAGGGCGAGCCGGGTGGGCTGCAGACTGTTGTCGAGGGCGTAGAACAGCGCCGCCGAATAGCCGTCTTGCTGTGCTTCGACATGGCGATTATTGTGGCTATATGGTATTGCCGGTGGCTCTGGACTTGGCCACGAACAAGCCTTTTGCCTCTAGCACTAGTTCCAGTCTTATCTCGCCGAGGGAATCCTCTTGTACCAGGTACCTCCCACCTCCCGGAACTGTGCTCTCTCGTCGAACTCGCCATCATCCATCTGTCACATACCTTGGGATGTCTTTCTCTCTATCTCCAGTCAACAACGAAACAAGCATTGCGAGGACACGAAGGATGTGCAATATGGATGAGGCTCGATGAGGAACATTCTTCGGTACATACCAGGGACATGAGTACCTTGCTGTATGCTGACCAAATCATGTCCAACTGCGACATCACCAACTCCATTTGCAGCATACCGGTCACTACCTACCTGTACCTCCTGGATCTGTCGCATGGGAACAGCGTAGGTGGTAGGTGGTAGTGTATTTCTCAGGAGGAGCGGCCAGTAGTGCTTCCAGTGGATTCATTCACTCCACGTGCCTGACTCTGCCATGGAAATTCTCCGTGTGTGAAGGAGCTCACATGACGCAGTTGGTCTTCTTCAGGTTCTAATCCCTGCATCAGGCAGAAAGCGCGAATCCCTCCGCTTGTTCTTGCCACAGACCCACAACAACCTACTTACCTATTTCACTTCATGACAAAATCAACAACACCACTCACTCTACCAACACCACTCATACCTGCAAAGCAGTATCGCATTACCTGAAACATCTTCACACAAGCACGATGAGACTCTCACTCCTACTCCCATTCTTCGGCGTCGTGGCTGCGCAGACGGTGTCCCATCAAGGCTGCTACGGCTCTGCGGGCTCGCTCACCAGCCAGGGCACCTACATCTACCAATCGACTGGCTATTGCGCCGTCAAGTGCAAGAACAACGGCAAGGCTGTCATGGCTACTACCAACGGCACTGAGTGCTACTGCGGCGATGCATTGCCAGCAGCAAGTGACAAAGTGGAGGACTCGAAGTGCAACACGCCATGTGTCGGCTATCCAATGGATACATGTAAGATTGTAACAGCAGACTCGAGAGATCCATAAACTGACGGTTATTTCAGGTGGCGGAGCCGGCTTCTTCTCTGTGGCAACGTTGTCCGACGGCACTACCGGCGACGGCACTACCGGCAACGCAACTTCCGTTGCGACGACCGCATCAGCTTCAGCTGTCCCGCCGGTGATCGCAAACCCTGGAGTGAGCACTGCGGCCATGACTTCATCGGGTGCATCGATCGCATCGACCGCATCGACTACGTCGAGTGCATCGAGCGCATCGAAGGCATCGGCTTCATCGACTTCCACCACGGCAAGCTACACTGGCGCCGCCGCTCATGCTGTGGTTGGCAACGGAGCGCTCGCAATGGGCGCGCTGCTCGCCTTCCTGTAAACACATCTATGGGAAAGCGCAAAAGATGAAGCACGATGGTGAAGGAGACCCTTTGTGCGACTAGCGCCTGAGTTCTCAGCTTGGTACTTGGTGCCTTCTCCCCACTTCTGGGCACCGTCTGCTCTAGTGTACGGCGTCTATCCTACCGGGAGCGATTTCCCTACCATGAGCTCGACAAGGTAGCCATTGGCGGTCGAGAATCAAGCGCTTTGTTGGAGAAAGGTGACTAGAATACAGTCTATGAGAAATCGACAGGACAGAAATGCAACAGCTTTCCAAATTCGTCTTGATTTCTGTTGAGCGTAGATGATCAAATCATGTAACATTGAACATGCTGATATCCGTCAAAGCCACCGATTCCGCTCAAAAGCCCAATTTTCGCCACGCACAGCATTCCATACAAGAAAAGACATGAAGTTCCGACATCTTCCCAATCTATCCCGGCTCGCCTACCGTGTGACTTGGCTCAACTCCAATGCACACGCTTCCCATGTCCTCTCGGTCGTCTTCCCCGATCATTCCTAAGCAGCACAGCAATCTCGTCAGCCAAACATATGACTACATGTAACAAGCAAGAGAATACTAGGTATGAATTTTTCCCCCCTTTTTTTAAAAAAAAAGAAAAAAAAAAAAAGAACCAAAAAGAGAAAAGAGACACTCACATGCCCAACGCCTCCATCTCTCTCCCCACCCCCCACAAATAAATCGGCTCATGACATCTCGGACAACCCGCCTGCGTCCGATCCGCAGCAGCAGCAGCAGCACCCGAAGGTTGTTGTTGTTGATGTGATGGTAATGGTGGTAATGCTAACATCGGTGGTCTGCTCGTACGACTATGCGAAGCCCCCGCCAAAGGCGCTCGACCCGTATTCCGAATTCCATGTGCTCGACAACGTGGTGTGAAACCTCTTCCGGGGTTGTCGGGGCATCGGGTTTGGATGTTGCCGTTGTGCCCGCAGCGGCAGCGGATTTGGTGGATGAGGCACATTTTTTCGGGGTGGGGTTGGATGGGAGGGATGGGAGGGAGGGATGTGGTTGATTTTGGCGAGGGGTTGTTGGTGGACCAGAGTGTACGATATGGGTGGTGGATTGATTGGGTTGTGGTGTAGTTGAGGAGGAGGAGGAGGAGGTGGAGGAGGTGAAGGTGAAGGAGAAGGGGATGGGATTGATTGAATATATAGAGAGGGAGAGATATACACTACATAGTATTCTACACCGCATTATATACATTATGCAATATGTCCAACGCTCGATGCAACATGCCATATGGACAGTACAATATTGAAGGTACCTTACAGAGATCTTAAGATCATTTTCTTTCTTTCTTTCTGCTTCCCTACTTACCACATACTATACATATTTCTGATTTCGTGCGTGGCCAGAAAAAGCGTTGGTGAATAGTTAGGGGAGGGATGGGGGAGGCTTGTGCGACGCAAATCTTCTGGTGCCTGAACTTGAGAAGCTGAAGTGTATAGTTAATCTGTTATATAAGGCATGTCCGAGGAGACATATGTGATGATGGGAAGATGATGAGTCCAAACCTTAACCCGTGGGAGAAATGGCGTAGGTAAAGAGGGTGGCGAGACGCTGATATATGTATCTGGTCGTTGGTCTTGATCATATGAATAAGGTATAATGATAAGGTAAGTTAGGAGGTACCTTCTGGATTCGTGGTAAGCTCTGAGACAAACTGTGCAGATCTGCCTGCGTCACAGAGTAATGTCATGATGAGAGGCAGCCCGCCGCTGATTTTTACATATCCATTGTGGCACTGATGACAAAATTAACTTCTTTTCGAATAAAATACAATCCCCTGTCTCTAACAGTTGCGTCCACCAGTCACACTGATCGTCTGACCAGATACATAACTGAACAACGGACTGCACACCGCCATGACGGCCGCTGCGGCCTCGGTAGCAGAACCTGGTCTGCGAAGGGGAATATCCGCATATGCAGCCGCACTAGCACTGTCTTTTTGCTTTTGTGGGATTCCCAAAGCGATCTTCTCGCCATCTGCTGTTGTGACAAATGCTCCTTCTTCTTTGGCCGCCGTGAGTCGAGTTTGAATGTGGCCGAATGCGATTGTGTTGCATCGGACGCCGAATGATGGGCCCCATTCTTTGGCGATGGCTTTGGTGAGGCCTGTTACGCCGGCTTTGCTAGAGAAGTGGGTGAATACGAGTTAGTAACTATGCCAGACGCACGCTGGGAAGGGGGGAAGGGATGAAATCAGGGGGTTTCTTACGCGAATGCGTAGTTGGCCTGGCCGGCATTGCCATGGATTCCCGAGGTGGAGGAGATGTTGACGATGCTACGTGGTTCGCCGTCCTTGACACGGAAGTAGGGAGCGGCGGTTCGGATGAGCTTGAAGGGAGCTGTTCCGTGCAAGGCCACGATGGTATCCCATTGCTTGTCGGTCGTCTTATGGATGACTCCGTCCCATGTGAAGCCCGCGTTGTTTACTGGTGTGCCGGGTCAGGACTCTTTAGCTACACCCTCTTGTGAGGTGGGATGATTCGCGACCCTTCATACCGATGATGTGAATTTTACCACCCCCAAACTCTGCAGCCTTCTTCACCAGATCCTTGATGTATTGGTCGTTCAGGATATCGCCTGGGACGTTGATGGCCTTGCCGCCGCTCTTGTTGATCTCATCGGCTACCGCTTGGCCCTTCTCTATGCGACCCAGTCAGTTTCCGCCTCTACTCCTCTTGCTTCTCCTTCTTCTTCTTCTTCTTCTCCTCCTCCTCCCCTTCCCCCATCACCACGCATTGATGTATCCTGTCTCCCACTTACTGCCATCGATATCGGATACAACGACGTTGGCACCCTCGTTCGCAAACAGTCTCGCTGCTTCAGCTCCAATGCCCTGCCCGGAGCCTGTGATGATGGCAGTCTGGCCGGCAAACATGCCACTGGGGTAGTTGAGCTTCGCAGGCATGGTGAAGATGGCAGGGTGTGTAATATGCAGGACAGCTCGATGAAGGAAGAGATGTTTGTGTGTGTGAGAGAGATAGTCACTTACATAGCAGCCTACAGTGGTACATATATTTCGATGGCATGCTTCGGTACACTGGGCTCATGGCACCGGCAAATAATGACAGAGAACCGAGGTCAAAGGAGCTACGAGCAGGGTAGAACTATTTGCCTGGGAATGTTTCACGACACGACTTGAGCCTGAGGCACTCACTAACTTGGATATAGCCTCTCGAGGTCATTAGGTGATTAGGTCTTAGCAGATTGTTGGCCGTTTAGCCGGCTCAGGCTGACATATATGTTGGCCGGTATTCGTTCAGCTCTCTCGAGCCCATGGACGACATATTCACAAGCTCAACAACATCTATCATACAATGGCGCCTCTGATGAACGACGATAGGCGCGAAGAACAGTGCCCGACAGCGCCTGCGGCATCCGATAATAATACATCGAAACCACGACTCCTCATTATTGGCGCTGGTTCGCGCGGCAATGCTTATGCTCGAGCGACAGTCGATTCAGGTTTGGGAATAGTGGCTGCTGTAGCCGAGCCTGTTCAGTTCAAGCGCAGACTCCTCGGATCACGATATATTTGGCCCTCTAATGATCCCACTCCAGAGCAAGAATTCAGCGACTGGAAGCAGTATATCAAGTATGAACAACAACGACGCAAAGACGAGGCTGCTGGTGTTCCTGTACCACCCGGCGTCGACGGCGTCTTTGTGTGCGTACACGATGAGCATCACATCGATGTCCTGATGGCAATTGCTCCCTTGGGTTTGCACATTATGGCGGAAAAGCCACTGGCTACCACTCTAGCAGACTGCTTGCGGATTGAAAAGTCCATAAGAGCTGCTACAAATGACCGTATTTTTGCCATCGGCCATGTCTTGAGATACTCGCCACACAACATGCTTCTCCGACATCTCGTTCGCGAGAAGCAGGTCATTGGCGACATCCTATCGATTGAACACACGGAGCCTGTGGGGTGGTGGCACTTTTCCCATTCATACGTGCGCGGTCATTGGAGAAAAGAGTCCACCACTGCGCCTAGTCTGCTGACCAAAAGCTGCCACGACATTGACTTCATCCTGTGGATGCTCTGCTCGCCCCTATCCGGAAGCAAAGAGCCAGCTCATCTTCCTGCCCGACTCAGTTCCGTTGGCTCTCTGAAGCAATACCGACGTGCACAGAAGCCAAAGGAAGCTGGAGATGCCACCAATTGCGTTTCCTGCCCTATCAGCAATACATGCAAGTACTCTGCAACTCGCATCTACCACGAGAAGCATCTGGCGAAAGGAAATGCCAAGTGGCCCGTCGAGATTGCGAATCCCGAGACTGAGCACATTCTCGAAACGCAAGGACCAGAACAAGCCAAAGCAGCTCTACTGCAGACTCTCTCTGAAGACTACGACGCAAAAACAACGCCTGTGCCCCAAATCGAAGGCAGATCCTGGTACGGCAGATGCGTATGGGAAAGCGACAACGATGTCTGCGACGACCAATACGTAACCATCGAATGGGATGACGACGACGACGACCAATCTTCCAATCTGAGAGCAAAAACCGCTTCCTTCCACATGATTGCCCAAACACTCTCCCAATGCGAACGACGCGGTCGCATCTATGGCACATCGGGCGAGATTTCCTACAACAGCAAAACCATCACACTGCACAATTTCAACGACGATACCACCCACGTCTATCATCCCGAAGTCCCCCAAAACTCGCACCATGGCGGCGGAGACCATGGTTTGACGCAACAGTTTCTCAAAGCGATTGCGGCGAGCAACAGTGGCGAGATGAGTGTTCATGCGGCGCAGGTGGAATTTCTGGGATGTACCATGGAAGAGATTATCAGGTCGCATGCAGCAGTTTTCGCGGCGGAGGAGGCTAGGAGGGAACGGAAGGTGGTGGATTGGCGGGAGTGGTGGCAGAGAAATGTCGTCGATGTCGAGTCTATATGTACTTGAGCGTGTTTGTTAGAGCATCTGTATAAGGCAACAAGAGAGATGAGGTTCACGCGCCGCTTCACTTTACTTCATTCTCTCAGACTGCTTCCACTTTGATACATCGCACCCTGCATCAGGCCTTGCGTAAGGCCTCTGACAATCCGAAGGAGGAAACTAGAATTATAACAGTTACCGTTCGTCGTATATAAGCACGTCTGGCATAGTGAGCAACAAGCCCAAGCATTGACAATGCTGCAGAAGACGTGTAGAGGCTCTGTTTCGACGTACATGAATAATTAATTACACAGTATATGGGATGACGATATGTACGCAACAAAGGTTGAGATGGAGAGTTTACTCCGTCGTCATTATTCACTCCGACTTGTAGCTTCAACCTCCGACCCGAGAATCCTTACCAGATTTTATCGCACTTCCTCTGCTTCCACTTCCATCCACACAACCATCTCAGCACCAGCACCAGCAACATCCGAACCTCCCACCCTCCCTTTCACCATGCCCGAAACACGCTCCAAAGAAAATCTCGTATGGATAGACTGCGAAATGACAGGACTAGACATTGAAAAAGACACCATCATGTCCCTCGCCTGCTTCATAACCGACTACCAACTCAACCTCCTCGACCCAACCGGCTACGAAGCCATAATCCACCATTCCCCCTCCCAGCTCTCCGCCATGGGAGAATGGTGTACCTCCCACCACGGCTCCTCAGGTCTCACACAACAATGCCTCACCTCCAGCACAACAGCAGCCACAGCAGCCTCCGAACTCCTCGCATACATTCAAAAATTCTGTCCGGAGCGCAAACGAGCGTTATTAGCAGGAAATACGGTCCATGCGGATAAAATGTTTCTGAGCCAGGAGCCTTGGAGACAAGTGGTCAAGTGGTTACATCATCGAATTTATGATGTGAGTGCGATTAAAGAAGCTGCGAGAAGATTTGCGGATGTGGAAGTTTTGAAGACGAGTCCCATGAAAAAGGGTTTGCATGAGGCTAAAGCGGATATTTTGGAGAGTATTGAGGAGGCGAAGTGGCAGAGAGATGTCTTTTTTAAAGGCAAGGAGGTTGGTGGGACGTGACTTTTATTATCAGATGCTGCAGAAGCGGTAGATGCAGTTGGGGTGGTGGAGCAGCAACGGCAACAGCAACACCAACACCAACATTACTGGAACGGCTATAAATGGATCAAAAAAATCCGCGACCCGAGAAAAACATTCTCCACCCTCGCATGCGGGAATCGCAGTAGCAGAATCTTTCCCTGCCCACAACGAAGACTCTACTATACACACAACCCCCCAACCAACTGGATCCATTTCGCACGCGCAATGAAGCGGACTCGACTCCCCTGGCGGATATGAAGGTTGAGATGTTCAAAATCAACCACATCTCAACGAGGCGGACTCGACTTCCCTGGCGGATATGAAGGTTTAAGATGTTGATTTCAAAACCATCTCAAGGGATTGTTTGCGAGCGGAATGGCGAGTGAGGGATGATAGCCTAGCCTAGCCTAGCCATTGGCCGAGTCTGGGCGGAGAGAGTAGCAATGCGCAGCAGTATGCATGTTTTGGAGAAATAATGGCTGTGCTGTGCTGCGCTGGCTGGATTCAGAGGGGTTAGGAAGGGTTTTGCGGGTTTTGAGTGAAGAAGAGGAAGTGAGTGAGTGGCTGATACCTAGATTGCGGGGTGTGAGTGACTGGACCTAGTCAGATCACGAGGTATTGCGATATGGCGATCATATTGTTAATAGTGAGATGAGAGAGAATGATCTCTGACTCATATACATATGACCTCGTCGAATTCTTTGCCAAATATTAATGAATACCAAAAGGTATACTCACCAGACACCTCCGCAATGCAATTTTTTCCCATCTCTCTCTTCTCTTCTTCTCTCTCTTCTCACATCTCTTCTCTAAATCGGCTCATCCCTCGGCTCAATCAAAATCTCATTCACAGCAACATAATCCGGCTGCTTCAACCCAAACACAATGGCATTCGCCACATCAACCGGATCCAAAATCTTCGCCCCACTCGGCTGCCCAAATTTTTGAATCGCTTCCGCATCCGTCGACATGCCCAATAAATCCGTTTGAGTATTTCCCGGTTGGACAGACGTGACTCGTAAGCCTTTGCCCGCAGTTTCCAAACGGAGAGATTGCAGAGTGGCTTCGACGAAAAATTTGCTGGCAGAATACACGCCCAAGCCGGGAAAGACTTTGCGGCCGGCGTCGGAGGAAATGGCGACGATGTGACCTGTGCCGCGATCGAGCATGCTGGGGACGGAGGCGGAGAGGCAGTGGAGGAGACCTTTGCAGTTGACGTCGACGGTGGTGTTCCATTCTTGCATTTGGACGTTGGCCATCATGGTGAAGTACATGACGCCGGCGCAGGAGACGAGAATGTCGACGGGTCCGAGTTCTTTTTCGGCCGTTTTGAAGAGGTCGTCTACTTGTGCTTTGTCGGTGACATCGGTTTGCTTGATGATGACTTTGCCTTCTCGGACGACTAGGCGGCGCTTGAGGTTCTCGAGGGCTGCTGTACGTCGTGCGGCGAGGACGAGATGGCATCCTTCGACTGCGAGAGCGGATGCTACAGCAGCACCAATACCGGATGAAGCGCCTGTGATGACTGCCACTCGCCCCGTCAGGATGCTCTTGCGAACGGAGAGGGCTGATCCGCCAGGAGCGCTGTTCCGGAGAGGTGCTTGGTTCATCCAACCTCGTGCAAACCAATGTCGAGCATACGTCTCGAGGAGCACGCTGTCCACCTTGGGCCGCTCCACAATAGCACGATAGGGTCTCGTTTGAGCATTGTTGAGTACGACAATGTCGCGCAGGAAGCCAACACTCGGCATTCCGCTCCGCATGATGTCGACAGTGAAGGCTCCATCGCCACCCTTGGCAGATCCTCTCTTCTCGGTCCACAAGTTCACCCACTCGTCAAAGTCCATTGGCTCAGTGGGATAGCCCAGCTCGGCGAAGTGCTCGAACACGGTCTTGGTCTCGATGGGATCGGGGTCACCGAGATGGAAGACCAGCTGTTTCGCGTGTGTCTGGTTCCCGAGGTGGACAATGGCTTTGCTGACGAAGTCGACTGGTGTCATTTCTGCCCGCCAGCCTTGAACATTCGGATAGAACCCGAGGTGAATGGACTCGACGAACAATGCAGTGAGGAGATCCCATGCATTGGCTGCACCAGTCATGCTATGCCCAGAGATGGTTCCAGCGCGCAAGATCCTCACAGGAAGACCACGACGCCCTGCCTCGAGTACGAGCTGTTCAGCAGCCCACTTCGTTTGACCATAGCCATCGGGGATTTTCTCAGGAACAGCGTCGACGTACAACATGGCATCTTCAGGCCAGCCGTGCCCCGACTCAGACGGTGGCAAGACTCCGTTGGTCGATACATACTGCACTGTGGCGCCTCCCAGACACGCTAGGCGGAGAATCTCTTTCGTGCCATCCACATTGCTGCCCCGTAGCGCGGCGTATGGGTACACCAGATTGACCTGAGCAGCAGCGTGAACGATGACCTGCACTCTCTCTCCAAGGTCATTAAACTTTTCTGGCGAGAGACCGAGTCGCTTCCGGGGCAAATCACCAGGCAACACCTCCACACGCTCCATGATGGAGTCGCTCCATAGCCCCAGATCGATGAGATTCTTGCGTAGTCTGGCAGTACAGCTTGGCTTGTCTTCTTCCAGCGCGTCTGGCGATCGCACCAAACAGATAATCTTGGCCGATGTGCTCTCTAGAAGTTCGTTGAGCAGGAATGCGCCCAAAAACCCAGTCGATCCGGTGAGCAATACAGTCTTCGCATCCTTGAGAGAGCATATCTTGGCATTGTTGGGCTCAATGTCGCGATCCAGGTAAGAGTCTTTTCGTAATGCAGCAGGTAAGTCTGATTGTACTGCAGCGATTGTGCCATCTCGTACTTCGCGAACCGTGAGCAAGTGACTTTCGAGCGTAGGCGGATCGGCTAATCGTCCTACTGGCATACGGAACCCAAATCGTCGGGATAGTTTCGCAGCCAGGGCGGCGAGTGATAGAGAGTGGCCACCAAGGTCGAAAAAGCTGTCTTCTGGCTTGAGCGATTTTTGAGAGACGCCCAAGGTTGCCGCCCAGATTTCTGCTACATCTTCGATACTGATTGGGTCTTTGGCAGGCTTTTCGCCATTGGCTGCCTTGGCAGGAATCGGAGATGGTAAGCTCTTCAAGTCGATCTTGCCCGATACACTGTGTGTGGGCAGCTCGTTGAGCGCAACCCATAGTGTAGGAATCATATATTGCGCGAGATAAGGTGCAACGATCTTTCGTGCAGCAGAGCTGTGGTTACTCTCATCAACTTCCACAAACGCGCGCTCACTCGTGGCCTCCTCGTCCTTAACGAAATATGCCACGAGTTGTCGCTCCAAACCCTCTCCATATGCAGTGACTACGCATTGCCTCACACCCAAATACTTGGTAATAGTGTCCTCAACTTTGGCCGGCACAACGGAGTAGCCTCGAAGCTTGATCATAGTTCCAGTACGTCCGGTGATCTCCAGAAGCCCGTTCGTGTGCAGGATTGCGAGATCTCCGGTCCTATACATGCGTGCATCAGGGTTGCTGCTGTTGTATGGGTCTGGTAGGAATGCTGCAGCAGTACTCTCAGGGCGGTTCAGATAGCCTCGAGCGAGCAGAGATCCGCCAACATAGAGCTCACCGCTCTTCCCAGGTTCGACCTCCTTGCCGTCCTCGTCCAACAAGTGAATGAAGTCGGGCTCCATTGGTTTGCCGACCGGACAGTTCAACATGTCATCGTTGATCATTTCTCCAATGTCACCACAAGCGATCTCGTGTGTTTCGCAAGCACTATAACAGTTGAGCAATCGCACTTTGGGCATCGCTTTCAGGGCTCTACGAGCTAGATCTGTCGTCACAACCTCTCCATTGAGCCACAACGAACGTAAACCTGACAGCCTGGAGCCGATATCAGGAAATCGGGCAAGAACAGCAGCCAAAAGGGTTGGTGTCATCAGCGTTTCGGTGATCTTCTTGGCCACTAACAGCTGCACTAGTGCTTGCGGGTCATAGCTGACTTCGTCCGGCACTGTCACGACTGTAGCACCGCGTAGCAATGGTCTGAAGATTTCCCATACGAAGAACACATTACAAGCCACACGTTCGCCGGGCTGGACGTCTGATATGCCAAATCGAAGATTGTAGGATAGCACAGAAGCACGATGCGGATTCGCGATGCCCTTTGGCTTTCCAGTAGTTCCAGATGAATATGCAACGAATGCCAATTTCTCCAGGTCGCTGGGGTCTGAGACATTGTCGTCCTGCTCGACGTGACCATTCGTCAAACCTTCTCGCTCTTCATCAAGCACGATAAGAGGGATCTCGGGCTTGATCTTGCCGGTCTCGGATTCGTTCAGGATGACCACGGTGGGAGCAGCGTCTTCAATGACATCCGCGAGAAGGTCTGGGGGATAAGCGAGTTCCAGCACAAGATATGCCCCTCCAGCTTTGAGAGCAGCAAGACAGGCGATCACGTAGTCAGCACTTCTTGGTAGTAGCACACCCACGAGGCTATCTCGTTTCACTCCATGGAGGCGTAGTCTTCTGGCAAGGTCGTTGACCTTTGTTGCAAGTTCCGAATACGTGTATGTTGCCTTTTCATCCTCGAGAGCAACAGCGTGGGGAGATATCTGGACTTGCTTGTCGAAGAGGGCAGACAGGTCCTTGGTCGTGTCGATGACTGTCATTTTTAGTGTGGCTGCATCTGAGTGTATGTGAAGAGATCTGGTATTGGTCAAGAAGTTTTATTTAACCTCAGGCCCATCGGTTGGGAAAGTCTCACCCGCCATGCAAGGTGCGCGACGAGCCGCACAAGAAACGTCACAATCAAGATACTACTTCTTCTTCTAGTAAGGTACCTTTAGGCAATTGTATGGTCATTAGGTACCTCAGGTATGTACGGGGTGGGCTCTGGCCTCCTCACTGACCTACCGATACAGACTGGTGTTCATATAACGGGATGGTGTGGTATGCAGGAAGAGGAGTGGGACGCTGGCTGCAGATGTGCTGTGAGATGACCGACAAGGGAAGGGCAATTCAGCCATATCAAGATATTATTGTCGCTGCCACCACACAATGAAAGTTTCGCACAGTGCGAGCGGTATTTTCCTTGGTTCAGTGACCTCACCGCCGGGCGACAGACAGGTTTGCGTCGAGTAGCGCGGTTGGTCTTGCCAGGCTAATCCACACTGCTGTCCCAGGTGAGCAGCCGATTGGTGATAGGCGAAGACATGGGAGCCAGAGAACTATTCTCTTTCGAGCGAGGCAGGCCGAGGGCGGAGAGACGTGCCAAATGGCCGCAAGTACCACCTACAGACACCAACCTGACCGAGTTCTGGGTAGTTTCAATGTACACCTCATGCAGACATGTGCTGGCTCATACATTGTGTTATCATCAATTACCAACACTTGGTGTAGCTGGCCAGTCAACTTGCAAGTTCTGGCTTGCTCTTGGACCCTTGGCCTCGATGTCGTGCTCGGAGCTGCAGATGATGAGATGACAGCACCCTGAGAGCTCATGCCATATCGGCTCTGTAGCATTATTATTATCAGGTATTACTTGCTGGCAGATTCTGCCGATGCAGAAGGCATGAGCTTGACTGCGATATATTTGAGCTGCCGGGTGTGTTGCTCGTTGTTTGATGGAGTACCAGGGCCTCGAGAAGCGCCAAAGACTGTTTCTCAGGCGTCGGGGGACACATGGCTGTGGAAGAGAGTAGTAGGGCATGCTAGGGGGGAACCTCCCGAAGAGTGAGGTTCTGGTTGACTGCCCAATTACCTGCCAGACGAGGAAGAAGGCAAAGAGGATGAAAATGGGAGAGATTTAGAAGAAAAAGGACTCAAGGGGTGCAGTCTTCAAGCTGAGATCTATGATCGCCACATATACACACGTGATGTGAGCATGCCCGCAGAAGTGACAACTGACAGGCGACCATGGTTTTATTACATCTATTAATGACGAGGATGTGCTTTGGGTAGGTAACAATGTGATTTTACCTGAAGACACTGTACACATTGTACATTGCCTGTCTCATGGTATGAACTACATGCACTCCAGAGCTGCTGTGTCATCACACTCTCACCTTGCATGAAGCATATGCTCTTGCAGTATGCGCAACGACATCATTGCGTAGTCAAGATACATGTAGTAATAGTGACAAGATAGGCAGGTAACTCATCCTTCTGCTGCTGCTGCAGCAGCAGACTGTTGACCAGGTCGGAGCACCGCGAGCTGATCGAGGAGCGAGATTGCACCTTCCACGTCGTCCTTATTGTACAGGAATAGGCCTTGCAACGCAGCAGTGCTGACATTGCCAATCAGATCTAAGCTCTTCGACTTTTGTAGGAATCTTGTCCGCGCCACACCATCCGGATCCTTGTCAGCATAGAATCGATCCCATAATCTCGCCATCTGCCACTCAGTGGCATGACCGAGATGAAGAGTCATGTCAACTCTCCCAGGTCTGATCAGAGCATCGTCCAGACGATCGATGTGGTTGGTCGTCATCAGAATAATTCGCTCTTCGGCACTGGCCACGCCATCCAGAGCGTTCAGAAGTCCTGAGTACGTGACATTTGCGCCAGTATAGCCGTCTCCCTCCACTTGTCGACGATTCGCAAACGCGGCATCTGCATCTTCGAGCAGGACCAAAGTGCGAGCAGGAACGTTCAAAAGGAGATGATTCAACTTGTCATCGGTAAGACCACGCTGGCTGAGACTCAGCATGGCGATGTTGAAGTCCAGTTTACCTGCAAGGGCTTGGACAAATGAAGTTTTGCCAGTACCTGGCGGGCCATATCTGGGATCACTATTAGTTCTGATAGTATGCTGTAAGAATCATTTGCAAAACATGGCAGAGCATACAGAAGATAACCTCGGCGATATGGAATGCCACGATCAAGGTACCATGTGCGAGCATGCAAGAACTCCTGCACATCATTCAGGATGCGTTCAGATAGTCCCTCTTCCAAGACGACGGAATCGAAGGGCCGCCGCCGCTTGGGCTGACCAGATTCCTCCCAGCCCATGTTACGAGTGGTGTAGACGACAGTCTTGCCTTCGGTCCTCTGCATTGCCATTGCCTGTGCTTCGCGGAATATATCCTCAAAGATATGGCGATAGGCATACAGAGTAGTCAGCTTGACCGTCTCGAATGGCTGACCGGTGTTGTCGAAGCTCCGGCCGACACGCTCCCGGTTCACAGCGATGAAAGCATTCTTGTAGCGCAGGATGTGCCTGCCGTGTCCTGGAACCAAGGCGAAGGCGGTCTGCACTGAGCCGCCCGCAGTCTTGATGACATCCGTGTTGATTTGGAGATGGTGCAGTCCCGGGGTGAAACGTTGAATGAGTCGTTCCAGCGCACCCGATTGTTTGCCATTGGGCGGGAGAGCAAGTTGGTTCTGATAATGGCTCGTCATCCAGTCCAGGACCCACGGATACGACTTGTCATGTCTTGTGATTTCGAGGTCCACCAGCATACGATGCCGCAGCACGTCGCCGGCTCTCCTCAGGCCTTGCGATCCATATCTCAGAGCGGCTCCCAGACCAGCAAGGCCAAAACCTGCGGTGAAGAAGGGGTTGCTCAGCAGCTGCGACCATACTGAGGCATCGGCGGTGCCAGTACCAACGTCGGCAAGCTGTTTGAGGGCATCCTGTCTGGCGGCATGGGCATCAGCTATGGGTGGCGTGGCTGAGCTCGATCCATGTTGATCCATTCAGAGGCGACCAGTGGCGGCGACGGCGGCGGTGACGGTAACAACGGCGGCAGGCAACATCCGTGGGCGCGTCGAGGTCGGAACAAGTGGAGAACAAGTGCAAAGTTGAAGTTGATATGAAGCAGTTCTCTCCATCAGACGCGCGCGAGACAAGCGATGGCCGCTGCCCGCTGCCCGCTGCCGCCCCGCCCCGCCCCTCCCGTTTTCCCCATTAATCCCTGGGCGGGACCTGGCGCCTGGCGCGAAAGGCTCCACAGTATTTACATGTAAGGTACCTTATCTCTCTCTCCCTCATCATGGGCATGGCTTCCTCTCGTGGATAAGATGGTGGTAGGAGGGAGGGAGGTACCTGTAAGAAAGAGAGAGAAACACCCACACCCACACACCCACACTCTCTCTCTTTCTCTCTCACACACACGCACACACACACACACACATTCACCCACACACCAACACCCATCCACTCCACAACAACAACTACATCACAATGGCGACTCTCATGACGGACCCGCAAATCACGGTCGACAAGTCTTATTTCGACGCCTTACTGCGCAGGTAAGCATGGCATGCATATCCCCAGCCGTTCGCCCAGCTCCCAGGATGCATGCTCCTATTTCTAGCACTACCTGACCTTAGTACCTTACCTTATCCCATCTTGTTGTTGTCTGCCATTAGCCGCCGACCTGACCTGATCTGACCTGACCCGTTTGTGCCATACAGAGCCGATGTTGTGAGCATTCCATGATCCATCAATTGCTTAAATATCACCACCACCACCACCACCACCACGAGTACACTCTGCTGTGCCCACTGTCCACCAGCTGACATGGCCCTCAAGCACCCTTCGACTCCTCATCTTCTCGCCCGTCACGATGCAGTCGGCGTCACCATTTCGAGACCCGAATACGACAGCCTGGTAAGTCTCCCATCTCGCCACCTATCCGGGACCCACGGCATCTGGCATCTCGTTAATCGTCTGGACAGCTGCGCGACTCGCGGGAATTCCAACTACTCAAGAACGCGCTGTTCAGTGGAGGCATCACGCCCGACACACTTGCTCTGCTTATCGCTGGCACCGCTCAAGCCGCACAGAAGGAGTGCAACTCCACTGTGAATGCCTGGGCAGACGACTTCGACGACTCGTCGCCGACGACCTTGCAGCCCGCACCGCCGCCACTCCACCATTATGGAACATGCAGCTCCATTCCCTGGAAATCCGGCGTGTCTGTTCCTACTTTCAGTCTCGCACCTGGCAACGCCGTTTGCCACAATGAAGCACGCTCGCCCATCCAGCCCATGACGCACCGCACCTTCAACAATGCGTCTGGTCCTCAACGTCTCGCTAGTTATGGCGCGCATCCGTCTTGTTACATGGAAGACGCCTGTGTGGACGAAGCCGATAGCCTGTTGGATGAGGGTCCCGACGTGGAGGAAACAGATGCCAAGACCGGCCAGATTCTGCGAACGCTGTACTTCACCGGCTTCAATAGCCGGACCACCTATCGTGATTTGTGCTCCGTCATCAAGGGCGGCAAGTTACTCAGCATATCTATGCGCTCAGAGAAGAGCGCGACAGTGACCTTTCTCGACGCGGCCGCAGACTACCTGGCATGGGCCAAACGAAACGACGTCTATTTGAATGGGAGGCGCGTCGAGGTTCGCTGGGCTGAGCGTCAGTACAAGCTCAACGGGCACATTCAAAACAAAATCGACAGTGGAGCCACTCGCAATCTTCTGATCCGTAACGCAGTGGAAAAGGGCTTCACTGAGACCCAGATCCGGGATGACATGGAGCACATCCACAACCTTGTCGTGATCGAAGTCCGATTCATCGGTGGCAGTGCATATGTGTATACCAACTCGATCCCTAATGCTCTGTTCGCGAGGACGTGTATGATGAGCCGAACGACCTACCGAGGCTGCAAGATCTCCTTCTTCCCTGATGAGTGCGATCAGCCACTGCCAGCTCGTGCCGTGGCGCCCAAGGCGATGCCGATGGAGTCAGCCAGCAGAAAGGCGCCTCCACTTGCAAATCGCTTCGATATGCTGAATCTCGATGGCACGAGCTCTGTGTCCGGCAGCAGTGACGAAGAGCATCGCACGCCCGAGCAATCGTCGTTGCCAGACGACGAGGAGGAGGATGAGGATGAGGAGGATGCCATCGGCTACACCTCACGCCATGGCGTCAGCCTTCATTTTCTGGACTCTGACAGCACAACGTGAGACTCACCTAAGCTCTCCTCTCGGGGCTTCAATTCCCATGGTTGGTGGAGAAGCTACCATGTTGACAGTCGTACAGTCGTGACACGACTTTTTAGTTTCGCACGAGCGCGCACATGGAGTCTACAAGCTGGTAGAATGCATTTTAGAGCGGCGCACAGGGATTCACGGGTTTGGAAGTTGGTATAGCAGACGGGCGTTGTTGGTGGACAGTAAGTATGCTAGAGATACCCCATTAGCGTGAACAGATTTGGTACTTTGATGACGCACAATACTGCTCGAAAAGGGACATTGAGTGTGATTACGACTCTTCCTGTATGAGGGTCTCTTCTTTTTCGTATCCTCTTTGCGTCCTTGTGGAATGCCGACCCTCTGAGAACCATGATCGATGCTTGTGATGCGCGGTGCTGGCTCCAAGAGTACCTAAGGTAGGTGACCATGAGCAATGACTGACAACAGATCTGAACATGCCACGCGATAGTCTGGACCAGCGGTAGGGAGGTACACTATTGCGGAGATGTTGTTGTCAGAAGAAAGCAATCAAAAGTGTTAAGTTACAATGTATAGTCTGTGCGAAAACATAGTGGATATGAGTTACAGTATGATGAACCCGGAAAATTGGATTTTGGGGAATAAGAATTCCTGCCAAGTTTTTTCAAATCTCCCTACCTCCACCTTATTACATGGAAGTTGTAGAACACGTTACACAGGTATATACGTGTAGGAGGTAGGATTATCCCGTTTTGTCCACTTTTTATATTTCCGAGAAACTGGAGTCTGGAAGTTGACAAGTTGACAAGGATATTCTTCTCATTGATGATTGCTCTTTCTGTGTTGATGGATGACTTTCTCTCTTTGCTGATAGAGGACTTTTCATTTTTTCTTTGCCGCATTGATTTGCAGAGAATAATATTTTGGGTTAATTGATTATTATCTAGGAACAGTACCTAGGTAACGTTGATTGATTGTTTGCTTTCCTTTCCCTAACTTCTCTTCCTCATTCCACGTGATATCTAAATTATTAAATTTTCTGTCATTTAGAGGTAAGGTACAGGTAATTGAATATCTGGGAGGTTTATCCTTGTTGAAGAAACCAAGTCTTAATAAGACTCTGATGAGGTACATTTCCTTCCTTTTCCCCGTTTTTTTTGTTTGCTTTTGATAGAGCCAAGTTATATCCTAGCAAGCACTTCCAGGTTGGAAAGGATACGGACATACGGTACGCCGGGTAGGGTACTTTTACTTGGATCTTTCTATACATGTAGCCTGTAGGTGGCCTTTTTGTTTGTTTTTTGTTTGTTTTTTGGGGAGATGCCTTGATTTAAGCTACCTACCTACCTTACCTACCTTACCTACCTGAGGTAAACGAATAATCTCGAAGTTGAAGTCGGAATTCGAAGTTGATGTTGATGTTTATGATTAATTAGTAAAGTAAAAGAAGCGAAGCAAAGCGAAGCAAAGAAACGCAAAGCAAGTCAACAAGAAAAAGACGAACAAAAACAAGAAAAAAGAGCAAGAAACAAGATGGCAACCACCACCGCCGTTTCCCGTTTCCACGAACACTTTTCCATTCGCAGTACTCGCAGCACCATCACCATCAACAGCGAAATCTCTTCTCCTTCTTCTTCTCCTTCTCCTTCTCCTTCATCGGACGACATCTTCAAAGCTCCTTCTCTCGTCAGTGTGATTCGGAATAAGGGACGATCACGACGGCGAGGACAGAGAGGAGGAGGAGGAGGAGGAATAGGAGGGATTTCTCGGAGTGGTAGTAGTAGTAGTGGTAGTAGTGGTGGGCATGATGGTGATGGGAATCATCATCATCATCATGACAGGAATAGGAATAGGAATCATGGCGAACGCAAAAAAGGTCGGAATCGAAGGTTATTGTTGTTATCTGGTGGTGGAGCAGGGGGAGCGGAGACTGGAAGGGGAGAAAAAGGAGCTACTCGATTAAGACCGACTTCGACTCTGAATTGCAATGGATTGGTTTTTCGAAATACGAAATTCGTGCCTCCGACGACGACGACGACGATCACGAAGAATGCTGCCGAGTATGAAGAGGACCATCATCATCAGCAGCAGCAGCAGCAGAACAATACCAAATCTCCAACCACCACAGGATTAGGTTTCTTACCATTTGCCGCCGTGATGAAAAAAGCTGCTTCTAGAGGACCACTGGACTGGAAAAAGAAATCTAATAACAAAGATGTGCAGATCACTGACTCGCCTTCTTCTTTCCCCAAGAACCTCCATCATCTGGAAACACCCAGTTTGGGAGCCTCTTCATTGGGAATTTCTTGTCTCCCTGACACAATTTTTGAGGTTGGGGATTCGGATTCTGATGATTTTGAGGGTTCTTCGGTGGCGACGTGGGATTATCCTATTCCTGTTGATGAAGTGGGGATGGGACATGATCATGATGAGGAGGGCTGGAGGGGTGGGGAAGTTGGAGGCAATGATGGGAATTGGGAGAGGGTGATTGTGATTGAAGAGGCGGTGGGGGGAGAAAGAGAAGATGAAGAAGAAGGTGGTGGTTGGGATGATGAGAGGAGGAATCGAGAGTATCAGGGGACGAGATTGAGTGATGTTGTGGAGGTGACGGAGTTGAGTGAGATTTTGGGTGTGCCCGCGCCAATGCCGATGCTGGGAGCAGGAGCAGGGGGAAGTGGAAGTGGAAGTGAAATGGTTGTTAGGGATTGGTCTTCTTCTTCTGGGGAGAGTGAAAGTGAAGGTGAGGAGGAGGAAGGGGTGGAAGGAGGAGGAGAGGATGAAGTGAAGAGATCGGATATGGGTACGTGGAAGGAAGTCTGAGCAGATGATGGAGAAGATGAACTTGGATGTCTTGAATATATCAGTCAGTAACTTTCTCTTCTTTATGCGGTGGCGCTGGATTTCAAGACCTTTTCTCTCTCGCTAACATCTCCCAGATGAGCGCAAGACTATGTCAGAAGTCCTTATTTTCATAAGTTGAAACAGCAATAACGTCGTCAAATATCCCACTTCCAGAATATCAATTCCATTCTCCAAGACATACTCTCACATCATTACTACCAGCAGCAAATTTGGCCTTTCCCAAAGATACCTAAGCTACCCTTACTCATGCTTCATATTAATCACCTCCGTCTCAAGCGCCTGCTCAACCCCTTCCACATCGAGAACCTGTTTCCCCGTTCGAATCTGCTCAACATCAGGCACATCCGAGTGTTTATGGCCTTCAAAAATGGCATCAATTTCCTCCAGAGTTCTGCCTTTCGTTTCCACCCAGTACACCGCAATTAGAGCGATGACGATGATGTCCCATGAGCCGTTGATCATGTACATTCTCCAACCGATATTATCCAGCCCGATTGGCATGACGAAGACGAGAATGAGTCTGTGCATTTTATTTTTTGGTTAGTCTGCCAGCCCAGATCGGCTTGGGGAGAGAGAGAGGGAAGACTACTTACGCGAGCGCGTTGAGCATAAACGAGGAGAAAGCTGTGCCGTTTGCTCGAATGGCGTAGTTCATGACTTCGGTGGGGTAGAGGTACAAAAGGGGTGTCCAGGCAATAGAGTAGAACCCCTGAAAGAGGAACATGACTGCCACGTTACCATAGACCAAACTGGTGGAAGCCCCATCGGGATCGTCGGCGTAGATTTTGGCTAAACCGCCAATGATGAAGAGGCAGATGACTAGCAAGCCATAGCTGAGCAGCGCCGTAGGTTTTCTGCCCCAGCTGGCGCAGAAAAATGTTCCGAGCAGAGCACATCCGAGACACCATACGTTGAGAACGACGTTGGCTTTGAGCTGATCCAAGGAGTCCGTGACTCCCGCGGTGTCGAGTTCGGCTCCCAGGTAGTAAGATGCAATAATATTTCCTGCAATACAGGAAAAGGGCCCCGCGGACATTCCCACCAGCAATCTCTTGCGAGACACGGGATCTTTGACAATCTGCTTGGTAGTCAAAGACCTTTCCTTCTCAAACTTGAGCGTATCAATAATTTCCTTGTACACGGCCAACACCACCGGATCCGAAAGATCTCCATCCGCATTCGTCTGCGCAATACAAATTCGCGCTTCTTCGGGATATCCCTGATATACCAACCATCGAGGACTTTCCGGCACAAAGGGTAAAATCAAAATACACAAGCCCGAGAAAATCCCTTGAAAAAGCGACGGTGCTCGCCATGCCCACGTGGACTCCCATGTCCCTGTGCCCAGAGTCACTCCGGCGGCGATGAGTGCTCCGACGTAGTAGAAGTCGTTGAGAATCCCTACGCCCCATGCGCGATGTTTGGATGCGTATGTTTCGTTGAGATATACTGCTGCTGCTACGCCCGAGATGGCGGAGCCGAAGCCTAGAATTATTCGAGCGATTACGAACATGGCGATGTTTTGGGCTGCGGTTTGGAGGAGGATTCCTATGAGTGTGACTAGAGAGCCCCTGAGTTGAAGGGTGGATTTGATACGAAGTTAGCGGCTGATTCAATCAACAAACAACGTAACACAAAAGTTGGTTGCCACCACCACCACCACCACCACCATCTTTTTGCGCATTTTGCTTCTCCGTTTATATTCATCAACTCACCAAAAAATCGCCGGCCGTCTACCCAAACGATCCGCAATAACTCCCGCGACCAACGGACCAATAAAGCCTCCAATAAAAACTGAAGCGGTATTAAGTCCCGTCGTGGCGGAATTGAGCTTGAAATAATCCGTATAGCTGGGCAAGATGTTCAGGCCGTTGAGCATTGATCCATCGTAGCCTCCTGTCGTGGATTGTACGACTGAGCAGAGAATGAGTAGGGTCGAGAGTGTCGCTGTGGATTCTGCTGGTACCCATGCCGGCAGCCATGTTCCCGTGAAGGCTTTGCGTAGCATGGCTTTGGGGGAGCGAGGGGATGTCGTGGTTGTTGGAGGAGGATCACCGTCGTCGTCGTCTTCGTCGCCGACCAATCTGGAGCGCGTATAGATGGATATTAATCAGGGTGGTAAGTAAGGTAAGAAAAAAAGGCAGCAGTGCAACCCCAAAACCAGCAAACAGTCCGTCAGTTAATTATCCAGATTGTTGGGTTCGGGTTAAAAAATAAAAAGGTGATGCGGTGCACTGCTGCTATCTTCACCCTATTGTACCTCTCTCTCTTCGGTACATGCAAGTTACTTTTTTACCCCTACGCCCCCTCCCCGCCCGCGCGTGGACTTTATCGTTCTGCTATCATCGCGTTGCAACTTTGCAAAATAAAACCATATCAGACGATACCACCGAATTTAAGGTTTTCTTTTTGCTATCTGTTGCATTGTACCCTGTGTGGTTACCTTGTGATACTACGCCGAGTTACAGGGGAGAAAGGAGATATCTTTTTCTTTTTTGTGCTGCTTCTTTTTGGTTCTTCTTCTTCTGCTTCTTCTTCTTCTTCTTCTTCTTCTTTGTAGGAGTAGCAGAAGCTTTAATCAAAACTTCAATGAAAACTTCAAATTTAAAAATTCATTCATTGCATCTCTGCACTTTGTACGACTCTTGGGCGCCGCCGCCCGCCCGGCCGCCGACTTTTTGATTTAGCCAGCAAGCAAGCAGATGCTGAACATGTCGTGTCGTCCCGGGCCGAGAGTGTTGAATATCATTTAGCCATTGCACCGGGATGAAGATTGTCGCTAGCTGTGAGTGTATGTATTTGGTTGGGGCGCGAGTCAGTTTTGAGCCTTTGGAAAAGAATTGCTTGCAGAATTACATGCATGCGAAAAAGGAAGAAGAAGAAGACGTTGGGTTGGTTGTAGGAGGTAGAATAGAAGACTTTCTCCCTCTCGTTGCCAAGTAGAACTTGTCTTTGCACTAGTTACATCAGGTAGTTCTAGTTCTCTAGTTCTCTAATTCTTATCCGATGCCAATACAAAAGCTTGATACCTTTATTGTCATTTCAAAACCTCGCTATAATGGGCCTTCTGATTAAACAATTCAACAACATGCCTACAGATGCTGTTGTCCCAAAAAAAAAGAAGAGGATTTATTGTGAATGGATGGTCGAAGACAACCAAGAGGAGCAGGTAGCAACATGCTTGTGATAATCTAGTTCTACGACGCAGCTCGATTCTGAACACTGCATCGCAAGTCGTGTAAGTAAGTACTTGCATGATGGCTGACTTGCGTCGTTGTGGGTTCGAGGAAAAGATGTTTCTTCTCAAGTTTATGTCACGAGGTTTATGAAAGCCAATGGTGTAGCGACCACCAGCGGCGAGACGTAAAGTGTCATTTGAGGACTGGTACGTATCAAGCTCCTGAGGTGCATCTGTCGACTATTGCAATTCAAGGGCTCGCTGCATGCTCTATGCTCATGCAATATGTGACTCCCGAGCAGCAATCTGCTTTATGCCACTCTCAGCTGGAACCCACCACCCCTCTCTTCATTGTCCCTCCCCTTGAAAATGGAGCTAAAGTCAACTTCACCACCCAACCCAGGTGCAGCACCACGCATTGGGGCAACTGGACTGGCACGTCTTCTTCTCTTTTCTTGTCCCGCTTTGCTAGGAAACGTGGGAAACATCGCAGTGGGCTTCGGCCGCGGGTTCTCTGCAAAATAGGGGTGCTCTAGCATCTCCTTCGCGCTCGGTCTCTTCTCTGGATTGAGTGACAGCAGACTGTTCATGAGGCCCACGCCAGCATTTGTGAGCGTCGGGAATCTGGATCGTACAATCGAGCCCTGAACCTGTCGTGCGGTTGGAAAACGAAGTGTTCGTGCGTTCGGGAGGCGCTTGAAACCCGGCCAAGTTTCCTCGGTGGGTATGCCGCAGAGTTCGAAGATCTATTGGAGTAAAGTCAATGACAGAGTACGGGCTTGGTATCTGTTTCTTTCCAGTCTCCCCTTCTTGGAGACTGGGTGCTTGACTCACCTTACTGAGCTGTTCCACCTCATTCTTGCCTGATAGCAATGGCTGTCGTGTGAGTAACTCGCCAAAGATGCAGCCAAGACTCCACATATCGACCGCGGAGTCGTAGGTTGTAGTGCCGAGGAGCAGTTCGGGTGAGCGATACCAGAGTGTCACGACGAGTTGTGTGAGGTTATTCGGCGCTGGGTTGCCCACGAAGCGTGCCATGCCAAAATCTGCGAGTTTGATCTCCCCACGATTGTTCAAAAGAATGTTGCTGGTTTTGAGATCTCGGTGCAGGATCCAATGAGTGTGTAGAAAGTCGACAGCGCTCCCCAGCTGTAGCATGAGTGTCTTCGTCTCGGATGGCAGAAACGGCTCTTCCATCTCCTCCTGCAGCGTCTTGAGGTCATGCTCTAGGAAATCCATGACCAGGTACACGTCTGCCGCGCTCTCACCCTGCCCGTTCACTACTTCTCGTAGGTTCACAATATGCCGATGCTTCGAGGCCTGGAGGGTCTGAATTTCTCGCAGCGCAGTGACTGGAAAGCCTCCGTCTCTGACCGGATCCATCTTGAGCTTCTTGATAGCCACAATCTCGCCAGTTGCCTCTTCTCTTGCGCGTGACACGAAGCCATAACTGCCCTCCTCGATGTGGTTCAGGCGGTCGAAGCGCTCAATCGATCGCGTCGGCTGCCACGTCGGAGCATTGAAGCGCAACAACTTGCGTTCTTGAGGCACCTCAGCTGCCTTCTCAGCACCATCCTCAGACAGTCTCCGTCTTTTTGTTGGTCTGCCCGAGTCGTCTTCGGCATGTCCATTTGCCTTCGCTGCGGCCGCCTTCTGTGCTTCTTCTGCCCGGCGCTGTTTCTCGGCCTTTAACCGCTTCTTCTTCTCCTCCTTTTCTGCCTTTCTGCGTGCATCCTCTGCAGCGTCCTCTTCGGTGTCAGCCCAGCGTGAAGCCATAATCTCGAAGTTTGTGATGGGGAGTCCTCGGAGGTGTTGCGGAGAAAGTAATGTGTTGCTTGCTTGGGCTTGATTCAAAAGTTAAACATGTCATCGACATCAATTATCACCTCCTTCACTCACTATGCTATCTCGATAGGACTCTCGCCGGAAGCGACCATGAGGAGCAGCCTATCACGTACAGCATGGCAGTTGGGTCAGAACGCCTGCAGAATCAGAACTCGACCTTGCCGAGTCGCCGGCGCAAGATGGAGCTCATCAGAAAGCGGCCATAAATGGTCTACACCTCTAGCCAAGCAGTTGGCCGAAGCAATCATAGTACGGCAGCAGTAGATGGAGACATCGAAGCAAAGGCAAAGGCTAAGAGATGGTAGACGACTGGCCCGATACCCGTGGCATCATACATGCGCCAGGTCCTCACTTCAGATTTGGGAGGCTATTATACCGGAGCACTCTCTGGCGACCGAGACCAGTTCGGCACCAAAGGCGACTTCGTGACATCTCCCGAGATCAGTCAGATATTCGGAGAGCTCATTGGCGTCTGGGTGGTGGCAGAATGGATGGCTCAAGGGAAGAAGAGCGAAGGCGTATACCTCATGGAGATTGGGCCCGGCAGAGGAACACTCATGTCTGATATGCTGCGGGTGCGTTACTACAGATGACACTATCTGCCCTCACTCGCGCTGACATAGTGAAAGACCATTCGAAATTTCCCTCCTTTGGCCAAAGCAATCGAAGCGGTATATCTGATTGAAGCCAGCGAAACTCTACGGCTGGCACAACACAAGCTACTCTGCGGCGACAACCCAATGACAGAGACCAAACTAGGATGGGAAAGTGTCAGCAAGCATTCCTCCGAAATCAAGGTTGTCTGGACCGAAGACCACAAGTTCGTGCCACGACATGCGAGCAAGACGCCCTTCATCATTGCTCATGAGTTCTTCGATGCACTTCCGATCCATGTCTTCCAATCTACGCATATCCAGCCAGATCAAGCTAAAACGATTCAAACTCCCACTGGACCTATTCAGAATAGATCAAGGACTCAAGAATCCCAACAATGGCGGGAACTAATGGTGTCTGCTAAGCCGCCACACAGGTTGAAGGAAGGCGAGCCCGAGTTCGAGCTCTCGACTTCGAGGACGGCCACAGCACATTCGATGTACTTACCAGAGACCTCGCCACGATACAAGGCATTGAAGACCACAGACGGATCTACGATCGAAGTGTCGCCAGATTCACAATCGTATGCACGAGACATGGCAGTACGGATAGGAGGTTCAAACCCAGATGAGATAGCCGCCTACGCAAAGCGAAAGGCCCCCATACCTGGCAGATCCACAGCATCAACGCCGGAGATTCCAATCTCAAGGCCCTCGCCTTCTGGTGCAGCACTCATTATTGACTACGGCCCACCAGACCACATCCCAATCAACTCCCTTCGCGGCATTCGCGCTCACAAACTGGTTTCACCCTTCGATCGACCCGGCGAGACAGACGTCAGCGCAGACGTGGATTTTCTCGCTCTGGCCGAAACAGCCATCAATTCATCTCCCGGCACCGAGGTTCACGGTCCTGTCAGTCAGGCGAACTTCTTAAACGCCATGGGTATACAGGAAAGAGCAGCGCAGCTGGTGAAGAAGGCGCTTGATGATGAACGAGCGGGAAGGGGTGGTGGAAAGGATAAGAGCGAACTCACCGAGATTGTCAAGAGAGTGGAGTCTGGGTGGCGAAGGTTAGTTGATACCAGCCCGCAGGGCATGGGGCGTTTGTATCATGTCATGGCCATTGTGCCATATTCGCCACCGAAAGAAGGGCAGCCGAGACGGAGGCCTGTAGGTTTTGGAGGAGATATACCTGCATAGGCCCCTTCATCGACTGGCTGGCTTGCAAGGTGTGCTTGCATGAAAATATCAGGCTTACCACTTAGAAACTACTCTGTGGCTGACAGTATCCTTTTGCGAGGCTGGTTGGCCCTCCTTTCTCTGCATCTATCCTCGCTCGAGAAACTTTTACGCACAAATCCCAACGGAAACATCGCCCAAGGTAAAAGAGCGAGCCCGGTATGAGAGACATTCGCGGCCCTGTGCGTAAAATCGACGACAACCTTGATCCTGCCTCGGCAACAGCGCTGCTTCTGTAAAGCTGACTTCGATAACCCTGCCTAGGATAGCAAAACTCTACAAGCGTTCTGCAATCTACCCGCTCGATTGCAAAAAAGCCGCGTATAGAATGGCGGTCCATCTGCTCGAGAATTTCAATTCCATGCTGAAAACGAGCCCGCGAAATTGAACATAAGGTAAATGCGCAATCTTGACGATAGGTAGACAGTGGCTTGTGATGTGAGTGAGCATCGTATACTTCCATCCACGTCGTAATCGATTCAAGGTCGACCTGGCGATCGATTTTCCCGCCATTCGAAGAACAGGGGGCTACTGGCCTGCATATGTGACCCTGTAGAGAGGGAAAACGGTCAAGATTGGGATATTGCAGAGGAGTTTTCTTAGTAGAGCTGATAGATTTCTGCTTTTTGAGATCTACGAAGCAAGTGTACAATTTCTTCGTTATCCTCGTTGAATGAGTGAGACCTGAGTGAGTCAGCGGCCGGGTAGATGAAAAGGAATTGTTATTGATGAAGGAAACTGGCGACAGAGGGTCGGGTCAGAGAGAGAGAGAGAGAGAACTAAGTGAAGTCTTGCACATATTGCACGTGATTATATGCAGAGACCTAAAATAGAACAAGAACCACTTATCAGTCTTATCTCCGCAATGAATACCTTAACCTAATACCCGCTGCCCCAGAGTCATATGCCGTAGGAGGTACCTCCAGCTCTCCATACCACCGAGGCTCTGACAACGTCACCATCGAGCTTGAGGGATTGATCAACAACAACCGAATATCAATTCGACCTTTTCTGGTCTTCTTCAGACTTGTTCATCCTCACTCATAGTTTCACTTATACTCACCTCCACAGCAAGTGCCTTGCTTGTCCTTCTATACCAGGTACATACTCAAGAAATACCTACTACATCCTACAGACATCTTCTTACATCGTAAATAGCTTACTCTTGGTATATCCACTTTCTAGAAAGAGGGACTCCGAAGAAAACAAAACATACCTTAACAACCCCGTCCAAACAAGACAACAACCTCCACAATGGCAACCCGCTCCGTCCCCCAACTCTCCCTCGAAGCAGCCCAAATCGCCTCCAACGCCGCCCAAGAAAAAGCCAAACAATTAGGAATAGGTAAAAACCTCCCCACCACCACCACCACCACCACCACCAACTCCATCATCCTCCTCATCCTCCTCTCTAACCTCTCTCCCCACACCAGATTTCAACATCGCCCTCGTAGACTCGACTCTCCACCTCCTCCATTTCACCCGCATGCCAACAGCAAAACTCACTTCAATTTCCATCGCCATCAACAAAGCCTTCACGGCCGCAGGACATCGCATTCCAACATCCGCGTACACGACGGGAGCAGCAGCGAAAAATTTCGCGCCGGGAGGCGTCGCGTATGGGATTCATAATTCGAATGATGGGAGGTTTACGTTGATTGGGGGTGGGGTGCCGATTGAGATTGAGGGGCAGGTTGTAGGGGCGATTGGAGTGAGTACGGGGACGCCCGGGCAGGATGAGGAGGTGGCGAGGGCTGGGGTGGAGGCGGTGGGGAGGTGGGTGAAGAGGAAGGAGGGGAGTAAGTTGTGAGTGAGAGGTGGAATGTTTGGTTGGTGGAATTTTGATGTTATGGGCTATGGTTCATGATGTGATGACCCTGGTCAAGCCTTCTTTCTCTGTCGCGCTTTGCTGCTGCGAGTGGAGGCTGCGGGTGGAGAGTCATCATCATCGTCGTCTTGAAGATGTTCATCTTCATCTTCATCCTCATGTTTACTGATCTCATCCTGTGCGGCTTCGTCTGTGTCGACCGATGATACTGGATCGGCAGCAATCTGCTTCAGAATCTTCTTCTCCTCACTCTCGACACCATTCATGGCGTGGCATGCACTGCATCTCCATTTCCCCACTTCTTCCAGCGTCCTTGTCCCTGGTGGTGCTTGACCATTAACCAATCTGCAGCTCTGACAGATCAAAGCTATCCTGTTCTTCGCCTGTGTCTCGTCTTCTCCCAGCACCACGTCCATGATGCGATCATACCATTTCGGCCCTTGCGTATCGTATTGAGATGGTTCTCGTGGCGGTGGCGGTCTGCTGAAAGTCGGACTGAATGCGTTTGGTGCAAATTCCTCTCCTGGCGCATTCTGATTTGGTGGTGATGCGTCTAAGGTGAGACCTACGGGAGGACGCGGGGCATCTTGCGGTGGGGGAATCGGAGGAGGTGGCTGTCTGCTGGGAATGTTCGCTGTCGGCGGAGGCGCAAAGCCCGTCCTGGCCTGTGATAAGTTCGTCCTACCACCTGGCCCAATGTCCGACTGCCTCTTTGCCTTGGACTCCGGCTGCTGCTGTTGCTGCTGCTGCTTCTTCACTGGTGGAGATCCACCGTATTTCTCCAGCAGCTGCTGGGTGCTGTCATACTTGGTAGCGGACTTCAGTCTCTTGATGGCCTGATCCCTCTGCCCGTTCAGCGCATTCAGATGGTTCTGTGAGTTGGCGATGCGGTAGTTGTAATAGGCGTCCAGTGCAGTGCGCAGGGTGTAAATGAGCACAGGACTGCCAGCGATGACCGAGTACTCGAGCGGTCCCCATTGATCCCAGCCAGTGACCAGCGTCAGGATAGCAACGACGAGGATGTAGGTGAAGGAGGAGTAGAGGGTCCATAGCACTTTGTAGCGCCGCCGTCGCTGCTGGAATTGCTCGTTCTGTGCCGTGGCCTTGTTGATCTTGGCCGACAGCTGGCTCAGCTCTTTCTCAAACGACGCGGCATCGTTGGCGCCGCTCCGGAAGGGCCAGAACGAGACCATGATGATGAACTACCACGTGTGTGTACATGTAGTTTGGGACATATGCATTGTTCCTGAGCACATGACCTGTAGGCTGAGGTGCATGTGTGAACTTCCAGGCGTCGAAGAAAGATGAAAGCAGGCACTTTGGTTAGAACCAGAAATAGAACTACCAGGCGCCAGGTACCTTGCCTAACTCAACGTCACGATCCGCAAAGCTCTTCTTTTCCTTCACTTGTGAACCTCACCATCATCTTCTCCCCATTCACTTACTCAGGTACTCCCGTCTTCACGACTCAACACACATCCAAACGGGGTGAAGCAAAATCGGGTGGAAATCCTCAAAACGACGAGTACGACCGATCAATCGCTGCAGCCAACCCATTGAGCCTATATCACAAGAGAGCCAAGACATATCACGCTGCAGTGGGCGCCTACATCGGTCGGCGCTTAGCATTCACACCTCACGCCCACTCGACATGCTTCTTGGCACACCACGGCCTTCGAGCGGCATAACATACTATAGGCTGCTTTTCGACGCCTTTGGCTCGCTTGCCAGTGATCTTGATATTCGCCCCGGCGCGAAGCAGCTATCTTTCCTGGAGCCGCTATTGATTCTGTGCACGCTAGGAAGTGCCTGTTATCCTCCGTCCCAGAATCGACATGACCGTATCTCTAGGCGGGTGTTACGACTTGGTGATATATGACAGGTAGCTGTCGACATTTCTTCTGTCCGCTTTTGCTGTTCATATCACGCTGTACTTGCTACGCAATCTCGTAACTTCTTTCCTTACTCTTCTACCTTCTCCTTCTTCGTCTTCATCTTCTTCTTCTCGCCATCAGTCTGGCACTATGGCACCCGCTCATTTGACCCTGTTTCCATCCCCGGCAGCTGGTCTGCCAACGCGGAAAACGCCATCGCCTAATGTGTATCATGAAACGAACTTGCGGGGACTCGCTTTCCAGGTTGATGGCACTCGCAAGGCCCATCCACAGATCCAACCCGCACAAGAGACCTTCCAGCACTCGCTGTTCTGCAATCCAGCCGTAGCGCCAAAGTCTCCAGCGACAATACCGACGACGACCTCACCTGACACCACGACTCGAGGGCCCATCCGACGTTCTAGTCGCACACGTCGCAGATCGAGTCCAATTATTGAAGGACCTGATTCAGTTGGTGAATTCATCGCACGCGAGGACCAGCTCTCAGAATTGCCACGGAATACGCACTTTGGTTCCTTAACACCACCTCGAAGAAGTCTATCGTCTGCCTCGCAACGACAAAGAATCCAACCAGTCAACACCTCAATGCATCGTACAACCCGCGCTGCTCACGAGCTCATCACCCCAGTAGACGACCAGGACGCCATCGCTCCTCTGCCAGAAAGCACCCGCTTTCGCTCTCCATCCCCCAAGCATGGCTACTCCATAGACACTTCAGCCCAAAGTCCAGGCTTCAGCGCACCAATGCGGTCAATCTTCCCACAGTACAATCCTACTCGTGCTCTCCAACACCAATCATATTATCCCACATCTTCGCCGCCTGCCTATTCCAGCCCCGTGATGAGCAGTCCTACCCAGCAACAAGTCCTCAAACGCTACGACTCGGCTGTGGGCCTCGTGGATGGCTACGAGCACATTCCTGCGGCAACACAAGCAGACTCTCAAGCACTGTGGGGTGCCTCCACCGAGACCTTTCCATGTGAAGGACGCAAAGTCCAGTTTCCTCTATACCAAGACTTACCCGATGAAACCATCAAAGTCGCCATTGGCACCTCACCTTCAAGTCTCATCTACTCCATGACGCGGGAAAGCCCATCTGGCACAACACCAAAGCGCTACGCTCTTCAGAAACACTGCCCCACGACTTCATCTTCCCCTTCCTCAAGCTCTCCCGTCTCGCAGCTCGAAGTGCCCATCGAGGATAAGAATCAAGACCAAATCACAACCATATTCCCCAAAACCGCAGCCATCGCCGCTATACAAGCCATAGCCGAATCCCCCGAAGCCCGCCACATTGCAACATTTGATCCACACGGCGAATCGCCCGAGGCAGCTCGCCTCGCTCAAGATGCAGTCACGTCTGCGCATCGCAACTACTCGTGTCAACTCATTAAGAAGCAGAAATCGAATAATAAGAAACCGCTCGAAGCTCATTACGAGCTCAAACATCCTCAACTGGGGGTCTGTGCTATTACAGTCACGACGACCACCGCCACCACCGCCATCAGTCGTAGTGGTGGTAGTGGCGAAGTAACTAAAATGAAAATCTCCTTCCACCACCCCTCCGCTACGCCCGCAGCCATCGCATCCGAAACCCTAAATTTGGCATTCTTGGACTTTGCCCATGGAGCCTGTGTCCTCGACTTACCTAGTCTGATTGCACTCGATTCGAGATTTGTCGTGGATACCGTTGTGAGCGCATTGGTTGCTGTGGCTGTGATTGAGAATGAGAGATTTGTGCGGGAGCAGATCACGTTTGAAGGACCGCCGGTGCAGCATGCTGTTGTTGGGGGGAAGATGGGGAAGGGGAATAAGAAGAAGATGGGGAAGCAGCAGAGGGGAGAGGGAGCTGCTACAGCCGCAAAAACAGGAAAAGACTCTCTCCCTTTACAACAGCAGAAACCTTCTTCTTCCTCTTCTTCTTCTTCCTCTTTCCTCACAAGACGCCGAGAAAAGAAAGAAGTACAGGAACTGTGTGCTACATCATCATTTCCTACAGAAAAAGAAAAAGAAGAAGTGGAAGAGCAGAAAAAGCAAATTCAGATTTCGCGACGAGAAGCAAAAAAAGATGAAAAATTAAAACAAGAAAAAGACGAAGACGAGCTTCCAGGTTTCACTCGCGCGGTATTCGGTTTGATGGGAATGGGAATTAAGGGGTCGTGGTGGGTTGCGAAAACGAGTGTGAAAGTTACTGTGAAAGGGGTGAAGATGGTTGGGAAGGAGATGAGATGATGATCATGATGGATTAGCAGGAGCTAAGGTACATGTAGGTTCTATCATTACCTATGAGCGCTGATTATTGCTTCATTGCGGGGTGTACTTGTTCATGTAGTGAGTGTTTTTATATGGTCGGTTGATGTTTGATTGATCGGTTGAGTCCGCAGGTTCTTGATAATTTTTCTTATTCTCGGCAGCCAGCGCCCCAAAGCATCTTGCAAGTCATATCTAGTCGTCTTTCTATCAGTGAATTTATATCCAATTTTTACATTCTCTATCCCAAAAAAAAGTTCCTCAACAGCTATGATAGATATCCGCATCAAACTGGACAGGAAATCTCTCTCTCCCTTCCGCGTCCTTCCTCACCCAAATGCTGACGCTCGTCCCAGCACACTTGAACACGCCATAGCCTTCACGATCAATCGTGACTTCTCCCTGCTCCCAACCCAACACATCCGTCCACACCTGTCCCGCATGCATTTCTCCCACCGCCATTTTGATCTCGCCCGGACCTTTATTACTCATGACGCACGCCAAACCAGCCCAGTGCTCTTCATTGCCGCGCCGGACAAACCCAATGCAGTTCGCGTCGTCGAGATATTCATCTTGTTGACCATATGCGTACAGCTTGCGTGCAAGAGCCATGTCGGGGATCTTGCCATCTGCTGCGGGAGGTTGTGCTTGGGCGCCTTCGTTGCCTTCTTGCAGACCGTAGAGGTCGCCGTAGAAGAGGCAGGGGTAGCCGGCGTCTTGGAGGAGGATGAGAGCGTACGCGAGAGGTTTGAACCAGCCTTCTACGGGTGTGTCCATGGTTTGGCCGGGTTGTGTGTCGTGGTTCATGACTACTGTTACGCTGGAGATGGGATCGGCTTTGGTGAGAGAGTTGTCGAAGATGGTGCGGAGGTCGGAATCTGGTGTCGTGCTGATGCGGTTGAAGTTGTAGAGGAGGGGCGCGTCGAAGAGAGCGAATTTGTGGTCCATTTCATCTAGCCATTTGAGCATATTGTCGCGGTCCGATGTCCAGAATTCGCCGACCATGAAGACTTCCTTTCCGTGCTTTTCGCGAACAGTGTCTACCCACTCGTTGGTGAATCTCTGGCTGAAATGTTGCACTGCATCCAAACGGAACCCTTCCAGTCCCACTTCTTCGACGATCCATTTGCCCCACGCTTTCACGTCTTCTTGGACTTCCGGATGCGAGTAGTCGATGTCAGCGAACATCATGTAATCGGCATTACCTCCTTCGTCATCAACGCTCTCGCTCCAATTCTTTCCGTCTCCTTTCAATTTGTAGATGGCCTTTTTTTCTGTGGCAGCGTTCCAGTCAGTTCCCGAGAAATGATACCAGTGGTAGCGCTGTTTCGAGTACTTGTCCCCTCTCCCAGGGAAGTCAAACCCAAGCCAAGCAGAAATCTCATACGGCTCAGTCACTTCCTTCGTCCGGTCATCATCCGCAACTTCGACAGCATGTGCCTTCTCTTTCTTATCAGCACCGGCTTTGTGGTTCAAGACAGCGTCCCAGTAGAGTCCGATGCCCAATTCTTTCGCTTTGGCGCTCAACTCCAGCAGCTCGTCCTTGGTGCCCCATTTCGTACGCTTTCCGCCTTTTTGATCAAACTCTCCTAGATCGTAGAGGTCATAGACATCGTAACCGTTGCCCTCGGGCGACGAGGCTTTGCATCCCGGAGGAAGCCAGAGATTGTCTACACCAGCATTCTTGAGACTGGGCAGGGCTTTGAGTAAGCGTTGGTAATGCTTTCCATCCGCCGGAATGTTCCACTCGAAGCCTTGGAGAAGGGTCGCGTTCTCGGGCATCGCGATGGTCGTGGGATGGGGAAAATGCTGCAGTTTTAACGGTAATGTCGGTAGGAATCGCAAGAAAGACAGACAACAAACCTTTCGACCTCCCTATAAGAACAACCAGACAAAGAACGACAACTCACGTCATTGTCATTATTGCCATGGTGTATACGATAAGGGAGTGGGTGGGCGTTCGATAGCAAGGCACCGGAACAGCCACATGCTGAATGTGCCAGCCTCGCGTCCTCAACGGCCCACCTTTCGCCTACCTCCTACTGGAGGCTCGGGTAGGGTCAAAGTATCGTCGCAGTGGGAAATCCGTGGGCGGTCTCGTAGCGGTGCGCTCCGCTGGCGAGACGGCGGTGCGCCTCTGACGTCGATCTCCGCGGCGCGGTCACTGGGGGAAGCGGTGTATTCATGGCGGTGATATAGAGCGTGTGCTGTGATGATATAGGCGGTGGACGATAAATACCTCCGCCGTACCTCGTCCATCCGGCTGTCATGTGACCGTCTTGGCATTCTGTCGAAGCATTCCATGTTTTTTCCTGGTGTTCTAGCAGAGAGCTTCAAGTTCACTTCATCTCCTGCGACATGTCCTGTCATCTATATCCCCTCCATGTTGCTAGACCACAGAGTCTGATCAGCCATGATGGAGCAGACTTTCGGCGTCACAAAACACTCATTTCGTTGTACTAGACGAAGACTCGACCGAAGAGAGGGCGGGCATTCAACAACTTGCGCCAGAAGCAGAAACAGGTGGGAGAAGGTATTCATCTTACTTTCCTCAAAGTCAGGTTGATAGTATAGGCAGCTCCGGGTTCTCGAGGCAAGGCGTAGCTCTGGATGATGGAACTGACTGATAGACCTTCCATGATGACACGATTCTTTCCAAGCCCCAGGATGAAGATCCATGCGCGACACACGCAGAGGATGCGCAGAGGATGCGCAGAGTAAAGTTCAAGCCCATACTACCGAAGTGATTGGCGTGGCTAGATCGCTCAGCATGATATCTCAGCCTGCTAGATGACTTCTCCAATACCAGTAGGGAACAGGCACTGAACCCCAAGCAATCTTGCTTGTCCCACTGTCTCAAATGATCCGAGGATTTTGCAGCGACGGCTGAGAGACGCAATACCATTGAAAAGCTCTCCAACGATCCCAAAGCGGAGTATGGGGAGAGGTGGAAAAGCGAGCACTGGGTTACCCGTCATTGAGTATGTTGATGGCCCCAACCCATGTGCCCCGGAGTGTCGTGATGATGAATGAGAAGACCGTTCCTTCGCACGTGTCCGGACGATGGCATGGTAATGGAGTGGATACCGCGATCAAATACGAGCTGTTGACTCCAGACCGCCTAGGGTCATCACCGCACCGTGCGGAGGTATACTATCAACCACGTTATTCTGGAATCTCATGGTAGAAGCAACTGCCAACTGACGAAGAGTGCAGGCACCAGGTGCATTATAAACCGTGCGCGCATCAGCGTCCAGATAGACTCTGATGATCTGATCGCGCTCGTGTAACAGGTAATGGGGGATGAAACCTAGAAAGTGAGAAGTATATCTCCGCCATAGCCTTTCAGTGGAACTAAGGTTGGTATAGGTGGTTCGGGTACGCCCGAGCACATGATGACAGGGAAGGCGATGTGGGTGATGAACCCGGCCTTGTTCGTCTGGTACAGTAAGGTACGTAAGTTCAGAGCAAGGATGATTGCACCTCCCACGACAGGTCCTATAGCCTGAAGCAGCCTGGCGACGACGGTGTTTCAGTAAACCTTTTCTGAAGTTCCTGTTCAACAGCTGTCGAGAAAGGCTACACTGTCCACTGATAGTCTGGTACAAGGCACGAGGGCTACTTTCACCCTGCTATCTACAGAGCACAGAGCATAGAGTGAACGGACGATGCGAAGTCGAATTTCGGTTGCTAGCACCTGCCAGGAACAGCTTTGGTAGCGACCTCAACTGGCTTGCGAGGTCGTATCTCACCACTTATTACAGTGGCTAAGGTATCGATGGATGCCCATCCATCAGATGTGGTATTCGAAACCTCGCACACGTAAAGCGCACATAATGTGGAGATATCATGGGGCGAGACCACACAAGTAGTTCAATGGAGGGGCTGTCGTTACGAGAAGTCTACAAGGGCAGCCCTACACTCACAGGATTGTTACCATCACTATGCCATTTTGAGGCGCAGCTCGTATCGAACGGGCAAGAAGGCAAGATAATGCAAGACTTGCCAACTCGCCTGTCTTATGTACGAGGGAGGTGACCAGGTCGTGTATGTATAAGTACAGGCGCGGATTCCACCCGATCTTCACGCAAAGGAAAGCAACCAGTCGCCACCATGAAGATTCTCGCATTGTTCCTCGCTTTAGCAATCGCCGTCATGGGCTTCCCGGTAGACGGAATCGACTCGAAAGATACTACCGATATCGACTGGGACACCACCAAAAGAGCAGAAAGCAGTGATCTCGACAAGAGATCCCCATTCAGCAACCCATTCAAGTGCTTAGGATGCTACTATGTCATTCGAGACTGCAATCCTTTTGTATGCCGTCCGCCTTGTGACAAGAAAGCGGTCAAAAATGGCTTGTGTCCTGGATCACATCCATCACCTCCACCTCCACCTCCCCCAACTTACAGAAATTCGTTGAGTCTCAGAACCGACCTTGGCTATGTAGGGGCAAGGACCACTTATCATAGTCAAGACCGAGTAAGCTTGCATCCTCCGAACTCATCCACACCTGACGGCTTTGTTGACTGACTATCGTCTGCGGCGTATGTATTAGTGGATCGCCGTGTCACAAAGTATAGAGCACGATCGTTCCTTCAGCGTCGTCGTTACTCTCTCTCCCGACATCAATCCTGGAAGCGTAGCGACGATCACCGATATCAATATGACGGTCAGCGGAAGTGGAAACAGAGTTTTGTTACCTGAAGTCGTTAGCACGCCACGGCGCACCCATAATGGCAGAACGCTGTATACACGGGGAAGCGGCATGCAGACCACCGTCTTCCGCATCCCCCTCGACTTGGTTTCAGAACTCATTAAAGAGAATGGCGGGAGTACAGGCGTAACTTTTACGGTCCGGTACAATCTCGACGGGGAGCTGAAGTAAGATCCATATTGGAACCAAATCTCGATCCCCCGATGCAAAATAGGAAAACAGGTCGCAGCTGAGGAAGAACTGAGAGAGTGGAGAGAGAGTGGAGAGAGAGAGAGAGAGAGAGAGAGGGGAGAGAGGAAAAGGTTGTTGGACCATGATTGCATGCCCTGCAATCCGTACGTACAGTGTACATGGTTATTATTGGTTTGGATGGGCCGGGTCAGGGATCTGAGGTCAGGTCTGGACTCTAGAGCGCGATCTGCGGCTCGAGAATCTTTGCCATGCAAGAGACTACCTCCTAGGTACTATCTCCTATCTCAGGTACCTAGCCTGAGGTGCAGTGGTTCCCAGAGAAGAACAACCGGCTTGGCGTTGGCAGACCAGACTAGGAGGTAGATGAGGACAGAGTTTGAGGGAAGAACGGGACAGTCGCTAACAGGACAGTAAGGTATTAGCAGTTGAGTACTGATCTATGTATCTATACAGTAGTCGATCAATGTCATCTTGTCGCCGCATCGCTGCCTTCGCGATATGTATGTCTTCCAGGTTTGTATCGGTCAGACAGTGAATTACAACCTGGAACCATCGAGCATGTTTTGTAGCTGGCAAGATAGGCCAAAGGACCGTGTTCAAGAGCCATGAAATATCGCGAGCGCGAAGGGAGGAAAATACAGGTACATTATTGTCCAGTGCAAGTGTCATGTACAAACTACAATAGTGACAATAGTGACAACATGAGACAAGAAGCTGCATCCCGGGCTTTTCGCGTCCGAGCGTGGTGGTTCAGCCCCGATCGCGTCCCTTTTGTTTAGTCTCATGTACCTTAGCTAAGTCAGCACCTTACTGTCCCTACCGACATACTTACCTACCTCCTACCTCCTACCTGCCAACATCTGTGTCGGAGCTGGTCTGTAGGCGGAAAACCCCATTGTCGCTTGCTGCTGCACTTTCGTGCCAGACCACCGCCATGTCGCTGTCGAGCTCCGCGCAGAGCGCGCCCGCCTACTTTCAAGCTCTTCTCGACCGCGGGCAAAAGCGAGCAAATACTAGCAGCGACGAGCCCGTGCTGCAGCTGGGACTGGGTGACATTGCGCGCAAGGTGCGCAATCTAGGAAAAGGCTTCACCGACGCCAAAGCACACTATCTGCTGTCGGCCTCGGGCGTCAACACCAGCGAAGCTCTGCGCGACCTGGAGGAGCTGTCGGGCTTCCGAGCGGCACCATCGCAGCCGCAGCAGCCAGTGTCTGCGCAGAATGGCGGCGACATCAAGGATGTGCTGGCCCAGCGCTACCAGAGCGATTTTCAGAAGATGGTCGACAGCCACATTGCGCGCGCACACGACGATTTCGACAAGATGATCGAGGAGAGACTGCACGGCGTGGACTGGGATGCGCATCGGCAGCGGATATATGAACACTTTGGGCTGAAGAAGCCACAGCATATGGAGGAGAACAATGCTGCTGCCAATGCCAATGGGCACCCATCAGCAAGCCAGGCCCAGAGCCAGAGTGGCTTTGGACGTTCCTCGAGGCGCGGACGAACATCCACCGCGAACAAGTCGTTTGGTCTGTCGAGGATGAACCGTTCGGTCATTGGATCAGTCGCTCAGCGCGGTCTCCGTGGTAGTCATTTTGGGGACATTGCAGAGAGAGCCTCGGACAGCATGCAACCCGCACCCGACGACAACTTGTTGCGCCGGAAGCAAGAGAAGTACTCCGATAAAGTCAAAGATCTGAATGTCGCGAGGCTGCAAGAGAAGAACTACACCGTCTTTGCACAATTTGCCGAGGCCGAAGCTGAGCCATCGAGCGAGGATAACTCCATGCTGATCAATGCATACAAAGCACTGGTGGAGATGGTGGGTGAAGACGAAACGGCACAAACCCTCAGCGACCCTGGCGCTATCAAAGAGCGCACCTTCGCCAAGTCATATCTGGACGAAGCAGTGAGCTCGCAAGACAGCAGCGCGGTGCGGGAGCGCATCTTGAACGGCTCGCGCAGGTACCTGGAGAAGCTATTCCTCTCCCAGCTGGAGGCAGTTGTGGCCAAGAATCCACGGGAAGCGAACATTGGTGGCGTGCCAGATCCCATCTCAAGAGTGAAGGGTTTTGTTCGTGTTCGAGAAGTTCGAAAGGAGCTGGGGCCGAACATCGAGCTACTGCAAGAAATCAACGACAAGGAAAAGTGCTGGGCTGTCATTTTCTACCTGCTCCGAGCTGGACTGTATGGAGATGCCCTGGAGTACGTGAACGCGAACTACGCTGCGTTCCGACAGATTGACCGAATGTTCCCCCGCTACATCAGAGCCTTTGCCGAGAGCAATGATCACAGACTTCCTCCAGACTTGCAGACCAGCATTCATAATGAGTACAGCCAACGCCAGCGACTGGCTCCAGAAGACTCCATCGATCCATACCGCATGATGTGCTACAAAGTCATTGGACGATGCGAAATCACGCGACGGAGCCTGGACAACATCACCAACGACATGATGGATTGGCTATGGCTGCAATTTGCGCTCGCACGAGAATACTCCCGCGTCGAGGAAATGGCACATGAAGCCTTTGGCCTTGCGGAAGTGCAAAGTTCCATCAAGGATATTGGCGAGAGGTACTTTGGCGCTGGTAGTGACATTGCCAACGCACCTACCACCTTTTTCTTCATGCAGATCTTGGCTGGTCTCTTCGAAAAGGCCGTTGCAGATCTGTATGCGCACAACTACCTCACCGCTGTGCATTTCGCTATCGGCCTCGACTTCTATGGTCTGCTTCGTGTCAGCGACATCAGCAACAGCGACGACCTCCTCAGCTACACCACGAGACAAGAGCCCCAGATTGCATTTGGCAGCATGATCGGGCTATACACCCGCGACTTCCGCACGGGGAACGCCACAGCTGCGGTCGACTACATCTCACTCATCTGTCTCAACGCTGACCTCACAGGAGATCTCGGCAAATCCCAGAAAGAGCTATGCTATCAAGCGCTCACTGAAGTTGTGCTCGAAACTCGCGAGTTTGCGCAACTGTTGGGTGACATCCGCGCGGATGGACAACGCATCAAGGGCGCTATTGAGCAGCGGTTACCACTCATCAAGCTGAACAACGATCGAGATTTCTTGAAGCATATCACGCTAGTTGCAGCGCGGACAGCCGAGGAGCAAGGCCGGACCACGGATGCCGCACTTCTATACCATCTGTCAGAAGACTACAACAAGGTTCTGACAGTGGTCAACGACGCTCTATCGTTGGCTCTGACAACAGAGCTTGGCGACACTCCAGCGCGACTCATGCCATTGAAGCCACGCAATGTCAACAGCCACAACAACCAGGACGAGGCGCAGATGCAAGCAAGCTTGAGTTTAACGTCTATCGACGACCCCATTCAGCTGGCCTCGGACATCAAGTCACTCTATTACAGCGATGCCATGTATCTCAACAAGATTGACAAGAGGCACAGCGATGCGTGCGAGGTTCTTCTACGGCTTGCCAAGGCCCGTAAACAACTGGACGCAGGGAGATGGGCCCTCGTCATCGATGTACGTTACTATTCTGTCTTTTTTCTATTTTCCAACTGCAGGCATTTGCTAACACATTCCGCACAGGCTGTCGCAGAAGCCGACGTCATCCCCACCGACACCAACGGCGAAGTCTCGGCCATCCGCAGTAAAGCGCAGGCGTTTGAACTCATGCCTCCTGCAGTCGGTCGCACGATTGGCCACGTCATGGTGTGGACCGTGATATCTTGCAGTAACGAAGCGGAGAAGATTCGCAGCCAAGAGTACGAGACGGGTGCAAGGCGAGAGATTGTTGCCAATTGTGTACAAAAAGCCAAAGATGTGATGGTGTTTGCTGGTTTGATCCGATACAAACTGCCCGGGAGGGTATGGGAGACGCTTGCGAGAGCGGGTCAAGATCTGGGCGCATTCTGAACAGAGAGCAAAAAAAAACGGGGTTTCAATCGAGTTGTGAGAGGACAATCCGAGAGTTGTGAGAGAGGCCGAGAAAAATTGGTGATTTTGGTGTAGAGCAAAGAAAGCATGTTGTTGGACAAGCTAGATCTCCTCGCTGTTGCTGCTGCTGCTGAAGCTTCCTTTCTTCTCGCCCTGGATGAGATGATGATGATGGAGAGATCAGCAAGAAGACAAATTGAAGGACCACACCCAAGTTACCATTACCAAAAGCCTTGCTATACCTGACAGACAACATCACACACAGGAAGGAGGTATACTGTACATTGAGTAAGATAATATCAGGTACACAAGACGTTGAACGCGATCATGTCCCTTTCGCGGGTAAGTGAGTGAGTAACAGTTCCTTTCTTTTCGTTTTTCTCTCTTTCCCTCTTAATTCACGCCCAGCCCAGATTGATCTTGGCAAACTTTCCACCCAATTCCTCCCTCCTTCTCTAAGGTACTGCACTGCACAGCACAAAAGCGATCGATTAGATCGATCTATGTATGTATCTATGTATCTCACTAAGGTAGGTACATATATACATACATATATACGTGTCCAGATTTGTTGTTTGTTTGCCTGTTTCTATCGGGTTAGTCAGTCGGTCGGTCGGTCACTCGCTCGTTTGTTTTCTTGTATCTGCATCTATCATGTTTGAAGTGGGTATAATGAGGAATTAGAAAGAAAAAAAGAGAGGGAGAGGGAGAGGGAGGAAGGGATGGGAGGAGAGAGAAAGAGAGAGGGGAAGAGAGAGAGGGAGAATATTTGGACATGGGAAGGGAAGGGGCTGTGATTGATTGATCGATGAATTGATTATGTTTAGTAGCAAAAAAAAAGGAAAAATGAGAGATGAATGAATGAATCTCTTCTCTATTAGGTAATTAGTCTTTCAGGTTGCTGCCGCTACTGATGTTGCTAATTGCCAACGATTCGTAGTGCTGTTTGTGTATTGTGTTGTACTGTACTGTATATACAATATATTACATATATTACAGTATGTATAACAGACAGACGGTTTTCTTTGCATACAAGCTTTTTACTACCACCGTTTCCATTGAGATCATCAAAACACGATACCAGACGGACAGACGGACGGACAGATTCTTTTGCGCTGACTGCTGACTATAGTGTCTCTCTCTTCTCTCTGTCTTTTGAAGTCCAACGCTCAGACTTGCATACCAGATCACCATCAGCGTTGCACATTGAAGCCCCGTTCCATCAGGGACTGTCCATCATCATGGCTCACCGCTTTCACAACGAGCCTCTCGCAGAAAATTACCAACAAGCTGCCTACAACGGCTTTCCCTTCCTCCCCGAATTCGGCCACCGCCGTACCGCTCCCCGCGAAGAGCCCTTCATCCACCACCGCGCCAACGGGATTGCAGGTCAAGGACCGGGTTGGTATCAAGGCGGCCACAAATTTTCCAAAGGAAGTTTTCGCTCGAAGAAATACTGGGTCCGGCCCATCGATGGTGCACGTCACGGAGCCCTGGGACGACTCAAAGACGCCCTGACGGGTGAAGGACCGGATGTGTTTGTCGTGGCGAATGGGGATCGGAGAACATTCATGAGGGATGTGCCGTCGAGGAATCATTGGAGCGGTTGGGATAAGACTGGTTTGCGATGGGTTGGGGATGCGAATTGGAGAGGTGCGAGTGAGGATATGGATTGGTATCCGAAAACGAATTATCATGCTCCATGGGCACGGAGGGAGAAAGACCAGGTGTACAATTTTCGGACCAGGGAGTATGATGACCTGAAGGGGAGTAATCGGTTAGGCTTTTGGAGTGATGCGCACTACTCTCAGGGCCAGAGAGGCAAGTATTCGATTCCGACTGCTTGGAGGATGTGGGATGGGAAGTGGCATACGACTGTTGACCCTAGTGCTGGGAGATGGCCCGGTGGAAGGCCGTTGCGCTGAATTCGTGCACTCGGGTAAAATCGGGATTGCCATTTGACGGAATCCTGGTGGCATATTTGGTCAACATTAATAGGACCGGGTAGAATTTCGAGTTCTCGCGTCGTTGATCGAAGGTCCATAGCATAGTAGCTTTTCAATCCATGTTGACATCCTCTGCCCAGCCGTAGCGTGATATGTCGGCAGCTTTGCTGAGATCACCATCCTTCTGGAAACTCTCTCGACTCTTGGTGATCAGCGCTTGCGTCTTTCCAGAGTTCCAATTGTTTCGTAATGCTTGGACTTCATCTACAGCTTGCACAGCTGCGGTCTTCATCTGCAGGACAAGGCGAGCCTTGTCCTTGCCAGGCACCGGTCGGGCCATGGGCTCTATCATCGATGGTATAGTCCGCCTCATGCCGTCAATCTTGGAATGCGGTGAGCGGACACATCGAGCCATCTCATGTCTCGCGCGCAATACTGACCTGCTCCTGGAGTCTCTCGAGATGCGCCAGCGCTTCCTTGTACTGCTTCTCCTCCCATGCGGGCTCGTCGGCTTCACCGACTAGCTGCGCATCTTGAGTTGCTTGCTGCGTATCGGCCATGTTGTCGAGAGGTCACCGCGGGCCCCGCAGAAATACAAAGTGTGGATTATGTCCGTGAGGCAGAAGGAGGAAGTGTGGAGGAGGAGGAGGAAGTGTGGAGGAGGGACTGGGCATCCGGCTCGACTTCGGATACTGTTTTAGGTGTAGTGCCTTGGCATCACGAACGCTTTGACGACGGAAGGCATCTATCAATCAATTCACAACAAAACACAACTTCATCTTCCACTTCATCGCCCTTATGACACTCTCCCGCACACTCAACTGATCACACGCCAAGCAAGTACACCATTCACTCACTCACTCATCAAAAGGGTCATCAACATGGCAGAAAGCCTCTTGGCAAAACTCGACTCCAGCATCGCCTCCACCACCAACGACCCTTCGGTGCCACTTGATCAACGAACCTTCGAGGAAGCAGAGCTCGTTCTAGCAGAAATCCTGTCGCCCGAACAAAACCTCCACCTTGTTCAATCTCTCTCGTAAGTGTTATACCGCACGAAGGACATGTGCTTGAGTCAACCTCGCAAGATATTTACTGATTATTGGAGGTTTCACCACTAGATCTCTACTGCCTGTTCTGCAACAAGATCCTTCTCCGGCAGTCAACCTGCTTCTGCGACTGATCCATCGCTACACCTATGGCGACATCCTCAAACTGGGCAGCATTCCGTTCAAGGATGGACTTGTCGAGGGAGACCACATGATCTCTTACAATCGTCTGATCATATCGATATTGAACAAGGCGACCCTGAACGCAGCAGATGCGGCATCTGTAGCAGGACTACTCGATACTGTGCTCGCACTTGTGCAGTTGTGGTTATGTACAAGTGATCCCGGTGTTGCCACTCTCGCACAGCAGCTTTTGTTGGACCTACTCAAAATTGACCAGGAGATTCAGCCGGGGCCCGATTCACATTTGCCTTCAGGTGGCCAAGGCTTGATGTGGAAGCGACTTTTTGGAGACCAGGATGTGTACAGAATGTTCTTCGAGGCCTGCTCCGTTATTAGTACTGCATCGCCGTCTCTTTCGTTAAGCAAAGGTCAGAAGACGCTAGCACAGGCACGACTGATGGAATGGCTACCCAAGGTAGCGGCAATGGACTGGAATGCAGTGGCTCGCAGTTACCATCCAGAGATCGAGGCAGAGTTCAAGTCTCAGGGCGGTCTACTGGGTTTCGCCACATCATACATGGTCGACACCAAGGACGATGTGCTGATGTACCGATGTCTAATCGACTTTTACTCTGAGATTCTTGACGCCACCGGACCTCGAGCCTCGCATCTCGAAACGAGTGAACCTTCTGCTGGTCTGGCGTACTTAATCACAAAAGGCGTGCACACAAGTACTGCAGCCATCTACCTTCAGCTGCCGGGCACCGCGATCGACCCTCTAGAAGCTATGTTCTTGTATGGACCAGCCGCAAACTACATCGCCACGTACGCTTCAAGATATCCCAGCCATTTTCTGGCAAGTCAGCTGCCGCAGCAAGTGAACCAACGTTTAAGCACCGCTTTGGATCAGTCACCAGCGAAGTGGGCTCATGCTGAGTCGCCAAAACATGACCTGCATCTGCTTGCCAGTCTGCCTCGTGGTAAGTTACGCAATAGGTCGAATGCTGTTCGCTCATTACGACCTCGCGCTCGCTCGTTTGGAGCTGAGACGATGCACGTGAAGACAGAAATTCCAAAGCCTTCCCTGACCTACTTGCTAACCCGAGTGTGACAATTTCAGATGCGCTTCTGACGTCTTCGGGAGGCTGGCAGAGCAGTCCGCTTTCACTGGTGCCATCCAAAGCTACCAATCCGGACGCTCTCAATACTCTTGCCACCATATTTCATGGGCCAAATCGCGACATCGTTTTCGGTTCAGCATCGAACGGATCTTCCACGGAGCCGGGCTTGGAGAAAGAGGCAGCTCTCGCACGAGCACTCTACCACCATTATTTGAGCCACAATCCTCGTTTCTGGCAGGACATCGTATCTCATGTATGTGACCAGCCACCTTCACATGGACCTCTCTCTTCTCTCTCGTCTGTGCTAGGACACCGACGTTGAGGACGAACATCATCCAACTATAATTGAAAATAGTGCGAATTCTGCTAACACGTCACGTCTAGGCAGATACCGTGGCACTGAAGGACCTCGCACTATCAGCCATCAATGTCCTCGTATCCATCATCACGGCCAACTGGTCCGAGAGTCCCCATGTAGAAATACCCAACACCATGGTGTCCGCCCCGTCTGGACACATCGCACTGCTCAGCCCTCCCGCCGTAGAGTACACGATGCCCTACATGCTGAAACCCCCACGCACATTTGCAAACCTAGTCGGTGGCAGAGGCGACTCAGAGAGTTCAGCTTACAAAATCGCTGCCGCCAAATTCGATGCCTTGCGCGCATTGAACAGCAGACTGGAAACTCAAGTCCGGCAAACTCCCGGCGCTGGATACGAGGATATTCTACGCACTGTGTCCCGCAAACTGGCCGACGGTCCTTGGGGTCGTGAAGGTGAGGTGGGAGGCCATATTGCAACGCTAGAATTGTGATGGCTGCCCCCCGGGACGGACGGCGAGGCATGGCATGACAAATTCGATATCGCAGTGATGATGTTCGTGGCCGCAGCAGGCTCAGGTCAATGGCTACCCAAGCGATCCAATAGAGAATTCTGACGGCAGATAAGTTTTAATTCCAATTCCAGCTCTTTTCACAGAGCGGTCAAAAAGAAATTTGTAAAAGTATGCCTGCATTCTCCTCCTCCTCCTCCTCCTCCTGATGGGCTTGTCCTGTCCATTCAATAAACGTCTTGCATCAAAAAAGTGCCAGAGAAAACGTCCACAATATGATGGATGAATGGATAAATGAATGCAGTGATAAATGTAGTCCTCAGAGAACAAAAAAGGGGTCTTGAACATTGTACGTACCGTACCGTACTGTACCTTAGTCAGATTGCCAAGGTAAAGTTCACATGCACATATGCAAAAGCGGTAGAGTAGAATAGAGATCCATCCATCGATCCTCACAGACCCACCACAACCACCTACCGCCACCCAAGTGAGTCCCTTGATATACAATGTGAGATGATCGGAACACACACACACACGTACAAACATAGTCTTGGATGATTTGTTTCTTTCTTTCTTTCCCTCGCTGCACTGGTATATATAAAATAAGAGTAAGGGTAAGGGTAAAGTGATAGTGCACCCAAAAACCAACCCAATCCCCCTTTCCTTCTTTCTTTCTCAGACCCGATTTGATCTGATCTGATCTGATTTTATCTCAAATCAAATCTACCTAATTCATCAAAGGCTCCAAAGCTCCTTGCTTTAACATTTCGAAATCGGGAATTGTCTTGGCTAGGGGTTGATAGCCGCCGAGATCTTTGGCGCTGATCCAATTTCCGTGGACCTAGAAGAAGGTTTTTTGGTTAATAAAGAGTTTGTTGAAATTTTTGGAGTGCAGAGGGGGAAAAAGGGGGTTCACGGAGACAGAGAGGGTGAGAGAAGAAAAAAAAGACTCACTTGCGCCTTCATATGCATCGGCAACTGCACCATAGCAATTTCCTGACTAAAATTCCTGGTATCAATAACCACGACATCACATCGATTCTCTCTCACACGTTCAATCAGCGCCATCACCCATCCATCACCTTCCTCAGCATCTTCACTGCGAGGAATAAAAATCGGTTCCTGAATCGAAGACTCATCACCCGCATAATACCACGTAGTTTGACCTGTTTTATTATGTACCATCGCGAGACCATTGAGACCATGGTAAATGTTATCTGCTCCCGTGAGAGAGTTTTGGGGGATGAAGACGTTCAGGAAGACCCAGTTGTATTCTTGGGCGAGAAGACGTTCGTCGATTCGAGGGAATTCGGCCGGGCAGTCGAGGACTGTGGTCGGGTCGGACATGCGTGTGCCGGCGGGTTGGGTGGCGTCGATGGACCAGCGGACGAATTCGGCTTTGGCGTTGGGGTCGGGCATGCGGCCGTTGTCGGGTGGGAAAAAGGGAAAAGCGTTTTCGTGCACGAGGGAGGATTCGACGGAGATTTTGCTCGGGTCTGAAGGGTCTTCCCAGGCGCCTGCCGTGTGGATGGCCATGGAGTTGGTCCAGGTGTAGTGGCGGACTTCGCCGGGAGACCAGCCAGCGGGAGGGGAGGCGGCGTTGCGGGGGATGACCATGATGGTGTTGGGACGGTCGTAGTTCCAGGCCCAGTGGTGACCTCCGCGTTTCATGCGGTCGACGTCGGCTTCGAAGGGCCAGATGAAGAGGATGAGCCAGGACTTGGTGATGGCGCAGTCGTGGATGGGGCCGGGTCGGCCTTCAGCAAAGGGTTGTTTGCACCAAAAGACGTTCTTGATGGTACCGGCTCGATCGATTGAATAGGTCACCACGTCCAACGAGGCCATGCCTGTCGCTTCATATCCGTGCACAACGAGCTCGTCGGTGATGGGATCGTACTTGGGATGTGCCGTGAAAGACTTTGCATTGACCTGTCCAAAGGGATCATAACCAATGGTTTCCATAGTCTGAGGATCCACGTGATAGGGTAGCGCACTCTCCTTCAACGCCAACAATTTCCCCGCCCAGTAGACGAGATTCGTATTCGCCGTCGAGTCGACCGCCGCTCGCACACACGGATGATGCGACCACGGGTTTCGATACAAGCCAAACAGAGCTTTTCCCGCTCGGCGCTCCAGCATATAGCGCTGGGTGTGCACGTATCGCGTTTTCATATCGACTTTGCCGTCGTGGAATCGGAAGGCGGACATGTTGCCATCACCGTCGAGGGGCACGTTTCCTTCCACTGGGGGGACGAATGGGTCGACCATGACGCGGAAGAAGGTGCCGTCGATTTCTTTGGGGATTTCTCCCAGGACTACCAGGTCCGATACCTCCCCTTCGAGGCGACAGGGGAGATTGGATCCATAAAGGTCCTCGGTCGCAGGCCACTTGCTCTTGAGCTCCGTCTTGCGCGCTGCAGGCGGAGTAGTATCTTCTGGTCCATTTGATGTCGCTTGGCGAGAACCGGCAGTGGGCTCTTGGACCAAGAAGGGGTCACTGGGGGCAATGGCTACAGCAGCCATGTCTTCGAGTTGGTAACCTGGAAGCACAGGAATTTCGTTCAGATGTGTGTTCACTGCGATGGATCGCTCGCAGTCGTCTTATAGACAGTCGGGGTCGCCTTGTCTCTTGCTGGATAGCCCTGCTTCCGACCATCCGCTGTCGTTCGGCAGATGCCCGTAGCAACGTTCTAGTGTCGCCAGACGCTAATCGCGGTACTTGGCAAAGGTCCACATGAACAGGAGCAGCAGGTATGACAGTTGTAGTCTTCGTTATTGGTCTTCCAGCTTAGGGCAGCACGGCACATCTCAGGACGGCGCAGGACCCCCGGCGCATGCCTGTTTACTCCACGTTCGACTCCGCATTGCTGATTCATAATACAGCACAGTGTTCAGATGCAGCATCTACAAATGCCGAATGCTCGTACGACTTGGCGAAGCTCAAGCAAGGCATGATCCTAGCATCCTAGGCAAGCAGGACATCAGTGGAGCTGACTTGACTAGCTACATAGTTAATTGATGTGTGGACCTACTTGTAGGGTGGTCTTTGTGCTTCGCCGAGGCCAGTAACGCCGAAAAGGCGTTGTTTGCGTTGTTTGATCATACGCGCCTCTGTGTCAGTCCCATTGTTGTGTGCGGTCTGGTCATGGTTGGGGCCTGTAAACCGACTTAAGCGATTGCGTTCCATATCATCAACCTTCCAAGGCAGCCCAGTCGGACTGACGCCGCAGCCGCACCAGGCACCCATCTCTCGGCCATTGCGCCATAATGGTAGGAAGTATGTCGACCACGACGGATTCCCAGCCAAGACGTCAAAATCCACGCGGTACCGGATCTTCTCTGGAAAGTATCTACTACTGCGTGGTTGGTGTCTCTCTGTCTTGGCGCATCATCAGCTGTATCAGCAGCCTCCAGCCTCAGAAGGGTCGCAGGGTCGCTGGTCGCAACAGGGTCGCAACAGGGAAAGTGAATGTTTTATTCCCGACGGGGCGGTCCGGGACCGAGAGGCAAAAACGGGGTTACGGGGTTTTCAGGGTCAGGGACCAGAGCAGATGAAACGAGCACGAGGCAATTGAATTCAGGTCCTCTGCGAATCTGCGTCTTCGGGGACCAAATTTCAGGTGCGTGAAGAGCGCATAAATGCCGAGCCGTTGGGGGCGCCCCGCGGTGCAGGTTGTGCCGAGAGTAGTTTAATATGCTGTAGCTCCACAAACGTATTTCCGATCTCCAAGACCGGGCCAGGGTCCTGGAAATCGGATCGCTAACATCTCTTTGCTCTCATGCGGGCACGCTGATCCTGAGTTCAACACTTGGTTGTCCAGACCATCACACCCGCATTTGCTCGTGCGGATATCTGTCACCATGGGGCGTGACAGTGCGGATCTCTGGGTCCAATGTTATATATAAGTAGAGGCAGCACTCGTATCGCATTGCGGGAGGCATTTCGTCGTCGTCGTCGTCGTCGTCATGGCCAATCACGACAACGGCCATGTTCCTATACGATTCGTTTCATTGGGAATGGTGATTTTGGACGAGCTACGCCTGCCAGGAGGGAGAGTTCTGTACGATGTGCTGGGAGGATCGTGCTCGTATAGCACAATTGGAGCCTGTATAGCAGTCGATGGCGATGCTGGACAGGTCGGCTGTCTGGTTCTCGCCGGCCAAGACTTCCCCATCAATGCAGAAGAGCAGATACGCGGCTGGAGATTGAGCTTGACGATTCGAAAAGCACCAGAACGCGAGTCGATGAGGGGAAAGCTCGAGTATCATGATGATGACTTTTCCAGTAAGTGGAGTGACCACCTCGCCGCCAATACGCCAATGGTCTTGCTCAAAGAACATCGTGCAGAAAAGACGTTTGGGTATTTGACGCCTCCTTTGCAGCCGACTCCGGCCGACTTACCTTTTGAATTGCTCAATTCGACTGCGTTCCATTTCCTGGCGAGTCCGGAACTCGTCACGCAACAAATTACAGATCTGTTACGAATTCGTCAGGAGCATGGAATCACTGCCAAGCCCTTGCTGATATGGGAGCCCTCTCCTCTCTCGTGCCGACCCAATAGCCTTGCTGCGCACGTGGAAGCCAGTCAGCTGGTCGATGTGTTCTCGCCGAACCATCTGGAGCTGGAAGCACTACTGGGTCGACTGCAATCACAAGGATCACAAGCGCCATCGGAGACGGGGAGAGAACACATTCAAAGTTGCACGGCCGCATTCATGACAGATGCATCAGCAAGTGCGGCGATAGAGCAGCTTTGCATCGTTCGAGCAGGCGAGTATGGTGCGTTGATTGCCACGAGGACGGAGAACGCGGCGGGCGCAGAGCAAATCGACATGACCTGGGTGGATGCATTCTACTCGGTGGACGAGAAGGATCGGATAGTGGACGCTACGGGGGCCGGCAATGCGTTTCTAGGGGCATTGGCAATAGAGCTGCAACAGAACGGGGGCGATGCAGTGGAGGCTTCCGTGAAAGCGAGCGTGGCGAGCAGCTTCGTGGTCGAGCAAGTAGGCCTTCCGGTCCTGTGTGGAGATCCGGGCGCTGAAACTTGGAATGGGATATCCGTGGGCTCGCGAATGGAGGAGTATGAACGCAAGACGCGTCCGGCCTTGACCTGATTTGGAGGGCGTGCGGCTGAGACATATCAGCATTAATCGAGGGAATGGGAGGCGGCTATCATTTAATAGCTCAAGACGGTGGGATGGCGTGTATGATGATCATGTTGGTCGGCACAATACGGTACGGTAGATACGGTATGTTACATACGGTATATAGATGAGATCATGTACATTTGCTACACATCTCAGGGATCGTTGTGAGGGAAAAGAAACCAAGCGCTGAGTAAGCAAATCAACATGTCTGACCATGAGTGGAGGTCTCCTCAGCATTGTACTACCTCCTACATATATTGGACATGAGGCTGAAGAGTCCGGCTGCTACGAGCCAAATTACTATTGCACCTAGGGAGATAGACGGATAGAGAGCAGCAGACCTAATCCAACATTGTCACAAGCGAAAGCCGAAAACTTCCTTACGGCATCCTTCAAAGCAGGATTCCTGACCGGTGATCAGCCTCCAGGTGTGCCTCACCTAGGTAAACTTCCAATGACTGACTGTATGCATTAATTATATCTTTAGCCCCCTAGTAGTCAGTAAGTGAAGCAAGTCCCATTTGACCGGTTAGCAAAGTTTGCAGATTGAGCAAACTCAAAGAGCAACAGTACCTTACTACTACTACTGGAAGTGATAATCACAAATCTCCTCAGAGGAACAGACAAAAGCATCTTTTTCGCAGATCCCGAGCGGGAATCCGTTCTTCGTCGACGGACGGCAAAAGTTGAAAGGAAGAGGAGAGAGGAGCTGTCATTCTATATTTGGACCCTTGGCAGACACATGCATCACCACATGTCAGATCAGAATGATGGATCTCTTACTGTACATGTACATGCGGGCACTCTCAATACATGTCAGCACAAACAAAGGACTTTGCATCAGCCCCTCCTCCTCATCCTCCACCACCACCACCACCACCACCACCACCAACGACAACAAACAACCAACATGCGCAACGTACACATACTACTTCCGTAAGGTAGGTAAATGTAAACCCAAATCATCTTACCCACCTCCTCCTCCCCTCAAAACCCCCCTACATGTCCCCAGACCTAGGTATCTTTCTTATCATAAAACCATCTTACCTATGCATTATACTTTGGGGTATACAAATATACATGTAGGTCAGGTAGGTAGCTTGTTTTTTTTTGTGTGTTTTTGCTGCAGTGTAATACTACATGTACTACTCAGCCTTGCTGACTACCTTACCTTACCTTACCTTACCTTACCGTACCTTAGCTATCTTTACGGGTGAAGGAAGTACACGGAATTGGGAGGGTGAAACGTGGAGGAGCTGCTGCTGTTTTGCGGCCCCCCTCTCTCTCCCCTCTATCATCTCTCTTCTATAGCTCTTTGGTGTTTGTTGTTGTTTGTTGTCCCTACCTGAGTGAGTAAGTGAGCGAGTTTGTGAGTGTAGTGAGTTTGAGAGCGGAGCTACTAGAGAGATAATTAAATGAACATGAGAGATCGGTTACACGAGAGAGTTGATGATGAGATGATGGATCGTGATGAGCATGAGTATGAGCATGAGCATGATGGCTACGATGAGAAATTGGTAGGAGGAGGAGGACAATCTCCAGGTTCTTCAGCACAGGTGTACTACACAGGCTCAGAGAGATGCAAAAGACGTTCCTCGGCGGGGTCAAGCGGAGCGGAGGATGAAGGGATTGCTATTGGAATTGGTATTGGCATAACACGCGACTGCGAGGATAAGCAAGAGTTGAGAAGAAGAAGAAATGTCGATGTTTCTCCGGGGGAAATTCTCAGGAAGAGACAATTTGGTCCACCTTCACGATCTTCAGATACTATTACTGCAACAATGGCTGCTTCTGGAACGTCGAAAACGACACTGCCTGCTTCTGGGGATAGCAGCGAGGATGCGGATACTTCGTCCAGTACCACAAGTGTGACTGATGGAAGCGAAGCCAGTGAGAGTGAGACCACGGGTAGGTGTTGTGAATCATCAAGACAAAAATTCGCCCCCTTCTGACTGAAAGCCGAAACCAGGTACCGCGTTTGTAACCCAGCCCGCACTCGAGACTGCATCGTCAATAGTCACGGATGTCACGGAACCATACACTTCCTCATTTGCCACGAGCATAAGCACCTTCTTCGATCTCAATACGACAGCAGAAGCTACCGCATCGACGAGTCAGTCGACCTCTACCTCCAGCGCAGAGCCAAGCTTAGCGTCGCTATCGAACAAAGGCTCGAGCAACGGCGGGCTCAGCAACAGCAGCAAAGCCGGTCTAGGCGCTGGGCTTGGTATAGGGCTGGCTCTACTCTTCGCAGGAATCGTCTTCTTCTGCCTCGCGCGTCGAAGAAAACGCAAGAAGATGCTTATGACCGCAAAATACCCTGCTCCTGATGCCCAATCCCACCTCTCCATGATCGAGCAATCGCAGCCAGTGCAATTGAAGGCCGAAGAGCAGTCTGCGGAAAGCCAGCCGCTGCAGGCGCAAATGGATTACCACGAGCAGCAGGATATTCGACATAGTCAGGCTTACTATGAGATACCTCCGCTGGGGGGCCATGCGTTCCAGGCTGTCGAGGAACAGAGTCCGGTCACTCCTATTGCGACAGAGATACGGGGTGGGATACCGTTGGTAATTGCGATTCCGGGCAGCCAGAGGCCATCGGGCGTCTCTCGTGACCATTCACCTATTCGCTCGCATTCTCCTGTATCGCCGATCTCGCTGGTTTCTGCTGTGTCGCCGCTACATTCCAGGGAACCGTCTCCGAAAACTTGATATCCTTGCAGTGTATAGATCCAAATGTCAAACTCGACAAGTTGAGGAAGGTTAATACCCTCTGATTGTGTGCCTTTGAAATTAGTTCTGTTGGTAACCTATGTAGCAGAGCAGTGTCTCCCATATCGAGGGACAGAAAGAGGTGAATGGGTATCTTCGCATATACGTCCCAGATCTCGCCCATATTTCGCACAACCATATTGCTACAACCACCGACCAATAAGTGGAATCATCCTGTACATCTCGTTATACTCTCTGCCAACCCACCCAGGTGCCTCGCCATGTCTCGCCACCACCCCAAAGCTACCAGCCATCCACAGTCCAGTGATAGCAGCGGCAATAGCATTAATCACAATCCACCTTCTCCTCTTCCTCAACTCTCTCCTCGCACCAAACTCCGTCACCTGCTCCGGCGACCAGCCAAAGTACTTGGCGAAGCCCCAGGTGAAATGAAAACATCCCACGCCCAACAAAGCAGCAAATCCCGCAAAGGATACAATCGGATGCTTTGCAAACGCATGACTCACATATGCGAGATCAATATTCCCTCCTCCTGATTTATAGTACACTTGTGGCACAGCTCTGTTGAGCACAATATGTCCCAACGCCAACGGCACAAAGATATATCCCAACTTACTCGTCCCCGACACTTTCGGCCAGAACTTGTGGGTATTCGTGAAGAAACTCTGTTTGTTCTCGGCACTGTACGCATCACCGTACCTTTGCGCATTCTGATTCCTTCTTATCACTCTGATAGCCACACCCGAGAGAATATGGCCCCAGAGAGGAAGGGCTACCATCAGGGGCTCTACGGCTGGAGATTGGTAGTACGGCCTCGTGAGGAGAAGATATGGTTCTGAGGCGGGAACGCTTTGCGTGAGGAGCGGTATCAGGGAGGTATTGGTAATGTGCATGGCGGCGAAGGCTGTGAAAACGTAGGACGAATACTTCTGAACCCGCGTGAGGTACCATATTGCTGAGTGCTGGGAGAGGCCGAGGCCAGTCGTTGTTGCGTTCGGTTGTCGGGAGCGTGATTTCTTGTCGTTGTTGTCGTCGTTGTCGATGGAGGAGGAGGCCTCATACAATGACGTCGTGTCGGTCGGTATGGGCTCGAGCTCGTGCAGACCGGATTCGAGCCTTTCTAGAGATGATATATCGTCGTCCATGGTGGGTGTGATGAGAGGTGAAATGGGTGGTGCATGAAGTGTTTCCCTTCACATGAAAGAGAGATCGCGCCAATGGAAAGAGCCAAAAGTGTAAGCAATCACCATGCATCGGACCGCAATCCGGCCCTTGCACCAACATATCCTATCGCATGTCACCTTCGAATTCATCAACGCAGTGAATAGCACTTTGCAAATTCTGATATCAAGCTGCACTTCTCCAACGAGAGATATACCAAACAAAAGACTACCGCGAACCCCAGGACCCATCGCCCAAGATGGCACCAGTAAGTCCTACCTCTCAACCTCCCATATCCCTCACACAACCCTTCTAACAGATCATTCTCCTTTCCAGCGCGGCCACACTCTCCCAGAAGCCGCAACCGAGTCCGCGCGCGAAGCCCGCAAAGCCTTCTTCTGCGAGCTCTGCCAAAAAGGCTATGCGCGGATGCCCGAGTTCGAAGCGCACGAAAACTCCTACGATCACCAACATCGGAAACGTCTCAAGGAAATGCGAAATCTCACCAAAGATCCTTCTGCGGCTGCTCGTCAACGCGCCGCCGAGGAAAAGGCGAATGCGGAATCCGGATTGAAATCTGTTGCGCTGGGTACGATTACTAACAATAGTACCAAGGGCGCAGCGGAAGGTGGTGGGAAGAAGAAACCAGTCTTCAAATCGACGTTGCAGAGTCAGAATCAGACGATTGTTCCGGGGGTTGGGAAGAAAGGGGAGGAGCATGCTTCTTCTTCTGCTTTCCCTTTGTTGGATGGTTTGGCGGACGCTACGAGTGATGATCCGAAGAAGAAGGAATTTGACCCGTGGGACTTCCCCAATGGCACGCCTGTGCCGTCGCGCGAAGAGATCGATAGATTTCTGAAGGAGACTAGTGAGTTTCTGAAGAACGATTCCACTCATCAGAGAAGGAAAGCAAGGGAGATTGAAAAGGTCTTGAAGGACCATGAGGCAGTTTTTGGGCACGACGCATCGCTAAGTCAGGCGTGAAGTGGTATTCATTCATTTAATGGAAAGGAAGACGGAGAAGTCAAGGCGTTGTGCGTGAAATGTGGCAAAACGCAGACGTCCCCAAGGATTGTTCTGGAGCCAATAACTCTGACTACCTGTTACTGGATATTGGCGCCGCGCCAAGTGGTAATCACGAAATGCTCTGAACATGCCTTGCCAGGTAGTCTCCCAAAGGGCACACAGGCAGATCTGGGAGTGCTGCACCACTCTTTGCTATCACGGGTCGTTACTCGATGGCAGCAAGACGCATGGGCTGGCCATCAAAGGGACACAGGTCCCTCGACCCATCGACAACATGATCTAACGAGAGTTCGGATGGAAAAGGGCAGTCATGGAGGTCGAGGTGACGTGGGAGGCTGACGGTCAGGACAATCAGATAGATGGCAAGTAAGAGTGATGATGGCACGCACAGCCAGAAGGGGACAGAGCCGTGAAACAAGACATAATGTCAATAAGGACGAGCGCGTTCATTTCATTCGAAATCTTCCGTCTCGTTTACCGCGTCTGCGCAGGTATCTCAGTAGTAGCAGCACAGGTTCTCGCTCAGTCTAAGACCTGACCTGCGCCGCGCCAGCCATACTTAGGCGGCGAAATCAAATTGCTGGGGTATCCCGCATCTATCTTTCCACAATGGTAACGCCAGTCCAGTCAAGGTAACCCTGAGTTACCATACGCAAGTCGCGCCCGAAAGCCCTAAACTGTAGTGCACTCGAAATGGACGTCTGTCCAGAGCAAACAGCAAGTCTAATCTCAACCTCCCGTCAACAATGCAAGCCGTCCAGAAGCGGTACAGCCAAAGCGTGTGAATAGAACGCATGATGATGAAAAGTCGTGCAAGTCGCCAATGTTCCAGTGGTGATAACCGCCTGGATTGTGACAGAAAATGCGCCGCCTGTCCATGAGACAAAGTATCTAGGCATTCGATATTGCATCTAGTGTCTTGTATCAATGCGCCAAGCATTCTGGAGTCATCCATCGTCGTCGCCGTTACAAGTGGAGGCCCGAAAGCTGATAAGCCACCTAGGCCTGTCCTGCGTTCGAGCGAGTGTCACTTCGAGATCGCTTGGCGGGTGCGCCGTCGGGAGAAGCATTGGCAGCAGCGCTGCCACGCTTAGCGCCGGCTTTAGTGCGTGGCCACTGGTCGAATGGGCTACCATTCTTGCGCTTTTTCTCTTTGGCAAGCTGAGCTGGCGACGGCGGACCAGCTGGGGTACTCTCTTCGCTGTTTTCGGCGATGGGGGTGAGTTCAAGGGGGCCACGCTTGCTGCGACGAAGAGCAGGAGTGAGGTGATCAAGTTGCTCAAGTGTGTTGTCTGCATCGACCAGTAAGTCCTTGGTGAAGATCTGCTTCTTGCGCGAGCTGCGTTGAGGGGTAGGCAGGACGGAGTCAGCTGCGACTTCTTCGTCGTCTTCAAGTGTGTCTTCGAAGCTTGGCACATTTCGGTGTTGTTTCTGTCTGGTCGTGCGACTCGTGGTCGGCGGACTCATCATTGGCTTGTTTGAGGACTTGGCCTTTTTGACCGGAGTCGCATTTGCAGCAGGAGCGGTGAATGAGACGCCAGAGTCATGCTGTTGCGAATCGAGGACGTCGGCATGATCATTGGGTATATCCACATCAGTTTCAGCTTCTTCGTCACTGTAGCTTGTCTGACTGGCCGGTGAACGTGCGACAGTCTGCGGCTTCCAGAGCAAGCGGGGCTGGATGTCGCTCCGGGTGAATGGACGTGACGCAGAGTGTCCGGCGGCACGCTTGAGCTGTCGCTGTGCACGTGAAGAGGCGCCAGGGTCGGCAGTGAAATCCTCGCCTTCGAACTTGCGAAATACTTTCTTGCCACGGCTGTTATAGTATTAGTATGAGTCCGATTGACGAGATTGACAAAACTTACAAGTTGTAGAAGACACCTTCGCCGCGGTCAACGGCTGCTTGCAGACGGTCATCTTCAAGAATCTGCTCCCTGGTCTTCTTCGGTCGTGGTGGGCTGGGCGAGGAATTCCATTGCGCAATGCGCTCTGCGTCGGTGGTGACAGTTGGTGTGCGACCTCGTGGAGGCGAGCGCGTCGGCGAGGCCGCGAAGAAGACGTTGTCGGATGTTGGATCTTCTTCTGGTACGCGTGCAGATGGTTCCGTGTAGATGGCCACTTCGTTCTTGGCTTTCTTCTTGGTGCTGCCCATGTCAAGACCGCTGTCATGCATGTTGTTGTTGGAAGTTGCTTTCATTCTGCGCGTTTCACGTGGAGACGGCATCACGTCATTCGGATTCTCGGGCTGGAATCTCAGAATTCTGGCAGATTGCTGCATGCTGGCTGCTCGCTGGCGCTTGTGTGCCGAAGATTTTGATGGCGTCTCTAAGGGTGTCGGCAACATGGCGGTGGAAGAGGAAGCTGTGAAAGGAAGGTCAATAATTGCATGAATGATCGTATTGTCATCTGACTTACTATTGTCACCGTTCTCCCGGCGCGATTGTGGCTGGGTCGGTGGCAGTGGCGATGCTGCCGGCGTGGTCAACGCGTCGCTGGCACAAACGCTTGCCGCTGGCGAGCGCGGGGAGCGGCGCGTCATGGGGTGCATATCGTTATATGCAGCCCCATGCAGCGGGGCAGGTGGCGCGCGGCTCACCGCATGACGACCGCGCCGTGGTGGTGTCGACGGCACCTCCATTCTTGCGGAGCTGGCCCGACTCGTTTCTCTTGCTGTCTTGGTGCCGCAGTGGGCTGTGGGTGCGCGGAGGGGGCCCGGAGGCGAACACTGGTCTTCTTGTTGGTTAGCACAATTCTGCTTTCCCACACTTTCGAGCGAGCCGGCCGAGTCTTGAGCGCTGTGGCAGAGAGACTCACGCAGAGAGAGCAACTTTCACGCGGCAATTCGTGAAAATTTCTCGATGTTGGAAAGAGGAAGAGAAAGCTCGCGGGCTTCTAGGAGAAGATTGACGTGCTCGTTGCTGACTCCGCTGTGGATTCCGGATGGTCCCTATAGGGCACAGAGCTGACTGTTTACTGAGGCTCCTTCCCGTTTTGGGACTGAGTATCCCGTCGCGAGTGTACGTGCTTTTTGCGACTTTGGGGATGTGCGCCTATTCCAGCAATGCGCCGGCGTTGTTTTATCCTTTGCGCGTATCTTGTAGCCTCCCAAAATGCCCCAGTGTGAAAACTCCAGCTCAGTTCTATGCGATGCGGTGCTCGGAAGCGGAATGGGCGTCGTGATGATATTCGTTCGCGTGGTGTAGGATCGTAGAGAGCTCCTGATGAGAGGTGACAGGTGAAGTCGAAGCTGGCCAGCCACGACAGGGATTACTAGCGTGCATGCTAAATTAGTGGGCTGGTACGCGTCGCACCTGCATAAATGATAAAACAAACAATAAAACACGTCGGCAAGAACGAGCCAGTGATATAGCGACAGGTCCCAGGAAGAAGGCCAGGGCAACAAGGGGCTCGTCAACGCGAAATACTTTCTTCTTACACTGCGCAGGTGCGCAGCTCCTTGCACAGCATGTCGAAGCGTCCTGGCGCAGTGGACACGCCCAATCTCGCGAAACTTTCCCTCGACGACGACGATGAGGACCTCTTTGCAAGTCCAGAAAGCAGCGCAACCACACAAAAACACGCTCCAGGGTCGGCGACTACTTCAGCTCAGCGCCCGCAGCCTGTACGGACCCAAACAAAACAGGAAATCGAAGATGCCCGCAATGCTCATTTGCAGGCCGAACTGGAAAAGGTGCGCGAGGTCAATCGCGTAATAGAAGGCGTTACTGCGAGCTTGACCAGAGCGAAAGGAAACATGGAAAATGTCCACAAGACTGTCAACAATGCTTCGACGTTGCTTGCGACGTGGACGAGGATATTGAGCCAGACGGAGCACAATCAGCGAGTAATCTTGAATCCCAACTTCCAAGGCGCATCGCAGGATCTGGAGGATATTGAGAACGATGTTGTGCGCCGGCAGCAGGAGGTGGAGAGACGTGCTTATGAACAGCAGCGGCGGCAAGAAGAGGCACAGCGGAAGGCAGAGGAGGAAGAGAGGAAAAGAGCTGCTGCGGAAGCGACGAGAACGAGAGCAGGTTTGGGCAGGACGAAGAGTACGAGGGGCACTACGAGCTCGTCAAGAGGCTACACCGGTGTTGGAGGGCAAGTTGGGCGCGGTAGGGGGTTGACTGCTGGTACAAGGGGCACCGCTAGCTACGGCAGAGTGTCCAGTGCGACCAGGGGGCGCGGCCGAGGGCTGGGTTGAGCGGTAATGATCCAAAACGATCCGACTTCTCAACAGACATACACTCGGCTTGCCTTGACGCACCATTCAGTATGCTAGTCCTCGTACAGCTCTGTGGTCGTCTCCCCGCCCAACGCGGCCTCGAGGTGTCGATCGAGCTACTGGACATAGTTGCTGCCAGCATTCATAATCAGCTGGTCGAGCACATGTGAAGTGTCAAATCGACTTGTGCAGCCTCATCCGATGTAGCCGTGGCGGTCATGCGAGTAGGGAACCGCTGTGTCAGTAAACCGACGCACGACCTCAACAGTCAGTAGCCGACCCGGAGACAGTGTCACTATCAGATGAAATCACCAAGGACTTCATGCAGGGTCTTCATTGATGCTCATCTACATGTCGTAGGTACCTCAGCTCTTCAGCCGCAGCCTTGTTGGTCTCTCCAACTCCACTTGCTTTATGTGGTATCCAATCTACTCCTTGCTCGTTTTCTCCTTTGCGGCCTGGTCTAGCACACCACCTGGATTGCTGCCCAGGTTCTTCAACTGGTCTTTGCTCTGCTCGCCAGCTTGCTGACCTGGCTGATTCTGACCTTGGTCGTTGACATTGCCGGCCTGGACGCCCTTTTGGCCCTCGGTTTGCTTCTCTGGCTCTGGGGATTGACGGCCTTGGTTTGGTGCAGACATTGTGATCTGAGGTGAATTAGATCTCTGACAACTTCAAGGTGATGGGCGAACACGAACCGTGCTTGTTGATGGTGATCAGAGAACTGGCTTTATTAGCGGAAGAAATTGGAAAACGGCAAAAGCTGTAACTTACCGGTTAGATTGGTTTGTGGGGGAGCTGGTAAGATCTCAATGTTGTCGTTGATGTTATTGTTGTTGTTGTCGTTGTCGATGTCTGTTGAAGTTTAAAAAGTGTTGATGGAGGGGTGAAGGTGGGACAAACATGGCAAGAGCGATGACGACAAGCGCGAGGCGTCAGAACAGCGTCACAGCTCATCTACAGGTACCTAGCCTAGCAGGAGCGTGGGAGCCAAGGCCGACCCGAGCATCTGCACAACTCCGACATCATCTTCACTTCGCTGTTTTGTGTATACAAGGGACTCTGCTAGCTCCAAGCCACCAGCCAATCCTACGAATGGATACAAACAGATCACACGTTGACATGATACGAAGCGAAGACACGGCGAGGCCTGTGATCGCGGCCGTCTGGTGCTCTTGATACCATCAGCAAGACCAGACCTATGCAATTTTCTCTACATAGGTACCTACGGCGGAGACATTGTATGCACGCTTGAAGTGCAGTTTGTCCTCTTGAGACGCCGAGGAGAGCCAGGGGATTATGCTCTGATACACAGAAAACGGACTCCAATGCACCATGTCGAAATTGCATCTCGCGCTGTAGACCCATTGGCTACCTTGGCAGCATCTCACAAAGCCTCGCACGCTGGTGAATGCTCCAGCCCCTTACGCCTCAGCATCGGTATTGCGATGAGCTCGACGGCCTGGAGATTCATGGAATGACCCCCACCCCATTAGCTTGCTCGCGAGAACGGCAACTCACTTAGGTTGATTCAGAAACTCGACCTGTTGAACGCCAAAGTTGCCAATGAACACCACCACGGCAGCATACGCTGCTGAAGCGGCAAAGAGCTCATGCCTCTTGGCTGTCGTGAGTGAGGACATGGCCATACCGAATACACAGGTGAATACGATCAGTACACCTTACATACGATCAGCCATAGGCACAGGCGAGGAGGACTGGCACGAACCACATACCGATAGCATCCAGTGGTGACTGGGCCGCGCTCGTCTCCGTGATTCGATACATGACCACTACGGGCAGAACCAGCAAAATGAAGATGATGACGGTTATGATGAAGTTCACAAGAGCATCGATGCGGGCTGGAGCAAAGTAGCTGATGTACTTTTTATCCTTCTCGTCCCCCGTCTTGTTCTGCAACTCCCGAGTCAGAAAGATACGCTGCTTCACTGTCAGTAGGACGCCATCGATCGCGCGGTTCAGTAATACTAGCCTGGATCATGTTACTTCCGCATGCTTTCAGCCAGCAGTCCAGGCGGGTCAAACATCGTTCTACGAAGCCGTCGAACCCGGCGCTCTCTCGACCAGTCCTCAACGTTACGATATCCTCCTTCTTGCGGATGTACCTCGCTTCCCCACGAGTGATTGGCTCACGAAACGCGAACCAGTTCTTCATGGTCTGATAGTCCCGCGACGCAGGTCGCTGCAGTGAGACCATTCCTTGGTCCTCAAAAGAACAGTATCTGTAATGATTAGTGGGGAGGTCTTGTGCCTGGTAATTGGACATACCGTATTCGAGGAGCTTCATCTTGAGCTCAGTGAGAACCTCAGGACGGTTTCGAACAATTTCCTCCGGATACATTGATGCTGTCGGATCTTCGGTCGATTGCTCGAGATCATCCAGTCTGCTTTGCAGTCTTCTCTGGTTACTCCCGTGGTCATGCTGGTCAAGGTCGTCTAGCTCCTCTTCCAGTAGCTCAATGCCATGCTGGAGGTCGGAAAGAACACGACAATGCAAATAATTGAATCCTCGGAATTGGAGAAAGTTTCGGTCACTCGACTTGAACGCTGCGATGGCGGGATATCCACGAGGAATTTCTTCGACTGCGGCATCGTCAATATGGCATTTCTCCTTCAAATTGTATGCTCAACGTACGCCTTCTGGTCAGAGGGGACCTGTGATCAGGTTGTTCAAGTGGCTCGTCGGTTTTTCTCGCGATATTCGAATGCCACCGACTCATGAGCCGTGTTGGCCACGCCCCTGCAACGATCAGTACGCCTGCGCGTCCCTTCATGAGTTGACTAACATATTGGCTTCTTCTCACTGCCCGACTCCATATCTCCAGCGAAGCCTGCATCGCTGGTGCCTGTGGTGGTAGGTGTTGAAAGCTCCTTGTCGAACGTTTCGCAAGAGTCCACCGAAGAGTTCTTGTTGGACATGATGAATCTTCCCAGGGACAGTTTGCACAGAATGACAGTGAAATGCGCCCGACGTGTATTAGTATACAGCACCATAATGCCCCACTACAATGGCCAATACTTAACGCGTAACACAGGCGTAGTCGCACTTCCGAGTGCATCACCATACGCTCAGCCCACGGGACGTAGATTGACTGGAAGATAGGTGGTACCATTTGAGGCCGCCCCATTCCACCGAAGAAGCTAACGCTGTGTCACGCTTGTGCAGCAGCCACTCAGCTTATCAACGATTCAACGTAGCCTACTCTCAGCTACGTACACCCCGCTCTCGTACGCTTCGCCAGTACTCTTTTCTCTCAACTGGTATGTATGTTCTCTCTTCGCCCCGTCGTATTTGACATCTCGCACGATACACGTGGTAGTTCCGGTTCTTTTAGTTACCGAGTCGGTCTTGCTGGCGCGCACGGTCTGTCCCATCTTAAACGACGCCGTTGGCTACTGAGTTTAGTAAGGGTTAACGACGTGGAAGGAATCTTTGCATACAATTTCTGAGAGGTTGAGCGGCACTTTTGCCACGCCTGACTTCCATCGCTCTTCTGTCTGCGGCTGTTCAGGTGCCTCATCCTCCCGCTATCTCGCGACGTCAGTCAGTGACCAGGATGCCAATCACAACAACCACCCTCACCTCGCTCGATGGCAGTGTATCCTGCACTTTGCGTTCAGACATGGTGTGCATGGAGAGAAGAGCAGTGCTTGGAAGCCAACGAGGCGTTGTCGATGTACTCTTTGACTGATTGTGGGTGCTGATTCTCTCTCCAAAGGCAGCGTGTTTGTGTACCGGCTAAGTCAAGCGTCTGTAGGTAAGAGCGGCCTTACAGCTCGCTAAGAAGATGTTCGAATAAGATGGGTAGGTAAAAGCGACCTTACAGCTCGCTACGAAGCGGCCAGAATAAGATGGATAGGTGGGCCCGCTGCCCGGTGAAGGATCGGAGCTTCCCAAGCCTATACTACGAAGGCTATTCTCAATTATAGAAAGCCTTAGAGCAGGATGTCCAGCTCTTCGCGCATTTACCTCTCTGATTGGAAGCTTCGCACAGTAAACAGAAACATCGCGCAGTCTCTGGAATCAGGAAACAATCCGTTCACCATAGAAGCAGATCAAGGGGGTGCAGATTTCTGTGGACATCTCTCGTGGTCCAAGCCAACACATGAAGTACCAACCACAGACAACGAAGACCTGTCCCTCAGCACTGCCACTTTGATTGAAAGGGAGCCAATTGAATCGGGCAGTCCGTTGATGCAGGCACTTTGGGAGCAAGCATCGTGCAACCAGTTGGCGGTACCTTATAAGTACCAAAAAGTCGCTGCATTGATCGTGCATTGGGCGAAGTACCTCGACGAGGATCTCGACTGCGAAAGTGAGGTAAGTGATCGGCCCTGTCAACTTACACGTACACAAAGACGCTTATGACGTCTAGTCCAAAGAATTGCATGATCTTTTCGAAAAGCGTTTCAAGTTCAAGTCAACGATCCTGAAGTTGGATAGCAACCGTGATCCCCAGCGACAGCTCAGACGTGGTCTGGATACTCTGGTACTAGATCACGACGGGCCATGCCGAAATAACTTACTGATTGTATACTACTCGGGCCACGGCCTGGCCGAACCCAGCAAGGGCCTCTACATCACTGGGTACGAGCAGGATAGCTGTCAAATGAACCACTTCTAAGTATGCCTAGGAAAGAGAACTATAATCCCGATAAGTCAGCGCCCGGGCACGGATATTCCCCCCACGCGAGCTGGAACGAAGCCGAGGCCATTCTCCAAGACTCCTCCGCCGATGTCCTGACAATTATCGACTCGTGCTCCGCCGGCAGTATCTGGAAAGACGCCGCCACCAAAGACCGATCCTGGGAAGTCCTCGCAGCTTCCAACCGCTGGGATCCCACCGCCGCCCCCGGCCCTCACTCCTTCACTCGCGCACTCATTGACTCCCTGACGGCGCGTCTCGACGCCCATCCCGACCAACTTTTCTCCGTCTTCCAACTCCACGACGACATTATGAAAAGACGCAACGACGAACGCTCCGTCTTCCGCACCCGCCACGGGCTCAATCAGCGATACATCAAACTTGCCAAATTGGACGTCCGATCTTCCCACCACGACGAAGAAGACCTTCCCGCATATACCCGCGAAGCAGCATTCATGACGTTGCGTCTGTCATTTGGGAACCGATCGCATCTTCCCGACGAACAACTCAAGAATCTCGCGAGAGGGATTTCTCGAGCTGCGGCGGAGGCGGAATTGGGAATTAATAAAATTGACCTTGTGGAATTTCGGGAGATAGAGGGCTGGTGTCGGCTCAGTAGTGTGGTGAAACTTTGTAGTGCGGTGAGGAAGGCTCAACGGTTGTGGAGAGGGAGGGCTGCAAGGTCGGAGCTGAAGAGGCAGAGGGATGAGGAGGTGGAGGAGGTGGTTGATGATGCTGGGGATGGTTTTGGTGGTGTTGATGATGAGGCAGAGTTATCGAGGTTGCACGTGAAGCGTGTACGGACGGATAGTAAGCTGTTGCCGCGAGACGGGATGATGACGAGGGTGGGGATTGAACCGCCTTCGCCTTCGCCTTCGATGGGGAGTGATTAGTTCTCTTTCTTGTGTTTCTTTTTGTGGATACGATAGATACAGTCTTGGGTTCCAGAAACCAAGAGGATAGATACCTGATATCATGAACGCTTGTGTATTTTTTTTCCAGAGACATGTACCCCACCCCCCCATAAATTTTGAAGCCCCCAATTGAGAACTCGACCCTTTTGATTTTGTTTTCCAATATTGTCTAACCCTTCACATCCGACAACTCCCCTCTCAACGCACTCAATGACGGCGAAAAGAAATACTCTCCTCCCTTGGGAATCACGAAGCGATTGATACCCGACACGTGTAATTCTCGATTGGCGTCGTCCGGCACGAGACCTTTCATGCCTACGGTGGGTTCGGAATTGGTTTGGCCGATGAGGGCGTCGAGGCCGGAGTTGGGGAAGCGGAAGGAGGGGTCGTTAGCCTGTGTTTTATAGTTAGAAGGGAGGGAGAGATTTTGAGAAGATATATTGGAAAACAAGGGAAAGGGTACACAGAGAGAGTGAGGGAGAGAGAGGGAGAGATCACTCACCCAACGTTTCTGAATCAACTCAAACCCTTGACTGAGATCACTCTGATAACACGCAAACAGCAAGCCTCGCTCCGCAGCAGGATCTTCATCCATTTCTGGACCATATGGAATTCCTCGGCGTAAGATCCGATGGATATTGACACTCGCTCGCCCGTCCGGGGGTTGATCGCCTCTGGGGTTCGTCTTCCGGATATGAGCGCCAAGGGGACAATTGACACTCGGCTGACCGGATGTAATGGTAAACTCTTGGGCAGAGTTTAGGCCCGTGGGGTCGAATTCGAAGAAGTTGTTTCGGAGGACGTCTCGCGCGATTTCGGTGTTGTCGAAGTCGGGTTGGAGGTTAATGGGACATCCGGATTTCCAGCGGCCGACAAGGCGGGCTCCAAGGAGGTCCGGGGAGATGCCGAGTTCGGAGGAGGATTGGACGACAAAGTTTTCCCAGGCGGACACGTCTTGTTGGAGTTTGCGGAAGCAGAGGAAGGAGCCGTCGAGCATCCAGGAGGGTCGGCTGGAGGCTTTGGCGTCGCCGGGTCGGCCGCAGAGGATGACGCCTTGGGGGATGATGTCTTGTCCGGGAGGAACAAACATCTCCTCCTTGGTGAGGTTAGGGAGGTCGCCCACGATTGGCTGCGAGATTCCGTCTTGATAACCAAAGTGTTCTTTACCCTTTTGTGTCCCTGGACGGACATTACCATCGATCTTGAGTGCACGCTGCACGGAAGATCCGAATTGAGAGATTATGTGGTGCAGTTTCTTATGGACAATATCCTTGCAGTTGCCGGCAACGAGCAATACGCCATCGATCTGGTTGTCGAGCCAGTCTGCTTCCCAGTCTGGAGTTTGAGGGTCGTCTGCTTTTACAGGATCGTGCAAATCAGACACAGCTGCAGCTTTCATTCCGGTCTCGAAGATGGTATCGCCTGTGCTCACTTGCAGACCGGTGACGGCGGCGATCTGTTGTCTATCGTCAGAGATGCACGGGACCCACACGTGATGTGGCGAACCTTTTGGAGTCCACTGAAGGAGAATGAGATGTTAGCACCGACGGTCGGCAGCTTCTCGGTATGCGAATGGCCTCTCTGGGCTTTGAAGTGCTTGATGTGGCGACGGGTGTCCAGGACATGTTGTGTATGCGAGATGTCATGATTCGCTACCCTGCGTAGAGCGTGACCAAATTCGGTACTGTCGACAATGGTGAAGAACCAAAAAGTCTCGACCTCTTTCGTCAAGCCTTTGAGGAGAATGTCGCCTTGGACATTGCTGAGATCAGTGATATTGGTAGCCATAACTATGGAGAAGCACGGATGTGTCGGAGTTTCTGCGGATGATTGAAAGTGAATTTGTGTCAGAAATCACCTGCTCGAAATCCACATATTTATATATCTGGAGCTTGCCGCCACGTCCGGCTCGCCACTCCATTTGCAAGGCATTTATACAGCGCATTTGTACAAGGCATACGTTTGCGAGGGCATTTGCAAGGCATTTGCATCGTTGTTCGCCCACCCTCGCGTCGACACCAGGTCCCGTAGGCAGACAATACTCGTTCTGTCACTTCTGCTGCGACAACACCTGCGATATTGCCTGGGTGTCGTGACGGTTTCGGGAGAAGTATAGGCAGCCAAGGGGTCAAGCTGACCAGTCCTGCGATGCCGATAGGTAAGAGATGCGCAACTCAGCTGGCGCAGCTCGTGTTCGCAGGTACGAATATGTATGGTCGTGGTAGGATGAGGCCCATGGACGGCCACGTCCCAGGCATAACCTAGTTGTACGGTAACTGGGCTGCCAACAAGTTTCATGTGCAGAAACCAGGCCCATCCCTTGTTTGCAGTGCGTGGAAGTGGGAGGGGGAAGGGGAGTAAGTCCTAGTGGGAGTGGGAGTGCGAGTGCTGCAGGAGTAAGGATACGGTACGCGCCGTTCTCAAGTGAAAGAAGGCTTTGTCAGTGAAGCGGAGCGTCTCGTCGATATTCAGTGTCTGATGATGATGACAAACATTGCTTGGCAATAATTGAAGAGAGTCTGAGAGGCGGAGGTAGGAGGAGGTACCTAGGTAGGTTGGGAAGAGAAAAGAGAAAGCGAAAGAGAAAGACTGACAGAACATCCGGCTCTACGGCACGGCACACTTCACACCTTCCGCGTTCCCGCCTCCGCGACCCACCGCTCCGTCGCAGCAGCTTCCATTCTTCCCATTCTTCCCACAGTTTCCACAATCTTCTCGAGCCCTCGCACCGCAGATCGTCGCTATCTCCGCCCACCACCTCCCCGCTACATGACCCACTACCGCTGCTGATCGTCCGTATACACTTCGCCGCCCCTCGTGACTGGCGGTGCCTCTGGTAAGGTTGGCTGCCGCGACCAGGGAGCAGCAGCAAGCTGCAATTTGTCGGTATGCAAAGTCGAAAGAATGAGGAAGCTGCTATAGCTGGCCCGCGTAAGCCATGGAACTACCATGTGCGGCCTACTCTCTCAACCGGCGCTGGACTATAGCCTGGAGGCTAAGTCGTGTCCTACTATACCTACCTCTCGTCTCTCGTCCTTTTCTCTTCTGAGACACCGGCTGGACATCTGCTGCTACCTTGGACACCACGCCGCCACGGAGAAGACACTGCTCACATCATGGCAAACGTCTCCGAGAAGAATGGCGACCACCACGCTGCCGATGTCGAGAAGCAGATCGAACCGGTCAACAAGCAAGAAGCAGAGAGCATAGAACCCTTTGTTCTCCCCACAGAGGAAGAGAAGCGGGCGGTGATCAGGAAACTGGACTGGCGCCTTCTGCCATTGGTTTTTGTCCTGTATTCTCTTGCAGTCCTGGACAGATCGAATCTGGGCAATGCGCGCTTGGCGGGCATGGAACAAGACATCGACTTGAGTGGCAATCGATATGAACTTCTCGGAACCATCTTTTACATTGCATACATCGTATCGCAGTGGACCATTCTGGGCTGGAAACAGTTCAAGCCGCATCAGTGGTGTGCCTTTACCATTGTCTTCTGGGGCTTCGTGGCAACCGTCCAAGCCGCAGCCTTCAACTGGGCCGGCCTGATGACGTGCAGATTCTTTTTGGGGGTCTCTGAAGCCATGTTCGGACCAGGTGTCGCCTTGTACTTGACCTATTTCTACCCGCGACAGAAAGTGGGCTTCCGCCATGGCGTCTTCATCAGCGGCGCAGCCATGGCCAATGCCTATGGTTCAGCACTCGCATATGGAATCAGCCAGATCAGAGGCTCGCTCAGGCCGTGGAAGATCTTGTTCTTGATCGAGGGTTTGCCGACGATTGCAATGGCAGTAGTGGTGTGGTTCTTCCTCCCGGATCGCATCGATTCGGCAAGCTTCCTGAACGAGAGAGAGAAGCAAGTCGCATCACACCTAGTTGCGCAGAACCAGAAAGTAGATGTGGGCAAAGAAAGAGGAGTACGCTGGAGAGAGACCTTGGACGCATTCAAAGACCCCAAGTCCTTCATCCCCGGTCTAATGTACTTTGGCTGGTAAGTTCGACCCCCGAACGGAATCTTTATTCCCCTTCTTCCCTCACTAACTTCATCTAGCAATGTCTCCTTCGCCTCTCTTCCCCTCTTCCTCCCCACCATTATTTCCGAAATGGGCACATTCTCCACAATAACCTCCAACGGCCTCTCGGCCCCTCCCTACGTCTTCTGCTTCCTGGTCATCCTCCTCATCAGCTTCCTCTCCTCGCACTACCACTCCCACGGCCCCTTTGTAGCCCTCACGGCAACGCTCGCAGCCGTCGGATTCATCATCAACGCCACCACGACCACGACGGGCCCACGCTACTTCTCCACCTTCCTCTCCGTGTGCATCTTCGCCTCCATTGGCGTGCTCCTCTCCTGGACGGCGAATTTGCATGCGACGGAGAGCAAGAGGGGTGGAGGGTATGTGATTTTGAACTTGGTAGGTCAGTGTGGACCGTTGTTGGGGACGAATATCTTTCCCGAGAGCGAGAAGCCGTTGTATCGAAAGGGGTTGTGGGTGTCGGCGGCAATGTGTTTGATGGTTGCGGTACTTGCGGTGCTGCTGGAGTTGTGGATTGGGTATGAGAAGCGGGTGATGCTAAAGGGCAAAAATCACGAGGAGCAACTGCAAAGGGAGGAGGAGGAGAAGAAGGAAGAGTTGGAGTTGAGTGGGTTGCGAAGTCGGAGTAGTGGTCGTAGTATAACGAAATGAAAACGAAGATGAAGTGAATTTTCATCAAAACGAAAGTGCTTCTTCTTTAGATATCAAAGTATCTCGTCCTCACTCCAACAATACCAAAGTCAAAAACCACCCTTTGCACACACACAGCCATCCTGACCCCACATTCCTCCCTAACCTCCATTTCTCTCTTCCCCTCTCTCTCCCTCTTCGTTGCATCGAATTAGGTGTGAAAGTCATCCATCCATCCATCCATCCATCCGTCCATCCCGTCGTCAAGAACATGTCGAATTCCAGTTCAAGTTTGTGCGAAATGAATGAAGAATTTCAAGTCTCAAGAGAGAAGAAGAAGGATCAGGAAAGGAAAAAAAGGAAATGTCCAGAATGTCGAAACTGATGTAAAGGTAGGTATCCTTGTTGTTTATTGTTGTTGTTTATTGTTGTCGTTTATTGTTGGAGGAGTTGGTCGAAGGGTTTAGGTGGAGAGAAGAGGGGATTTAGCAAGAGCAAGAGCCTGCTGCGCACTAGATGAGGGGATGAGGGTTAGTTCGTTATTTGGTTATGGGATGGTTATGGGTGGAAAGAATAAAGAGTGAGGTGGAGAGTGAGGTGGAGAGTGAGAGGTGGGCAAGGTGGGGTGGTGAGATGAGAGAATGCTTACCTTGCAGGTCGAGCCGCAAGAGCAAGAAGCGTTTCCACAGCCACCCATTTTGATGTGATTGGACTTGATTTGGTTGATTTGGTTGTTGTTGTTGTTGAGAAGCGTTGTCGTTGTCGTTGTCGTTGTCGTAGTTTGCTGATGTCTTATCGCAGAAGGAGGGGCAAACAAAAGAGTCCTATATATCCCCCCCACACAGCAGTCACATGATTACCGATGCGGTCTTATCGCGTCGGGGCGGGGCGGCGAATTATTGTCCAAGCCGAGCGTCTTTTTTGCGTAGCCACTCGCACAAAGGACGCATACTCGCCCCCCATCCATCATCCATGGAGGAAGAATGCAACCATACGGTGCCTAATAAGCTTACACACCTCACCTACGTAGCTACCTACCTACCTACCTACTACTACCTCCTAGCCTCCTAGGGACACGCACACACCGCTGTCGCCGGAGTCGGCCCATGTTGAACCAATCAATCAATCGTCCTCTTGTTCTTAGGTACAGGCCTAGGAGAGAGGTACTTTACCTGACATGTACATGGACCGACCGACCGACAGACCGACCGGCCACTGGCTCTTTCTTTTTTCTTTCTTTTTTTTCCTTTCGTATTTTCGCGTGGGCGCAAAATTGGCGCGGCATGCGCGAGGGTTGATGAAGGGGGGTGTGTGTGAGGATGAGGGTGAGGGTGAGGGTGTCCCTAGGCGGGGTCGGAGAAAAAGCTTCATCGTGGGTTTCTGGATACATGTAGGTGGTAGGTGGATGGGTGCCTCCAGGCTCCTAGGCCTGCTTGCTGGACCACGCATTGCTGCTTGCTTGCTTGCCAACTTGCTTGCAACTGCTGCTTCCACTGGCTTGCTTCCTGCAATGTAAAGGGAGCTGGAGGTAAAGATACCTTGTTACATCCAGTACACACATACCCGGGCCCCCTCCTCCTCCTCCTCCTCCTCCTCCTCCTCCTCCTCTAACGAGCAGGTTTCGAATTGAATCGGCAAAAGTCAGCTGCAGCTGCAGCAAGCCACAGAGCCATTCTCGAACCGCGTCGCCCGTATATGCAGCTCCTCTCCGCTCCGGTAGGTAGGTACACATGTATGCAATTGGCAATTGCTACGAGGTACGTTTTAAATTAAAATAATCAAGCTCGTGATAAGAGATGATGCAGGTGAAAAGCTAGCTACAGCTGCCAATCGATCGAAAGCTTTTCATCTTTTCGGATAATGTATCGGATACCCTCAAGAGTCAAGAGGTAAAGACCGTAAAGTACATGTGGGTACCTACCTGAGGTACCTACCTTGCATAGATTTACCGGAGAGGCAGGACAAAGAGACAGACAGTCCCGTCTCTCCTACACCCAAAAGTAGGAGCAGAATAGAGGTAAGAGCAGATCACTCCCTTCCCAACCTACCTTACCTAGTACCCTCGAACATCAAGTAGGTATGTCCAACAGTCCAGTCCAGTCCAGTCCACGAGCCTCAGCCACCACCACCACCACCCGCTGCTCCCAGTCCGAGAAAGCAGTACATCCCAGGTACCTGTACCCACCTAGCCCATCCCATCCCATTCTCATCCCATCCCACCCCAGCACAACCCACGTGTGTCCACAACAATCCGTGCGAAATACGACTTGGACGACTTGGACGACGACAACATCTTTGCAAGATCGTTCCGCTGCGTCGGTACAAGTACAAGTACATGTACATGTACCAAAGGTACTACAAACTACACGCCTTACCTAATAACATGTACATACCTAGGTACAACCTGCAAGTAGGTACGTACCTGAAGCTGAAGCCAGGCTTTGCTCATTCATCATCGTCATGTGAGAGGACTCCTCAGGGAGGCATAAGCGTGGGATTGTTTCAACTTTGTACCCTACTACATGTAGCTACCTGTAGTTCTGGGCTGCTCAAATCATCATCATCATCATCATCACTCTACAACGTGGTTTACCTGTACGAGTTAGTATGGAACTTTAGGTATTATGATGTCTGTAACTACATGACCATGTCAGGTACGTACCTACATGTAGGTATGATAGTGACTTGGAAGTCATGCTATGTGTAAGTACATGTAGGCATGTACATGGAGATCTGAGCCACAACGCGGGATAGACGAGGTAGAATAGAGCAGAGACGTCAAGGTCCCTTGGAACTGATCGTGGCAGGAGCCTCATGTGTTCATGCAATCATATTTCATTCATTACTTTTGAGCTTGCTCTTCAACCTCGCTGTGAGGCTGCCCTTCCGGGGTGTCTGTCCCTTCTTTGCACTCTCCATATCCTGCATCTGCGTCTGCATCCGTGCCTGCGCTCGAAATGCTCTCGCTGCTCTTGCGTCTGCTGGGTTCGCCTGATTCCCTCTCGACCACCACGGGCCCGTAATGCTCCGCATGCTCGCCAGGCTCGTGAGACTCGTCGTGCTGGCGTTACTCTGTCACTTGGACAATTTCTGGGCTTGCTCGTCGACTGTGCTTTCCACTGGTCCCTTGCCGCTGCCGGTGGTACCCGTCACTTGAGCCTGGCCAGTGGAGCCGATGCCCTCACCTGCCTCTGGCTCTGGCGCTGGTGCAGCCTTGCCGGAGCGGTCGACACCGGAGGAAGTAGGCTGCTGTGAGAATGGGTCAGCCGGGGTGAGGTCAAGGTGGGAGAAGGCGGATCAGCGTACCTCGTTACCTTGCGGCGCACCGTGCTGGATGTTGTGGCCGGCCTCCTCAGCATTGTGAGAGTGTCCTGATCCGTCGCGAGGCATCGTGGTAGGTTTGATATGGAATTGGCGCGGTGTGGCAGATGGAAGTGGATGTCTGGTTGGTGTGTGTGTGTGTGCTTGATGGAATGGTAGCGGAAGAAGACACAGGAATTGTATCTCTGGGAGCTACCTCGTAGCTATAAGTACCTTCCAGTGACTTGTACCTGCAATGGAGTTGAACGTTCCACAGTCACCATGATATCAGAGTGGATCTCGCCATCACTCCCATGGGACGACATTACGTCTTGGGAAGTGTGATCCCGGCTGCTCTGATGGGGGACATGTTGGCCATGCTACCTCATACGCAGAGAACAGCTCTTGCAGGTAGGAGGTTGTACCTTGCTAATGTAGTCTCGAGGGGACTCTGGATAGTTCAGGGAGAGGAGTGATGTGATGACAGATAGGTGGAGCCTTGGAGGTAGGATCAGAGGAGAGAGAGGAAGGCAGATGGCCCGTGCATCAGCGGAGCGGCAGGGCAGCTCCCGCCGACTGCTGGTATCCAAAAAAAAATTATCATGTTCAACTACGCGTCGCACGCCTCGCGTCCCATTGTCTATGTACAGTGTACAGTACTTTATTCCCATCAGATGTCAGATGCATACATGCCCGTGCATGCATTGTGATTCGGCCATGTCATGCCCGCATCGGTCTTCACTTCACTCCCCTTAATAGCCCTATTCCCCTAGGCTCGGCTCGGCATGTTTGCCTGACCACGAGTACCTGCCTACCTACCCAGCTTCTCCTGTTTTGCCGTGAAAGACCACCGACTACCTGAGGCAGTATCGAGGCGACATGGCAATTTTCCACCTCCCGCCAGCGTTACGACTTCAAATGCTATCCCGGTCGTTGCTTGTCAAGCCGTACATCTTGGCATCAGGACGTGGAATTCGGCCATCAGCAGCCCTTTGCTCTTCTCGGGACCGTGGCCGCCCATACGCCACTGTGCGTACCAACAACAACAAAAGAACTGTGGGCAAGACCCAAGCCCGTCCATCGCGACCGGCCGACCACCGTCACGGCGGCCTGCCCCCCAAACGGAATCAAGCCATGACGAGAGCACGAAAGGCGAATGACAAGCGCTCCCAAGGGAGCAAGTCCGAGAAAACAGCTGTTCTGTCACATGTTTCTAAGAAGTCGTCGACGAAGCACAGTCCCGTACGGCGCGAGAGTTCTCGTCGCTCCGAGAAGCGGCGAACGCAGCAGCAGCAGCAGCAGCAGCAGCAGCCTCGTCCAGGCAGGATCCCGACGTCACCAAGCGCCACTGCTGAAGGAGACCTGGTTGACGACGCGTCGGAATCCCAGGCTAACAGCGCTCGAGTCGACTTCAAATATGTACAAGATCATATGCAAATACCGTCAGCTTCAGACTACCCAGATGCCACGCTTGAAATCCGGAACGCACTGAGCCTACTCAAACCGAACCTTCTGCGCGGAGTCTTCGATACATACTTACGGAAGAAGCTCAAAGTCATTGAGAACTACGAGGAAGTAACTAAAGGTTGGCTATGTGAACTGACTCTGGATGCTCCTGGGGACTTTCAGCAATGCGTGACCGGCGTTGGTGCCACAAAGTCCCAAGCCGCCAATGCCGCGTACGTGTATACTCTCTCGAGATTGCATACATCGGGCATGCTTGCTGCACTCCTGTCCCCGGCTACGATGGAACCCATGGAGCCGCGGAAAGAACAGTACCCTGGTGCTCCCCCTCTGCTGTTTGAGCCGGCACACACTGCCAGCATTATGCATAATATCTTGGCTGCCAGAGCCCCAAAGACCATTCAAAGCGGCGACTACGAAGCACATGCAGATAAATCTGCCACTTTTACCCTACGCCTCGACATACCAGGCATAGCCGACGCATCCGCCACTGGCCGTGGGACCAACAAAACGATGGCGAAACGCGCGGCGTGGGTGGCCATGCTGAATCGTCTTCACACTCATGGAGCATTACAACAGATCTTGCCTCAGGTTCAGATCAGTCCGTATCGGCCAGACGACCACAACGAGTCGAAAGTCTTCATTCGTGACGAGTCCGAGATTGAGCTGGTGGAGCTAGACCGGTACACGGTGGACCAAGAGAAGAACGCGACACTCGACATTTACAACTATGCGGCCCGGTATGGCGCTATTCCTCAATTCAAAACGCAATTTGCGCAGCATGTCAGACGACGAGCATCCAGGGCAAAGTCAAGGCAAACGGTAGTACAGGCATCTATCAGACTGCCGGAACATGGTATACATGTGGTCACGCGAGGGAAAGACGTAGCCACCGCCGAAGCTGCGGCTGCACTCTCGTTCAAGCGGGAGGCGGAAAAGCAGCAGACCGAGCAGGAACACCCGAGGAACCCACTACCTGGTTATGAGTTCTTGACGACTGATTCTGCCCAAGATTTTCTTGAGTGGTTTAGAAGACTGCAATCAAGCACGACTCTGGAGCTCGAGCTCTCAATCGTGAATTATGCCGGAGTCAGCGCCAACAGAGCCCGAGTCTTAGTCGACGGGTCAGTTCTAGGTGATTCAACCATGCGCGCAAAGAAGGCTGCGCAGAGCTCGGCATATTTGATGGCTGCGGTTGCAATTGCAAATAATCACCCTGAACAGATGGCTCAATGGGTCGAGAGAAAGAAGAATGGTGAGGCCCGGCGCCCTATGTACTCTCTGTCCATGCCAATCGATAGCCGGATTTCCGATATGATGCGAGAGACTTTGGTCAGTGCTCGCCAGGCTGGCCTCCCAGACCAGCGAGAAACTTTTGGCGCGGAAGAGGCCACCCGAAAGACACTTCAGTCACGGCATCGTTACTTGTCGTCGGAGGCGAGAGATCTCGCCTGTGAAGTTCATCAGGAAAGCCTCAAACGATTTAATAGTGATTCACGCCTCGTACAGCTGCGAAATACCAAAGCTGGTCTACCAATGAGTCAATATACCGATCAGGTCGTGGACCTGGTCTCGAGTGACGTGTATAGCATCATCATAGGTGCGACAGGCTCTGGTAAAACGACACAGGTGCCTCAGATCTTTCTTGATCACGCGATCAAGAGCGGGAAGGGAGGATATTGCGACATCATTTGCACGCAGCCACGACGTCTTGCTGCCTCATCAGTCGCGCAGCGTGTAGCAGCAGAGCGGGACGAGACGATCGGGACATCCGTGGGGTACCAGGTCAGAGGTGAGGTACAGCTTCCTCGATTCGGTGGATCGATCACGTATTGTACAACGGGCATCTTGCTAGAGCAGCTCAAGTGGAACACCGACGATATCATGGACAATGTATCGCACCTGGTGATTGACGAAGTCCATGAGAGGGACATTTTTGTGGATTTCCTGTTGATCATCCTGAAAAAAGCGGTGAAGGCTCGACAGGAAGCTGGCAAGAAAGTACCTCATATCGTCTTGATGTCTGCAACGTTGGATCAGAAGCTCTTCTCGGAGTACTTGCCCAATACCAAAGATGGCAAGACCGTGCCCTGCGCTGCACTCAGCGTACCCGGGCGAACATTTCCAGTGACAGAGACGTACCTGGAGGAGCTCGTTCAGGACATTACAAGTACACACAAATCCGAGTTCCAGTCGTTGGTGAGGGGGGATAAAGGCGTATCGCAAGAGTACCTCGATGCCGAACTGAATTTTGCGCAGAGCTCCAATGGTGCAGCACCGGTCATCATTGACTGGAAGCGACAATACGAGGCTGACGCAGATTCTGAAGGATCCTCGCCAGGAGCACAAAGGATAGAGTCTCTTGTGCCGGTCCGCTTGTTGACTGCCGCGCTGGCTCACATATGTACCAAGAGCGATGATGGCGCCATTCTGGCGTTTCTCCCTGGTCTCCAGGAGATATCTGCAACGATGGAGTTTCTGGTGCAACACCCCATCTTTGGTGTCGATTTTAACGATACATCAAAGTTCAAAATCATGCCTCTGCACTCCAGCATTCCTCCGGATCAACAGAAGCTGATCTTTGAGCCGTCGCCGCCCGGCTGTCGTAAGATTATCCTTGCCACCAACATTGCCGAGACTTCAGTGACAGTTCCCGACGTCAAGTACGTGGTCGATTTAGGCAAATTACGCGAGAAGCGATACGATCAAGTCAAGCGCATCACAGAGCTGCAGACCGTCTGGGAAAGTAACTCGAATGCTCGACAACGTGCTGGCCGAGCTGGAAGAGTCTCACAGGGAAATTACTATGCTTTGTTCACTCAACAGCGCAGGCAAGCGATGTCTGCATCGGGCCAAGCTGAGCTGCTTCGGAGTGATCTACAGGAGACATGTCTCTCAATCAAGGCGCAAGGCTTCCAAGAACCTGTAGCTGAATTTCTTGCTGACGCTATCGAGCCGCCACCGACCAAAGCCGTCAGCCTTGCGGTAGAGAACTTGAAGAGCATCGAAGCGTTCACGCCGGATGAGGAGTTGACCTCGCTGGGTCGCATCCTTTCCCGGTTGCCCGTTCATCCTGAATTGGGCAACATGGTGCTTCTGGGCATCGTCTTCCGTTGCCTCGATCCCATGATCATCAGCAGTTGCATGGCTAGCGAGCGGACGCTTTTCGTCAAGCCACTTGGCGTTGCACGCTCCATCGCGAGACGAAAGCACGAAGTGTACGCCCAGGATGATTCAGACCATCTTGCCTACATTAATGCCTTCAGGGACTTGAGAACCCAGTTATACGAAAAAGGCCAATCGGGCACGTTTGCTTACGCCCATGATCGCTTTCTGCATTTTGGAGCCTTCAAGTCGGTGGACCAGACCACACGCTTAGTCGAACAGGCATTGCGTGAGGCTGGCCTTGTCGACATGTCCCATCAAGACCGCAGCAATAAGTACCAGCTTGGCGGCGATGCGTTGAATGCAAACTCGAACAATACTGCTTTACTCAAAGCATTGACACTTGCGGGCGTCTATCCCAATATTGCTGTCCGTCGCGCCATGACCAGATCGCCGGTTCACCGAACGGCCAGCGAAGACAATGTCATGATGCACCCCAGTAGCATGAACGCGAGTTCTGGCAAACCTGCGGTTTCTGAGACGGATCAGATCTATGCATTCAGCACACTCGCTCGAAGTGTCTCGGGCGACAGCCTTTTCATACGCGACAGCACGTTCGTGACACCACTGATGGCTTTCCTGTTCGGTGGACGTGTGCAGACAGAAACATACAAAACCTTGGTGATGGACAAATGGTTGCCATTCGCGCCCGCTGCTTTGAACACTGAGTTCGTGGTGAGACTATGTTTGGAGTTCCGTAAGGCAAAAGACAGGATGTTGTATGGCGCCTTCAAGGAGATGAGCAATCCTCACACAGTCAAGACACAAGCCCGTGCGAGGGAGATATTTGCTGCGGGGTTAGTCAATATTCTCAGCGCATCCGAAGCTCGACGAGGAAAGATGAGTGTAGGGTATCCGGAATCCTGGCAAAAGCGTCGGTCCCACGTATCCAATGATTTTCAGGGTCGTGGGCAGAGTGAAGGGGGGAGGTTCGCTAACAGAAGCGACGATGTGAGAAACCAGGCGAGTGGCGAAGGGAGGCCGCTAGTCCGCTTCCACTAGGAGACTTCGGGCACAGGCTACCCAGGAAGCCTGTCGCAGACCGATGGCCACAGAAGACCGAAAAGCGAATGGGACCAGTCATGGTGCTGGAGTCGACCAGACGGCGGACTGTTGAGTTCTGCTGTGTGTTCTCGGCAGCGAGAATGGGCTGCTCGCATAGCATTTACAGCAAGTGAAATCACAGTAGATGATGCATCTGCAGAATTGCCCAATGTAGGATATGAGGAGTATGTCGTACCCACGGTGACAGGGACGATTGGATATGTGGACTAGGCGTTCATGTCTGGCCACGGTCGCTTCGTGATGCATAGCGAGGAAGATGGTTAAAATACCCCTGTATGTGTATATTTCACTGTGATAGATACTAGACTTTGTACAATCAACTCTACTTACCACATGTTCTTTACGCACTGTGTACAACATGTACTTGACCTACATGTCCATGTATAGGTACCAGGTACACTCTCCAGGAGAGTCATGGTCGTGTTGTTGTCGTGTGTGGGGCGGGTTCAAGGCTTGGCACATCGTTGATTGGCTGAAACATTTGATACTGGCAACGCGCGCAAATACAGGTATCAGCGCTCACTCACTCCTTCCTTCCTACTGACACCAACAACCGCTGAGCACACTTTTTCCGAGCACACTTTTCTCTAGTGCTCCAGAACTCATACCCGATCAAACACATACGCACCCTCACCACCACTCACGTCGCTAGTCATGTCTCGCGGAGGTCGTGGCGGCCTCGCAGGCGGTGCCGGCAGAATGGGCGGCAAAGACCTGCCATTCACAGTCGACGCCGACCTCGAGGATCAAGTGCTCGCGTACCACAACGAGATGAACGATGAGGAAGAATGGACGAAGACGCTCTACCCGGTATGTTGTTATCACATCCCCATGTTACTACAGTACTGGACTGACACAGACGCGACTCCAGCCCATGAACATCTTCCACGCCCCGCCACCCACTGCTCGCGAGAAGCGACTCGTGAGCGCCCTCCGGGAATACCGCAACGCCGCGCGCAATGGACCGTACTTTATCGACTCTCCGGCTGCGGGCAAGCGCGACCTCGCAGAGTTCAACGCCTTTGAAGACGTCGCCACCTACAGTAACAAGCGTGCTAAGCCGACTGGTGGTCTGCCGAATCTGAAGAAACTGCCGATCGGTGAGCCTCAGCTGCAACTTTCGCGCTCCACCCTGCTAACGAATTGTCCCAGTCAAGAGCCTTTTGCCGCGCGAGTTGTGGGACTTGTGCGACGACGACGACGAGGAGAACGGAACAACAGAAGGCGAGGCCCCAAAGAAGAACCTCAACTTCCTCAAGAAGAAACGCCTCGACAAACTCGCGCAATTTGATGACGATGCCGACGATGCCGCCGCTGCTGACAAGGATGATGACGACGAAGTCAACGAGAACGAAGACGGCGGAGAAGACGAGGTCGAAGAGCTCCGCGACGACGACTTCTCCGAGGACGACGACGATCTCGGCAACGACTACAACGCCGAGAAGTACTTTGACGATGGCGACGGAGCCGACGATGATGGCGACGGAGGAGATGGCGGTGGCGGCGAAGACGCATGGTAAATTCGTGGCAGCGTTTCTTGATCAACCTGATGGGTCTGATCAAGCATCTCTCTTATTCCCCTTGCATCAATGCCCTTTCCGTGAGACATCAATGTCGTGCGTCCATTCTCCTGCGAGTCTGGATGCACGTCTAGCGAAGCAGGAGTTTCTGGGCTAGGGACAAAGCTATCCTGAATAGCGAGGATGCTACTCTGATGGGTAAGGAGAGAGCGTCTTCTACGCTAGAGGACTGCAGTCTCGCCATGTCATCAGACAATATAGTGAAGATACTACATTGTCGAGCTGTGGGCAGCTGCAGTTCTTGGCGGCAGGAAGTGTTCCTGGAACCTCGAACGCTCGTCGAAGCGTGTCACCACCCCCTTTTCGTATATCTCTTTCCGTCTCCATGCTACTCTCGCTCGGAATCCTCTCCGGCCCATTGCAACGTGAGCTCCGAGTTCCTAACACCCCAGTGCAGTAACGAATTCGTGCCAGAAGTGCCAGGTGCTCGCGCTCTACCTCCGAAGGGAAAACGAGTCAAGCAGTATTCCAGCTGGAAGCACCCCTGGGGCTATCCCCACCGCTACAAAGATCCTTTTTGTGCAAGAAGTAGAGCTGCTGATGCCGCCGATCATCTGGAGCACCGTCAGCGGGAGCTGGCTGGCCGGCCAGGACCACTTGACGAGGAGGACCCGATGGCTTGACCTACTCACTCGCTCCCAACCAATTTTTGTTGGGTAGCCAGCCATTGTGCAGGCGCGAAAGAGAGATGCTTGGCATAATCGTGATGACTTGTTTACCTGTACGAGTCTTCTCGACAAGCGGCTTCGTTGCTTTTACCAGATGAGCAGCAGATGGATGTTTCTTGGTGCTCGGATAGAAGCCTGTGTTGGTATGGGTCAGAACCTGGGGGTCTTCTTCGTAGCCAATCAGGGAGCAAGGAATTTGAGGGGTGCCATGTGGGGTTACACGCCTCCTCTATCACCGTTCTTCAATTTTTCCATCATCCATTCTCCTATTTATACCTACCATACCTTATACTAACCGACAGTATTCCACGGACGTCACCACCAACTACTTGTATCTACTTTTATATCAGGAAGAGCTGCCACATCTGACAGACAGCATAGATTTTACGGTACAACCGCTGAATATACTAGACTAGCAGATGCACAACCAGCTATACTGCAGCTAATCCTGTAGCAAACGAGTCTAGTGCAGAGTGACAGCTTCACTTGTCTGCCATGCGTTCGGCCCGTATGCATGCAGCGTAGCGGGGCGAGGCGATGCGAGGCGAGGCGAGACGGTTCAGGTCAGATCACCTTACTACTGTACAGTCAGTAAAGAAAACATAGCACACAGCAAACTATTAGCCTGAAACTCACTGGGGGGAGGGCCCTCATACATGCCTTATCTTGCCTACTGAGGAGAGTTTTGTCCTTTCTCTCTCTCTCTCTCTCTCCCCTTCAACAACATTATTATTATCTATTCGATATTCGATATTCATTATTACATCCCCTCCATCTCCCTCTCTGTCTCTGTCTCGCTCTCACCACCCCCTCCCTCCCTCCACCACGCACGCACGGCAGGATAAAGAAAGAAAGAGAAAGAGAGAAAAAAAAAGGAGAACAATGCTCGCAATCCCTCCCACAATTCTCCCCATCCCAACTAGCTGGGCCTCTGCAGCATGGATCTCCAGCAGCCTATTTCTCATCTATCTCGCCAGTCTCGTCATCTATCGTCTCTACTGGAGTCCCCTAGCGAAAATCCCTGGTCCGAAATTGGCCGCAGCGACTTTTTGGTATGAGTTTTATTATGATGTGATTCGACGGGGGAGGTATACGTGGAAAATTGGAGAGTTGCATGAAGAATATGGTATGTTTATCAGGGGGTTTTTGGTTTGGATGGAAGAGAGTGGGAGGGGGAGATACGGTTTTTTGGTATTTTTTGCTGACTTTATATGAAAATGATGAATTTTCTTTTCAGGCCCCATTGTGCGAATCAATCCATTCGAAGTACACATCAACGATCCGGATTATTATCATCACATCTACTCGGGACCTTCCAAACGTCGAGAGAAATGGGCTTGGTCGGCAGCTATGTTTGGGACATCTTCTTCGCATTTTTCTACTGTACCGCATGAATTGCATCGTAGACGACGCGCACCGTTGAATCATTTCTTCTCTCGCGCATCCGTGCTGCGACTCGAGCCCATGGTGAGAGATGTGGTGGAGCACTTGTGTTCGCGGCTCGAAGGCTTTCGAGATACCAAAGAGCCTGTGAATCTGAGACATGCGTTTGCGGCCGTGGCAATGGATGTGGTGACGGAATATGCATTTGGGACGAGCTATAAATGTCTGGAAGATCCGTTGTTTGCTCCCATGTGGCCTGAAGCTGTCGATTCGGTTTCTGAGCAGAGTGTGAGTACTTTTTGTTTTCTACAAGGATGCCTCCTTTGCACAAAGCCATGACTGACGTAAATGTGGAATGACGACTATAGCATCTCAATAAGCAATTTCCATGGCTACTGCCACTCATGCGTCGAACACCTCTCTGGCTCGTGGAGAAACTCAATCCGCATATTATGCGCCTTATCAAACTCCAAATCGACCTCTCCATTCAAGTCCAAAAACTCATGACGACAACAACAGACCAACAACAACAAGATCAATCCAACGCAAACAAAACCCCCTCCTCCTCTTCCTCCTCCCACCCCACAATTTTCCACGAACTTCTCCAACCCGATTCTCTCCTCCCCACCCAAGACCGCACCCTCACCCATCTCGTCGGCGAAGCCCAAGCCATCGTCGCAGCAGGCCAAGTCACCACCACGCATTTCCTCAACACCACTGCTTTTCACATTTTATCCCAACCGAAAATCCTCTCGACCCTGCAAAAGGAATTGAATACCGCCATCTCATCATCATCACCACCAAAAGATGGAGAAGATGAAACATTTCTCCCTCCTCTCCAAATCTTAGAACAACTCCCCTATCTCTCCGCCATAATTCTCGAAGGCTATCGTCTTTCCTACGGCGTCACGCATCGTTTACAAAGAATTTCTCCGGATGAGGATTTGATTTATGAGGATCAAAGAAATAAAAATGAAAATGAAAATGAAAAGAAAAAGAAAAATGAGGATAAAATTTATGTGATTCCCAGAGGTACTCCAATGAGTATGACATCCATTTTCATGCATGAGAATCCCGAGATTTTTCCTCGTCCAAAGGAGTTTGAGCCGGAGAGATGGCTTGATGATAATTCTCCTTCTTCTCCTTCTGATGGTTCGTCTTCTGCTGATGATGGTGCGAAAAAACATCTATCGAATTATCTGGTCAATTTCAGTAAAGGCACACGAGGATGTCTAGGACAACATTTAGCATCTGCGGAAATCCATCTGACGCTCGCGGCGATTTTTAGTGGGAAAAGGTTTGAGTTGGAATTGTATCAGACGACGCGAGAGGATGTTGATGTGGAACATGATTTTTTTAATCCGCAGCCGAAAAAGGGGGCGGTGGGGGTTAGGGTTTTTGTGAATTAGAGGGGAAGGGGGAAAGATGAGATGGGAGAGATGGGAGGGATGGGAGAGATGGGAAGAGATGAGAAAAGATGAGAAGAGAGGGAAAAAAGAGAAAAGATGAAGAAATATTCGGGTGAGAGAGAAAAGGGGTTATTATAAACGTCGGGCCAATAAATTTTAAACGTCGGGCCTAAAGTTTGCCTTAGGCCGCATTATGTACCTAAGGCAGAATATTCGTATGTTACCTGCTTCTATAACGAGAGCGACGAGACAAGACGAGAGCGACGAGACAAGACGAGAGCGACGAGACAAGACGAGAGCGACGAGAGCGACGAGGGCAACGAGACAAGACGAGACGAGGGCGACGAGACAAGACGAGACGAGCGCGACGAGACAAGACGAGACGAGGGCGACGAGACAAGACGAGACGAGCGCGACGAGACAAGACGAGACGAGGGCGACGAGACAAGACGAGACGAGCGCGACGAGACAAGACGAGACGAGCGCGACGAGACAAGACGAGACGAGCGCGACGAGACAAGACGAGACGAGGGCGACGAGACAAGACGAGACGAGCGCGACGAGACAAGACGAGACGAGCGCGACGAGACAAGACGAGACGAGCGCGACGAGACAAGACGAGACAAGCGCAACGAGACCGACGAGACGCGACGAGACCGACGAGATACAACGAGACCGACAAGATACGACGAGACCGACGAGACGCAACGCGACGAGAGCGACGCGACGTAACGTAACGTAACGAGGGCGACGAGAGCGACGAGAGGAACAAGAGCAACGAGAGGAACGAGACGCAAAATACCTACCTAGAAAGGAGAGAGAGAGAGAGATAGAATACCTAAGAGAAATAGTTTAAGATATTCTCTGCCTAAGGCAAACTTTGGGCCCGACGTTTAAAATTTATTGGCCCGACGTTTATAAAGGCCCCAAGAAAAGATGAGAAAAAAAAAAGACAAATATATTCTTTTTTTTTCTTTTCTTCTTTTTTTTTGGCTCGCTATGGCGACTATACGACTATGCATCCAAAGGTTTACGCCCATAAACAATACTCCCACTCGTATACGAATGAATACTCTTATCGCGAAAACCCGCTCTCACATGGGCCAAAAACACCTGAGTTTCCTCATACGTCCAACCCAAAATCCTGGTCATGAGCGCCATGGTCCAACCCTCAATACCCTGAAAAGCCTCCAACAAATGCCATTTACCAATTTCCTTCAACTTCTTCTCTGCGGCCCACGGTCCCAAAGGCATTTTAAACCTCTTCTCCACCGTATCCACAAACCCCGCCTGATCAATCAATTCCTTCTGGAATTCCCAAATGCGAAACGTCCGACCCATTTTCTCGCCCGCTTCAATATATGATTTGGAGGCTTGATGGAAAACGTGTCCTGGGGGGATGGAATTGTCGTCTGTGCGCCAACAGACGCTGTATTCGACTTGTTCGAAATATCCTCCGGGTTTGAGGTGGGCGTAGACGCGGGAGTAGAGTTCGGGCCAGGAGGCGATGGAGCCGTAGAGGCAGCGGATGTGGATGAAGTCGAATTGGCCTTCGGAGAAGGTCCAGGGTTCGGTGCAGTCGTCGACTTGGAAGCGGAGGTTGGGTGGGACCCAGTGGGGTTGGATGGGGGAGATGTCTGTTGCGATTACTTGGGCGTTGGGGTTTTCGTCTGCGAAGTCGATGGCCTGGGAAGGGGGTTGGTTAGCGAGTTTGACATGGAGCAAGATATGATTTAGGCGATGGTTATGATGGTCATTTGTTTTCTTCTTTCTCTTCTTTTTCTTCTTTTTCTTCTTTTTCTTCTTTTTCTTCTTTTTCTTCTTTTTCTTCTTTTTCTTCTTTTTCTTCTTTTTCTTCTTTTTCTTCTTTTTCTTCTTTTCCTTTCCCTTTTCCTTTTCTCTTTTCTTTTCTTTCGTCTTTTCTTTTCTTTTCTCTTCTTTTCTTTTCTCATCTTTTCCTTTTCTCTTTCTCTCTTTTTCTTTTCTCTTCTTCTCTTCTTTTCTTTCCCCTCCCCTCCCCCCTTCCCCTTTAAACCTTATTCCCCCTTTTCCTTTTCCTTCCCCCCCTTTCCCTTCTCCTTTCCCTACCCCACTCGCAAAAAAAGAGGAAAATCAGGAAAATGAGAAAAAATGAGAAAAAATGAGAGAAAATGAGAAAAAATGAGAGAAAAGAGAGGGAAAAAGAGGGAAAAAGAGAGAGAAAGAGAAAAAAGAGAAAAAAGAGAAAAAAGAGAAGAAAGAGAAGAAAGAGAAGAAAATAAACAAGAAGAAAAGAGAAAAAAAGAGAACCCCCCCCCCCTTCCTCCCCCCGAAAAAAGAAAAGAAAAAGAAAAAAAAAAAAAAAAAAGAAAAGAAAAGAAAAAAACATACCCACAACCCCGTCCCCGTACCCACATCCAACACCATCTGCGGCTCCCTTATCGGCGCCAAATGCAATTTCCCATCCAACAACAACAAAAAAATATGATGAGCAATATCCAATTGATCATTTTGATCTTCGTCATTCGGAGCCCAATATTCTTCTTTATTGGCAGCATAGCGTCGACCGTTTTCGTAGCGGAAGGCGGCGATGGAGGATGTGAGGGATGTTGTTTCGCTTTCTCTGGATAAGAGTTTAGGGGGGGAAGGTGAGGTGAGTGGGGGGGGGACGAACACTTCGGAACCTTCTCCTTCGTAGGCGGAGTCGATGTCTGTTGCTGTTGCTGCTGCTGCTGCTTCGGGGATTTCGGGCTGGAGGAAGGGAAGGGAAGTTGGTTAGTGGTGGTTTGGAGAGGTAATTGTACTGTGGTGTGATCATGATGAATATGAGGAGGATGATGAGTAAAGAAAGAGAGCTTCTTACAGCGGGAGTGATGGTATTCTGCCCATCTGCGTCCTCCATGTTCACTGACTGTCTGCTTGCTTGCCTGTTTGTCTGTCTATCTGTCAAACACAATAATGAATAATAAAGAATAAAGAATAAAAGATCCCTCCAAAGAGGAAGCTTCAATCTTCTCTCTAGTAAGCAGCGACAGCAACAACAGCGGATAAGACGTCTTCCCTCTTCTATCTATCTATCAATCAATCAATCAATCAAACCAAACCAAACCAAACCAAACAAACCTGCTTATCCACCAACCAGTCAGTCAGCCAGTCAGCCTTGTTCATGCACTGCACTATTCACTCCTAACAACCTCTAGCCCACCTCACCCTACCCAGCTAGTTAGCGAGCGAGGTAAGGTGAGGTAAGGTAGATACATATAGCCTAGCGAGGGTACATACAAGTAACTAGGCTACAGAATCCTACCGTGACTCGTCCTACGTAGCGGTTAAAAAAAGGGAAAAGAAAAAAGAGACGAGCCGAGGAAGCATTTACTGCATTTACCACATCCGTTCTAAACGCAACAAAAAATGTCTTACTCAAGTCTCACTCACAGAGTCACAGCAGGAAACTACTTTCCTCCCAATCTACCTCCTAATCCCAAACCAGCAAATTACGCGGCACAATGCACACAAAATGCTGGCAAATCTTCGGCTCGTCTATCGTCCCTCTCGTTGTTAGGCGGGGTTTCTCCTATCGGATCGGCAAATCAACTCAACTCTGCTTTGCGCTAGAAAAGGAAGAAGAAGGAAGAAAGAAGGAAAGAAGGAAGAAGCGGGGGCGGGCGGGCGGACGGCTCGCATGTAGTGCCTGAGTGTTACACTTCAAGTTGTATAGACAGGGCAGGGCAGGGTAGGGTAGGGTAGGGTAGGGTAGGGTAGGAGGATATATTAAATTGTCTTGGAATAAAGAGGACGGGTATTGAGGTACGTAAGAAAGTGAGTGAAACGCTATATAGAAGAACGGGCAATGTAGAAACGCTTGCCTCTTTGAAAGATTTATAGATCAAGCTCGGAGAGAATTCCGAGATATAAATACAAAAAGAAAAAAACAGAAAAGAAAAGAAAAGAAAAAGAAAAGAAAAAGAAAAAGAAAAAGAAAAGAAAGAATCTTAGTAGTTCGCTCGTACTTCTACTCGTACTACCCCGGTAGCTACCTCCTACCTCCTACCTCCTAGCTCCTATACTCTAACTACCCTTAGCTAGCCTTATCGCTCTCGATTTCTATCGAGATGTATATATAATAAGATAAATACAAAGACAAAGACAAGTCGGATAGCGGTTCGATATATATATATAGCTAACCTAGTAAGAGGGAAGGGGAGGAGGGGGAGACGAGACGAGCTACGGTATCTGCCGTATGTATTGTTCGATTGGTAGTCGTAGTAGTAGTAGGTAGGTTATAGATAAGAGCAGTTTGGGACGGGTATAGGTATTAGTATTGGTGTTGGTATTGGTATAGGTAGGTATAGGTAGACCACCAACTCCCCTAGCCCATCATAAGAAATTCCTAAGAAACCTCCAACCCCTCCAACGCCCCTCGACCTCTCCATTCCCTCAACACCTCTTCATAATCCAAATACCCCTGTCCCCAAATCGCTTTCGCACGCGCAGTCTCCGCTTGTTCCTGAGGAGATTGTCGATCCGCTTCTCCTTCGGCATTGAAATAACTGGGTGTACAGCCTGCCATGGTAGAGAGTTTGTGTGCGTGGCCTGCGACGCGGTCGGCCCAGTTGTTACAGGCAGTGGAGGTGGGTTCGATGATGGTGGCAGTAGTAGTAGTAGTGGGGTTATGTTTTGCTGTGGTAGAGGTGGTGGTGGAGGAGGAGGAGGAGGAGGAGGTGAGTTTTCTCCGCTCCGCTTCGCGAATCATGTACGCGATATGTGTAGCTTGTGCGTCTAGACGTTGAGTCTGGTTGACGCCGACGCCGGCTTGGGCGAGGCCTGGGAAGAAGAGGTTGGGAAAGTGTTGGGCGATGGTGCCGTGGAGGGTGAGGAGTTGGGAGGCTTGGAAGCGAGTTTCCATGTTTTCCTGCGCTTTGCCGAGGACGGTGATGTCGGCTTTGCCGGCGACGGAATCGGAAAGGGGGTTGCCGTAGCCGGATGCCCAGATGATGATGTCGATGGGGTATTCTTTGCCATCGTGTTGGATGCCGTTGGGGGTCAGGGCTTGGACGCCTTTGCCTGCGGTGTCGACGAGGTAGACGTTGGGTTGGTTGAATGCGACGAGGTAGTCGTCGTGATATGTGGGACGCTTGCACCAGCCAGGGTACCAGGCTTGGAGTTTCTAGGAATGGGAGGTCAGTATACATAGGTCGTGTCAAGGTCTTTCAACAATTCTCTCGTCTGCTGCAACTTACGAGAGCAGTATCCTGATCCTCAACCACGTCCAGAACCCTCTGCCGGACCCGATCCGATCGCGTGTCATCCATCTGATTCATCGAATCCAACCACTCCTTCACCTCCTCAGGCTTCACCGCAGTCGGACCACCCCACGCACCACTCAACGTCGGCATCTTCGACATCCCATCATCCACCATATTCACCTGCGGCAAATTCTCCACGCCCTCGGTAAACTGTTGGAAATTCCTACTCCGCTCCGCCTGCCAACCTTTCTTCGCCGCAATCTTCTTCTCCCACTCCTCCGGATCCGTATCGCGATTTCCACGCTCGTCCACCGCCGATGCAGTCCGCTGAAACACATACAGTTCCTTCGCATATCGAGCGGTAGCAGGTACAACTTGTATCGCCGTCGCACCCGTCCCCACCAACGCAACCCTCTTCCCTTCCAACCCACTCAGCACCGGATGTGCAGGCGAACCACCAGTCACATCGTAATTCCATCGTCCAGTATGGATCATCTTTCCCTTGAACTCTGCCAAACCAGGTAGATCCGGAATCTTGGGAGCTTTGAGACCTCCCGAAGCAATGACCACATAATCTGCCGTGAATGTGACCGATTTTTCTTCGCCCCCTTTGGGTTGCGCAGATACTTCACATACCCAGTGTGAGGACGTCTCATCCCACGAAAGAGACTTGCCTCGAGTTTGAAACATGGCACGATGCTGTAAACCGAATTTCTCCGCGACAAGTTCCAGCGCGTGTCGGATTTCTTCTCCGCTGGAGTATTTTCGCTTGGGCATGTAGCCTGTTTCTTCAAGGAAGGGGATGTAAATGTAGGACTCTACATCGCACATCAAGCCGGGGTATCTGGAGCAGAGGCACACGCATATGAAGGTCAGAATTTCAATGTTCATCAGATAAAGAAGAAGAAGAAAGACTTCTTGAACCTTCTCAACATCTCCTCCAACCAAGCAACCACGACAAGATCAACCCTAGGTATAAATGGAAAACCTCACTTACCGATTATGATACCAAGTTCCCCCAAACCCACCCGCCGGATCCACAACAACCAACTCATCCACACTCTGCACCGCACCTTCCAGAATCGCCCTCACAGCAGCACAGATACCTCCAATACCCGCTCCAAAAATGGCAAGCTTGACATGATGATTTCCTCCGCCTCCTCCTCCCCCGTCTTCTTCGGCGACATTAACAGGAGCATAGTTGATTTTCGTGCCCGCGGGAATCCAAGGATCTTCGGCGGGGATGTATTGGGTGGTTTGTTCAGGAGAGAGATATTGTCCGAGACCTTTGGCATGGAGACGTTTGTCGCGTTCGGCGTGGTAGCGCTCTTGGTTGGTGGAGATGGTCATAATCTGTTTTCTTGGGGGGCGGGATTCGTTTGTTCCTTTCTTTCTTTCTTCCTTTCTTCTATTCTATCCTCTCTCTCTCTGTGTGTGTAAAAGACTAAGACGGGCTTTTCTCTGCTATTGCAAGGGGTTGTGGAAATGTTCGTAGGAGAGAAAAAAAGAGGCAAAAAACAAAGTACCCAAGATCGATCGACCTGTATGATGATGTTGTAGTATGAAATTGGGTGGATAGACAACTAAACCCCGCTTGCCGCCACTTGGAAGATCCAACAAGCCTCAATGATGGAATCGAAGAGGGGAGAGAGTGTGTTATTTCCGAGCTGGAACAACTCAATGCGGGCTGGTGCGGGCAGAGCTGTGCTACCTTCTACCTACATCAAGCCATCTTAGCGTTTACCAACCCAATGGTTTCTAGTTTTTTTTTTGTGTGTGTGCGAAAACGTGGGAAGAGAAGAGCTGTCTACAGCGCAAGCGCCTGTTTGTCGAATGGACTGCAGGCCCGTATACTGTAGAGAATTCATACCTGCTTAGGTAGTGTTGAATACTTGCCTCTCCATGCTGGACTACGCTTCGCTTTCGTGCTTCAGTTGGGCAGCAGCTACGTTCGACATGAACTCGAAGATTCATATTCTGTCTAGAGGGGTCTGCAGTTAGCGCGATAGTGATGAGTGATAGACCACCTCAGTTCAAAGACCAGTACCTAGAGAAAGCTGCGTCACATTGGAGCCGCGTACAATAGTAGTAGAAAGAGCATTCCCGTGGCTCTCACATTATCCCCAGTACCCTCATCTCCATGATGGTCACCGCCAGTCATCCCGGCCAAAGCCCTCGGCAGCGGCTTGACAGGCACAGAATAAACATAATTCGGTGCCATCAAATCCGAGATACGTTCTGCGTATCGCGTCTGCTCACATCTCCAACGAAGTCTGACAGCACTTCCACGCTCCGCATCCCGGCACTGACGACACAGTGTAGGCGTAGACATTATCGCTTGCTAGCAGTTCGTGACCTCCAGGATCTCCTCATGTTGTGAAGGGTGTGTCCAGTCCGAAGGAGATTCACGAGAGGGTGACGACTGCTTCCATGGCAAGGGTGTCGAAGATGATGGGTGGTCAGAATCCTTCTGGGAGAGCGAGGGATAATGTGCCATGGCTGAGCGGCGCAGGAGCGTGGGGGCGGTGAGGGATGGGCGCGGGTTTAGGGTTAGATCAGTCAACGTCAACCTTTCTTCGACCTCGCAGCTGTCGTCGGGGCCGTTGGCTGTCTTGCCAGTGTTGTGTCTCGCACGAGCGAACTGACGGAGCTCGAAAAGAGCAGAAAGGTCCAGGCGGACTTTGAAGGACAGCCTTTCATGGAAGAGCTATACAACTACAATGTATGCACGCAGATCTGTCCTTCCTCGCTCATCTAAGAAGCGATAGGATAGAGGTATGATCCAGCCTGTCTGTCTCCGAGCTCTCTTTCATGATTCGTGTAATGCACATAGCGCCTCATCCACCCGCTCACGCAAAATGCCGCAACTCATCTTCTTCATATCCTGCTTGGCCACTCAAGTGGTCTGGAGTAGACTAGTATCCGACCCCAATCAAGTAATCTCCCAGCTGCTCCACCGTGTTGGTAGCAGCTCCAGGCTGAACTGTCTCCGGGTAGTGCGCAACGAGAATTGCCTGTGTCGTCTTGACAAGAACAACACCTTCGCGGCCCTGTTACCCCCCACACACAGATTAGCATTGTCATGACATCCTACTCTCTTTCCTCGTCATCCCCATCCCGCCCCATCCATCACCAGGATGGAGGTTGCTCGTGCGGAGCCACCGGTATATAGTCCACCAGCGCGGGGTATTTTCTCACCTTCTTGCCATATATACTCCTGTCATCCGCCTTGATGACCACAAAGCGCTCGCCAGCAATATGCAGACCCTCACTCTGCACCTTCTTCACGCCATCGGTGCCCTCGTCCTTGTATGCCGCTACGACTGCCTGCATTTCCTGTGGCGACACTGTGAAACCGGCAGAGGTGGCCCACACGCTGTTGCCTTCGCTGTTGAAGATGGCGGCCTTGTCGAGGTTCTCGGTGCCTACGAGGGAAGTGTCGACATATGCTGGAAAGGTGACTTCGGTGTCAGTTTCTCTTTCTCTCTGCAGTGCAGTGCTGGTGGGGTTGTTGAACTGCTGGCTTGCTACTAGGTACTGACCTTGCCAAGACATGGTTGGGATGTGGAAGTGTCTGTTGAGTTGTTGCTGAAGAGACTGAGTGAGGGGGGGATGCAAGTAAGTATTTGCAGTGTGTGGGTGGGTGGGTAGGTGGGTGTGAGGGAGAAAAGAGGGCGATGAGGGAAATTCGAAGATGGTCGTCGGTCAAAGTTCAGTCACAATGTTTCGCTACTCTCTAGACACGAGCAAGACAGACCAGACCCTTGTTCAGAAGTCTGAAGCGAGCAGTCGGCGGGGTCAGCTTGAACTGATGAGGCTCCACCGACGGGAGGCTGAGGCCGAAACATTTCAACCACCTCTTCTTCCTCTTATCATCTCGTCCTCCTCATCTTCCTCATCTCCCCCATCTACAACATCCCTCCCTCTCCCACAGGACAACGTATCCATCTTGCTGCACAACCCTTTCGGCCTCCGGAAAAAGACGTACATGCCCTGATGCGAGCGCGTTAGTAACGATACCTAGATACCTAGTGGTACGGTACGGCATATTACTGCCATTCCACTGCCGAATGGCCAATCTCACAGTTCCGTGGCGCTTCCAGTTCCACTCTTCACGCCCAAAGTCCACTACATCTCATCTCTCCTGTAATCCTACAGAGGACGTGGAACTTCCACTCACTCCCAGATCCCAGGCCGATGGAGGCCACTGGCATGTAATGCAACCTACAGAGGAGGCGGCTACCCCCGATGCCTGCAACAGGTAAACACAGCAGACATGTTCCTGCTGTTGGGAGGAGCAGGGAAAATCGGCGGAAAAGGGCAAATGGCAAGAAGCTGGATTACAGAATTTAACATCGACTTTGCTATAGCAGCTCTCAAGAGCCGATCGAAGAGACCAAGAAAGAAAGCATCATTTCATGCTGTGAAGCTAAGGGGGGGTTTTTGATGCATCTTAGAAGCACATCAATTTCGATATGAGCTTCACCCCAAAACACTGCTAGTACAAGCTGTTCAGACGAAATTGTGAATAACCCATCACCCCTCCAAGCCATTGTAGTCCTCAAGTAGGTATCAGTAAGGTAAGGTAGACACAGTATCCTGCAAGACTCACAAGCCCTCCTCTCCCTCAACACTATACCCTCAAAACACCACTTTCGACATGGATGGGGTCTCTCTACCTTCCGCTCAATCTGCACACAATAACTTTTTATAATAATAAACAACACAGGGTGCGCGCGTGCGCGCGTGCGTAGCAACGTAGACAACTCTGTTCAATAATTACATGTAGGTACCTGTACAATGATGTACACCTCATGTATTTTATTGAATTATACGTCATCGTCAGGCTCACAGCCCTTGTCTAGGAGAGATAGCATCCAAAGGGCTAGAAATTTCGGCAATGTTTGCGATTCGACGATAATGCTGCTGATGATGATGATGATGATGAGAAAAGTTGCTTGGAAAAAAAGACTGTCTTTATTAGGAGTAGGTGGGATGATAATATGTAAGATAATGTGTATTGTATTGTATAGTGAATAGTTGAGGTAGGTAGGTAGTGCTCGGCCTTCGGCCAGCTATATAGGTACTGTTTGAGGGAGGGAGGGAGGGTCCTAAGACGTACATGATAGCAATAGGAGGTCGGCGAGGTTAGTACATAATATAGGTACACTATTACACCGAAGATACTGTACTGTATATACTTATATGTACTGTATGTACAGTGTACTTCCCTCGCTGTTTTACTTAGACTTTTTTTTCCCTTACTGATATACCTACCTCTTACCTGCCTTTTGAAGATTGATCGCTGCGAGATAAAAGGTCGCGGGTTCTCGGCGAGGGGATTTAGTAGCAGATATCGGCGTTGCATCGTATGCTGCAGAACTCTCTATCAATCAATCAATCAATCAATCAATCAATCGCGTGAGAGCGTAATGTTGGTCGACAAACACCGTCAGGTAGTATATTCAACGTAAGAAATTCCATCTCATCTTCGTGTACATACCTTATGTATATTGCAGGCCCTACTCCGCCGATTCATTACACAAGTCCTTTTTCGATCAATTTTGGGCATCCGACTTTCCGCAGAGGTTGTTTTCTTTTTTTTCCTTCCCCAGGTCAGGAGAAGATGATCCTAGAGGTTGTTGTTGTCGTCGTAAGGCAGCAATACTGTAAGGCCAGGTACCTACAGGTAGGTAGGGAACTGGAAAAAAGAGTTTGGGAGCCATGTGGCTCATCGCTAGGTTCTGATGAATGATGATGATGATGACTACATTTGCCTGGCCCCCTGATGATGATGATGATGATGAGATACATGCTCGATGCAAACACAGGCAACCGGAAGAGCATGCTCACAAAACACTGATTGATTTGTATGTATGGGAGCCGTTGCGCCGGAAACGATTAAGATAGGTGGTACCTGGTGTATGTATACTATAATAAGGTACTATCTCAGGCCAGGGTATATGTACATGTATGCTCGAAAAGGGCATGGAGAAATGAAATGTGATGAATCGATGGTGATTCTATACCTGATGTTTAAACTGCTTACTGTACTGTCTGTACATGTATTTATGATTTGTGTATTGCCCTTGGCCTGCATGGTTGCTAGGAGGTATGTATGGCCCCGATGCCTATGACCGCATTGATGGCCGGCGCATCGGACTCACATGCTAGGTACAGTCTCACTCACAGTATTAGTGCTGGGCGTTGTTGTTGTTGAAGAACATGACAATTGTACATCCTCTAGCAGCTCAGTCCTGGTGGTAGGAGGTATCACAAGCCTGATACGTTTCCCCAGCCATACGGTACCTGCAGCATCTTCTGACTCGTGAACTTGTTTCCCCACGAGTAGTACTCCAACATGACTCAGTGGCGGTTTTACTCAGCTATGTATCACCAACAACCAGCAAACCCTTCCTCCAGGATTCCTGCCGGAACCCGAAGATGTGAAATTTTTGCATCCCTTTCACACTTTGCAAGGTAGCACGCGAGTTTCGTCAAATAGTTTCGTGGGTATACAAAGCCTCCCGTTGTGGCGGGTCGGTCAGTCGTATTCGTGGAGCAGTTCATGGGGGATCAGGGCGTAAGAGGAAGTCTTCAATATGACAATATGTACTTTGACGATCGCTGGATTTCGCTGCTTTTGAAAAGGTCCGTGAAATCCCTGGTGAGTTTGCATGCATTGTGCTCACAGGCCTGCCAAGGCATGGGCATGGGTACCTCCTAGAAGGAGAGGACTATAGTAGTATGTTTGACAACGCGTAGGTACAGTAGGTAGCAGACACCTTGGCTATGAATCATGGGCATCCAAGCAATAACAGAGTGCCTCGACACACGCGCCGTTCTACTTCGCCGCATCGAGTACATGTGGCTGGATAATGTCTACTGGACTTTTGTAGCCATACCAGGAGCGATGAGTGAGTGAGAAGCTGATGTGTGGTCTTGACGAGTCAGCCACCGGGACGTACCCCGACAGCTGGACAAGAAGGTTTCTACATTAAAAGCATCAAGCTCCAGTCCAATGCATCCCCCGGTCCATGAGAGCGAATGAACAGTGAGTGCGCGAAGCCGTTATTCACCCCAGAAATAGCGTCAAAAGGCTTCAAATGGTTACCGAAAAAGCACGTGTCCGCCAGACTCCGCCAGCCAACTTCCTGGCTCCTGGTCTTCACACACGCCCCAGCAGACCGACCAGTGACCGGGCACGAACTACCCAAAGAGATGGCTTTATACTTTGACTCCCCGTCTCGATGGGGAGACCCCTTGAGGCAATCTCGGCACTGCCGGAGCCAACAACGCGCACTGGGAGACCAGACATGTTCGTGCGTCTCCTTTACTGGCTACGTTCCATCGGCATCATCTAAAAAGTCGCACTTGCGACCCGTATCACGCGTGTTTCAACCAGTCATATTTCTCAAGCCTCATTATTGTCGATCACGCAGGCTGCCGACGCCGACGTCGACGGTATCATGGCGGCACCTCCTCGCACGCGCCAAGTCGCGATGCAGCCGCGGGATGCAACGCCCACGTCGCAAAACAGTACTTCTGAACTGGCCATCTTCCTCCGACACGGCGGTCCATTGGGATCCAATCCAGGTGCAAGATTTCAGTGTGGGCCAACGAGTGACGGCCGACCGACGAGCAGCATGATGGAAAGCAAACATGCATTCGGAATGTCCATCGACGAAGCGGCGGATGCAGAGCAGTTTGGAAGCGTGGCGAGCAGAGCGAGCAGCCAGGAGAAGCTCAAAAATGGCGCAGAGACGATCACAACCACCTTTGAGAACTATGGCCTGCTGTACAAAGATGGCATGTTGGTCAAGCAGCCAGCGCCCACTTCGGTATGTCCGATGCATCATCCATCTTGCTGTGGGGGGCTCCCCGGAGGGTCGTAGGAGGATGCTAATACCCAGCAGGACCCGAAAGACCCCATGAACTTGAGCCTGTCTCGCAAACTTCTCGCCGTATTCTTCTTATGCTTCTTTGGTGCGCTGGCCGCTGCCGCCGAACTCATCTTGGGCGCCTTGCTCCCCATATTCTTCCTTCAGTATGCTGGACTGGATCCGGCTCTGATTGTACCAATGTTCAGTGAAAGTGGAGGCCTTCCTGCGGGTGTGGACCCCATGAAGGCTCTGGCGGCTCTACCAAACGCGCCGCCTATGTGGAGAGTGCAACTGTTGGCCTCTCTTCCCGTCCTGATCATGGGCGTGGCGAACTTGGGCCTTGTTCCCATGGCCATCTCTGTCGGTCGACGACCTGTTATCCTCGCTTCTGGTGTCGTCGCCATCGCGGGTGCGGTTTGGGCGGGCCACAGTCAATCTTTGGGATCTCATATTGCAGCCCGATGTGTGCAGGCTATTGGTGCAGGTACTGTCGAGAGTCTGATTCCATTCATTATTCAGGACATCGTCTTCGTAAGTTGATAACACGACCTCCCGACTACGTACGGGCGTTTGAGCGCTAATAATGAGTCCGATGTAGGTCCACGAACGAAACACGTGGATGTCGATAGTTTTCGCCGCACAAGGCATCATCATTATCGTTTTGGGCATCGGCACTCCTTACATTGTTGTCGATTTGAGCTGGCGCTGGGTGTACTTCATCACCAGCATTGCTGCCGGATTTTTCTTATGTGGAGTATTCGTCTTTCTTCCGGAAACCAAATGGCAGCGCAGCCGCTCCGAGATGAGTACGGCCAGGTCCAATTCCGCCTTCATGGCCACCTGCTGACGCGTATTGAACAGATGGTGTTCCCCGTCGTGAGAGCGTGATTGCTCACGCCCCTCGCACATGGCAAAGTGACCTGGCACTCTTCCAGGGCGCACCCGAGTGGCGAAAAGGCTACAACGCCTTCCTCGACACCATGCACACCTTCTTTTATCCTCAGATTCTCTTCATCACCTGCTTGAATAGCGCCATGATGGCGGGAACATTTGCCGCTGGGTACAACGTCGCGGCGCCTCTGCTCACAAAGCCCTGGTCGTAAGTCCTACTGCACGAAATCGCATTTTGGTGGATTTGGTCGCTAATCTATCTTCTCGACAGCTGGTCCTTCTATAAGATTGGCTTATGCTTGGTCCCTGTCCTCATTGGCGCCGTCTTCGTGGGACTTCTTACAGGCTTCGTTGCAGACTGGGTCTGCAATTGGGCTGCCAGAGCTCGAGGCAAACGCCTGCCGGAGAACCAGCTTCTGAACCTCGTCATTCCTATCGCGTGCACCTTGGTCGGGTGTGTGCTTTTTGGCCTTTCGGGACAGCACATCGGCGAGTACCACTGGATAGTCTTCCTCATGGCCTTCGGCATGATCGCCTTCGGCTTCCTGGGCACGAACACCGTCGGTGCAGTCTATGTGCTTGAGAGCTATCCACATCTAGCGGGACCCTCTCTGGTCAACATCGCCTCTTTCCGCTGTTTGCTGGCCTTTGTCTTCTCATTCAGAGTCACGGAGTGGGTGTCGGAGTACGGCTATCTCAACTCCATGCTGATTTACGTGGGAGTCATCGGCTTCTTCGCCCTTCTCGTCCCGGTCGTGTACGTGTTTGGTCCTGCATGGCGAAAGCGGTGGCCTGCTACCCACCGAGGCAACGATGGATGGTGAGAGAGCCTTCCAACAACATGGGAGGGAGGAAATGATATACCATGTTCTTGTATATATGTGAAAACACACGGCCGGACCGCACAGGAGAAAATCACTACACTACTACCTCAAGATCAAACCCCCCAACAATAGAAGAATTGATGACACACAAAAAGAAATCCCGACTGCAGCGAAAGAAAAAACAAAAAATTCGTTCTCTCGGGATGTGGACTCGCAGCTTTTTTTCTTTTCGCACTGCTCGTAGAAAGAAAAAAGCTGCCGCAAACAACGACACCAACGACAACAACAACAACAACAACAACAATGACAACAACACACAAGAAGCCATTCGCACTACCTCCGCCAAATCATTAAATCCGGACAGCCGCGGCAACCTCAGCCGCTAAATCCCACCTACCACCGAGCAGCCGATCCTCGTACCTCGTACCTCCCTACCACCAACCAAACGCAGTTGGTGAGTGAATGAGTGCACTCGCCGTGCAAAGCCCCACTCCACTCGTCAGTGAACTGCTGGCGTTACCTCCTCCCTCCTTCGAGTAGAGTAGAGGAGAGAGGCGATCCGAGTAAAAAAAAAGAGAACTCGAATGAGAGTAAGGTAGTATATCCCGAGCGGGTTGGGGCATCACATGTTGCATACGGTCAGCGTGGCTCCCCCTCTCTCTCTCTATATTGTATATATACGAGAATCGAAGAATGTGTTGAATTGAAGAGACAACGGCGGGTGGAAGGACTAGAAATGTTTGGATCGTCGCTTTCTCTTTCTCTCTCTCTCTCGCGCGACTCTGACGCTGGATATATCGAATGAATGAACAACCGACCAAACCAAACTGAACAATCCAGCAAAAATACGAGGAATCTGCTGGTAGCAACTAGAGAGAGAGAGAGAGAGAGAGAGAGAGAGAGAGAGAGAGAGAGAGAGAGAGAGAAATATAAAGAAAGAAGAAGAGAGAGAAAGTGAGGAGAGAGAGACGTATTCTTATACTGCTAGCGACTACACACAAAATGTATGTATGTATGTATGTTTGTATATCTATTATAAAAGTATATGAACCTCTAGGGTAAACTCCCCGACAGTATTATATATCTGTATACCAAAAGAAAATCTACGAAATTTAGGCGTAGGTGTAGGTATATAGTACCTAGAATTCCAACAGTATACACAGCGATAGATAGCCGTCGTAAACTCGTAGGTAGTAAGTAGATTGAACTCGTAAACGAAAACGACAAATTTACCTAGGTATATATATATGTAAGGTATGTATATAATCTTTCTCCTCCTCCTCCTCCTTCTCCTCGGCATAAGGTAGAAACAAATACGAGCAGTATGCATACTTATCTTTCTTAGGCTTATATGGACGAACTTACTTTCTCCTTCCTAATACGGCGGAGGGAGGGGTTTTTTGGGTCTTTTTGGACGAGGAGGCTAGATGGAGAGGTAAGAGAGTTTTTTCTTCTCTTCGGATTAGGGTAACAGAGGGGGGTTTTGTAGATGTTCTATTTGGATTGTTAGATATGTATAGGTGTTTTCTTGGTAAGGAGTGCTGGTTTTTTGTTGGGGCGGGGTTGTGTTTTGGTGTATAGGTAAGGTAGGAGAGGTAGGTAGTAGTATAGAAAGGGAGGCTACCTACCTCCCGGTAGATAACAGAAGAGCTCGGCTGGTTGTTTTTGTTTATAAGCCTTTCGGGGTTGATTCGAAAATAAGATGAAGTACATGTTTGATTTTGTTTTCTTTTAACTACTTCTTCGGAAATATACAGACGTTGTACAAGTAATAACGAAGAGTTCTATTGCTAAGACCCACTCCCCTCGTTCTAGTCTCGACACCAAAAAAGAACTCAGAAAATTCAAAATTCCAGCTACCCTTTTTAGACTTCTCGTTCAGTGTCGATCACATACTACCTAGCGGGAGTTTGCATACATTCACTATACGAGGCCCAAAGCAAGCCAAGAAACCGTCCAAGACTTGCCATTCATCAGAAACTTACTCTATATGGCATCGCGGGCTTGGTTAGGAGGTATAAAGTGCCCCATTTTCCCGGCTGAAAGGCACGTGGCCACGAGAGGTGTAAGTACTTACTCTACTAACTCCGAGGAAGACGAAAACGATTTGTAGCGAATTGCAAAAAGAGTGTTTGTCAACAATATACGAGAAAGTCCGAGGTTCCCCTTATGACCAAATGAAGCTTGGAGATTGGATGAGAAGCTTTAACCGATGGATTTTTCTTTCTTTTTCTTTTCTTTTCTTTTCTAGCCTCTATAGGCACAGGGGATCGACATTCTATACCAACCAAAGAAGTATTGCCACGCGGATGTGGAAGGTAGCTCTTGACTTGGCCCTCTTCTTGTCGCGCTCTAAAGGCATGTAATCAAGTGGGTCAGGGAAGAAGATATGTGGTCCATGGTGTGAAAAGACCAGCTATGATTATACTCTCTCTCCATCTGCTGGGAACCCCGTGGGGAGGGGGTGGGGACACTATCTTTTCTCTCTATCCGATCGATCGAGTCAGATCCAAGCTTTGATATATGTTTATATTATCTATATATACCATGACCTGTCGTACCTCTCTGGGTCGTTTTTTGATCTTGCTTGTCAGCTAATACTACTCATCATCATCCATTCCAAACCCATTCAACTTCCTGCCCAGCATGAAGTCGTGCTTCACTACTACCATCGCTCTGGTCGCTTCGGCTGCTGCCTATCCCCAGGCCATCTTGAATCTTGATCAGACTTTGTACAGCCCGCTGGTACAACAGGTCTCGGCTGCTGCAGAGGGGTTGGTGACGAGTGGAAGCAGTCAGAGCACCACTACGCCGTTTAGTGCTACTGCTCAGAAGATTAGTGTTAGTGGGATTCATGCGTGGAGAGCGCCTGGGCCGGGCGATGCTCGAGGTATGTATGGTTGTTTCTTTCTTTTGATGTTACCACAAATGTCGATGAATGGTTCCTTTGGTGCTGACGATTCGTTATATAGGACCTTGTCCTGGACTTAACGTGAGTTGAACGCTCCTCGGCCTCCTTCTTCTACAACGAGGAGGCGTGTTGTCGTCTGTTCTGATGGAATGGATATATACTGACTCTGTTCTTCCTCGTCAGGCACTGGCCAACCATGGCTATTTACCAAGAAACGGTTATGCTGTAAGAAATTTCTTATCTGGTTGTCAACCCCGTCATGAAGACAACTCAAACTGACCTATATGCTCCCGAATGATAGACCGTCCTCGACTTGGTCACCGCCACAACAACCGTCTTCGGTATGGGTCCCATGCTCGCGACGGTTCTGTCGGTATATGGAGCTGCCATCGATGGCAGCGCTCTCGCCTGGTCGATCGGATACAACGGCCCTGTGATCAGAGGCATTGGGAATAGCCATGGCAACTATGTGAGTTCTTGAGCTATACTCCACAGCAGCCCACAGGCGAGAAAAAAAGAAAACGATAGCTAACCTTGAAAATATGAGCAAAAAAGGAAACCGACAATTCACCCATGCGCGGAGACTTGTACCAATACGGCTCCAACTCCGACCTCGTCATATCGCAATTCGAGAAATTCTACAGTTTGCAACCCAACGACAACACGGCCAACTACAACATCGACGTCCTCGCTCAATTCCGCGCCATCCGATTCGCCGAAAGTATCGAAAAAAACCCCTACTTCTACTACGGTCCATTCTCCGGAACCACAGTGTCCATCGCAGCCTATTCCTTCATCTATCGCTTCATGGCCAACCACACCGCCGAAGCTCCCGACGGCGTCCTCAATGGCGAAGTCCTCAAGAGTTTCATGGCGATTAGCGGCAATCCGGGAAGTTTCACGTGGACGCGGGGACATGAGAGGATTCCAGAGAATTGGTATCGGAGAAGTTTGACGGATGGGTATGAACTTGATGGGATTCAGGCGGATGGGGATGTGTTTCAGAGTACTACTCCGCAATCTACTGGTCCGGGATGCAATACGGGAACAGTCAATAGCTATGTCGAGATTGACTCGAGCTATCAGGATTATGATTTCTCGTCGCCGACGGCTGGAGTGTGTTTTGCTGTGAATACGATTTTGGGAGAGACTTCGCTTGGGTCAGTCGTCACGGGTCTGGTCGAACAGTTGATTTTGCCGATTCAGAATTCTTTGGGTTGTGCCACTGTGCCGGCGAGGAATGACTCGGTTGCGAACGTGTGCCCTGGGTGAGTATATGTGTGAATTTCTTGTATCTTGATCAGATGACTTACTAACTCGGTTATCCAGGTATGCTTTCTATGGTGGTCCCACGGCGGACATTGCGCCAGGGGCTATTCAGAGCTAGATAGATTGATTAGAGTATAACAAAGACGACAGAAATTCCACCCAGATCAATATATCATCTCTCTTCCGTCGATTTTTCCTATGAACTGCTTGCTTCCGAGAAATATGTCTTTGCTTGAACACAACCATCTTTCCACAACCCAGAAGCGATATTGGTCTTTAAATCAACATATTAAATATCCTCCAGGTTCAGAACTGCAGAGGGAGTTAGAGGACTTATTACAAGATGTGATGACTGATAAATATCGAGTGATGAAATAGAAGTTGTGGTTATATCAAGACTCCTCTTGGCATATTCCAAACCCATGGTACCTACCAGGGATTAATCCCAGTCCCGCGGCACCCGTACCCGCTTCCGCTTCCGCACTCTACTACATCTATGATCTATCCATCCATCGCTCTCCAGGTGAACGAAAAGAGGGATAAAGAAGACTTCGCATTGCGACCTGGTCATGCGATGCGTTACAACTGCCCGTCAAGGGGAAGCAACTTGAGCCGAGTTCAATCATCTGAAACAACGAAGATACCTAAGATGTGCTCCGTGTTGATTGGTCGATGGCTGCTAACTTGATCTTTGATAAAATATATCTCTGTGGCCAAGTGATTGAGGAGGAATGACATACATGCAACGACAGTGCGTGCCGCGGCATACCATCAGCCAAATCACGCATGGACCGATCGATACTCAAGTCTGTCGCTTGAGAGCCTCGATCAAAGTCTGGAAAGTGAAGAGATCAATCCGCCACCATTCTTGTAGCGCATGGGGCAAGTACTAAGTGAGGGCGGTAACCACTGACGTCTGGCTCGCGTGAACTGTCGTAGGGTATTCTTCTGTAGTCTATCTAGCTTATCGTAATGTCGTGTTCGCATGAATTCAATACTCTCGTTGCAGGCAGCGCTCTAGGTTAGTCCGAAGTAATCCGACCATCCCCATAATCTTCTTGGAATTGAAGTACACAGCAGCTCCCTTTCGGTTTTTCTCTGCCAACCGGCTTCTGGGACCAGGAGAGCAGGCTCTACGGAACTCTCACTCGGCCTCTCCTGCGCTCGATACCTGGAAGTATGTCAGCATTAATCGATGCTGACTCGATCAACTTTGCAACGCCCGAGCCCGCTCATTGCGTATTGCCGATTTTGTGTTGATGGGGACAGTATCTATACTTACACATTCGCAACACCATTTCTGCTGGAGGGCGCCATCCAGCTTTGCATGAAGTCCCAGTACATTCGACTCCAGTCTTTGGTCTCTTGCCAAAAGTCCCTGTCGAAGCGTGCTTTATCCACACTTGCGGCACGAAGAAACCACAGATAAGACTTGTATGCTCTTCGAAGATCATTGCTGGTACAGTCAGGCCATCTAATAACTTAAGTCAGCTTTTGCTTACCCTGTAATGCTGTGGAGGGATATGCGGATAACACGTACTGATTCTGCCGAGTCCATGATTTTGTGCCATGCCAAGGATGTTCTACATGCCTTACATTCCCAAGATCACCCAGAAGCCAGTGTTCAGGATCCTGGATGAAGATATTATCAGGTTTCACGTCGTCGTGGCAATAGCCTGCTCTATGCAAAGTTCGCAGCTGGCTTAGCATGGCCTCGAAGTTGTGTCGATATGTAGCGTCGAGTTCATCGGTTGTTTCTCTGGTAGATGAATCGTGCTCGTCAGCTGCAAGCTGAGCTAATGTCCCACGGGCCATGAAAGGAGTCACCAACGCCCAGGACCAGCCGGATGGTGTTTGCAGGATGAAATAGTCCATCACAGAGACGTAACCGGAGCTGCCGTCATGGCTTCCAAGAAGCAGACTGGCTTCAATCTCAGCTGGCCATGTCGTGGTATAATTGGCATAGCCGCGGGAAATTGAAGTTGGTAGCCAATTGCGGGCAATGCTGCTGAATGTCTTGACAACGACAGTGCTACCGTCTTGCTGGTCAATGTACAGATCGGCTTTGCCTTCCTGACCACTTCCTAGGCCTTTGACGTAGAGGTATCGCTCGTCGATTTTGCCTCCCAAACTCTCCTTAGCTCCCGAGTCTGCTGTCGCTGTCGTCGGCGCCGTCCATGCTGCAGATGGCGAAGTGTGTTCAGAAAAGCGAACTGGATGTGATGGTTTTGATATGTGTGGTCGTCCAATATGTAGCTTGTGATAATCTGTTGGATACTGTTTGAGTGCCTGATCACGGAAGTCACTGTATCCTCGCATGAATCCGAAGACGGCACATAACGCAACCAAGCCGCACACTAGATATCTGGCCGATCGAGGTAAGTTGTGCGCTTGACGCTGCCATAACCACCGTCGCTGATGGTGATGGCTAAGGTGCGCTTTTTCGACGTCGCGCCAGAAGTCGGTATTTCCTGCGCTGCGGTGTTCCTGCATTCGATTTTAGATGAATGTGCACTTCGAGATTCCTTAGGGAAGGGCCTAAGACTTGCTGCCTGGCTGAGGAGCAGCTTTTGAGAAGGCCATACGTGGAGGGATTCCTGCGAGTCGCACGGAATGCAGCGGCTACCGGCCAAGTATGATGCGGTAGGAGGCGTTCCTCTCTTCAGTTTCGCAAGTAAATAAGTAAAAATTTCATTGTGCTGCTAATACGGAGCTATCGCCGAGCAAGTCTTTGCTACGACTGCCAAGATCATTCCCGTCTTGGCAAACCATAACAAGGCGATCTCTTCCTTGGTGGAGACTATGGTGGAGTAAGCTCAGTAGGACTGTAAGCAGGGATTGGCTCTATAGCAGGTGAAAATCAGATGCTTGAGTAAGGTAGGAGTTCTGGCTGTGTTGGCTTGGGTGGCTGTGCGAGAGCGCATTGAAGATCAGCTGCCTCAGTGAGGTAAGCGTTTCATATAGTCTGCGGTCAGCTGAGATCTGGGACACGTATGGCCGCCACTATGTTGTTCGCTGCGACCGCGTCACGAACCTGCCGCAGTGTCGACATGTCACTGGTACTGACACGTTGACTGCGCAAATATAGCAACAGTCCGCACGTGGTCGAAGCCGTGATGGTGTGAAGCAGACACCACGTTGTAGCCACGATGGAGCCATACCATCAGACACGTGCACGCGACTCGAGCCACTTGCAACTTGTTCTCTCGCCAGTGGAAGCACAGTCAAGTTATGGTCGTCGGCTTGAGGACTGCAATATCCACCTGCTCCAGTCCACTGAGCATAACCACTGCCTGCGCGCGTCTGACATCAGACGGTCTGATCCAAGCTCTTTGCCTTGCCTCATGACACAGGTGACGTCTGTCTCGATATTGAATATGACTGCCGGAGCGGCGCTGGTGATATGGTTCTGGCGAGCGCTGGCGGACAGGCAAACGAGAAAACGAATCTGACATCTGACATTTGACATCCGGTGTTATGGAAGATGGCTTGGGCTCACGAAGCAGCAAGGTCAGGGTCGGTAAGCAGCGAACGAGAAGCGCGGCCTCGAGATGTTGACGGTATTTCGATTGTGTTCATGGCGAGACTGCAGGCTACAAGATCGGGTACGATACGAGAATGGATATGTCTACGGCAGCTTGTAACACGAATCGGGTCAAAATGCTTGCCGGCCAACTCAACATCACCATCTGCCTCCTCTACCTCTACCTGTACAATTCACGTCAATTTCGGGTAAAACGCAGCGAAATTCACGTTCCTACTCGGATTTGGGGCCATAGTTATGGCATCTGCAGTGGCAAACATACACGCCGCCAGCAATTCTCGCTTCAACGCCGAAGCACTCGCTTGGGATTCGCGACCATTTGTTCATGAAGCATCCTTGGCCGCATCACAAGCAATCACCTCAAGACTTCAGACCTTGAATCTTCCCAAAGACGGTGCTCAAGTTCTCGAAATCGGCTGTGGAACCGGAATCCTCAGCCTTCTCTTGTCCACACATCCCAATGTAGCCCGCATAGTAGCAGTAGATGCCGCGGAGGGCATGATTGATGTACTGAAAACGAAACTCAAGGACAACAATATCTCCAATAGCAAGATCCTGCCGCTGGCCTTGATGCTCGAAGATCCTGAAGATTCATCGCTCCCCTCAGATTGCCGAGGCGGTGGTGGCAAACAGAAATTCGATCTCATCACAAGTCATCTCGTTCTGCATCATATCCCGGACTTGCGTTCGGTCTTGCAAACGATGTTTGAATGTCTTGCTCCTGGAGGCTGCATCATGCTTACGGACTTTGAGGACTTTGGACCTGAAGCCAAACGTTTCCATCCTGCGAGCAAGATGGATGGTGTAGCTAGACATGGTATCAATGCTATAGATATGACCGAATTGCTGCAGGTAATTGGCTTTCAAGACGTTCTTGTTGAAGCGGCCTGGACTATGGATAAGACAGTGGAGAAGTTTGAGGGGGAATATGGTGATACGGGCAAGGCGGAAGGTGGTATGGGTGAGAATATGAAATTCCCATTTGTGCTATGCTATGGCATCAAACAATGAGTGTCAGCTCCTCGACATACTATGTATATATGATATATGGTCATGCCGACCTGTTCAGCGATAGTTCTGTTGCGCAGCTTCTGGCGATAAATGCCAAGCCGATCCACTTTTCGCAAGACCTCATTCTCGTTCTTGCAATTTCTCCGGATTCTCCTCCTCCATCACCAGAACATGGAATAACACAACATGTTGCCACATACACTATACTCCATGCTTTCAAACTCTCCAAGAGTTGAAGAGAAGTGCCGCCTGGATGGCGCCGTGTAGGTCCGATCCGCGACCAGCCGCGCATCCAAGGGCGTCCACTAGAAAGAACAAGTCACTTGCTATCTGATCCTCCCAACATCACCTCTCTCCTGTTCACCGTATCTTTGTCTCGCGCTCACATCTCACAGTGGTGGCGTGCACACACTGGACCAGGACTCCCTCATGTTTCCATTCCAGCGCTCGGCTGAGCAACCCTACCACGCTTACCAGCAAGGCTCCAAGCTTGGTGGGACACGCAAATGGCGCACGCAGCCTCAGATGTGTTCCAGTAAGCTCCATACAGTACGCCACTGTTACTCACACGACGAGGACCGGGCCAGCTTTATCGACTGTCAGCATGAAGTGGACTTCCGCTTCTGAAGATGGATTCATCTAACAAGTATTATATCAACCAGTGAGACATTTAGCCCTCGAAAACTACCGCAGTGCAGTTCAAGCCTATCCTGGTTGACGATCTAGTCTCGCTTCTGCATGATACTCACAGTTCTGGCATCAAAAGCTTCGACGGCCTAAGCGACGCGATGGCCGATACTCAAGTCTAGTGCAGGCGATGGTCAACCCCAGAGGCCAATTCTTTACTGCAGATAAGCTGATTCTCGACAGCTACAAGAGGCTCTCTTCGAACTCTTCGAATTTGAGAAACTCTCGCGACTTTCTTGGAAGAACGCTGGGGACACGGAACGAGTAAAATTCGAAAGGGTAATTGTTGATTCATGACACGCTATGCTCCCAAACTATACACTCCCACGCTATGCCTCCGATCCTCCAGACACTCCATTCAACCGCCAAAAGCGAGTGATACCATGCATATATGCCCATATGCTCCTATGCTCCCATGCTCCATGCTCCTATGCTCATACCGAACAAAAAAAATCACAAGTCAAGCTCAATGAGCCTACTCGTTGTCACCGAAGCCGAAGATGGAGCTTCCAATTCGGAGACCAATCCTGGCACCCTGGCCGAATGCCTTGAGGAATGGCTCTGGCACAGCATCACGCTTCTGGTTGTCGTCACCAAAGCCGAAGATCGAGCTTCCGATTCTGAGACCAATTTTGGCGCCCTTGCCGAATGCACTAAGGAATCCTGGCTCTGGTGCAGCATCACGCTTCTCCAAGTCCTCCTCGGTGTAGATGACCAACTCAGGGATGTCATCCTCTTCAGCGTCACGCGCCATCAGAGCAGCAGGAGCGTCGCGCTTGTCAACAATATCGAAGAGCGAGCTTCCGATTCTGAGACCAATCTTGGCGCCCTTGGCGAATCCGCCCAGGAATGGCTCTGGTACAGCATCACGCTTCTGGTTGTCGTCACCAATGCCGAAAATCGAGCTTCCGATTCTGAGACCAATTCTGGCGCCCTTGCCGAATGCACTCAGGAATCCTGGCTCTGGTGCAGCATCACGCTTCTCCAAGTCCTCCTCGGTGTAGATAATGAACTCAGGGGTGTCATCCTCTTCAGCGTCACGCGCCACAAGAGCAGCAGGAACTTCGCGCTTGTCAACAATGTCGAAGAGAGAGCTTCCGATTCTGAGGCCGAGCTTGGCGCCCTTGGCCAATCCGCCCAGGAAAGGCTCTGGTGTAGCATCACGCTTCTGGTTGTCGTCACCAATGCCGAAAATCGAGCTTCCGATTCTGAGACCAATTCTGGCGCCCTTGCCGAATGCACTAAGGAATCCTGGCTCTGGTACAGCATCGCGCGCCACGAGAGCAGGGTGGGTAATATCGCGCTTAGTGATCCAGTCATGGACGGTGCTGAGAGCCTGGAGGCCTGGGATACCACCAAAGCCACCGAGGTTATCGGCGAGGGCCTTCAAGAAAGCCTCTGGGTCAGCCTCGCGCGCCACGAGACCAGGGTGGGTAATATCGCGCTTGGTGATCCAGTCGTGGACGGTGCTGAGAGCCTGAAGGCCTGGAATACCGCCAAAGCCACCGAGGTTGTCGGCGAGAGCCTTCAAGAAAGCCTCTGGTTCAGCATTGCGCTGCTCAACCTAGTGAATGTCAGCGTATGTCTGTTTCTGGTGTGCAGCGAGGACAGATCGCGTACCGGTGTTGGAGCAGCGAAGGCGGAGGTGGCGCTCAAGGCCAGAACGGCTGCGGCAATGGAGGACTTCATCTTGTCTGTTCCAGTTGTGATTGACTGTTGGATCGGGAGTGAATTGTTGTTGTTGTTTGATGCTGTGATGATGATTTCCACAGGGCAAGACGAGTGACCTTATATATGCCATGCGAACCGCATCGCCATATTCGTGAATCGCAGGAATCACAAGTCACGATAGACCGAACAGCCCACGTTCGTGGAGAATTCGGCGGTGTGCATGGTGTGCAGGCCTGCAAGTCTAGTGGAGTATCGAAAAGGGTATCCGCATCTTGTCTCTTGTGATGGATGGTAGTCTTGGCGAGCTGTCGAAGTCGAACAAAGACTGGTATGGAGAGTCTGTACCAAGCCCTCCGAGTGGTATGCCGGCGTTACACTTGGACAGAATGTCTACTTCACGGCGTTTTGGTTAGTGCAGTCTCCGCCCAGACCATCAATTCTCGCCTACAGTACCTTACTCGAAACACAGCAGCAAACATCGTGCACCATACCAGGTCACGCTTCTCAATAGATTTCTTCGCTTCGGGCCAATCCGTTCAAGAAAAGAAACTGATAAATCGTCCAAATCGATTTCCAGGAAATCAATCCCAACCTCGTAAACCACCCCACACGGGAGCGGAAGATCCCCTTCCCATCCCTCTCGAACGAGAATGAACAAAAAGATACCTAGGTACCTACCTACCTACATGTGTACCTCCATGAATTCCCAGAAGCACCCAAGTCGTCAAAAAGGTAAGTACTGTAAGTACGTAGGTAGTATACATTAATGCCACCCCATCAACTGAAACCTCCCCCCTCCCCTCCCGTTTCAAAAGAAAGAAATACTTGTATACACCGAAGAACTCTCAGTCGAATCAAGCCTGTCTCCAAGACAATACACAAGAAGCTTGGTGATGATGATGATGAAGAGAGACATTTGCTCCCCACCTCCATTTTGGCACGTGTTGAAACCTCGACGACCAATAATGATGTGTTGGATGGATTCTTTTTTCTTGGCCACTGTTTAATGGGTGAAGGTACGGATGTACATGTTCTACTGACTACCTGACTCTCAACGGGTATGTACGGTTGATGGTGGAGGTGGGAGTGTGAGGTTTGAATTTGCCGAACTTGAAGGGATTGGGAGGACTAAGGGGGATTGGAGAGGTTGAAGGAAAGGCTTAGCAGGGGAAAGGCTTAGCAGAAAGGCGTGGCGTGGCATGGTATGGCATGGTATGGTAGATCACGGTAGATCACGGTAGATCACGGTAGATCATGTCTGGGTCAGGTCAGGTAGGTAGGTAGGTAGGTAGGTGCAGAAGGTATGGTATGGTATGGTATGGTATGGTATAGTATCGCATATGTAAAATTCCCAAACAAAGTTTTTTGTTCCATCTACCTATTTTTTTTAATATATCCACAAGTCAAATCCATCAATTATCTAATTCTCATCATCATCATCATCATTATAAAATACCAATCTATCCATCCATCTCTCCCCTCGTCTTCTCCCAATTTTGTGAAAAAGGCTCGATGGAGACACCCTACCACCGAAAATGCCGAATCGAGGTAGATTTTCCGACCCACTCACCCAACTCACTAACCCAAAAAAGAAAATCAAAGTGTGGAGGGGCGAGGGAATTGATTAGTCAAGTGTCAAAGGTATCCATGTGCACAACACATACACACACACACACACACCCGACATTATTTTTTTATTCTCGTCTAGAGGGGATGTACATAAAAACGATGCACGTGTGATAAGCGATTGTTTGTTAAATTCTTTTCAGTCTGGAGTGGGGAGGGGGCGTTGGGTACGGAGAATTCTCCAAAGGTTGCAATTCTCCGGAGGGGGGGGGCCGCTTGTATCTCAACACTGCTTTGCTCTGCTTTGCTCTCTTGAACGTGGTTTTTTCTTAACCCTACTTACTATGTGGAGAATGGTGGGAAGAGGATTATGGTATGGTATGGTATGGTATGGTTGTACAAGTACATGTAGACAAGTGCAGGTTGTATCGGAACTTGGAATGGAGTCATCGCCGACGAGATCTATACCTACCGTATCTAGGTCTACCTATGTCGGGGCAGGGGCAAGGGGCAGCTTCGAAATCGGAGTTAGATACAAAAGTGAATAAACATAATATCCTCCTCTTTTTTGGGGCATTTAACGTAACCCACCGCTTCACTTTTACTTAGTACCTACCTACCTACCTATCCTCAAAAGATCAATTCTTAAGTAAATCTACTAACCAACCTCCTTTTAGATAGATAAAAAAAAGGACGAAATCTATATAGTAGGTACCTGTATGTACCTCTTTTGCGACTTTAATAAATCCCTAGATTGGTTACAAAGTAAAGTCCCAACGTCTTACAGTCTTTTCCACGAAATTAAAAAAAAATCTTAATAACTCCCTCACTCACTCACTCACTCATATCCACCTTACACCCCCAACGGAGTTTCGGCGATATGCGTATACGGATATTTCCTCCCTCCCTCCCTTATTCATCCCTCCTCCTCATCGCCCGTGTCTCACAACAATAAGAAATAAATACCAACCTAGGTACGTACACTGTTTATTTCTCTTGGCGTGAGACAAAAGAAGCTTGGCGAAGACGAATGTCATAGAATTTTCCCATCGTGATAAGGGAAATGGGCTTGGCGAGGGGAAATGGGTGTAATATGAGGGATATGATGACATGGACGGTTTAAATGCCTGAAATGGATGGAGGAGGGTGAGGTAGTGTGTGCGGTGTGTGTAGGGCAGGGAAAGAAATGAAAAAAAAAAAAAAAAGGGAAGAGCGGGATGGGATGATGTCAAGTTCATGTAAGGGTTTTACTGGATAATAGAGGTGAGAGAGGTGTGTTGAAGAGTGATTCGAAATGGTTCCTAGGTATAGAGTTGATGTTGGGAACGCAGAGCGAAGGCATCGAGTGAGTTGGTACTACCTATATACTCTACTACTGTCGCAGCAGCAGCAGCAGCATCATCATCATCATCTCGTGCTGTGCAAATATCCAATTCTGACACGGTTGGCTATACGCTCGCAGTCTGAGTGGTATGAGAGGCCGATGCGCCCGGATGTGGAACATGCTCATAATGTGCGTGAATGTGACGACCACCATGGCCATGGTGGTGCGCGGGCGTGGTCTTGGGTGCGGACTTGGGCTCCACGGTCGTGTAGACTGTAGGCTGTGGCGCTGGCTCATGTGGTCGAATCTCTGTGGGCTCTGCTGCACGCCTGTCTAGCACATCTTCGTCATCATCATATTCATCATCATCATCGTCATCATCATCATCATCGTCGTCGTCGTCGTCGTCGTCGTCGTCGTAATCATTGTCCCCAATGACCTCGTCATCTTCGCTAATGCCAAACTCATTGGTTCCATCATCTGTGTCTCGAGCACGAAGGCTGGCCTCATCGTATGCGCCCTCATCAGTAAAGTCCATTTCGCCAGACTCCAGATCACGCTTGTAGTGGAGGGTGTGCGATTGAGCAGCATGTGCGCGAGCCCGTGCCTCGGCTTCCGCAGCTCGTTGCTTGATGCCATCTGCGAATGAGTTGAGCTGATCATAGGCACCTGCTACAGCACGAGCGACGTGTTCGGTGACCGTTGGCCACTTCCCGGTTGCCGTATGAGATGCCGTCGACTCGTGTTGCTCTTCCATAAAGGCGATCCACTCGTATGCGTATGAATCGGCTTTGAATGGTGCGCTTGCCGAAAGTGCTTCGACCGCATCGCGGGCGATTTTCTTGACGATGCTAGTGGTTGCCGCAATCGGCTTGATACCATGACGATTGGCAACCAGTGGTAATCGAGCATCTCGAGCCATACTGTGCGCTTTTTTAGTAGCGACAGGCTTGATACCGTGACGATTAGCGACTGGCGGGATTCGAGCATCTCGAGCCATATTGTGCGTTTGTTTCCCAGCGACGGGCTTGATATTGTGACGATTAGCGACCTTTGGTCGACGAGCATCTCGGGCGGCACTGTGGACTTCTTTGGCAGCGACAGGCTTGACACCATGACGATTGGCAATCAGTGGTAGTCGAGCATCTCGAGCAATCTTATTGGAGTTCTTCTCATGATGGCGGTTCGCTATTGGCATTTTGGCATCCCTTGCATGGTTTCCTGCTCCTTCTTCTCGCCGAAAGTGATGAGGATTGGTGTTGTCTGGTGCCAGACGGCCGCCAGCGACAGCAGCTGAGGTTGCTGCCGCCAGAGTTGTTAACAGTGCTAGCAGACGCATCGTATACGTGCAAGTTGTGGAGCACCTGCGACACGGGAACCCATGTCACAGCGTGAAGGAGACTCATAGTGCCAGTGTCACGACCGTTTGCGGACAGTGTTGACCAAAAAGACTCGTCACAAAGAAGTGAGATGTGCGCCGAGTCTAGCAGTACCAGGTACCTCCTACCTACTCTTCTATATTTTCAGTATGGAACTTCTAAGGCGGGGGGACTATGTTGTCCTAGACGGCTATACCAGTACCTATACAGTATAGCACATCCGTATCTTGCCAACGATGGTAGGAGGTAGGAGGAGGTGGGAGGTACAGGTAGCGAAGTCAGGAGGTATGGCTTGGCAGTGACGGGCTGAGAGTTTCTATCAGCGCGCGATTGACCAAACATTCCAGTGTGTCCCAGAAGGTTGGATTGGGCCTTGCCACCTTGGAATGTTCAGTTCGGCGGGAATGCTCCACGATCAGATCTGACGGCAATTCATGAATTGTATACTGTATCACTAATCAGTCCGGAACATCTTTGACTCCATCGGTGGATGAGGGATGAGGTGGGGATGGGATGGGATGGTACACGACCATGTCACGTGCAGACCGGCTAAATACAACACCTTATTACATGAACCTGGAGGTACGCTACGATGGGACACGGAGTCCCGATGCAGCAGGTGCGACTCAGGGGATTCTTCTAAGTTCCATCTCTGGAGTCTGTGATCTCAATGATGTCGTCGTCGCTCATTGAAGGTGACGTATTCTGGCTTTAGGAAGTAGATACACCTCACCTACATGTACCTACCTACCTCTATGTATCTCGTGCTCATCACATGGCTCCAGTCTAGCTTATCCTAATCGTGAGCATTCAACAACTGCTGCTTGCGGAGGAGGGACTCGGGATTCGTTGTACCTACTACCTACATCCTACTACCGACCTTCTAGGAGTACTAGGAGGTAGGTGGTAGGAGGTAGAGCATCGCTGCAAACTGGCGCGAATAAGCGAGCCATGCGTTGGTAGGCGTCTCTGGAGCTACCTCCTACATTGTCGTGTGAGACAATTCACATTGGAGCTCTAGAGAGCTGCCAACTGCGTTTGCACATGTTCGGGTACGAGACATGTCTGAGAAGGGAAAGAGGCGTGTGGCGTGTGGTTGTTTGTTCGCATCGCATGGCATGGATGGTGGACGATAGTTCTCAACAATGCCGGTCGATGACTGATAAATGACTCTGTACTGTACGAGACGGCAAGGATCAGGCATTGTTTATTGACGTGCAGATGCAGAAGAAAAGGCGAAACCACGCTTCTACAAAACCTTACTTCACGCCGGTTGATTGTATAAACATGTTCCGATTCGTCCTATACTTACCGGTGTCCGTGTAGCGCGGCGGGACGGGGAGCATGGCATGGTAGACTAAGCTAGCAAAGTACCTTACCAACCGTTTGGAAGTCGAGGTCCGGAATGCGACAGCGTTTGTGGGTGGTGCTACAAGAATGGCGACGCGGATGCTGCGACACACAGAAACGGGAGGACGGGAGACGGCGACGACGGCGACGGCGAAGGTGACGGTGAGGGCGAGGGCGAGGGCGAGGACGACGAGGTCGAGGTCGAGGAGGATTTCGGAGGGAGAAGGGGTCATCAAGAATCGGGTATTCGTCGTCAGGCCCAAACGGCGAACGCGCAGCCCATCCCCAAGCCAAGCCATCCCAAGCCATCCCTGGCGGGTGTACTACTGTAGCCTGCTGTATAGTGAGGCCCGCCACGGCTAGCCTTGCAGCAACATCATTCCCTTCCCTTCCCTTCCCTCCATTCATCCATCCCATCCTGCACAGCAGCTGTGGTGTGACGAAGAAGCTTTTTGACCTTTTTTCGCCCATCGCCGCCGCCGCGTCTTTCTTCTCCTGGCATCGCATCATCTCAGATCTGCCCACCCACATCCACCACATTCACCACTGATTGACCACTGACCTGTACTACGAGAGCCCACCCCTGGCGTCGCTGTGTCCAAAGAGATACGCTGCCTGGCCTGGCCGTGCCGCCTCGAGTATTTTTGATCCCATCCGAGCTTTCCAGCCCACTGGAGCGTGGCGTGGCGCCTTGACACATCCTGGTCGCCGCTGCCTGCCTTCAGGAGAAAACCACTGCTGCCATCCGATCTCTCACCGACCTACAACAACAACAACAACAACAACACCAACAACAGCACCGACGACGACGACAACACAAACATCGCCATCATCATCATCATCATAATCGTCACCACACCCACCAAAAGGACTCTGCACGACAACACCACCAACACCACCACGCACTATTCTTCTAGCGTCGCCCACCTTTTGCCACAATTTGACTTTTCTGGCCACCAAGTTCGTGCCTTGGAGCTGCAGCGTGCATATGCAAGGACGCCGTCTTTGACTCAGCCTACGCAACCCGGCCAATCGTAGCTTGTTTTTCCTCTGAGCTCACGCGCATTCTTTCTGTCACAATTTTGCTGCAGCTCTGGATTGTAGCCAGCTGGGAGGGAACCGGTCGCGACACGCTATTGCTCGCTCCTACGACCATCTATTGCGCTGTCGCATTGATCTACCATTGCTCCCAATCGATACAATGCAGACGCGACGCAAGAGCCTGAATCTTGGTGACCTCGGAATCGTTGCTGCGAAGCGGTCGCGGACCCAGGCTCCCACGCCGCCGGAAACCGTGATCGAGGGCGAAGAGCCACCGGTAAAGAAGCCAAAGCGGTCGCATGGCTCTACATCACCCACCTTGGGACTGATGAGCCCACCACGGACGACATCGATACGTTGCAAAGAAGAGCGACCGCGACGCGCCACCGAATTGTCGCCCCCACCTTCGCCTGTCACAGAGGGTAGCAGCAAGATCGATACGGAAGGCATCAACGACGATATCGTGGTCGGGACTATACAACAGATTGAGAAGACGGGCAACAGACCGCATCTGGTCAAGGAGCTGGCTGCAATACTTGCGACCAAGCTGCACTGTGTGGAGAAGTACGGAGTCCGCTCTATATCGCAACCTCCTCGTCTTGCTAACCCTCTTTCACAGATCAGCCAACCCGTCAGCATTGATCTCGTCGCGACTCACTGCATATCTCCACCGAACATGGCCTACGGTCAGCCCATGTCCGCTCACAAAGGACCTCTCGCCCGTCCATCCTCGAAGACTATACTTTTATCTCACCACTACGCCTCATCAGCCCATTCCGGACACTGTTGAACAGGTGCCCAAACCAAATCGCACCATCTCACCTTCCATATCATCTGCTTCTGCCGCAGACATGGAAGATCGTTTCACCAGGGAGCGGCAATCACTCTCTCCCGAGGTCGATCTTTCGTCGCCTGAGCTCGACGAAGATACGGGAGCAGATCCGCGAGCGCCGGGCGGATCATATTCGGCACGAAGCTCCATGTCGCGTGATCGAGCAAGCTTTGCGCACAGCAGACGTAATGCGAGCCCACCCCTGGAGACCGAAGAGCGGGACTTCAAACAGACAGCCAGCGCTCTCTACGAGGAAGCGCTCAAACGACGAAACAGCCAACAGAGCCAACAGGATGTCAACATGGATTCGCAAGATGCATCACCAGGAGCAGAAGATATGGACAGCGTGACCATGTCTGTGGAAGAAGACGAGACCGAGGAGACTGCAGCAATGAAGAATTCTGCATTCGCAATGGAGTTGTTTGGCGCATCTGTGCCTTCCCAGCACGGAATGGATCTGAGCAGCCCAGTACTCGGACCCCAGAACAATCATGCACTGGGCCGCCACGAGGAGCGCATGAAGCTGGATCTCAGTGGCAAAGAACATCTTCTCGCCCTTCCCGAAGCCGCCCTCATGTGGGAGGGCTTACAGAGTCCAGAAGACATTGAGCTCTCGGAATTGGACGATATGCTCAACGCATATTAGGGGTTGCACACTTGATTGGGCCGCTTCAGGACTTGATGTATTATTACGAAACCATAACATTGTACGCTGGTGTGGGGAGAGTAGGTATTGTGACAGTAGAACTGGAGCGCAAGCTTTGGGGGTTTTAGGTTGTGACAATGTTTCAGCAGTCCAAGGCGTTGTATAACTATGCTACGACTTCTGTGACGACTGCAGGGAATTAAAGTATCAATGAGTCTGCTGGCAGGACTGGGCACTTGATTAAAAGATATAAGATACGATACAAGAGAGGATCGAGAGATCTTAATCCGCTTTTTCTCTCCCAAGTCGTGCGCTGAGGAGCGGTGCTTGGACATTCTCTTAACGTTCGCCTTCGCTTCATGGTTCTGTCTACATCGAGGCACCGTCCTTCACGACCAATATGCTTTTGTGATTAGACTTGGATCAATATAGAACGAGACGGGTATCAGAGGAGGGAGAGTTGTGCGAAGTGTGATATATTTACCTTACCTTTCCACAAAATCTGGAATCTACCTACTTCCTATATTATACTAGGTTCGTTGGGAGGAATGTGTTACTCGGTGGCCTTTCGCTGTATCAAGCCATGGGCGTTGCGGTAGTGCTGTGCCGTGCTAGGGTAGTCGGTCTGCATGAAACTGGTCGTGAAGACTCGAACAGGCTCGGCAGAATAGTCTCAAAAGTGAAGCCTCAGGTTTTAAAGTTTTCGGATCAAGCCGAGGACTGGTCTCGTTTCTGACACATTGGCGAGGAAGTCGCGTCTCTGGCCCTTGCCCGCGTTGAACACCAGCTTGACGCATCTAGCCTCACACTTCGCTTTGCATCCTCGCAACTCGCCTCGCCTCGACTTACACCGCACGAACCCAACATATCTACCGACCCAGCGCGATGCCCTTCAAGAAAGGTGGAGGCCACCACAAGGGCGCCAAAGGCAATAAGAGCACACGTATCAGTCTGCCAGCAACGAGTATGATCGGCAATCCAATGTCATGAAAGGGTAGTGCAAAGCTAATGAATCTCACCAGGAACGCCGACGAGAAATGACGATGACCAGGACGAAGAAATGGCCGACCAAAACGAGATACAATACGATGCGACCCAGCCCGATATCGAAGATGATGAAGCAGACGATGTTGCGACCCCCGCCGTAGAAGAGGACAGCGACGATGATGATGACGAACCGCAGGTCACTACGATACCCAGGCGGAAAGCTCGAGGAGGGCGACGAGCGTCGCGCAGGGTGGGAGATGACAATACGCCCGAACCGGGAGATGATGGCAGCGAAGGTGGAACACCTTATAGGCGGGGAAGGAGAGGGCGACCTTCGGGGTTTGGCGGCAATACGAGAGGACGCGGTGGTTTTCGTGGGCGACGACGTGGACAGAAAGAAGAAGGGCCGAAAACCGTGACGGACAAGAACGGCAACGTTTTGGAGGTGATAGACGATGAGGCGCAAGTGGACTGGGACCCGGAAGGAGACGAGAAAGTGGACGCAAATGGCATCTTGCAGGGCGGCCGAGAGTATCGCGTGCGGACCTTCACCATCATGGGCAAAGGTGAAAGACGGTACATGCTGAGCACGGAACCTGCGAGGTGCTGTGGCTTTCGGGATAGTTATCTGTTCTTCACAAAACATCCGAAGCTGTACAAGGTGGTGGTGGGCGAGGAGGAGAAGAAAGATCTGATCGAGCGGGGCATTCTACCGAGCAGCTACAAAGGCCGAAACATTGGTGTTGTCTCAGCGCGATCGGTATTTCGCGAGTTTGGCTCAAAGATTGTCGTCGGGGGCAGGCGGGTCATAGATGACTATCGAGTAGCTGATGCGCACGCGGAGGGCGCAGTAGAGGGAGATCTGGCAGACCCTGATGACCACGTCCCGGACAAGCGCGAAGAGTACAACCGCAACCGCTACGTCGCGTGGTTTGGAGCAAGCGATGTGTACAAACAAGGAGGCTCGACAGTGCCGAACAAGCAAGGTCCAATCGGGAAGCGCAGGAACAATATTACTTTGCAGAACTGGCAATTCATGCATGCGCGAGAAGCGAGTCGCTTCAACTCGCTGCTAACCATGTCACGGGCCCAGAACCTCAACGGTGTCTACGACTACAACACGAACATGATGTTCTACCCTAAAATCATGCAGCCGACGCACGCCAAGTGGACATACATACCACCTGGAACAGATGGTATCGACGAGAAGCCACTGACCAACGGATATACGAATGGCGATGTGAATGGCGACCATCATTCCGCAGGTGCCCATGGCGAAGACACAATCTTCTCGACAGTTCCGGCTGCGATCTCGCGCAATTTTAGAGTCATCGACACGGTCTATAGCGCCCCTCCGATATCCCACGCTGGCTATCCTGGCCCAGATGGGCATGTCGAAGACCCGACATCTGGACCGAATGGCTTGTCGACAGTGTCACAAGATCTCATCGACGAACTCCCTGCCGAGTGCAGAGTGGCTTTCGAGGCTGCGCGAGCCACAGAACTGAAGTGGAAGAAGCAATGGGATACGGAGGCCAACAGCGGTCACCGCGGGCATCTAAAGATCGGCTTTAACGGGTATCCTGTTTGATGTTATACGGGCGTTGGGCGAATAAGGCGTTGTGCGAGCATTCCTAGCCGTGTAACTTCACCCGGCGTGTCGAAGAGCCGGCTATGTGGAATGAGGCTGATGTCCTGCCTGAGGCTGTTGTTCTCCTGTTTCTGTGCTTTCTGGGTCTGCATTTTATGATTTCTCGGTCTGCTTTCAGTTTGGTGCTTGGAGTGAGGGTGAACAGACAGACTCATAGGACATCAGTTCTCGATAGAAGAGGAATGCGGAGACGTCAAAACGCCACCACTTCGCAACCATTTTCATACTGTAAATGTATCGTTCTTGCTGACAGGCTCTAGGCTGGCGAATGACATGTACCTCTTTCCAGGAGATGGACGAGAGTCTTGCCACGTGGCGAAGGGGTCTACAGACTACCTTAGACAAGGAATGAAAGACTCGGCTGTCTGCCATGCCGTCGTCGCCTTCCCTGATGTCATGGCCGGCGACAATGACGAGAACAGCATCTTTGAGAGCAAGCGGGCAAAGTGCGAGATTGGAAGCGGGAAGTTTTTTTTTCATTGTCGTGTCAAAAGAGCACAAAGCCGTTCTTGGACATGTGTCGCAAAAAACTACATTCCAATGCGACCATGACAACTGACTCTCTTTTCTCTCTCTCCCTCTCTCTTTCTCTCCCTGAAGCACTTCTCCCATTTGGGCTATTTGCGACTCTTCTTTTTTCACAGTATCATCATCTCAACAACACTTTCGCAACCCGGAAAGGGCAAAAAAAGAAGAAAGAGGCGACAAGTGCCAGATAGGACACGAGCCAGCATGGCATCCACTATCGATGTCGCCAGCCTCAATATCACATTTTGTCCTGCGCCATTTCTCAAGGACTCGGATTTTCCAGATACCGGCGGCTGTAAGTAACCAACAACAAGAGATCATCAAGCCACTTGAAAAAGAAAAAGAAGCTCCCAAAGATGATTGATAGGGGCGGTGGGGAAAAGAAGATCTAACTCGCTGACCACATTCACTAATATCTTTTTCTTCTCGCATACAAACAGATCTCGCAGGACGATATTGTGGAAAATTGACGGGCGACTTATCATGTTGTCTCCCATGTCCCGTGGAGAAATTGGTGTATACGGATCGCTTCAACAGTCTGATGCAAGCATCACATTGGCTCAATATTCCCAGTTTGGCACTGCAGTGTGTGCTGTTGATTACTTTTATTGTGCTTCCCAAGGAAGTTTCGCATGGAAGTTATCATAATTTTGGGTTGTGTATTGCGATTATTTTGTTGCAGGTATGTCTACTCCTTCCTGATTTGAGCATGAAGAGAGAGAGAGAGAGAAAGAAGCTGATTCTGTTATTTCTTTTCCCCCCTCAACCAGCTCGGCTTCCTCATCCCCCTCGGCACCAAACCCGATCTCTGCCACGATACCATCACTCCCAACGACATGTACTCGGACATGTCCTGCGCCTGGACCGGAGCCCTCATCACCACGGGCGCCATGGCCTGCGCTTCATGGGTCATGCTGCGCTCCTTATACACACATCTCAAAATCTGCTGGGATTTCAAACACGAGCGCATATTCTTCTGGGTGGCAGAAATCTTCGGATGGGGTTTACCTGGTTTGTTTCTGGCATTGACGTTGCCTATTACGGGCGTCAGTTATCGTTTGGGACCGACGTGTGTGCCGAATCAGAAGAATTCGTTTGTGACGTGGTTTGGATGGTTGATTGCGTTTGGATGTATTGCGGCATTATTGACAAGTTCGACGACGATTTTTTGCTTGTGGGTGTATTTGAAAGATTTGGGCAAGAAGAATAAAGGAGGTGGTGGTGGCGGGAAGAGTTATGGTGGGAATAGTACGCAACAAGACGATGAGAGTATTGCGCCGAATACGCAGTCTGGGTGGACGAGTCGGAATAGTACGAGGAAGTTGGCGTGGTCGCGTGTCAAAGTGGTGTTGTTGGCACAGTGGAGGAGTGTGTTGCTTTCTACGCTGGTGATTGTTATGGTGTTGTACTATGGTACTGTCTTTGTGAAGCAGACGAACACGGGACTGAATGCTGTTGATCCTGACAAACAAGCCGCAGTCACGACATGGGCTATTTGCATTGTACTCAACAGTGGAGAGAAAACCAAGTGTGAACCTCTATCGCACGTTCTAGGACTCGATGAGAATGCGGTAATTGCAGCTTGGTTCATCGCCGGTGTAAGTTCATCATCCATCACCAAACAAACCCCCCTTCCCTCTCCCCAGGGAAAAAAAAAGAAAAAAAAAAGATATCGAAACAACAGTACAGTCTGCTAACTATTTTTTTTTCTCCTCTTCTCATCTCACACAGCTCGTGGGAACTTTCACTTTCCTCCTCATGGTCCGCCACTCCATGATCACCGGTTGGTGGTTTTTCATCCGTCATCCTCGACAATGGAAACGCACCGAAAGCGTCGGCGGACAAGACTTTTTCATCGTCGGTGCAGCAGGAGCAGGAGACCCTCACAACAAAAACCTCGACCCCGAACACGAACCCATGACTAAACGCATCTCATACTCTCGACCTCTCGGCTCTGATAAACCAAGAAGACAAAATCATCCTTCTTCTGATGATGATGATGATGATGATCGAGACGACGACGATGATTCCATCGCAGAAATTCAACCCAGTATAATACCTTCTCATCGCAGTAACAACAATCATCATCAGGGCCCTACTACATCCTCACATCAAATCTACGAAATGCAACACATTTCTCCTCCTCCTCCTCCAAACCTCACAGCTTCAAACTTCGGCTCTTCAACAACCGTCAACGAAATATATCCTCTCAAGAACAACACTGCTACTACTGCTACTACTACTCCGGCTGCGGCGTTAAGGAGTCATGCTCCTGATTCCTCTGCCTCTGCTGCTGCGACCGGTCTTGTTGGTCTTGTCGGTGGTAGCAACAATAACAAACAAACCCGTTGGTCAGATAGTACCAGTGGAGGCACTCCATCTTTCGAAGCGGGGAATGTGAGTCGAAGACACGAGACTAGTAATCTATTTTTTGGAGATGATAATGATGATGATCGAGAGAATGATAGTGTGCAACAACAACAACGACGTGAAATTGGAGGAGGAGGAGGGAATGCAAAAACGATGAAGATAATGGGTGGTGGTGGTGGGATGATTTGAATTTTTGCTATCATGTGTAAGGGGTGGGTACATGTATAATGTTTTCTTTTTTGGTGATGTGGTGGTTATAAGGGTACATTTTTCTCTCGAGGGAGGGCGAGAGGCTAGAGCGAGGGAGATGCATTATAGGTATCTATCTACCTAAGACCTTTTTAATCCTAATCTTAATGTTTTATTTGGGGGTGAGGACATATTCTTGGTTTCTTTTTTTTTTTTTTTTTTTTTCTTTTTTTTTCACAAGTCTCGGGTTCTGGATCTTCATATGTCTAAGAGAGGGAGAAGAAGAAGAAGAAGGCCTATAAGGGACAGCAGGATCTGATGATGAATGGCTCCCGCTCGGCCAATATTGGCACATGTCGACTGTCGCTGGGCAGGGCTGGGATGTGCAAATGTTGAGCAAGTGGGCTATATAGAAGAATGAAGACGATTGAGAGAGAAGAAGAGTTATATAGTTGCTGCATGCAGACTAACTACTGCTGGGCTTGTCGCACGAGTGCTACACGAGCAGCAAGGGGACATTTTTTTCTTCTATTCAGGTAGCTTTGACGGTCGTGGAGGGCTTTCGCTGCTCCAGTACGTATCTAATTCACCGGGTAGATCTGCGAACCCATGTTCCGTTTTCCATGGATTGTAAGGTGCCATCCTGCTCTCGTGGCGAGGCTGTCTCGTCTTGGGCCTGTCATCGCTATTCCATGGGTTGTGCGGGACTTGAGCATCTTGTGATTCTTGTCTCTCATCATTACCACTTCTCTGAAATCGTGCCAACGCCCCTCCCACGCCATCCATACTGGTCGGCGGCCGCATCCTTTCCCCCTTCAATTTCTCATCCCTGCCCTGATATTCTGAGAGCTCGTCGGAAATCGTGCTTCTCTTGGCAGGGGGCCTCGCAGCGAGGCCATAACCCCTCCACCCTTGCTCTTCAAACCTCCTCTTGTCGGTTAACTTGAATTTCGAAATACTCAACAATCCATCCAGCTTCCTCCTCTTCTGCTGCCAGTACTCCTCTGCTTGTGGACCCACGACCAAATTCCTCGACAAGAGAGTATCGACAGATCCGATCATTGCTTGATAGAGATTCTTCGCTTGGCGCAATCTTACCTGATTGAATGCCAAGATACGATTCAGAGCTCTCCCGATGCTTGGTCCGTTATTTGTAGTCAGTGCAATACTTAAATACATTTCAAGGGTATTCATATCGAGGTTTTCGAGATGTCTACCCATGTCATCTATAATAGTGGTCGCGACGTTGACGATGTTTGGGTTCTTATGGTCGCGAGCACATACACTCATGGCCATTTGATAAGTTGATGCGGTCGGAGGAACTCCAGCTTCGTTATGCATCCGGTATAAAACATGGGCTGCACGTTGAGCGCTGCGATTGACGCGGAGGAGTCGTAGTAGAGTATGAAAATTGGCGGTATCAGGCGCCACATTGTAGGGTTCGGAGGTCAAAATGTCCCAATAGCGATTGGCGGCTTCGGCACTTTGCATCATGGAGCAGGCGCGGATGAGGACTGACAGAATGCTGTTACCCGGACAAACCCAGGCCAGCGAACTTGATCCTAGCTGATGTCCGGTCCGCGCAATAGGAGTGACTGGCATGAAGGCACGGGCAGAAGGGGTGGGCATAAAGCCTTCGTGGTCTTCTTCAACGGCCGAATGCGGTTTTGGGTCAAGTTGACCATCCACACGGACGTGTCCTGTCTGGCGCTTTGCATCTCCAAGCGGTGCGACCAGGCGTTCAATCCTTGTAGTCTGCAGCACCAAGTTGAGCACATCGTCCCAGTCGGCCATTCTTCTGCTGATCAGGAGGAGATTTGCCATTGCGGCGACTAGCTTTTCGTCAATGACAAGCTTACCAGCTCGCCACTTGGCAATGATCTCTTGCCAGATCCGCCTGCCTTCATTGACGGCGTCCTGTCTCAATTTCCACATCATCGCCGGATCGGCCTCGTCTCCCATGGAGCTGTGCCGAATGGCTTGCAGAATGGTGGTATATGTCACGGCATCTGGGGCATTTGGCCCCCTCTCCGGCAGCTTGCTGGCAATGCCCCATAGCGCGTCCATGTCCTTTGTCAAGGCGCACAACCTGAGTGCAGCATTGGTATGCATGATGCTCGTCTTCACTCTGCTGGTGGGACTGCTCATGCTGTAGTAGATGGACACGGCCTTCGCGGTGTGTCCTTTATTCTCGGTAAAGCCAGTGAGGAGGCGCATGTAGGTATAGCTGTCGGGGAACTGGCCTCGCTTCTTCATTTCGTTGTAGATATCCATGGCCTTGGAGACCTGGTGCTTCTCCATGTGCCAGGCCAAGATATGATTCCACGCGACTGTGCAGGACATGTTCCTGCTGGCGCGTCGGCAGAGATCCAGGGCACTGTCCGGATGTCCACAACGCAGCGCATATTCGACATGTTGGGCGAGTTTGATGGGATCCTTTAGTTTGCCCAGCTGCTGTCGCACCGCCTTCTCATTCGCAATCGCTATCGCGCCGCCTCGCAGTTTCGGCGAATGCGAGACCGGTGTCGGTTTCTCGATGGGCGCCAAACCGGACGGCGCGTCGAACGGTGGTGTCTGTACAGACGACTCTCGTGTTTCGGCGGCCGTGGCAAGTCGTCGTCGTTGTTGATGGGAGAGGACGGCGGCGGCGGTGGTGGTGAGGGTGAGATGGGGGGTTAGAGCGAGCGGTCGCGTGGCGAGAGCAGTCGCATACGCGCCATCTCCAGCAATGACCCGAATGGCGCGCCCTACACACGCTCTGCACTCCAGCATGGCCGTCGTGGCTCTCGATACGTGTAAGGTCGGTAAGGTCGGTAAGAAATTATGGTATTCTGGTATTCTCCTCCTAGGAGGTTCTCCGTAGAATAGTTCTCGTCACTAGCGCCAAGCCCAACCTTAATTCCGTTATCGATTGTCGCCCTGCACGACCACCATCAATAGACGCTGGCAGACTCTGGCTGGCAGATCCCCGTGAGGATTGTCGTGTGCAGGTCACTGTCGTCGGGAACTCGAACGTTTCACTGCCTTCTGTAACGGCCACTCCTTGTATCGTTTGCATATAGCGGCTGCTGCAATCATGTCCCAGCTCCCTCCTCTCGACATGGACAACATGAAGCCCACGGCGCTCTTCGATGTCTTCCTGCGTCTGCGCCCGGCGCACACTCATAACGAGCGGTTCTTGCAGGTTCAAGAAAATGACAACGAAGACGAGCTCCCCACACACATCACCATCAATCCGCCTACGAATGACACGCGACGAAAGGCGGTCGAAACCTTCGAATTTACGGGAGTCTTCGAAGAGGCCGCGAGACAGCGAGATGTCTTCGACAGCACCGGCATCCTCCCGCTGCTCGAGGGCGTAATGGGTGAGCCAGGCAAGCAAGGGCGCGATGGACTGCTGGCCACGCTGGGAGTGTCGGGATCGGGAAAGGTGTGTCTGCGCAAGAAAGAGGAAGGGGAGAGGAGAGGAGAGGAGAGGAGAGTGCAACATTTGGACACATTCTGATGCAGAAACTAGTCGCACACCATCTTGGGTGATCGCAGCCAACGCGGTCTGACCCAGCTGTCCTTGGATGTCCTCTACCAACATCTCGAGCCATATCTGGCGGACTCCGATACGAACATCTTCGCGTTCGAGTCGATCACTGCTGCCGATAACGCAGAGTCACATCTTCACCGTGCGAACGACTTCCTGGACGGCATCTATGACAACGGTAACGTGAGCAGGCTGTCCAGAGCCACCACGCCAGCATTTGTACGGCTTTCTACTATCTCTGCCGCCATCCCCGGCGCATTTCCCACTCCTCTCAACGAGCAACACAAGTCACCAGACGCTTCAACCGTCTACGACAGACTGTATCCTGATATCAGCGCTTATCCACCTCCCATTGTTGCATCCTCTCCCCTTTCACCATCAAAGTCACATCTCAAGAGATTCACACGCGGAATTGCGAAGCTTACACAGTCTTTCCATCACCAGGAATCCTCGTTCTTGTCCGTACCCAGTTCGAAACGTTATGCACCTCGTCTTTCCGAATTGCCCTCTTCTCCCTCCACCGATGATATCACGATTGCGGTGGATGACAATGCCGAGTATGCGATTGTCATGAGCATGTATGAAGTTCACAATGACAGGATTTACGACTTGCTAGCAGTCACTGCACCTGGCAAGACCCCAGCGAAGAGACGAGCACTGCTTTTCAAAGCCACCGAAGCATCACCCGATCGAAAGGTGGTCGCTGGACTCAAGAAGGTCGTGTGCTCGACCTTTGAAGATGCTCTTTTGGTGCTGGAAACCGGCCTGCGAGAGCGCCAGACTGCCGGAACAGGAAGCAACGCCACCTCCTCAAGAAGTCACGGCTTTTTCTGCTTCGAAGTTAAGAAGAGATATCGTGGTCGTGGCGCGCCTGGGCCATGGTCTAGCAGCACCATGACTATTGCTGATCTTGCTGGTGAGAGACGTAGTTTGTATGGTGTCAACAACAAAACTAATTCGAAATACAGGCTCGGAACGTGCCCGTCAAGCAAAGACTGCTGGCGCAACCCTCGCCGAGGGCGGCGCCATCAACACGTCTTTAATGTATCTTGGGCAGTGCATGCAGATGCAAGTGGAGAACGCAAAGTCCAACCTACAATCGATTGTTCCCTTCCGACAGTGCAAGCTCACCGAACTCCTCTTCAGCGATAGCCTTGCTCAAGGAAGCTCGAGCCATCGATCAAGACAGAAGGGTGTGATGATTGTAACCGCTGACCCTCTGGGGGACTACAATGCAACAAGCCAGATCCTGCGATACTCTGCTCTCGCCAAGAAGATCGAAAACCCGAGAGTCCCAAGCACCGCTCAGAGTATTGGCCTTGCGCCTGCTTCACGGAGTGATATTGGTTCCGGTCGTGCCACTCCGTCTGCTATCATGGAGGACTTGGAAGCCGCTCTGGAACAAATCACCAAATTACGCGACGAGCTTGAAGTCACCCAACTTCAGCTACAGGAAGAGACAAACCGACGCCTGGAAGCAGAAGCTGCCTGGGCAAACTCCGAGACGCGCATCGACGAAATGCTCTTGGCGCGAGAAGAAGAGATTCGACTCGAGATTTATGATGAGATGGAAGCCCAGATGACTCTTGATCAACGCAAGCGACAAGCCGCCAGAGACGAAGAATTGGATCGACAGGACGATTACATTGACCGGAAGCTCGAGATCTTGGCTCGTGGAATTAGCATCTACGAAGATGACCAAGAGAACATTGAACCACAGCCTCTTGCAGTGGAGGATCCGGCTATCAATGGGCTTGCCCAGCGTGTTGGATCTTTAGCGCTGAGAGGAACGGGGCGGAAGGTGTCGGAAAAGGAGAATCCCAGAATGACGGAGCTGGAGAATGAAAATTCCATGTTGAGAGCTCAACTCGCAAACTCGGAGCGTGAGAAGGGTTTGAGGAGTCCGAGTAAGAAGGTCCGGGTGTTGAAGACCAGAAAGTGGGAGGGCGATGGGATGGGCTTGGATGATGCGCTCTGATTAGTGCTGCACACCTCTCGTACTGTAATTGTTGGCCGTGGTTTCGTGTTTTAGAGATACCTTACCTCGGGAGTTGTTGATTCATCATATCAACTGTACAGAAGAATCACATCAAGCAAAAAATCTCATATCCCACGCGAGTGGACTTGCCAACTCTGGTGCTGCTCTCACACTTTCCTCTCTCTCTCCAATCCTCGCCCACCTTTTCCCTTTTTTTTAAAAAAGAAAAAGAAAAAGGAAAAAGGAAAAAAGGAAAGAAAAAAGCAAAGAAAACGTGAAAGATCTTCAAAATGGTGTGAAGCATCAGTACCTATAAGGTACGTATCGAGTCGAAGCGGGTGAAGTCAACAATACATGTACCTGTATGCATCAAGAACGCACTTCAGCTTTCAGCACGTAATGTAAGGACAACCGTGGGACATGTTCATTGCATTTCATATACGCGTCGATACTATACACGAGAAAGAATCAGCTTTTCCGGAGACTCGCTGCGCAGTCCTGCCGCCACCACTCTCCCACGACTCATGGGGATTCCTTGTTATTCGCCGATCATCCCATCAAGAGGAAATCCACACATAATAAATGGCCGTCATATCCAAAGATTGGACTCACTACCGCTCACAGGCGTACTGCCTTCGTGTCAATGGACTACTTGGACGCGTTGCGGCCAGATCGGCGAGGCTCGCCAGATTCAGTGGCTGCCTTCTTCTTCGGCTTGGGCTCCTTCTTGGTTGCAGCAGTGCCGTTCTTTGCCGGCCTGCCCTTCTTCTTGGGAGCTTCTTCGCCATTTGCTTTCTTGTCATCTTTCTTGTCATCAGTCTTGTCATCTTTCTCGTCGTCCTTCTTGTCATCCTTTGCGTCATCTTTCTTGTCGTCCTTCTTGGCAGCACCCTTCTTCTGCTTTTTCGCATCGCCGCCGGTCTCCTCGTCCTTCATCTCTTCGGCAGTCTCTTCAGCTTTGCGCTTGTCGCCAGTCTCAGCGTCGCCATTCTCCTTCTTTTCAGAGTCACCATTCTCCTTCTTTTCAGCGTCGCCATTTTCCTTCATTTCAGCGTCGCCATTTTCCTTCTTTTCAGAGTCGCCATTCTCTTTCATCTCAGAGTCGCCGTTCTCCTTCTGTTCAGAGTCGCCATTCTCCTCTTTTTCATCAGACTTCTTGGTGTCCTCTTCCGTGACGGTCTTCTCCTCGCCCTTGTCCTCCTTGTGCTTGTCGCCAGCCTCTTCGACATCAAGCTCGGAGGCTTTCTTTACGACATTGTTTCCAGAGCGCTCAATGACAACCGCTGGGTTATCAGGCTCGGCGTTCTTGGACACGACGTTGTCGTTCTTGGTCGTGATCTCAGCCTTGCCGTCCTCCTTGACCTCAGCAACTGTGCCACCTGGGCGGCTTCCGGACCACTTCCACGAGACTGTATGCCAAAAAGCGCGTCAGTTACGGTTCTGCATTAATCGCAACACCCAACATCGCATTGGCGCGACTGAAAGACTAGATGACTAAGCAGTCTCGACAACCTCGAGGTCTGACCCGGTTGCGACAGGACGCGCATTGGCAGCAATACGGTGGTGTCATGGTCGCCGACGCGTCAAATGTTTCGAGACTGATCTCGCGATCGAGCTGGTGAAGGTGACCTACCGTTATCACCCTCCTTGATCTCCTTGTCTGCCATTGTAGTGGAAGCTGGTTGGTATAAAGCACTTCTTGGCGCAAAGTGATTGGTGAGTGGTGTGATCGCGGCGCGTGGTTCAGAAGGATATCAATGTCGTCGCGTAATATGCAGATATACGGTGAGATGGATTGAAGACTTGAAATGGGTTGGGAAGAGGAGAAGGAATGAAAGCGAAGATGGAGGTGCTGTCGAGAAGTAGAGGGAAAGCTCGACTCTGAGTGGTGGAGGACGGACCTTCCAGCCTATGCTGGGCCAGCTGGGGTCAAGCGTCATCTTGCTGCCATGGCTACCTGCCGGCCCGTGTCCGTGTCTTGCTCAACCTCGACGTTATTATGCCTACTGTATGCCTACCTTACATAGGTACTTTACCTGCATACACATACCTACATCCTACATGTCGGGTACATGTACATTCATCAAAATTCTTTCCCGCAGCCTCTCCGATCACACGTGGCGAGCTGAGCGATACAGTACTATCCTCGTTTTTCGCATGTCCACTGTTGACAGAAGTTTCCAGAGTTTTATCGGAGACCTCCACCAGGACCAGACGAATGGGTTAAGTCCGGAGGTGCGACAGCTCTGTCGGGTACATGTATGCTTCATCTAGACTAAGGTATGGCTTCGCTATGGCTTACTTGCCCAGGGCTGTAGCCAGTGCTGGATCAGTAGCCGCGTGTGACAGGCCACTGTACCATCACTCGCGGTTGATGAATCTACTGAGCGAGACCAGCTGTTGCACTGCGCATCGTTCTTAATGCGGCAACTCGCGAGCGGGGCAGGGGCAGTATTAATAATATGAGGGGATTCAGCTTCCAGGTTGTGCTCATGTTCTCCGAGTTGCGGCTGGCCTGGTCCGCTGGCCAGCGGATGATGTCTGCTTGTGCTATGGCTCGAGTGAACGAGGTGCACTGGTGTACTGGTATACTGGTATTCAAAAATGTCTATAGCTACCTGTAATAGAGAGGTCAAAGTGGAAATACCCGCGATGGATATACGCAAAGGAAGGAATGTATCGGAACACCAAGGACATGTAGTCATCCGGGGGGAAACAGTCGCTGAAGGAGCTTTGTTTCACTGAGCGTAGGAGTTTGCTGTGTCTGGTCAAAGGGCTTGCCAATCTGAATACAGGTACCTGTAGATCAAAGATTCGCGTGTCTGTAGAACTATACTTCCGCCGGCTTCCGACACACGCAACAAGCAAATGCATTGCGATGCATTCATGAGAGGTCGAGTCGCTGATACCTGTGTGAAAAACTTCCCTTTCTTAGTATATTTATGTGTGGACTCATGGGTACATCTGCCATTTTACACAGCCCCGGTATAACGTACCTCCTACGAGCGAGTGGGAAGTGTCGGCGTCGTAGGAGGTAGCAGTATCCGGAGGTGCGACTGAGCAAGAACCTGAAGGACATGCATCTGCTACCAGCATTGCAGAACGAGCGAGCTAGTTTAATGCGAGCATTCTTTCTTATCACACATGAACTCCATGTACATGTACTCGTAAACGGCTAGTTCCAGTTTGACCGAGACTTATTATCAAGCATAGGTATTGTATACCTAGACTCACGGCTCCCCGTATGGTATAGGTAGGAGATACTCTTGCATGTTGACTTTTCCAGCTTCCACATATTTGCCACTGGCTGTCCCCCGCCGCTGTGGCCTACATGTATCTTATGCTGCCAAAGAGGCCTAGAGGGGCCGGCCTCAGCTAGGTGTGCAAGCAGTTGCTGAGATGTGACAAGGAGCCAGATCCGTCGTTCGTCCATGGCGGTACCTCTAGGTAGTCGTGTTCTTCCACATCCTTTTAAGCCACGGGAATGGTGGATTGTAAAACGACTTGGGCGGACTCGCCAGACCGCAGAAGTTGGCATCACAAATCGCGACTCAAGGGAATCTCTCTGCCATAGGTACATGTAGTTCCTTCCTATGCGTGTTGTACATAGTCGCTTGAATTCACGGATCTTTTGGCTCGAGTAATCGAGTGTGCATACAGGTAGGTAGGTACCTACAGTATTTGTCGTTATCTGCATTTCATGTCTGTCGATGTTCAGTCTCGATCATCCATATCCAGCGTGCTGCAGATCCTGCTCCATGGTTCAATTGCACTTGGTGTCCTGAAACCTGAGACTTAAGGGCATTGCCTTGATATTCACGCTCCGTTCCACACATCATTCGCCACCATGTACTGGTAAAACCAGACTACCAGTGAAGGCAAATTCGGGCAGGAGCGAAAGCGAAGGGGAAATTCACGGGCGTGGTTTGATTGGCCCTCGCGCGTACGGCTTTAGCCGAAGATCCGTCGCGCCTTTCACAAGTTTTCTTCGTAAGAAACTTCCTTCTCTTCGCACCAACTACCACGTCCTCTTTTCCTCCTCTCACCACACCCCTTCTTCTCAATAATCTCATCTCGAGCGCGACAGCAGCATCACAGTCGACGCGCTCTTTCAGACGCTCATCTTCATTTGAGACCACTCCTTTCAACAACCTCGACTGTCACTACCAACCGACCTTGCGACATGTCTTACGGCGGCGGTTACGGTGGCTCGCGCGGCGGCGGCGGTGGTGGAGGCTACGGCGGCGGCGGAGGATACTCCAACGGGTACGACAGCGGATATGGCAACGGCTCTCAACTTCGTCACGATGATCGGACATACTCCTCTTATGGGTAAGCACGAAAATCAGGCGCCGATGAGGGCCTACGTATAACCCAACATTTTTTATCACTTCAATCTATCCCATGAGTCGTATCATCAGCTAACAAATGCTTTACAGAGGCGGTGGCGGTGGCTATGGTGGCGGCGGTGGCTACTCAAACGGCGGCTCAAATGGCTACGGCGGAGGTGGATATGGCGGCGGCGGAGGTGGCGGCGGTGACCGTATGAACAACTTAGGCGCTGGACTTCGCACCCAGACTTGGGACCTCAGCACCATGCCCAAGTTTGAGAAGTCGTTCTACAAGGAGCACCCAGACGTCGCAGCCCGATCGCAAGCCGAAGTCGACGAGTTCCGCCGTAAGCACGTAATCACCATCCAAGGTCGAGACGTCCCGAAGCCGGTTCACACCTTCGACGAGGCCGGATTCCCCAACTACGTGATAAGCGAAGTCAAGGCGCAAGGCTTCGCCGCACCTACAGCCATTCAGTCGCAAGGCTGGCCGATGGCCCTTTCTGGTCGTGATGTGGTCGGTATTGCCGAGACCGGATCAGGAAAGACTCTCACCTACACATTGCCTGCTATTGTGCACATCAACGCGCAGCCACTGCTCGCTCAGGGCGATGGTCCAATCGTTCTCATCTTGGCTCCTACCCGCGAGTTGGCTGTCCAGATTCAAGAGGAGGTTAGCAAATTCGGAAAGTCCTCGCGCATCCGCAACACTTGTGTCTACGGAGGTGTGCCCAAGGGTGGTCAGATTCGCGACCTTGCCCGAGGTGTCGAAGTCTGCATCGCAACTCCTGGTCGCCTGATCGATATGCTCGAGGCTGGCAAGACCAATCTGCGACGCGTCACTTACCTTGTTCTTGATGAGGCTGATCGCATGTTGGACATGGGTTTCGAGCCGCAAATCCGCAAGATCATTGGTCAGATTCGACCAGATCGTCAAACTTGCATGTGGTCCGCTACCTGGCCAAAGGAGATTCGCCAAATGGCCAACGACTTCCAGCAGAACTTCATCCAAGTCAACGTCGGCTCACACGACCTGCACGCCAACGCCCGCATTACCCAGATTGTCGAAGTCGTGTCTGACTTCGAGAAGCGTGACAAGATGCTTCGACATCTTGAGAAGATTATGGAAGATAAGGGCAACAAGATCCTTATCTTCACCAGCACGAAGCGTGTCGCTGATGACATTACCCGATTCCTCCGCCAGGACGGTTGGCCCGCACTCTCCATTCACGGTGACAAGCAGCAGAACGAGCGTGATTGGGTGCTCAACGAATTCAAGACGGGCAAGAGCCCAATCATGGTGGCCACCGACGTGGCTTCTCGTGGTATCGGTATGGTTGCAATCCTCCCCGCACACACACTTCCCCCTTCCTCCCTCATTCCACCCGCTCGTAAGTGTGGGGTCTGTCCAGTCGAAGCTGCGCTCTGTACGCTCGGCGTGCACATATAACCATTCGCGTCTAGGGCTGTTAGTGTTCCTTTGTTCTTCTCAGGATCCTTGGAGACTTTCCCGGCAGAGTTTTTGCTTTGCCGTGTCTTTCCGTTTCTCTGCTCCCGCTCGCCACCAGTAGAGAAATGGATAACGAGTCTTTTGTTGCGTTGGTGTCACAGCTGCGCGCGTCCAAGGGTCCCATCAGGAGAATGTTGCTTGCACAGCCCAGTGAAGACATTTGGATGTACATGTGCGCGCAAGAGCGTGATGCTCCTTGCTCTATACCAGACAAGGCAGCCATAAGTGACGCATATTGCGCACTCGACAGATCTCGCATCCGGCAAAGGATTGCTATTGCTCGCTTCACTCACCCACTCCATTCACAGCACTGAACTAACATTTTGCGCGCCAAAGACGTGAAGGACATCACTCATGTGTTCAACTACGATTACCCGAATAACTCGGAGGACTACGTTCACCGTATCGGTCGTACTGGCCGTGCCGGTCGTATGGGTACTGCTATTACCCTCTTCACCACAGATAGTGAGTAACTCATTCCTGCCCTTCACAACATCAGCTAACGACATTGGCAGACTCCAAGCAGGCTCGTGACCTTGTGGGCATCCTCCGTGAGGCCAAGCAGCAGATCGATCCTCGTCTCGAGGAGATGGTTCGCTACGGCGGTGGAGGCGGCGGTGGCGGCTGGCGCGGCGGCCGCGGTGGAGGTCGCGGTCGTGGCGGCGGTGGAGGCTGGACTGGCTCGAACAACGCTCCTGTGGGTGGCAACCGTCGCTGGTAGCCGCTTTCATGGTTACGTCTTCTTGCTTCATTGGCTGCATTCTGGCATGGCGTTTATGAGTAGAAAAGACCAGAGGGATGGTTTCTTGACTTCGGCACGGAAGATACCGCTACTGACAGTGTGCGTTCTGCGGCGTTTTGAGGAGGCAAATTGGTCTGCACTTCATGCATAGGCTCTGGCAAGAGCCAGTAAAGCTGCGACCGCAGCAGATAGATTGAATGACTAGGTGCGAAGAAAAATTTGCATGCGACTGTGATACTATATTCTGTTCTTCCGTCTCACTTTCACTCGATCATGGCTTCCGCTGACATACTCTTCAGGATTCCAACTGCGCTCCTTTCGTTTGATATCTCTAATAACGAGGATGCGTTAGAGCAGAGTTGCACTGGGCGGTAAGCTGTTGATGCCGTGCTGCCATTCACCATTGCGGATCATACTCAAGAGCAAGTGGTTCAACGAGTGTTACACACGTGCCGGCGATGATAAGGCACGCTGATTCTGCCAGCACCCAAACGCACTTTTCGACGTCAAGATCTTCCTACTTGGACGGCGATAGTTATCAGATCTAGGACGACCGAGAATTCCAGGCCGAGTTGGGCCTTTGGAAGTAAGGTGAAGAGTTCTCCAAGGCGTGGTGTGGAATGCAGCTTTGACATTCCAAGCATACGTTACATGTAATTACTTCACAAACCTAGCCCGCCCACAGGAATCGTCGCGAACATGTCGTGTGAGATGTTCTCTTAATAACCAACTCTGCGCGACACTATCTCTCACAATGAGACAAGCCGACGGCGTTGCAGCAGCATCACTACTGCTGCTTCTTCTACCATGTATCCTCGCGCAGCAAATCACATCCACGATTAGCATCCCATATTGCTCGACAAGTCCCGGTCTTTTCACCATTTATGGCTCTATGACCTCGGCCATACCCTCGAATATCCTATCCAGCAATAGCCAGACACCAACAGCAGGATTGCTATCCTCTAGCGTGTCTTCGGTCGCTACGCCTCTGGCGAGCGCTTATGTGGATCAGTATGGAGGAAAATACACAGTACAATTCGATACGGGCCTTGTTGGCAGCACGATCCCAGCGTCTCGTATTGACGGATTGAGGAAAAGGCAGGCCATCGATATAGGAACGCTGGATCAGACATTCGAGGATTGTTTGGAAAGCTGTACTTTGACGTCCGCCTGTGTGGCTGTGGCTGCTTTGGACAGTACATGTCAACTCTTTTCGTCTGTCCGCGAGACTGTGTCATTAGTGGGGGGCAAGGTCGCTTTCAATCAAGAACGATTTCTCGGTTTCAGCAATGGTACCATCCTGCCGTCTTCGATGGCTACTGAGGCCAGCTCAGCTCAGGGGATGGCTTCAGCGTCTGCTATCAGCTCTGGAGGGTTCCGGTCGTCAATGCCAGGTTTGGCTTCTATGCCAGGAGGTTCGATGACTCCTCTATCACAGCTGCCATCGACATTAGCAATGGAGACCTCGACCGCTGGACCACTAGTTTCGAGCTTCGTTACTCAAGATATCTCTCCGGCTGGCTCATCGAGCGATATTATGCCATCGGCAGCCTTGTCGACCAATACAGTCACTACGATACTGAGCTCTGGAGCGGTTCTCAGCGCTACCTCCGAGCCTCTGTCCACTTTCTCCTCCGCTGGTGATCCAACTATAACGCTGCAGGTGCCATCTTCGTTATCTACTGAAAGCAGTGTCTCGATTAGCTCAACCTCAAGCACGCCTACTGATCAGCTAGTTAGTACGATGACCTCGGATGGTGAGATCAGCTACTCGACAGACTTGACTATCACGTCCAGTTTATCCAGCCTGGCAACTCCTGCATCGGCTTCGATCAGTAGCGCTGCGAGTTCTTCCTTAGCCTTATCCAGTGTAGCCAGCGTATCATCTTCGAGGAGCAGGGCTGAGAGTTCTTCTTCGTCGTCTTCGCCTGGCCCAATCAATGCATCGACCTTTTTCTCTTCACCAGCTGTGCCTACAACAACAAGAACAACAACAACAACAACATCATCATCCTCCTCCTCCTCCTCTCCCGCCACTCCAACCTCATCCCGCAAACCCCCCACATGCCCTGACGACGACGGAGAGGACTACATCGACACCAACGGATTCATCTACATTATCACATGCGACATCGGCTTCAACGACGAGACGATCCAAACCACCACCGTGCAAAATTTCGTCGACTGTATAACTACTTGCGACGCGTTCAACGAGCTCCCGAAAGACGACGAGGAGGTAATGGGTTGTGGAGGTGTGAATTTCAATAGTTTGGCCCAGACTGATAATTGCCTTTTGATGCCCGGAGCTGAGATTGCAGAGATGGCGGGGATTTGGAGTGCACAGCTTAGTGGGAGTATAGCTGAATGAGGAGGGAGAGAGAGAGGGAGAAAGAGAGAGGGGGAGAGGGGGAGAGGAGAGGGAATATAATAAAATCGTTGGGTAGGTAGCTACCTGTAGGTAGGTAGTATTGAACATCTCTACAACGCGACCCGATCTAGATTTTAAATGAAAAAGAGAACCCAGCCTATCTTTCTTCTTTTTAACTACGGTACCCAAAGAACTATTAGATCATGTTATATATATGAGCATCCAGTATAGCAAGGGAAATTATCGCAATACTACTCTTTTGTACAAAGAAGCAATTGTATTGCTTTGAGGATTTTTAGAGATAAGAAGTAGTAGTAGTAGATAGTAGATAGTAGATAACGGCAATAATAACAAGATTACAATCAATTATACTACGCTACGCTACGCTATACAAGACTGAGAAGGCGTTAGTTATATTGCTACTATACTACTCTCTCCTCTCTCCTCTCTTCTGCTCGTTAAAGACAAAAAGCCGACTTCTACTACCGGGGAGCGAGGAGGGGAGGGGAAGGTAAATGAAACTTCAACTTTTCCCCAAAGCACCTATGTAATAAGGTCAGTACATACATGTGTAGCGCATCATCTATAAGGTCTACCTACTTACCCCCTAACCCCCGATTATCAAAACTACGCTCTCTCTCTCTCTCTCCCTATTTGGAGATCATCGTTCGATGTACCTCTTGGATAATTGTTTCTTTTTCTTTCTTTTTCTTTTCCCTTTTTCCCTTTTCCCTTTTTTTGGTTGTTTGTCTACTGTTTTTCTTTTTTGTGTTTGTAGTATAATCAAATCTATAGGTAGGTTCCAAATCATCCTAGAGATAGATACCGCAGTCGGTAATACAAATACTTTTCCTTACTTTTCCTTACCTTGTACTTTACTTACATATTTACTTGCTACTTATTCAAGTAAGTACCTACCTACCTACCTATCTGGGTAATATACGAGTAAAGATCTTCTTCGTTTTTCTTTTCTTTTCCTTTAGCACAAAAAAAGCAAACTCGATTTCATCCTCAGTTACCTTAGTCAGGTAGGTAGATCGGTACCTCCTACCTCCTACGTTCAGGTAGATAGATAGATGTACCTAGGTAGGTAAAAATGTCAAGCTTGGACCTATGTAGCACGCAATAGGTACATACCTGACATACCTGACATACGCAATAGCTAAAATGTATCCAAAAGGTAAGTGTAAACTGTGGTAAGGTACCATGACAATGAACTCTAGGGAGGGGAGAGGTACATGAGGTATATAAAGTGATGTGAATGACAACACCGGTCTCCACTCTATGGGGGGTCTAGAACCAACCAAACCAACCAAACCAACCTCAAGAAGGAGGGAGAGTGAACTCAAAGGGCGAAAAAGGAAAGAAAAAAGAAAATAAAGTATACTAGCCGATCCTCTTTGCAAAAGTACCTAGGTAAGTAAATCAAATCGGGGTTGTATGCAATAGAGATGCATGCATGGGAATCGTAAGTAAGGTAACCTCTTTACGCGAGATGTGGTCATCACGTTAACAATGAACAACAACAAATAAACAACAACAAACATTGCTGCCATGACTCTGATGATGTAGTATGCGCTCGTCGTACCATGTTCCCGCATGCGGCCTTCCCATCGATACTACGCCTTGGACAGAGCCAGACATTGACGCCACGTCAAGGCTATAAGCTCACTGCGAAAAAATGAAAAAATAAAAGTGCGGAACTCGAGTTGGTACACTGGCCGCAGGCATCCGATCATGATACACCCTCTTGATCAACCGTACTTCTTAACACAACTGTAGACACAATGTCAGTAGTGGACGTTGTAAGCTTTTTGCGACTCTGTACAATCAATCGTGTCTACCTAGCATCGTCTCGAGGCACATGGCCTAGCGCAACACATACCTTTAGACAAGAACGACAGTGGCGGCGGGCTTGTCTCCCCCCCCACACACACCACACATAGAGGATGTAGGTGGTAGCGCAAAAGTTGGTGGAAAAGCAGCGTGCACTAAACAAGTTCCGGAGATGCTTCTTGCGTAGACGATCGGCTCGGTCCACTAAGTTCCGTCTGAGTATTCCTAATCGCCGGTACGTCTTCTAAGACATAGCGAAAGAAGGCGGGCGACAATCAATATCAATATGTGATAGCGTCTGAGAAGCTTGCGTTCGGCAGACAAACACCTGTCTGGACCGAGACAATTTGTGCTCATTTCGGCGGTACCATGTACACGGGCCAGAGCAGCATTTCTGTGCAGAGGCCAGTGAGGTGCTGCAGATCGTCATGAATACGAGAGCAGCAGTCATGTTCAGCGTCCTGGTTTGTGGAGTTTGTCAGCACGACGTGATCACATTCATGGCATTGCGTGCATGTACCATTTCCAGCAGTCTGTGGAGACGGGGGCCATAGGGGCCAGGTCTCAGGGCGTCCCCGCGCTATTATTCACTCACATGCAGCTCTCTTGTTTGGACACGTGCAAGAGTGTTTGCAAGAGCGGTTCTCACAGAAGCTGCCAATTCTCTTTCGTTTATTGATGCTGTACACACGAGAATCCAACCAGATGTTAGACCAGGGACCGTAGCGTTCGCCACGCTAAGAAGTGTTCGTCACATCTGCAACTCTGCACGTTGTTTCCTCCTACTAGTTGATGCGCGAAGGATTCCAAGAATCCGACGAGTTGGGGCGCTACGGAAGAGACTTCCAGCGCCGAGCCAAGTGCCGAGTCGAGTACAGGAAATGGTATGAGTGACGCAAACTACCATTCTGGGAGTTCGCTTAAAGCAGACTGTCCTGAGCCAGTATTCCTCAGGCAAAAAGGATTCGTCAACCTCCCTTGCGACAACATCGGTGGTTCAGAGCGAACCGACGCCGATATTCTGGAGGTCCGTGACTCTGAAGGTTCGTGATTCGTGACTCGTAGGAGGTAAGAAGCTTTCACCTGAGCAGGTTGGGAGCAGGTCCAGAGAGCGGAGAAAGCACCTAGAACGAAGGGATCAACGTCGCGGTAAAGCTTACGAGTAGTAGTGACAATTAATGCCACCTCTGAACATGCTGGATCGTGGGGCAAGCGACAGGATGTCAGGGGGTTATCTCAATTGTCACGTGGCGTCGCGCGCCTTCGAGGGCGCGAAGGTGATGGGAAAAGTGCATTGTTGCTACTCCCAGAGCAGTGGAGACTTCAGCGTGGCGCGCAGGTTCCAGCACGTAGAAGCCTGTGATGTTGTACAGGAAGACATCGATCTCGGCTTGTGCGGGAGAAGAATACAGGACTGGATTGGCGAATCTTGAATTTGCTGTGCTCTCGTTGGCTGCATCAGCGCACATGCTGATCGCCATGGTCGACCTCCTTTCGAAGACGAGTGCCGGTGGCAGCGGCAGCGCGGGGCAGTATGGCAGGTCGTTCTCACGCCGTGTTGAGCTTGGCTGCAACGCTTCGAGTCAGGAGACTACATGTAGGTATGTGTAACTATGGCTACCTCGTAGAGGCTAGAGGGAACTCAGGGAAGTGTCCGAAAGCAGCTATGGCGTACCGGCGGGGGGAGCAGCCGAGCGCGCCTGATAGAGTTGTGAACATCCCGCAGCTAGGAGGTGAAAGCACACGCGTGGTCAGTTTTGGTCGCGGTAGGAGACCACCTCCTAGGCTCCTAGGAGTAAGGTAGTAGACGGGGAAGTGTAGTGTCGGACGGTCGACGTTCTGCGTTGCGTGATCGTGGCCTCACTCGGCGTGTCTCTGTTCTCTGTCTGCCTAGCTGCTGCTCTGGTCTGGTGCTCTTGCAGAACCTGCACCGACGTCCGGCAAATGCGGGCACTGGAGCGAGCCGGCGCTGTTCACTAAATCGTATTCGTGCGTAGCCAAGTTCGGTACAGATACAGGCACAGGAACAGGCACAGGTACAGGCACAGGTACAGCGCAGCCTCCTTCTCCCCCCCCTCCTACTGGACACGAGACCGTGGTTGATAGTGCTGAGGTGGACACACCTTGCCAGGACTTGCCAGTCGAGGACGAAGACGCGAGATGCGAAGACGGCCGAATGTTGCGGAGATGATGCAGTGTGGGAGTAGGTAGCGAAGATGGATCGGGCAATGCGTGGCGACGAAGCGAGGGTGGGATGACGGGTGGACGCACGGGTGACGGGAGGCAATTGGAATGGAATGGAATTGGACGATGGGCTCATCACTCGGGTGGGCTGGCTGGGTTGGCCCGGCTGGGCAACTGGCAAAAGAAAAAAAAAAGAAAAAAACACAAAAAAATCAGACAAAAAGTTTGCATGTCGCTTGGCTGCAGGACAGGAGAAATGGGATGTGCCAGCCAATCACCCCGAAATCCTGCGCCGCTCCAGGATGTTGTACCCACTGCCCACTGCCTACTGCCCAATCGTCAGGCACGAGTGCATAATGTACAGTACAGTAGAGTACATGTATCGGACGCCTTCCGCCTTCCGTCTTCCGCCACGCATCCCAAGCACCGAGCACCCAGAGCCGCAGCCGGTTGAAACGTGCAAGAATACCTTACCGCTGTATACGAGACCAGAGCGTACCCATGACGCTGCAGCTCAAAGGGCGCGGGGCCAAGGAAAATAGTAGCCTTCGCTTCGACGCATGCCGAAGATCATTATTAGCTGCGCGCCGCCGCGGCCTGTGCCTGCTGGCGGCCAGTGCTGGCTGCAAGAGAGCTGGACGGCCCTGTCGTAGTCGGCTCTGTAGGGAGGTAGTGTACTGTAAACTGCCCGTCACTTGGCGGTAGTGTAAGGACGCGATGGAAGAACCAAAAACAACAATCCACTAAGCAAGCACTCCAGCGCTGTGCCTGTTCAGGACAATGCCATGCCTGGTCTACAACGCCTGGCATGGCCTAATTCCCCCACCATAGAGGCGACGTCGACATAAGAAAGCGCGCCGGTCCTGCATATCAGCCTTGAAGCAGTAAGGAGCGCAAGCCCAGAGGGAAGAGGGAAGGACGGGGTAAGGTAGGTCAGGTAGGTACAGGTACCACACGGTCCGGCGACCATAAAACCTACCGTAAGCTACCTTACCGTTTGCTGCTCCATACGGCTCTTCAGCCTTCTCCCACTGTGCCAAAGTGGTGCACCGCAGCCGGTCGCTGCTGGGCCTGTCCACTATGTCTGTGTATGTGTCACAGTCACACCTGCATCGTTGATGCGCTTCCATTACAACATATTATTCGCTGCGCTCGTGCGGCCACAGTAGCCAAGAGACGTGTGTGTGTGTAGGATGTAATACTAATAGGATACCTAATCATACCTAGGTCCTAGGTAGTATAATAATAAATATAATAGATTATTGCCCGCGGATAAAAAGACCCACCTGTCACCTACCGTGGCCTAGAGGTACGTGTATACAGGCCGTGGCGTCTGCCGGCATCTGCAGTGGTAGGGATCACAGTCCTGCGACTCCTGAAAACATAGGTTCAATTGGAGTGCAGTGGGTTGTGCCATGGCCCATGTGAGTCAATTGGAACGGCCGAGCGAACTTCAGCCTGCGCAGCGAGGACGGGAAAACAGGGAATGATTCAGCCTCCTGTCTCACCGTACGATGATTGTTACCACCGGAATTGCCTCTCTACCTTACTCTTCGCCGATCACCGCTTCTTCACGGAACACGCTGCCCACGGTGAACCACATAGGTGCCTGTCTGCCTGTCTGTCTGCCTGCCTACTGACTACTGACTACTACTGACTACTACTGACTACTGACTACATGTACTGTACTGTACCCACCACCCCTTCGTAGGTACCCTCTTGCTGTTCCCCGATGCTCCCATCACGAGACACGCAAATTACTAATGCTAGCGGCGGAGGCGTCGACGGCCATGATGAGCACGATGATGATATACCGTAAGAGGTACCTCCCCATATGTACATCTTCGTAGAATGTCTTCCGTTGCGAGAGGCAGTGACGTATCTCAAGGAAGTTCTCGTAAGTAGCATTTCGGCACTTCTCGTTTGTAGTCCGGCCGGGACAGCTTCCCATCTAGGGACTTGAGCAGTCGCATGAATCTGCTACTACCCGATATACCCCGTCGCGATTGGCCAACCACGTCCACCGCTCGCGAGATTCGCGGTGTGCAACGTGGACACTCTCCCTCTCTCCCTCTCCCTCTCTCCCTCCGCCCCCCCTAATTCTCCAGTCGAGTCGGGTCGTTGGGTGGATGTACAGCTGTACATCCCTGGCATGCTGCAGAAGGCTGACCGCCCTGCTCGTTGAGCACATGTTCTGCTCTGTATGCACTGTGCGTGTAGGGGGACGTCGTTCCATCACTCACTCTCATCGCTCAGCGAGATTTGACTCGCGCGCGCGTAGCGAACGATGCAAGCGTGACCACGACAGCCGCTGGGCCGATGCAAGTATGTCGTAGTCAGCAGGCACATGGACGGGGACGAGTCTAGTACAGAGGAACCTGCTAGGCTAGAGGGCTGGAGTATTGAGTCTGTCGACAACTGCTACGCGACAGATCTTGAGCAGCGAGAGTTTCGGTAGCAGACAGGCACCAGGTAGGCTAGTAGGCAATGTGATGAAGGGAAATCAACCTTGAAACCGGGGAGTTCCTTGAACAGCAGCCAGCAGGCCAGCAGCATGGCACTGGCACTGGGCCACTGGCACTGGCAGTGCGTATGATGAGACTTTTTCAACGTCGATGATGATGCAGTCATCGCGACGCAGCGGCAACGAGCCGAACTTGCCTCGCTTCAGCTCCTGCCTGAGTGCCTAGGTACCCTACTCCCGCCGATTCTACCACTACTACTTTCTTCTTCCCCCTCGTGTTTTTCACTCTACTAGCGCTGCATCTCGTTCAGCCTCACAGCAGCCAGCCAGCACGCTTAGCTCCCCCTCGCCGCCCGCAGCCCATCGGCAGCAGCAGCAGCATCACCGCCACCACCACCACCACCACCTTCACCACCTCCACCACCACCCCCTCGCTGCTGCACTGTCCCGCAAAAGTCACGGGACGGCCGCTCGCCCGGCGACGACGACGCGTGCGTAAATTCTAGCGCTCGCGCGGCCAAACATCGCCACATCACTCACCGCGTCTCTAAGATTGCTGTATCAGACCCGAACTGCCCCCTTGGGACTTAGCTTTGCTCTAGTGTCCGCTCCCGACGCAACTGGCACAGCACTCAGCACACGGGCACACGGCCACACCCACGAGGACACACCAGCTGCTGACTGCTCAGCTCTCCGCCGCCCGGAATCAAAGAAACGCGCGACTGTATTGTGCGTGCGTGCGTGCGTGCACAACCCGTCGGCCCGCGCACACCACCTCGTCCAAGAGGCCAATCCCCCCCCTTCCCCCCCCCAAAAACAGGCCAGGACTGCACTGCATTGCTTTGCTCTGCCTTGTCTGTCTGCTGCTCGCGAACTTGAGCCGGTTCTTCATCTCGACGCCGCCGCGAATCACGAACCGTCGCTCGGCCGCGCCAAGCACACAACGCGCCTGTGCGCTCTTGTTTTCCACGCAACGACTGTTGTTCTCTCGACGCCTGCGAAAACTCTAACTGGGAGACGTGCGCGCATCGCCCGCAAGAGACCCTTTATCACCGAGTCAGCTCTCATCGTACCCAGCCCAAAAACGCCAGTCGCAGTCGTCACATCCGAAAGCCCGCTTTCATAAACTATTTGCAATCCTTTGCTGCAACTGCAACTGCCACTGCCACTGCCATTGCACTGCACTGCACTGCACTTGCGCGCCATCCTGGATCACATCGTGAGCTTCGCCATTGCAAACTGTCTCTGACAGCCCACTTTTGCTCCCACGCCTCCCCCTGCAGGCTTGTGAAATCCATCCATCACGCTTTGCCTTTTCCTCGCAAGAGTCCCGCTCCGGCAACTAGCAGTGATCGTCAACACCGGCGCCATTACATCACCGTGTTGCTTGACCCAGCCATATCGGTCGCCGGGTCGCAGCACTATTTCCAGGGCACCTGCCAGTATACGCCTGCTACAAAGTGCGCTATCGCCCTTTGATCTAGCACGCGTCTCTGCCACCACCCACTGCGCCAGCCTTTCCCCCTTCGTCTAGACCACATCTCGTCGAAATCTGCGCGCCGGAAATTCGGTTCGGCCAAAACCTACAAGGCTTCGAGACACCAGGGCACCACCTCGCTCACTCTCGCTCGCGCCTGTTTTGTGTCTTGGATCGGTATCACGCCAGAAGACGCCAGTGGAGCTTGCTGGACGGCCGCCATCTGCACAACATCCGCGCTCGAGGTACTGAGGACCACGCTATCAATCCTGCCAAACACCCAGTGTTCCTCCGGTCTTCATCTACGGGCACTTGTACTCGACGGCGCGCTGTCATCGCGCTTTATTCAGGCCATTGCGTCGGACCTGCCACCAACCACTACTCTGCCTGCTCTATGTCCAGAGCCCACGACAAGCCACCTACTACTCAGCCCAGCGAAGCCTCTCTAAGTGCGATCCTAGCATCGCACATACAAGGCCAACTTCGAGATCATCCCCAGTCAATGGATGGTAGACAGTCCGAGTACCCGCAGTCAGGTTTGAGCTCACCATACGCGCCCTACAACGGCCACCAGTCTGAAGGCTCCTCTGCAGATCAAGCATCTGCTGTGCAATACCAGCCCAGCCAAGACTACAAGCCTTCGACCTACTCCACCTCTGCCACCCCAGAGTCGAGCTACGGTCTTCCTCAATCTGCGCGTTCAGGCAGCTTTCCAGAGTACATTCAGCGTTCCTACGCCGAAGGCCAACCGCAGAACCGTTACGCCGCCGCCGCAGCAGCAGCAGCAGGAGGCACGACGAGCAACATGGCTCAAACGTCAAGTCCGTCTTCTTCGCCCGACGGGCACCACATCAACAATCACGCGCATAGCACCAAGTCTGACGCAGAAGTTCCCATAGATCCCTCCATCGCCCAATCGAGTCCCAGCTATCCTCCCCCGCAGAGCTACTCGCCCTATCCCCCACAAGACCAGCAGCAGCACATGCCACAATACGGGAGTCAACAGATGGCTTCGTACGGGCGTCCCGAGTGGGCAGGGCACTACCAGCAACAGGCCATGTACGGCCACTCGCCAGCGACCACTGGAGGCGCTGCGCCCAATATGGTAGCGCACTCTATCCCTAGACCACCGGCGGTGGGTACCTATGCTGGTGCGCATCCCGCAACATATCCTAACGTGACACAGGGCGGCCATCCTTTGTCGACGGTGTACTCGTTCGTCCCTATTCCGGGCGCGCAACAGCACAAACGACCCCGACGCCGATACGAAGAGATTGAACGCATGTACAAGTGCGGGTGGAATGGGTGTGAGAAGGCGTATGGCACTCTCAACCATTTGAACGCGCACGTCACCATGCAGTCCCACGGGACGAAGAGAACTCCAGAAGGTATGTTGGACAGACGTTTGTTTTATCTTTTTGTTGTTCTTTCTTTCTTTCTCGATATCATGTCGTTAGTTTAAACTTCTGTTGCGAAGTCAATTCGCTGCGCGCGGTGTCTTCGAGGTGTTGCTAGCGGTCGCGTGGTTAACGCTTGTCGCATGTGGGCGCTAGAGAATTGGGCTTGTCCATGTTTTCCTCTTTTAGCGCAAGCTAGCCACACCATAACCCCTACACTCACACTGCAACGCACTGACTAGCTTGGTGATATAGAGTTCAAAGAGATTCGCAAAGAGTGGAAGGCGAAGAAGAAGGAAGAGGAGAACTCTCGCAAGGCGGAAGAGGAGCGACAACGTCAGGAAGCTGCTCGAAATGGCCATGACTCGTCGCAAGGTCAAGGTCAGGCCGGGTATGGACAACCGCACATGATGCAGCCTCAGATGGGCGGTCCTCAGCTACCACCGATTGGATACCAACCCGCTGCGAGTGGTCAACAATCCGCTCAATACGCTCAACCTCAACAAGTCGACGGCGCGCCCCAGTACGCGAGCAGTGGTCAGATGTACGGCGCGCAAGGCTACCCTCAGAGTCCCTACGGCCAAGGCGGTCTACAGGCGTATCAGCAGCGTGCATAGAGAGCACACACTGTCGACGGCCCCCAGCACGTGAGCAACGGCCCAGTAGTCGACGCACCAGGCAGATGTCCGAGTGCCCATGGTCCAGACGGCCTGCAAGCGTACGTGCATCACCTGCTGCATGCTGGGGAAGCAAGCACAGTGGGCGCCCCACTGGGTGCCAGCGAAAGCCCTGTGGCATCTATCAGCTAGAAGGCCGACTGAGAGTTCCCAATCTGGGTTGTAGGCTTCCTGAGCCTTCTGGACTGGCGCTTTGGGAGAAGGTAGTGTGTCGAGGACTCGGAAATCGACAGACATGATGCGTTTCACAACATAATGATACCAAGAGGGCGGAGGAGTATGAAGTAGTATTTGCGTTTGCATTATGTTTTTTTATCCAAAAAGCCCTCCTACGCCACATGGACGAGCGACTCGGGGTCTTTCCGGCGAATGGTCTTAGCAGCGGGGCAATTCGTTCGCAAAGCGGGCGTGCAAGGGACGATGACTTGAATCCTCATGACGGCCGAGGACATCACACGAAGTTTTGGGGGGGATGGCGTCGGCAGAAGGCTCACGACCTGAAGGAGGTCCTTTTTGGTCATTGCGTGGCGCACTCGGGGGCATTTGGGAGCAGCAGCAGCAGCAGCATCATTGAACTTAGCGCTTCTTCATTCAGCATCTGCATGGGTGGTTGCAGGCAATACGGGCGAGATCAGAGGACGAAAGAGAAAAAGAGAGAGAGAGAGACTGTGTGTGCGAGAGAGGAGGAGCATCTTAGGCAAAGGAGCAGGTAACGAGTGACTTTTGCTTGCATGTATTTGTAAATACACAGACACACTGCCCAGGGCACACACAGCTCGAGATTCTAGCAGTCAGTGCGTGACGTTGAGGCAGCAGCCCCCTCCCCCCCCAAAGTCTTTTATACTTTTTATACGCGCCTTGTGGTTCCATGTTCTCTCGTCTACTTTTCAACCTTGCCCGTATGTGTCTGTGTCTACCATGCCATGCTGCGCTCTCGTGCGTAGTGGTGGGCACACAGACATACCTACACACAGACACAGACATATACAGGCACAAACCCAGTAATTTCGGTCTCCGGACTTGGACACTTCTAATAAGAATGATAGTAATACCTCTAACAACCCCGGGGAATAGATGCGAAATGGAATGGAATGGGTAGTGGTAGTGGTAGTGGTAGGTAGTGGGTGGGTGGAGTCAACTTGCTTCCCTCTTGAGGAAGGGCTACAGTACCTGCCGCCTACGCGGGCGCGCGCGTGTGTGCGTGCGTGTGCGTGTGAGTGTGTGAGTAGAGGCACCCGACTTCACTCTCTAATTTTTCTTTTTCTCTTTTTTTTTGCTGGAGGCGAGTTGGTGGATGTGGGTGTTTTTGGTTTGGTTTGATTTGATGGCCGCGTTGTTGGCTTGGAGAGGAAGAGGGAGTGTAGGTAGTGTGGGTGTCGGGGGGAGGGACGGAGGGACGGAGGGTGGGAGGGACGGACGGGTGAGGAGTAGGAAGGGGGAAGGGGGAGGTTGGTTGCTTGGTTGGTTGGTGGGTAGGTAGGTAGATGTAGGTAGGTGGTGGTGGTGGTAGGTAATGTATTCATCAGTAGGATCAGGTACAGTAGGCGGTGGTGGTAGGATGTATGACGATGAGATTCGATGAGAAGTTTTGGTGATGAGGCGTTCGTTTTGTGCTGTTGTATCATTCTATGCTACCTATGTTTCAGCAGGTGGTGGTTGTGCGACATTCCTCTTCATCATCATCTATCAAACATCAGTATACAAAACCCTCCCCAATAAAGTCTAGCTCGTCCAGTAAATCTACATACAACACCACATCCCAGTCCTCCCACGCGATGAGAAAAGCCGTACTAATGCGAGTCATCATCGCAGACAACTTGTTGGGTTTGGGGAGGGGGAGAGGGGAGGGGTTGACAACAACAACAAGGCTGACATACCTTAAAAACATTAAACATTAAAAAAGCTATTTTATTTAACCTGCACTGGCCAAAAGCATATCGGTGAACAAGGCTCGTGGATGGATCCTGGGATGGGGGTACAGTAGATGGGATGGTCTGATCATCCGTAGTAGTCTAGTAAAGGATGAGCTGACCATTTCCCACGTTGTTTTTTCCTTGATTGATTGATTCTTTATCTGATGATCGAGAGGTACCTTATCTACCTTGCCTTGTCTTGCCTTGCCTAGGGAAAACCTACTACCTACCGAGACTTTCTTTTTTTTCTCTTTTAGCGTCTGGGACGATAGTTTTCGAGGGCACTGCCGAATTGATCAGGCCAGGCCAGGCCAGCCTAGCCTAGGCAAGGCGTAGGAGTAGGGGATTTTGAAACAGGTACTATTTTATCCTTTACCCTACCTTTACCTTCTTTGCTACAGCCTACAGCCTGGCAGGTAGGCATGTAGGTCTAAAGTAAGCATATTGTTAGCTTACTGGGGTATGGGACGCAACGATCATAGTATGGAACTTTTATAAGTAAGTATTTCTCTCTTTCTATCTCTTTCAAGAGAAGCAATTTCATTTCAAAGTCGGATAATGTCACAGATCTGATTATTCAGTAGCATTCAAGAACTAAGAACTTGAAAATGCTTGTAGATAATTTACAGTCTTCAGGGATATGCAGTAGTAGCGTGCGGGGTGATCGATTGAATTGAGGCTGAGTTTCCTTCGTAACCCCAACCTTGGACTAGAACGAAATCATCATAGACAAGATGGGCACTAGAAACGTGGAACTAGGATCTAGCATAATACTCCAGCGCTTGACCGACAGACTTTAGACTTTTCAGAGTTGGGGGTTTCGAATGCTTGTCCCGATCGGAGAACATGAATCATGTTCCGAAACCGATGTCGAAGGCATAGATGTCTCGTTGTCGAAAGAGGTCAATGAGAGGATCTCGTTCGACTTTGATGAGTAGTAGTAGTACGAGGATGCCCAGATACGGATAGGCTGGACTTGTCGCTTTTCGTTGCCACGTACGTTCTACAATGTCTTTTCTCCAATCAGTCTACTGTCGCTGACCGGTGTCTGCGACTATACTTATTGAAGGTGAGAGCAAGGCTATGAGCTGGAATAACCAAAGTCAGATTAGTGAAATCAGCAGTCTACTCATCTGCAGTCAAGACCGCGTTGCAAAGCTGCCTAGCTGTGCCGGAGTATATACACTCTCTGGTGTAGCAAAGACATGAAGGTACTGTGTTAGTAGAGCCGAATGGTGTTTGTCAGACCTGGAAAAGGAGGAAGACGTCGCGAGGAGTCTACTTGTTGTGAGGAAGTTGATGACTGTTGGTACTGTCGTGAATGCAAATGTCCTACCAACAAAATCCCCTTTGGCATCGTATCTCACACTGTGGCCGCCTTCTTGTAAGCATCGAGCACGGCAAGCCCGAGTGGCCACAAGGTAAGCAGAGCAAGATTTTGTAGTTCCATTGCATAGTATACATTGATGTATTTCAATGCTGGCCGGGAAAAGTAAAATGGAGAGTGAAGTCGGGCGGGGGTTGGAAACGCGTCCGAAGAACGAAAAAATTAGTTCTACGCGTCTGCCTGTCGCGAGCCCACAAGACATCATCACTCAAATCGTGCAAAACATCAAACCGAGAACCACAACGAAAAAACTACCTGTCCCTGTACTTAGGGTACTCACAACAGACAAACTCATCATGTCTCACGACGCCGAAGACGACGAAGCAACCTACGGCAACAACCACCGAGCATTCCTCCAAGCCCTTCTCGCCCGCCAAACCCTCACCTTCGAACAAGCCAAACCCCTCATCTCCTCCATCCGCACCGCCGCCGCCGCGGCAGCAGCAGCATCAGCTTCAACACCAACCCACGCCCCCTCCACCTCCACCACCAACCGAGTCCATCTCCCCTCCGACATCACCCCCGAAGATTTCCTCCTCAACTACATTCATCCTCTCAACTCCCTCCTCAGCCTCTTCGACCTAGAAATCCGCCGCTCATTCCACCAACTCACTCGCGAGGAAATTTTCGCTTTGGTGAATACTACGAGCGATGCTATGACGCAAATGGCTACGGCGCATTCGCCGGATGAGATTGCGTATGTGAAAAGGTTGTTGGATGCCATGTTTGAGGGGAATAATACCGTCGAGAAGGAGATTATGGCTGTGCATGCTGTGCAGGCGAGGGCGTTGGCGAGGGTGAGTGGTGGTGGTGGTGGGCATGGAGATGATGGGGGGAGGAGTGGGAGGGATTATCATAATGACAATGGAGATACGCAGTTCTCGTGGAATCATCAGAATAATTCGAGTAGTAGTAATAATAGTAGTCTCACACAATCGCAAGCGGAAAAAGTGCTAGAGGCAATGGAATTGGAAGGATGGTTTGAAAAATCTACCGTGGTAATGGGAGGAGGCTCTTCTTCAAGAAACGAAAGAAGAAAAGTCATATGGTATACCCTCACCCCGCGCGCATTGATGGAATTACAACAATGGCTAGTGGATACCTATAATCATGAAGAGGAAGAAGAAGAAAACGAAAACGAAGCCGAAGAAAACGAAGAAACGCATCAGAAAATCAAATTCTGCAAAGCATGTCGACAAATCGTCACCATGGGCCAGAGATGTCCGAAAATGACGTGCAATGTGCGACTGCATCATGATTGCGTGGGGAAAATGTTTCGGGCGCAGAGGGATCATGAGACGTGTCCGACGTGTAAGACGGAGTGGCAGGATGCGCCGCTTGTGGGGATTGAGGCGGTGAAAGAGCCTGTTGCTGCTGCTGCTGCTGGGCGGAGAAAATCGAGGAATGGTACTGCTGCTGCGAGGAATGGCGGGAGGAGAAGGAGTGCGGCGTCCACTGTGAATGGATATGATGAAGAGGAGGAGGGAGAGGGAGAGGAAGAGGGCGATGGGGAAGTCGATGGCGAGTTGCCTTGAAGAAGCAGAGGCATGTCATGTGAGATTGACTGATGGATGATGATGATGTTCAAGCGAGGAGTCTGGTGCATAGATGGAAGGCTGCATTGAATTGCGTACCTATCGCTGGGATGGGACGTGTTGATTTGCTTTCAGCTCGGTAATGTAGAGCTGTACACTACTACTCTACAATGCCGTGTAGTCTCTCTCTCGGGTATCCGTAAGGGCATCGTGGCCACGAGCGCCTCAAGCCATGCAGTAGCAAACCAAACACCAGCGCTTTTTGATCGTGACAACATCCATGATAGAAGACTCGTACCGCTTAACGGTAAGACTTCTGGTAACGGGCACGGGCACCTGGACCACCAAACTTCTTTGGCTCGCAACGTCTGTTGTCGGCAACGAGCAGAGTACGGTCGTACGCGACGAGAGCCTGCTTCAGCTGGTTCTTGCTGTGCTCATCGATGTACTTTTGGTAGTAGGCAATCTACACTTCTGTGTCAGTTCTCTCATGCTCCATGTATGTTTCGGGGAATGCTATTTCTCTCGCTCGATCCTGTGGATGCGGCGGCCGAGTGCCTACTTGCGGAGGCTCGGTGGGACATACGATGCTCTTGGCAATAGCCTGACGGATCGCGTAGACTTGCGAAGTGTGACCACCTCCACGGACGCGGACGCGGATGTCGACGTCGGCTGTAATAACGCACTGTTAGCACATGCTCCCCAAGTGCCCTATGCTGATGATTGTAGAGTGTCGTTCTTCCCACCCCCTCCTCTTGCTGGCGCAATGTCTTTCCTGCACAATTGTTCCCATGCCTTGCCCAACGTTCACACTCTTTTCCTTTGCGCAATCCCGACTCCCATCGCCTACGCACTGATTCATCACGTACCGAACTTGTCGAGGCCAAGGATGAGGAGAGGCTCGTAGACCTTGAAGCGGAGGATTTGAGGCTCAACGAGCGAAAGAGGCTTGCCGTTGACCTTGATCAAACCCTTGCCCTGCTTGGTGTGGGCGACGGCAGTGGCAGTCTTCTTCTTGCCGAAGCACTGAACGCTCTGAACGGCAGACATGGTGGTGGTGTTGTCGACAGAGGATGTGGTGGTGGAGCGTTGGGTGATGTGTCGTCGTCGTCGGTACGAACAATTCCTTTCCAAAAAGTTGCGAAGTGCGATGGAGTGGCTTGGCGCTTGTTTCTGCCTCAGGTTGAGAACCTCAATACACATATGTACCTTACCTACAATACTTCGGCTTCGCCACGATGTACCAAATGAAAAGTCTCCATAACACGCAGAACTGAGAAGTGTGACTTGCATACTTTCTATCTCGTAACAGGACATGGCGAAAGAGTGTACGACACATATTTAATTGTCTCTTCAGCCTTTACCATGAATACGAACAACAGTACTTCAAAGCCAACACGCTACAAGCTTTGGGCATTTGGCTCCAACGGATCAGGCCAACTAGGAATAGGCCACGGAGAGGACGTATCCTCACCACAAGAATGCAAGGGCGAAATCCCATTACCGTCGTCCGGCATACGACAACTCGCAGCCGGAGGGAATCATACAGTAGCAATCTTCAACGATGGCACTTTCGCGAGTACAGGGGACAATGCAGACGGGAGAGGCATTGTGCCGAACACAAAGCACATTCATACTACCTGGCAACAACAACAACAAGAGGGACTAGCGGGAGAGCAGCAAGAAGACTTCGTTCGTCATGTGGCTGCCACATGGTCTGCTACTACTGTTTGTGATGCAGAGGCAAATCTCCGCGTCGCTGGTACGGGCAGTTCTGGTGAACTTGGAAAGGGTTCTGATATCTCTGTGGCAGAGGTAGCCACTCCGATGGATAATTTTTTGCCTCCGGGTGACTCGATCGTCAAGATTGCCTCGGGCATGAGCCATGTCGTGGTAGTGTCCGAGAGTGGTGAGGCATGGGGATGGGGCAAAGGACGTAAAGGCCAGTTAGGAGGACCAGCAGAGAATGTGCAGAGGCCTCGAAAGATTGAGGATGTCCCTTTCAAGGTGGTCAATGCTGTATGTGGCAAGGACTTCACATGTCTATTTGGTGATGCTTCGTCAGGAGAATTCTTGATATTGGGTCTGGCTGGTAGTGATCGTTTCGGAGTGAAGAAGAACGCTCCTGACAGTGTGCGTGGGTGGAAACAAGTTGCCGCCTCTTGGGGCTCCATCTACGTGCTCATGGAGTCTGGTGAGCTCAGATCATGGGGGAGAAACGATCATGGCCAGCTGTCGCCACCTGGCCTGCCACTCCTCAGTGCTGTAGCTGCTGGTAGCGAACATTGCCTTGGACTGACACAGGATGGAAGAGTCTTGGCTTGGGGCTGGGGCGAACATGGCAATTGCGGTATGCACATTGACAACAACGGCGATGTCAAAGGTCGATGGAACACCGTAGCCATGTCTCAACTAGCGACAAACATATTCGCAGGATGCGCAACGAGCTTCGTAATCACATCCGAAGCACTGGAGCCGCAGTGAGCTGCCGACTTGAGGGCTGAGAACCTAGGTACCGTTCAATCGAACATTCCGTGAAGCTGGATTTGGGTCAGCAATCCGCACTGATGAGCACGCCATACTGCAGGGCATGATGCTGGAGTACATACTTGGGAGAGCCGCTGGGTGGGATCTATGCCGTGGCCTAGATTTGCTTGGCGCTGAGGCCGTGTCGTCTCAGGGTCTTGCGTGTCTCGGCCAGTCTGCGATGCTATGCCTCTTCCACTCAAATCACGGATCGTCGGACGCATGCTGGCAGTGAAATTGTCATTACTGGCATCCCAACCAAGCATCTCGTCCTCGTTGTTGTTGTCATAATCAGCGGCGTCCCAGACTTGATCATCATTTGCACCTCCATCTGGCACAAATAGGCTATCTGGATCAGGGTCTTCTTCATCCTCTGTCACAGTACCAGATGTTGGCCGCACCTGCTGCCCGAGTCGAGGACGTTGGCTTTGACTCGAGAACGACTTCCCAGCATTTGGTCGAGAGGGATAGTGCTGCTCAGGAAGAGCACGACTCCCGCTTTGCATCGAAGCTACCGAGGGCTGTCGGCTCGATGAAGTGCCGTTTGGTCGTGTTGATACGTATTTGGCGTTCGGCTTGGGAGCGGAGGATCCAGCACGTCGGTCTCCTGTAGTCATTAGGGTGAATTCACTATGGACGCCAAAATTCTGGTATTCGAACTGCAGAGGTCGATTTGGATAGGAGAAGCGTGCTGTCACGGAGCCTCTCAAGGTCTCGGCATGGATAGCAATAGCCCTGAAGTCGTTGACATTGATTACGATATGCAGATCTTCCTGCATGTGGAAATCCTCAAAGTCCTCGGTATGGATGGCAACCGCGGTCTCAAGTGGTGCTCTGAGCGTCTCTGCAGAAACTTGTCAGCGGCGAGAAGAGGTTTGGGAGGATGAGATATATGCCTTTCTGATCGGCGGACCTCTCTGTGAAACTCGTGAAGGTAACCTTGCCCTCCTGTGCTACGAGGTCAAGCTGCTCCGTCTTTGGGCCAAAGTGCTCGGTGTACTCTCGTAGGGTACGGGACGAGATGCGAAATCCCTGAGTAGCTGAGGTCTTGTCAAAGAGTGCGTGCATCACTTCCACAGATTCATATGTCAAGCGATATGTTTTCGTCATGCCTGTTCCAAACGTCAGTTGATGAACACTAATACTAGCTCCATTGCGTTGCAGTTTCAATAAACTGACCATGCTTTGAAAGCATCTTGATGATCAGACGGCATTCTGCGTTGCCTTCTCCTTCCTGAATACTCAAATCGCAGCGCTCAATCATCGTCTCCGGGCGCCTCACGTCACCACTGCGCCCTTTGAAGACGGCCTGCAGAGCCTGTGCATGCTTCAGCACTGGATCGGTGACAATCTCTGGTCTCGTACCTTGTTGTAGAGCTGGCAGGTGAACCTGTCGCCGCCGCTGGCTTGGCTGTTCGCCGCAAAGTCATAGTCGATGAAGAAGGCTCTCGCATCCAGCGTGAACGAAGCATATGCGGTTCTGGAGGAGTTCAGTGCGGTTAAGGTAAACTACATGCGGGTATCAGCAGATGAATAGAGAGGATTGATATCCTTGCGCACAGGGATTGCAGACCCGATCTGTGCGTGCCTCAATGGACACGGCATCTCCAAACTTCGCCAGACACTGAAGCAGCTCAAACACTCTCCCTGTCGCTTCTGGCGACAGTGAAAAGGTCAGAACGGCCATGTTCGACGTCTGGTTGTCGTGTCGACGTCGTTGCTCCAGGCTTTTGTCACTTGCTGGGCTTGGCGCGCGACCCAGCTGAAGACGCGCCGCCTCAGACGCGCTCTCCAAACAACGTCATCAGATGCTCTGTGAACATCGATGCAACACCACGACGAACCATTACTACAGGTACATGGTAAGGTGCGCTGTATCAATGCCATCAACACTGGAGTCGCCATCGCACTAGACGCACAGATGTCTGCACAAGCACTGCCCGTGGACCTGTTCCACCTTCTCGCGGAAGAGCTCGCAGAACGGCTCGACTTCGCGACTCTCTTCAACTGCGTCGCGAGTAGTGCTCGAATCGCAAACAGTGGCGCTATAGCTGCACTGTACCGGTATGAGGCTCCCATAAGATCTTTGCAGAAAGAAACACAATGCTCACTCACTCGTATCCAGTATCTCGCACTCCGCCCCAGTCAAAGGTGGTGGTGGTGAGGGTCTCCCCCTGGCAGAGCAAGAGTTGACGGTGCAACGATGGTCCATACTATGGCGCTCCATCATTCTGTCAGCTTTTGGACAGACTCTGCATCCGTATTGTCGGCATCTCCGACTGTTGGATCTGAGAGATTTGGCCGACCTACTGGAAATACTCGACGAGGGCAAGTTCCGCGTTAGGGTTGCGAAGCATTTCTTCGCTGGCCAGCTCGCACAGTTTCGCTTCGTACATTCCGGATCTGTCACCAAAGGGCGACCAGCTCGTTTGGATATTAAGAAAATTGTGACTGCGATCGGAGACAAGATGACACAGCACAGTCCGCTATTGGGAGCTCTCACGGAGCCGACCAATTCGAACGTGCTGTCGAGTGTGCTATCAGACTGGGCTCCTCGACTCACGGAGCTTCGACAATTGGATCTTTGGGACGGACAAGCCCTCGCCAACGACATCCTACAAAAGCAGTTGCACGAGCACTGTCCACATTTGAGCTGCCTGAGGATCTACACATCTCTCAACGATGACGCGGATCATGCTATCGCCACCTTTATTGAGGGCATGCAGCCCAACAGCCTGAGCTACTTTGAGAACATCAGTGTATGCCGCATTGGAGCGGAGACATGTGCGGCTCTCAATCACCATGGCCTTAGCTTGAAGTCACTGAAACTAAGTCTGACCGAAAGCGAGCTGCCTGCAATTGCCTTGCTGCAAGGATGTACATCGATTACCACACTCGCTCTGGCGTCCCCAACTGCCACACCGGACCTCGTGGCCACGGAGAACGAGGCATTCCTCCAGATGGTGGTGTGGTTGAACAACTGTGCCGATCTCCAAGAAGTCAGCTTCACGAACTTTGTTTCCGCTCCCGACTTGCTTCTCCCCGTCTTGCTCAACAAGAAAATCAAGCTAGAGAAGCTGCAGATCAACGCCAACGAGGGCGGCATGTACGTGGTGGGGGAGCATCGCAACTTTCACCGGGCTCTGAGCCAGCAGCCCAGCCTGAGGCGATTGTTGCTGCTCGCCGACCCCGATCCCATCACCCGAGATGACATTGATATCTTGATGGAGGCGTTTACGTCGTTGACCGATTTGCGAGAGCTTAGTCTGTTCCGCATCTCTGACTACTTCACTGACACTCAGATCGGCATGCTCGCGGATAGCCTGCCCCACCTTGAGGATCTCTACGTCGGAGGGTATGGCATTAGCGATGCGGTCTTCAACCGCTTGGCCCAGTTGCAGCACTTGCGGGTTCTCACCTTCAGTGGAATTACCACGTTTACCGAATCGGGCATCATGAGGTTTGTGACTGAGCTACCTCCATCAGCTCCACCAGGTGGAAACCGAGGCCTGGTGTTGGCGGTGGACAATGCCGACCCCGATACTGCATTGTCCCAGGAGAGTCAGGAGCGCATCCGAGAGGCGATATCCACCAAACTTGATGGGAGGTTTGAGTATCAGCTTCTGCGAGGTATGCTCCTTCCCCCACCTACGATGATAAGTAGTCGAGCATGACTGACACATGCAACAGATCCCAACATGCCCGAGTTCGACACCGACGACTCGGATTGAGCGACACGACGGCGTGATTTCGACAGGAAGGAAGGTGGGAGGGAAGGTGTGACCGGGTTTTGCACAGCTCGTCGCTGCTGTGTAACCATTCACGTTCCCCACCGCCGTCCATCAGCGTTAAGTTACACCACGTCATCGGCTCGCCTCGCCCCGCAGCACGCCAATCTCGATGACACGGACAAGGGTCGCCACCCGTCTGTAACGTACTAGAGAGCTCCAAACTGGATCCACAAACAAACACCGACAAAACCAAAAAAATAAGACAGGAACGATGAGTGACCGAATGCGGCGCGTGCTAGTCGTCGCAGGCTCGGACAGCTCTGGCGGAGCGTAAGTGACATGTCTCAGGTACATTACACTTAAGTTGTTCACCAACTAACCAGGGTTTCACTTAGTGGGCTAGAAGCCGACCAGAAGGTGATCGCTGGCAAGTGGAAGATCAGCCCCTCCCCGTGACAGATGGGCGATAGATACATGTATGGGCAACGGGACTGATAATGGTGCTCAGCACATGGCTGCTATGCCATGACCGCAACAACGGCGTTGACAGCACAGAATACGCAAGGTGTATATGGCATCCATGAGACGCCTCCCAGCTTCGTGCAGCAACAGATCGATGCATGCCTTGATGACATTGGAGTCGATGTTCTCAAGACAGGTAATTCTTCGTGCATCATCATCACATGTCGTCGTGTTCGTTGTAGAGTGTGCTAAGTGTCCAAGGAATGCTTGCTTCGGCCCAGACGGTCGCAGTGGTCGCCAATGCAATCCAACAACACAACATACCCATCACTGTAGTGGATCCTGTATGCGTGAAATCTACCTCCTGTATAAACCGTGTTCAAAGGTACCTTATGCTGACGTGATTCAAGGTCATGGTCTCGACAAGTGGTGCTCAGCTCCTCCCCGAAAAGGCTGTCACGAATATGATCACAGAACTGCTCCCATTAACCACAGTCCTCACACCCAACATTCCCGAAGCAACCCTCATTCTCCGCAAAGCCGGTAAAGAGCCCTTCCCCATCGACAACCTCGAAGGTCTCAAACGCCTCGCCGCAGAAGTCCATACTCTCGGTCCCAAATACGTCCTCCTCAAAGGTGGTCACTTCCCTCTCACATATGCCTACCAGACCGCAAACTCCGAACTCGACAAGAAGCTCGTCTGCAACATCCTCTGTGGCGGAACCGATAAAGTCATGGACATCATCGAATTCCCCTACCAAAAAACAAAACATACGCATGGAACGGGCTGTTCTCTCGCTTCTGCTCTGGCATGCAATCTCGCCCAAGGCCTCGAAATGACTCCCGCCGTTGTCGCCGCTTGTCGATATATCGACGCAGGAATCAAAACCGCTTTCAAACTGGGCAACGCGAGTGGGTCGGGTCCCATCAATCATTTCCATTCGGTTCAAATTTTGCCTTTTCCCCCTGGCGGGTTTGTGGATTACCTGCTCGGAAGAAGTGATGTCGTTGCGTGCTGGTACAAGTTCACCCATCACGAATTCGTCGAAAGACTGGGCGAGGGGACATTGGAAGTGGAGCGATTTCGACATTATATGATTCAAGATTATCTGTACTTGGTCCATTTTGCGAGGGCCAATGCCCTTGCCGCGTACAAGGCGAAAAATATGGAGGAGATTGCGGCGAGTGCGGAGATGGTGGGACATATTTCACAGGAAATGCGCTTGCATGTGCGAGAGTGTGAGGAAGGGTTTGGCTTGAAGGAGGAGGATTTGAGAAAGAAGCAGGAAAGTTTGGCGTGCACGGCGTACACCAGGTTTGTGTTGGATATTGGCGCGAGTGAGGATCTCTTGGCCCTGCAGATTGCGCTCTTGCCGTGTTTGTTGGGGTATGCCGAGATTGCGAGGAGATTGTTGAAGAAGCAGCAGCAGCAGCAACAGCAACAGCAGCCACCGCAACAACAAGCCCAACGGCAACAACAGCAACAGAATGGAAAGTCGAAGAAAGGCCATGGTTCCAATCGTTATCAGAGCTGGATTGACAACTACGTTTCCGACGATTACACTCGAGCTGTCAAGACTGGATGTGGTGAGTACCTACCTCACCTTACTCACCTACCCACCACCTCTTTCCTAACTGATACATTCAACTTGCCCTCGACCTTCTTTCTCAAGGCAAAGTGAATAAATTCTTATGCAAGTAAAGCAACTAACAAAAGCTCCCTCCTTGCCTCCCAGATCTCGTCGAAAAACACGCCCATAAGCAGAGTCCCCAACGCATCGAAGAATTAACCAAGATTTTCATTCACGCCACAAGGGTATAGTATCATATCCACACGCACCCCCAAAAAGGAAATCAATACCCACTAACTCCCTCTCTCTCCCTTCTATCGAACATGTAGATGGAAACCAGCTTCTGGGAAATGTCCGATCGCGACGCTGCTGTCCACGACGACAGCAACAACAATCATGGCCAAGAAAATCATCATCATCATGATGATGAATTGGATGAAGACGATGTCATGAGAAAAGAAAGCGTTGCCACGGCGAGTACGGCTCCGAGCAAACATTATACGGGAAGAAGAGGGGCAGGAGGAGGAGCAGGAGCAGCAGGAGGAGGAGGAGGAGGAGGAGGAGGAGGGGGAAGGTCTTCGACGATGGATTGGTGGATGGCTGGAGCGGCGTCGGCGTCGGCGGCTGGGTTGGAGGGGAGGAGATGATGATGATGATGAAACGTTTGCAAGTTGTGGGGGTGACGAGGGAAGGAGAGGAGGGAGAAGGAGGGTGGAGGGTGGTGGGTGGTGAGAAGTACATGTACCTTACCTTATCTGAGTTATAGGAGAGAGAGGAGGATGGCCAAATAACATACATGTTATGTGTTTTTGCTTTCCTTTGGATACATGCCATTGTTTCTTGGGGATGTTGATCCAGGTATTCGACTGAACTCGACTTGAGTTAGAACCAGTTTGATATCTCAGGTACCTTACCTACTTCACCTAGTCCATCAGTCAGTCCAGTCAGGTACTAGGTAGGGATCATTCGACGAAATGCGTCATTCGCCTCGATCAGGCGTTTCTACAGTATCTATTGCAAGTAAGGGGTGGACGCTCAATCATAGCTGCAGTAATGTACCGTAAGATAATATAGACAGACATGCAATTTACACGTCTGGATTTCTCTCGTCGGCAATGTGGAAAAAAAGAGAGAGTCGTCGCTTGGGCTGCTTTTCCCCATCCCACTCTCCCTCCTCCCTCCCATCACTCCCACCGCTTTCTATGTCGCTCGCTCGCTCGCTCTCTCTCGCACACACAATCTCTCATTATTTCGTATCGGGGACTCCCATGAACGCCAACCCAGTCTTCTTCCTGCTATACCGTACCTTATTACGTACGAACGACGAGTCTCGTGCTACTCCCAGGCGGGGCAGGTCAGGTGTTTTTCTCCCTCGGGGAGCCTGCTCCAACTAACTCATCATCCATCGTGCCTTGGGCCTTTGTGGGGTTTACATGACCACACAGCAGCTGTTCTGCTTCTTCGCTTGCGTATAGAACATCTTACTCTGCGCACTTAATCCGTCGGACTTGGCGACCAGACTATCGATTTTCTCGCCTCGCTCCAGTACAGATTCGATGGTTTTGTGTAGCACAATTTTCGTCTCGTCGAGTTCTTTTTGGATCTGTGTTGTGAGATGGCATGATTAGCCCCATACACTTCTTTCTCCCGAGATTTGTATGGCAGTATACATACCTTCATAATACTATCCGCAGCCTGCGGATCCTGATACTTGACAATGTATTCCTCCAACACAGGAAAGGGCACTTCCCCATTACTATCTGCCCAGGCACTCCGCGGGTATCTCGAGAGGAATTCGTCCAAGACTTTACTCAACAGCTGATGCGCCACCATCTTGGGGTATTCATGGTCGGAGATGATGATGCCGCAGCAGCCTTCGGAACGAGCGTACGAGTGGAAGGTGTAGGATTGTTCCTCGACGTCTTGCCGCTGGCCAGGCTGGGTGCGTTCGGCAACGGTTTTGGCGAAGACGGTGAGGAATTCGCCGACGTTGGAGCGGGTGAAGCGCGAGAAGGAGGTGAGGTCACGTTCGGCGGCGAGTTCGACTGCGGGTTTGGATTCGTTCCGGAGGATCTAGTGTGGTCGTTGGGTCAGGGCGGAGTGGAGGGGTGAGCAGGACGGGGGGGGAGGGGGAGGGGGGGAAGCATACTCCGATGTAGAGGATCTTCATGGCTGCGATATGGGAGACGGGTAGGTTGTGTTGTTCTTAGCTGTCTAGGCAGAAGGGAGCAAAAGAGAGGGAGAGAGAGGGTTGTGGTATAGTGTGACCGCCTGGTCTCGTGTCGTCTCGCGTGTGTCCTTGGGTGTGATCGATCGATGTGGTGGGTGCGATGTGTGGGGGAATGCGTGCCGGTGGTGACTTGTCGCGTTTCACGAAGCTCCATCATCATCATTTACCAACACTGCTCGACACGCTTGCTTCACTTCTACTGTGCAATCGCCCACATTTTGGAGAGGACCAGAAAATAGGAGGAAAAGAGAGAACAGAGATAGGAAAGTGAGAGGAAATCGACAACATGGCACCCATCACCACGGCATCCAACGATGAGACTCACGCCGCGCTGCTCGACACGCTCGACATGCACAAAATCCACAAACCCTTCCGCAATCCCAACTGGAAACCTCCGCAACGTCGCAATAAGAACCTGAAGCAGATTCTGTCCGAGGCGCAGCGCCAACAGCAAAGTCTCATCAACACTCAGCAGAACTCGGGCGCGAGCACCCCCCATCCCACCAGCGAGAACGCCGACACGACACCCTCCCTCAACCCCAACGCGGAGAAGGCCAGTCAGGACCTGAGCAGACTGGTTCTTGAGAAGAATGCAAAGCAGAACAACGGTGCGCCGCCGACGGCTGGTCTGGGGATTCCCAGCGTCACCTACACCAGCATTGCTGCTGCGCCCAGTCTGAAGCCCAAGAAGAAGTACTGCGATGTGACCGGTCTGCCGGCCAAGTATAAAGACCCCAAGTCAGGCCTGTACTACTACAATGCCGAGATCTATGCGGTCGTGCGAAGCCTGAATACCACACAGGTGCAGGACTATCTGGCTGCCCGCGGTGCAAATACCGTGCTCAAGTGATGGAAATGCCGTGGATCCAAAGGTGGGAAGCACTACTTTGGTCTGGCTGAGAATACATTACCTCCTATGATAATGCCTGGACACATGACTAAAACACCCTGCACTGTTTCGGTGGCCACTGACGATCGTGGTTTCATGAAAGTGGAATTTTGGGCCTGGAAAAAGGCAGGTACGAAGGGACGACATCGCGCCATTCAAAGGGCCCATCAAACAAACTTTGGACCGAGACTGCGCCGGACGTATTCCACGCGGCTCTTCCCTAGCTGGCATGAATCGCCATGTCCGCGATAATACCTGTGCAGAGCCTGTAACTGCCACTACAGCCTCAACTGCATCCCATGGCTGCATTCGCGTCGGACTTTTTGCAATGCCTTTCTGCGCTCTGCTCCTCGCTCTTCACCGCCATCCCGACTCTTCCACTTCTCTACCACTAACCCTACCAATTTATACTTGAGCATCACTCCTTCAAGCAGACGTGCCGGGACAGCTGGACTGATCGACACCTCTGCTTGCCACTTCCTCCCTACAACCCACCTGCAAACACCATCTTTTCACCATGCATCAGAATGCTTCGACAACCGTATTCATGATTCCGGAACTGGCAGAGTCCATCCTGTTCCAGCTCGGGCAATCGACGGCCTGGAAACAACTCTTCGTCCTCCAGCGAGTCAACAGCACCCTCCATGCCATCATCAAAACCTCGCCCGATCTACGAAGGGCCATGCATCTCGAACCCCCAGACGCTAGACGCGCTTCTGTCACTAAGTTTGCAGAAGCATTGGAAATCTACAAGAGATTCTTCTTTAACATTGACGATCTGCTCTACCCTTTCTGGACCAACACACGAGTCATCAACAGAGACTCGCCCTCGGCTGCGATCGCTGTCAGTATGAATATCTCGCTCTACTGGTCCGAGGACACGCCTGGAGTCATGGTAGGACAGCCTCCCCCGGAAGCCATGACTGGAACCTCACCAATCGAAAGAAATGAGAGCTGGAGGAATTTGCTTTTGCCCTACCATCCTGAGCATGCGTTGGAACTGCACTGCTGTGGGTACGATGTCACGGCACCCTTGTCGAGTACGTACACTCTGGGCGATTTGGCAGATGAGGCCATCAGAGCGGGAAAGGCTCACTTGGGGGGTCTGGGAAGAGTGATGTTGTATGGACAGAACAGTTAGGAATTGGAACTGTGAGGTGTCATCCTTTGGTCTTTGTGCGTCGAGTACATTCTCCTTCTGACAAGAGGCACTGCCTATGACGTTCAAAGAACTCTCTACACCAAACCTGGCAGGACTAAGTTCTCTTCTCCAATCCCTCCGATTGACTTCTTCCAAGGACGGCGCCCACCTGCTCCCTGTGGTTGTGAATCACGAGCATCGCTTTGGGATCGGCTGCATACCTCTTCGAGATCTTCATTAGCCTCCCTCGTCCGGGTCACGCCTCTCACTGCGCGGGTTCGCTACAGTTGACATGACACTTAGAGAAACCTTCCATCTTGTGGGTCTAGAATGTTCTCTGCTGGGCTGGGCTGGACTAACCTGATCTGAACTGGACCGAATTGAACTGTACGACGAAGGCTGGCGAGCCAGTTTCTTTCGGGTCATAATCATCTTTGGCCTCCGGACCGAGTGTTCAACATTGGCGATTGGCAGCTTGGTGTACTTGCACATCAGGTCTCGAAGAGTGGCGAATGGGAAGAGCGGCGCTTTTGGGTCAAGAGAAGAAAGTTCTTCCTACGGATGGGAGTGAAGAGAACTTATCGCACAGGCCTTCTCGGTCTCCTGGGATGAAGTGAGGAGAGGAGAGGTGGGGTTCAAGGAGGCAAGAATCCGACTTACTAAGTTTTGGGTCCGAGTACCTGGTAATTCACTGTATGCGAGCTACAGTAGCTACGTGTATGCTCAAATCTAGGATATCAACTCGATATCATTTACAATCATCTGCTACATGAAGTCGCGTTGGACGAACTTGGATAGTCCTTGAACTCGAAAGACCCAGCGAGAAGATCTTGGGAGGACAAGCATGCTTAAAGCTTCAGTACAGTGGTCAGGCTGCGGTCTGACACTCTAGCATCAAAACTGATGATGACTTCGACCTTGCAAAAAAGCGCACGAATTCTTGAAACTCTGGTATTGCGCTGGGCAAGATTATTAGGTCTGAGGATCTTTCGAAAAGTACATACATACATGTATGCATATTGGGTATATGATTCCTCCACTGTTTGTTCTCAAGCTCGTGATATGCTAGCTCATGAGTAAGAGAATCAGGTACCTACGTTATAACAAGGTCTGTCTTCTAGAGGGTTAAATGTCGGTTGGTAGTAGTAGTTTGCAAAGAGTCGAGTCTATTGAGTCGTACTTAAAGTACATTATACTGCTTTATTACCTAAGCAACGTACATGAACGCCAAGAATTAGAAAAGTAGGTCTGTGCTTAAAGTGAACTGCACCTATACTATAGAGGATACCGTACGCTTCGCATCTCTTCCCTTCATCAGTACATTACTCCATCAAGCCTTACCGGACCCTTCATCCAACAGACAAGCAAAAGAAGCGTCACATCTTCCCAAGAAATACCCCTCACTTCAAAAAAAAACACACACACGAACTGCTGTTGTTGGCCTACCTGACCTACCTACCTACTCATCTACCTACCTCCAATGAACAAGAACAAAAACATGACCCAATAGCCCATCTCTTCTCTTCTCTTCTCTTCTCTTCTCTTCTCTTTCCTTCCCCTTCCCCTCCCCCTCCCCGCCCACAACCCAAATCATCCCAAACCAAACTAAACCCCCAAAAACTATTATGCCTCCTCCTCTTGCTTCCCGCAATCTCCTCATCTGCTTCGATGCCTTCGGCACACTCTTCACGCCGAAACTCCCCATTGCGAAACAATATGGAAATGTCGCGAGAAGTTTTGGTTTGACGGGGTCTTTTACGGATGAGGATGTTGGGAGGGCTTTTAAAGTTGGTGAGGCAGATTCTTTTTCTTTTGTGCTGCTGTGATGGATGGACGGTGCAGTGTAGTTTGGTGGTGGAGTAAATTTTATGTGAAGTTTTTTTGAAAGGTTTGTAGTGAAAGCGGTATGCTTTTTTTGCTGATGATATGTTTGATAGCTTTTAAGAATGAGACGAAGCGGAATCCGAATTATGGGAAGATGAATGGATTGGATCCGGAGATGTGGTGGAGTAGGGTAAGTTTTTCGTGGCGAGGGAGAACGAGAGAAATGTATGGTTATTGACCATTGCATTACTTTTCAGATTATAACAAATACTTTCAAGCCTCTCATTCCTGAAGATCAGAGTGTACCACAAGCCATGGTGACCAAACTCCTTCACCGCTTCTGGTGCGATGAGGGCTATACTCTCTTTCCCGATGTTCCTCCACTGATTAGGAAGCTACGCGAAGCGCACCACGCAAGAGAAGAAGATAGATGTACGCGAGTGATGATAGGCGTCATCACCAATTCGGATAATCGAGTGCCAGATGTCTTGTCGTCTTTGGGGTTGACAGTGAGTTCACTGCGATATGGCAACCATAATGCGTTCGCTGCTGCCTCGAAAGATCATCAGGAGTATGATGTTGATTTCTCGGTCATGTCATATGATGTTGGACACGAGAAGCCTGATCAGCGTATCTTTCAAGCTGCGGAGGAGGTACTGAGTGTTGCATTGGATGATGGAAAACACGACGCGGGTGAATGGCGAAAAGTGTATGTTGGTGATGAGTTTGACAAAGATGTCGTCGGTGCTCTGAGTGCAGGCTGGAAAGCAGTCTTGATCGATCGCGAAACTACTGGCCCGCGGGATGACCTGAAGTGGCTAGATGATGAGCCAGTCGGAAGTCTATACGAGGTGTTCGATAGTGCGAAGGCCGTGGGGTTCAGCAGTCTGGACAAGCTAGGCCAGTGGTTGCCAACGAGGTCTTGAGCTCCGACACTACGATGAGATTCGCAAATGACCAACATGATGAACATCGAAGTCATAAGCAGGAAGGAACTTGATTGCTGAGCGAAGCGGACAAAGCTGCTCATGTAGCCGTCATACAACGCAATGCCAGGATATCGGCGAGCTTAAGCTGGTTCTTCTCTCCCCAGCCAGCTACACCGTCCTCCACAGGGGGCCGAACCTTTGCATACCATGACCAAGTCTTCTGATCCAGCTCGGCAGGGCTCATAGTTGGCGTCCAAGAGTCGTAAAGCAGGTCCAGGGCTCGTAACAGCTTCCCCAGGTTGGTCTCCTTCTCAGTAAATCTCGCGGTAGCCGAGAGCTTCTTCGCAGCAGGCCCATCTGCCACTTCTGGAGTAGCAAAGGACTTGAGCAAATACGCGCGTGCAGACTGAGGGGTATAGATCGGCAAACCGCTGTGATTTCCAGCTTGCGTACCAGTAGGTTGTTTACTGCTGCTACCAGACTTCTTCTTCAAAGCTTCCAAATCAAGAGCCCACAATGCTGGAATTTCTTCCTGGGAGGCTTCAAGTCCTGAACTATCGTCCTCTGCTACCGCACCACCGTCTCCAACCCCAATCCCCTTCTCAAATACCATCTTCTTCCTCCTCTGCTCATCTTCCATCTCCTCCACCACCACCACCTCCTCCTCCTCCTCTTTCCACTCATATCCCCACCTCCTCAACACTGTAATCTGCTTCCCCGCCACACTCACCACAGGCTGCCCTTCACCAAACCCTTCTTCCTCCGCACTCTTCCCACTCTCAATCCCCAAATACACTGCTCGAGATCTACTCGTCACACTCACATATGCCTGAGCCAAACTCAATCTACTCGACAAAGGCTGTTCTGGCATCGTATATTTGAGCAAAATCACCACAAATGCAAGCACAAGCGGCGCTCGATTTGTTTGGAGAATAATTTTCTCTAACTCTGATGCGTTGCATGTGCTATATGGTAGTTGCAAAGATGCTTCGAGATTTGCTGGTGTGAGAGGTTTATCATCATCATCAAATAGACTCTCATTCTTCAATTTCTTCTTCTTCGGAGATGGATGAAGAAGAACGCTATCATCGCCCGCTGCTGCAGCTCGCTTTTTCGAAACTCGTTTCGCAGCTGCGAGAATTTGCTTGACGAGTTTCTCATCTTCGAATACGGCTTGCAACTCTGCGGGTTTGGTTTGGGCGAGCTTGGCAGTGGAATCGAGGTTGGAAATTTGTAGCTTCTTGACTTTGCTCAAGGCGGTGGCGAGTGGGACTTTGGCATCTTGGGAGAGGAAACGGAGCAGTGCTTGTAGGTCGGTGGTGGCGCTCATTGCTTACTTTGTGTTTGGTAAGGGGATTTTTGGTACAGGTATGTCGATGGTTGGGAGGGAGTTTGCGAGATTAGAGACGCGAAATTGACACGACACGACCTCGGCATTGAAGGAGACAGAGCTCTACGCGTCAATTTTAGTGACAAATTGATGAACAGTTAGCCAATTTGAGTGAAACGATGAACCGGGTTCAAGCGAGTGTGATTTTTATAAGTGTCGACATTCATCTGATGATTTTATGCTACATTTCCTGATTGCTACCTTCTACTCTCGACATGCGCCTTGCTACCATTGTTTGAACACTATCCATCCAATGAATCAGTCCCGCCAAACCATCGTGAGCTTTAATCACTTGCAGAAACCTGTGTTGACGGGATGAGTGCTCAGAGGCACAGTATCTGCTTCCACGCGGTACAATGTCAGTGCGCAGCTCAACACTTCTTTGCCAGAGGCCGGTCAGAGATATTCATGTCCCAAGAAGCCCTTCTGCATTGCACGAGTTATCGGTTCTACTGCCAAATGTCCAGCTTTACTTGGAGCAGGCAGGTCCAGATGGGTGAACGGAATTCTAAGACTCTGAAACTCTGCGCTTCAAGTTGGTCAGGTCATCTCCGACTATAAAAGTCGTTAGCAAGCAGAATCTAGGTGAAGTGGCTGGTCATGGGTGCCGTAAGGTCCTGCGACGACTACTCACAGCGCATGTTCCACGATTCCTGTACTGAAGATCATACAAAGGTCCGTAGGGCTCAGAGATACGGCAAGCAAGTCACGGTATAGTGCACAATTTGACACTTGGCCGTGTAAGAAATTTTGCTCGCACAGCGCGCGTCAAGAGGAACATTAGCCAGCCGTGTCTCGATCAACCAGCAATATCTTCGACCCTGAGCAAGCCGTCGGCCATGCCAGCTGCTGCCCAGCCAGCAACATGGAGGTTCGGATTCCAAGCCACTGCACTGATGGCAGTCTTTGCTTCGTAGATGGTGGTGTATACTTTGCCATGCATCGAATTGGATGAGGGTATACTAGCATTGTTCTGGAGAGTGACTTTTTCTGCTTTGAAGCCTTCTACGATCCTAGTCAATCCGCTCCGGCCAATTGAGGTCTGCTCAGCAGGGCTGCTGCTGTCAGTGGCGTTACGACGCGCACCTGACCTCTCTTCTTCGGTAGGGCGCCTCCACTCATGCGAGAACCAGGTCTGCATCCAGAGAGTTGTCTTGCTTCCATCGGCAACACGCCGCACGGGATTGTTGCCCAACACGTCCCCGCCCACGGTGCCGGTCAGTACAAAAGGGTGACAGGGACTGACAGCCAGGCACGAAACATGGCTTTTGGCTTTCAGCAGCCCAATTGTGCCAAACCACCTTCGGAGTGGATAGGCTCGTATGAGATGATTGTCCTCGCCGCTCAACGCACATTTGATGAACTCATTCCACTTGATGATTGGCTGACCCATGCGGCTACGATGGGAGAGAGCTGTCTCGCAAGGTGTGAATGGCGACGGCTTGGAGAGGTCAGTAATCATTTCGTAGCCGTTCATGGAGGTCGTCATGAGCATGTGCGGATGGCTGGGCCACCCAGATGTCATATCGATGATGTAAGAAGGACTGAGACTGCCATAGATCACGGGACGAGGATTTGGATTGGGCGATTTTAGCGATTCTGCAATATCCCAGACCCCTAGACATCCGTTGGCACAGGCGACCGCTAAGCGTGTAGAAGACAACCAAGTGATGGCTGAGCACATAGTATTTGGAGGTCGGGCCTCGAAGGCATATTTCTCAACCAGTACGTATCCCGTTGAGTCATCTGGTGGTGTTCTCCCGACTGCTATGACTCTGACGGCACCATCACCTGATATAAAGGCTAGGAAGCCCAGTACTGCTGATTGTTGTGCCGGGACGGGACACCATTTCAAGGATTTGATGTCACCCACTGAAGTACAGATGACTTTGCGAAGTTTAGGTGATACGTCCATTGCAATATGCCCCGTGGCGTCTGCTGTGAACTCCCATATCTGTATGCTGGATTCATAGTCGGGCTGTGGTGAGAATGCTGGAGCATCTTCTGCTGCGTCTCGTTCAGGGATGACTGCGACCGCGAGAAAGTGTTTCGATCCAAGCTGGCTCGGCGCCCAGTCGAGGCTTTGCACCCTAGCCCCAAGGTTGATGAGATATCCAGTCTTATAGTCTTTCGGCAGGGTTCTCGTCCATTTCTGTCCAAGCTGAGGAGTGTACTCGAAAGATGTCGCTAGCGGCAGAAATTGCCGAGGCTGCAAGTGATATAACCTCTGTTGATCAACAGGCCCCATTAAGACGCTTCGCACACCTTCACCGTCGTGTGGGAGATGCGCTTGAGCATCCGCCTCGCTCAAAGCACTGACAACCAGGCGCTTCTTGAAGCCTTCCTTACCGCCTCCCTCATGATACCATTTCCAGTTGACTTCCACCTTGGCCAGTTCTCGATTGTACGCAGCTGTGTAAGCAAAACCGCCAGAGCCGTCCTTCTTCTGTTTGCGGTTTGGGTAGCAGACCTCGTAGCCCCACTTAGCCCTGGCCTTCCATAGATCAGACCAGTCTTTGGTTGGTCCGAAGTAATGGAGTCTCCTTTTACGCTTAGACATCCGGTTGTGTACCAGAGATTGGTCGAGAACACCGCGAGTATAAGTCTCCAGCTCAGCGTTGTGGACGTCTCCCACTTTGCGCTTACCGCGCTGTTTGGGCGTGCTGATTGGCCCGTCTGGGTCATCAGCGATGGAAATACTGTCGTCCAGGTCGTGCTCCCCAGCATTGCTGTCGGCATCATCTTCAATCTCCTCAACCGCGCCAATTTCGATAATTCCTGACATCTCACCGTCGCTGGGTACCACAGATTCTGCGCTAGCGTGGAAGGAGCCAGGATCGTCCTCATCTTCCTCAGCGTCTTGCTCTACGGCCTCGGATCCGGAGTGTTCGTCAGACGCGAGAACAAGTTCTTCAATCCCTTCGAACGCGTCTATCGTGTACCGTTTCCGTGGCGCATCTCGGCGGGATGATCTTAGTGAAGTCATGGCGCTACGAGAGAAGAGGGCGGCGGAGATACTTAGCCTTTGGTATGTAAGCACAATGCTCACCACTCACTGTGAAAATACCTGCTAGACCATTGCTGCTAGTGGTGCATGGGGCTCGGTCACGGCATTTCTATACCGGCTCGAATGCTTTGTCTGATGATGTAGGTCATGTCGTGGTGATGTGAGGTACCTCTAGGGCAGAATACATGTAGTTCCAAAAGCTTCTTGTTGTGTCGGGACTTGGCGGAAAACAGGTTCTCTCACAGGACTTCCAACCACAGAAAGCGCCTAACCAGATATGCTACAATGCGGCAACAAACATGGCAGAAGTGCTGGCTGCTTCTCATAGCATCTACACTCGCCCTCTTTGCGGGAGTGACTACAGCAAGTTTGGGTGACCATCTGCCCGAGTTCAGAGAATGTGTCGAAGTGAGAACGTCCTGGATAGGAGACATGCGTACAGGAACCACTTGGGGCTAATACAAGGCACTGTAGGACTGCAAAGAGGCCAATTGTGGTGAGAATGGCTTGAGTATACGTATGAATACCTCCTCTGGCGACATCGACGGTCAACGGCTAACGCTGCGATCCTGATTAGCACTCCTCCATCGCCTCCTTCTCTGGACATGTCCCTCCGAGTGCGACTATGCCTGCCAACACGTCGTCACCGACCAGCGACTGACACGCGATCCACCATACCTATCGCCCGTCGTCCAATTCCACGGCAAATGGCCTTTCTACCGCCTCTTCGGTATGCAAGAGCCTGCCTCCGTCCTCTTCTCCCTGTTCAACTTCATGGCCCACCAAAATGGCATCAACAAGGTCAAAGAGCAGATCCCGTCACGATACGCGCTAAGGAAGTACTACTTGGGGTTTGGATACTTCGGTCTAGTGACTTGGACCTTCAGCATGATTTTCCACATGAGAGATAGCGGAGTCACCGAAAAGCTGGACTACTTCGCAGCGGCAGCCAGCGTCATGTATGGGATGTACTACGCACCCATTCGGATCTTCAGACTTGATCGGAAAGACATATTCGGTAGCAGGACTGGGACAGTGCTGAGGCTGTGGACATTACTTTGCCTTGGCCTGTACTCATGCCATGTGGGATACCTCACATTCATCAGATTCGATTACACTTACAACATGGCAGCGAATGTCGTTGTGGGAGTCATCACGAACGTGATGTGGACGTGGTTCTCGGTGTCGAGGTTCAGAAAAGTAGGAAGACTGTGGGCTGCTTGGCCTGGGTTGATTGTCTTCTGGATCATCTTCGCCATGAGTTTGGAGCTCTTCGACTTTCCGCCGTGGTGGGGCATGGTGGATGCGCATGCCCTGTGGCACTTGGGCACAGTTATACCGACGGTGTGGTGGTACAAGTGAGTCGCCTCGCAGCGGTTTCGATGCGCTCCGTGCTGACTCTGAATCATAGTTTCCTGTTGAAAGATGCTTCCGAGGACCTTCAGGCAGAGAGGTTGAAGCAATAGTACTGAGCTCTGAGTCCCTCGGCCTACGTCTATATCTCAACGTGCTACAGCAGTTGTTCGTGCTGGCCTACCGTCAAGGTTCAATGCATGTACACAGCAGATGCCAGTCAGATTCAGATCCTGGGCACCACAACCACAATCTGGCAGCTGCATGCCAGTCCGACACCATTTATCTAGCAGATTCTGTCCGACGCAATAGTACTGTCAACAGACCGACCCTAATCGATCAAAGCACTTCCGAGCCGTATGGCACAAACACATTGTAAGGGAACGTCTACTCTCTGACGGAACACTGGCCGTTTGCCAGTGAACCTGCTGAAGCTATTGATGAGGGAGTTTACCTATGCTAGACTATTGAGCGAGCTTCTCTCATATTTGAAAGTGCGCCATGCTGATCTGAGTACCTGCATGTACTTTTAAGGAGCAGCGGAATCTCAGAATCATCCTACTGTTCCTAGAGCCTTGATCGCTGTCCTCCCCGCAAACCTCAAAAACTGAAAATGTTGTTATCACCAAGGGTGTCAACGTCTTTTCCTTCCTTCGTGAGAAAGTGAGGTAAGGCAGCTCCGTACTGCTAGACATCGACATGCGCCCATCGATTCTCAATGCCTCGCGTGAACAGCCTAATGTGTCTTCGTGGCGAGGTATTGCCCGTGGTTGTGGAGTGCGACGATGTTTATCAGATGAAACCTCGGCACGAATCAGAACGTTCAGCTGCACCCCAGCAGCCTCCGAGTCCTCCTGCAGATGCGCCCGACCATCATCATCACTGTCATCAGCAGCTTGCTGTCAGGTCTCTTAATTTTCTCCCATCTTCCAATGCGGCAACGCAGAAGACACTGAGGGAAATCAGAAGGAGGATGTCTTCGTCTTCTGGCAGGTCATCCGGCTCGTCCGCCAGCCTCAGCAAACGACCCGTCGACCCCATCACACGGACGGCCCTGCGATACACCCTGTCTCCACGGGAATACGAGCTTTTGCACAACTACCTGATTTCACGAGCACCGCAACGAGTGCAGAAACGCACACCGAATCCATCTCGATATGAGAGCATTACGAAAAGCAGCAGCGAGGGCGATGATTATAATGTCGCATCGATACGCGCCGCATTGCGTGTGTACCTGGGACTGTTCACCGTGTTGAAGAGCGTGGACTTCATGCTTGCGAGAATTGCACAGAGACGAGGAACGGTCTCATCTACGAAACCTGCGCCAAAGTACAAGAATACCCGCATAGCGCTCTCATTTTCCGCGATGCTTTTCTTCCATCGCATCCTGCATCGCTTCTTTCAACGACTGAGCGCCGAACTGAAACGTGAGAATGCTGGGCCATTTCGCGCGAGGAACCCTACGATATCGAAGGTCCTCACATCCAGATATACGCCGGCAATTGGCTCCTCGTTGGCAGGATTTTGCTTGGGAGCGACACCTGCAGAGCAGCTACGAGTGACGATTGCAATATATGTCTTTTCACGGAGTCTGGAATATGGATACAACCTGGCCTCCAGCAATGGTCTTATTTGGGGCAAGGGTGAAGATCGGCCATGGTGGTTCGGCAGCTGGCTGATCATGCCTTTCGCTTGTGGGCAGCTGCTCCACGCCTTCGTGTTTGATAGAGAATGTTTCCCGGACAGTATGGGAGCATTCATACTAAAGAGAAGTCCCGAATATATACAATTGCGGCCGAAAGACTACCCTGTTGGAAGAAGCTGGCCAGGAACCTTCGACATCGTGGACGGTCTGGCTGAGATCAGCAAGCTGAAGTGGCCGCCATTCATCAGTCCAATTTTATTCCCGAATAATGCTCAGACGCTACCAGGAGGCGCTGCGGTTCAACGCTTATCACCCATATCTGCACCAGCACATCCTGGCACGAAGCACACGTCCTGTGCATTTCTCCACCCGAAAGACCCGAGCTGCGCGAGGACATATCTCAAGTACTGGATCGCAGCTTTCCCACCGGTGCTGAAGTTCTTCACGCTTATATATGGTGCTTTTGCGCTTCTGGCGTACAAGGCACTCCTGAAGAATCCTAGTCCAGTCCTCAATCGAATCTCGCAGAGGATCATACAGATGTCGCTCTTCATTACAGGCGCGATCGGCACTTCCTGGGGCTCGATCTGTTTGTTCAACAACACCCTTCCGCATAGCCTGCTACCTACACAACGCTGGTTCTTGGGTGGGTTCATGGGCGGACTGTGGGCATACGTCGCTCGGAATAGGGAACGAGACAACTTCATGTACAGTTTCCGTCTGAGTCTTGCCTCGTTCTATCAAGTGGGCAAGAAACGTGGGTGGTGGCGAGGTGTCAGAAACGGCGACGTGCTGCTGTTCGTCGCCAGTCTAGCAGCTGTCAACTACGTTTATGAAGCACAACCTAGCGCTGTGCAGGGCGCGGTGATCAGGAAGACTTTGGGAATGTTTCGAGGAGATGGGTGGGTTGACCGGGCCGGAAAGAAAGACGCCGATAGTCTGAAGGAAGAGGGTATTGTGGAAGAACTCGAAAGGGAAGCTGACGAGAAGAAAAATTGAATCATAAGAACTAGTGATACCCATTAATGTATGTTGTGTGTTGGATAAGGTACCTTAGCGATACTATAACGAAAATGACCCATTTGTCTGTCTGTCTAACAGGTATCCTGCCTCACCAAATCCTGCCTCCAACTCCATGCTATTGGTACCTAAGGTAGTCAAGTCCAAGTTCTTCGACATCGTGATTTTACGCGTAGCAGCTTGCACCAATGTTTGAGGTAGCCCTTTGGTATCTTCAAACGTAGGTAGGTAGGTACCAAGGGGGTAGGTACGATTGCTCTCGCGAAGATGTCCACTCGCTTCTGCTTCTCCGACTACTGCATTTTAAAATGAATCACCACCCTGTGGTCCTCCGGTGTATGCCGCTGGAATCTGCTTCCATTCCAGCCTCTCTTTTCTAAGCCGGTTGTGTTCATGGGGTGTAGCCGGCTCATCGTCCCTTATGAGCGGCATCATTGGCACTCCGATGAAAATCTCATGATAATCCAGGCTGGCGCTGGGTACTTCCTCGGCGAGCTGGATGTAAGGGTCAGATTGAGCACAGCAGCACCTTTTCTTGCTGGCGCTATTGTTGATGGAAAATGTGTGTTGGTGTGTTGGTGTGATCTCTGAGATTGAAGGTGTTCACTGCAGCGGCAATTCTTGTTCCGGCCCGAGCTCCGTACATTGGGTAAGAGACACCTCACGCCATCGGCCATAGGTACACTGCAATATACCCGACGCGACTGCGCGACTGTGACAGGAACACTCTCACCTCCCGATGATATCTTCATAAGATATGATGGACACCTCGATGCCGGATGCAGATTCGGCGCCGCCCGAGGCAGAGGATCCCACGAGCACAAAACACGACAAGGAGGAGGAGACCCAACAATCTCCAGCTCCTGCGCCTTCTAGCGATACTGGCCTGTCTTCTGTGCCACCAACTGATTCAGAACCTAAGGAGTCCGAGTCTGAGACCATTGTTGTATCCTCGAATCCAGCACTTGCTCCTGACGATACAGCCTCCAATGGCATTAATCCAGCGCAACCTCCAGCTCAAGCAGCCGATCTTTCAAGCCACTCGGCGAGCAACGTGCCTCAAGCGGAAGTCACTACCGGAGCGGAGTCAACGTCAGCTGTTCCGGAGTCGACAATGAACATGGCCACACCTAGTCAATTTGCGATTCCTGCAGCTCCTGCCAGCGGAAGTGCTAGTAGCACGCCAAGAGGACGCGGGGGCACTCGGGGGAGGCCGAGAACAAAGTTCCCGGTGAACGGAGGCTCGCAGCATGGCGCCAGCCCTAATGCCACGACCGAGAATGGCACACCTGTGTCTGGACGAGGACGCGGGAGGGGAAGGGGAGGCGGGCGACCACGTGGGAGCGGACGTGGAAGAGGTGCTACCAGAGGTGCGGCTAGAGGCGGAAAGCGTAAGAGAGGTGACGACGACGACGACGACGACGATGATGATGACGAAGATGATGAAGCAGGCGGCGGAGCCTCTGATTCTAGTATCGAAATCACACCTGTGGCTACGGCGACCAGGTCGGGACGTTCAGTACAGAAACCGACTACCTTTGTACCACCTCCACCTTCACCTACAACGAATAAGCGAAAACGTCCGTACAATCACCGCAATCCCCAAGCCGCAGTCTGCAAATTATGTTTGCGTGGTACTAGTCCTGCCAGCAATCCTGTTGTTTTCTGTGATGGGTGCAATGCGCCATATCATAGGTGGTGTCACAAACCTCCGATCGAGCAAGTCGTGATTGACAAAGAGGATGCGGAGTGGTACTGCAAAATTTGTGCAGATACTAAAGTCGTTAAAGTCGTTCCTCCACCAGTTACTGAAGTTGCAAGTTTTGTTAGCGTCAGCGGTGCCAGTGAAGAAGAGAGGCGGAGGTATTTTGCTGGTCTAACCCAGGGAATGTTAGTGACGCTGCTGGTCAAAGCGACGACTTTCAGACCGGATTTACCTGTCTTCGATTCGAAATTCAAGGACCAACTGCTAGCCACGGGAAATGCGAATGGCAACAGCAATGGATCAATGTCTGCTCAGCCCGGAAGCAAGGGTAAGGAACCAGCAGGCCTCAACAGACAGTCCGACACCTCCTTAAGCAGAGAGAACAGCACTGCTGCCCCTCCTGGACCAAATGGTCATGACCCGCCTCCGGACGATGCTGGATACACCTCCGATGTACATCCAGAGAATTATCCTCGGCCAGGCCAAGGACTGATGTCCACGCTGCCACCGGAGACGGAAGATCTAGAATGGCTTGTCGATGACAGTGAATCCACGTTTACGCATCTATATCATGAGCCTCCAAAAGCTCGTGCTGCAGTACATAGCGGCGATGGATTAGTGTGATCTCAAGTCCAGCCGCAAAGAGCCAAACAAGTGGTGTCATGATATATTTTATCATGATCTGACGAGGCAATGGAGTGCCATGAGCGAGGATCCTTCGACAGTCTCTCACGCTCGCACACGCGAGTCTTGCCTCGACCGCATCTATCAACGAGGTGGAGGGCTCCGCAGTCTACTCGGAAGACTGTGAACACCTCAACGTCCTCGCTTTACGTGCCGCCCAGCTCGTGGATCAGAGGAGAGTTTGCCTTGCACCATGGTGGTAAATACCGCAATAGGTGCCAAGCACGTATGCGTCTGCACAACAACCAGTGCAAGACTGCATGCATGCAATGGAGGGAGTTCAGAACCTGCGATGAGGTAGTTCGGCTGATAGCGCGCGGCCTCTCTCTCTCAGCTGGTCTTCTATTACGATTAAGTCACTAAGTGTTCGATATTTTAAAATCTGTGTAATGTTAAACAAGCTGAAAGTGTACAACAAGCCTGAAGATTTGGCAATTTGTTTCGTTGTTGATTTGTTGTCTCGTCTTTTTCCTTTTAAGGTTGTCAGAACAGGTACCTTAACTCCCGTCGAGTGTATCAGTGGACAGACAGAAATTTCGGGCAATCTCGGACAGATCTCGGCATGTCGTTTGTTCCTGCTACATGTACTCAGAGAGGTGCATTCTGTATCGTGAAGTGCGCACTGTGATTGACTACACGTATCTTACCATAATAGGAAGCTTGTCGTGTGCTCGACTTCTATTCTATTCTACGGCACCCTATTACCTCCTACCGTCAGGTAAGTACCTGGTAAGGTACAGATAGATTCGTAATACCGCCTCTTTCCCCCCTCCCTCTATACCGCCTAGGTACATAACTTGGAATTCCTATGCCTCACAATTGCCTACTATACTTACCTAGCGCTATATATTATTTGCGACTAGTGTTCTAGTGGGTTGATCAGGTTCCACCCGTGACTCGATTGCATCGCGGGGGAGGCGAGATCAGCACTGGGTCCTGTGAGGCGGGATCCGAGTGCCGGCTGGCTGGACTGGCTGGACTGGCTGGCTATTATGTACGGTACCCGGTAGGAGGGGGAGGTAGTAGGAGGTATGTCCGTCTGTCCCTCTCTCTCTCTCTCTCAATGAATGACGGCAATGTTCAGCCACCAGCATATGCGCTGCCGAGGTGCTAAAAGTGTATTCTGTCGTTGTTTGGCCTGGGGCGATTTCGAGCCGTTCAGATGGATCTGACCGCCTCTCCCGCCCGGCCTCGCCAGATAGCGCAGACTGCAGAGTACGGCAAGCAGATTGCAGAGTGGAAGCTTCTGCAAGAGAGCAAGGTTATCGCAGTTGCGACAAGGTATACACTTCCCACTGTTCCAGGCTGCATTGCCCCGGTGTCGTCAGTTCGTCACGCGTCTTTTCGTCAAAAATTGTGGGTCCAGTGGCGGTGCGCCAGACATCATCCACGAACCTACCTGCCTGCTGCTGGAATCTCGTTCCCGTTCGTTGTTTATTATGCCAGGTAGCCAAGGTAGGTAGAATTGCTCCCTCCATCTGTCCATTCTGCAGTTTGCAGCTTGCTATCAGACACGAACAGCACTCGTGTCCCAACCGTGCCAGACAAGGCCAACCCTAACTATCAGATCAATGTGTATGTCTCGCCTCACTTGTTCGTATCATCATCATCACCATCGCCAAAGACCGGTTCAACCGCGGCGCCGCGTCCAGGCTCCACCCGCGCTTGTGGCTGAGTCCCATTGCTTGGAGTCTTGGGTATACCGCCGGACATCCCCTTGCGAACCCTTCTTGTTTCTCTCCCCCCAACACAACTTCAGCACTTGACTGAGGCCATACACGCGAATGGGAAACCCGCTGCTAACTCTCATCAAAGATCGATACCGGATCGAGGCTTACAGAACCAACTCGGAACGGAACCTCTCACGAATCGGCAGCAGTGCCACCACACCCGTCCCTATCAGCAACAACGCCAATACAGCCAAGGGCACCAAGAACATCGAAGCTGGCGGGCTAAGCAATTTCTCGGTGGGCGGAGGTTCCTTATCACAACCTCCGACCAACAACGGCCACCATGTGCTCGACATACCCTTGCACGATGCAGATGGAGCCCGAGATCTGGATGGCGAAGGAGGAGCAGGACGAGGCGCAGGAGGAGGAGGAGGAGTGGGAAGAGACAGCAGTCACGCTGAAAAGCCCACGCACAACGATCACATCGACGCGTTATCCCACTCCACGTCTCCTGCAGCACAACCACCCTTCAAGTCCGAAGCTGCGAGCACTGGAGATTCCACCATAACAGACACTTCCGAGAATGGCAAGAAAAAGAAGAACCCTATGACCATAGCACGTATGAAAGCTGGGAGCAAGCGCTTTGTTGGACACTTGAAGGATGCCGTTTGCCACAGCTGGATCAACGTCTTGCTGGTTGCAGTGCCAGCAGGCATTGCGGCCGAAGCCGCTGGCTTACAACCCGCCGTCGTCTTCGCCATCAATGCAGTGGCGATTGTGCCACTAGCTGGTATGCTTGCTCATGCCACGGAGAGTGTTGCCAGCAGACTGGGTGACACCCTGGGAGCATTGCTCAATGTCTCTTTCGGCAACGCAGTCGAGCTGATTATCTTCATCATCGCCTTGGTCAAGAATGAGATTAGCATTGTTCAAGCCTCCCTACTTGGTTCCATCCTGGCGAACCTCCTCCTCATTCTTGGCATGGCTTTTCTGTTTGGTGGTTTACGTTACAGAGAGCAGGTCTACAATAGCACAGTCACGCAGATGAGCGCTTGCTTGCTAAGTTTGAGCGTGATCAGCCTGTTACTTCCCGCAAGTCGAGCTTCCCTCTATTCCCGCTCAGAAGATCGCTAACAATGCCCGCAGACGGCTTTCCACGCCTCCTTCAACGATCAACATCTCCGCGAGGCGAATTCCAACGTTGTCAAAGTCAGTCGCGGTGTCAGTGTGATCCTTCTCCTGGTCTACGTACTCTACCTTGTGTTCCAACTCAAGTCGCATGCCTACATGTATGAGAGCACCCCGCAGCACATCGTAGACGAGGAGTCGCACCCCGGCGTTCTCCACGACCTCATGAACTCGTCGTCATCGTCATCAGACAGCTCCAGCTCGTCTAGCTCTTCGGATACAGACTCAGACGCATCGGGATCCGTGGCCACCACCTCCAAGCGTGTCAAGCGCATGTTCAAGCACAGAAAGCGCAGAAAGTCCAGTGCCAGCACAAGTACAACTGCCACAACTTCGAATCTGCCCTCTGTGATCAGCACGCCATCGACTGAGAAGCCAAGCGCGGACTACTGCAAGGACCCCAGCAGGCCTGCTTCCCGACGTGAATCAACACTCGCTGCTATTGCGAGTGGTGACGAAGGCGACAACGAAGATGGCCGCACTCGAACCTTTGACTGGGCTGAGCGTCACAATAGTAATGATACGACCAAATCTCCGGACCCTCCGAAGCGCCACCGAACGAGGAGAGCCAAGAAAAGGGAGAAAGAGAGGAAACGGCGACAAAAGCAAGAGGATGCTGCCGATGCAGCTGCCGCCGAGGCCAGTGGAGCTCCATTTGCGACCAGAAGTAGTGGCCCATTGGAAGTTGCACGTGCTGAAGATTTGCAGACGAGCGAAAATCCAGCTCAGAATGCATCGCCGAATAAGCGGCCGTTTAACATCCGAGCTCCTGTTTTTCGACCTGCACTGTCCAGCTACCTGTTCAACACTGTCTTCTCCAGCCAGCAACCAGTTCCGATCAATGGTGTCACTCCACGTGCTGGCCCAGTCCAACCAGTCTCCGCTGGACAAGGTGGTCTTCGACGCACGTCCTCCTTGCCGGATCGCCTCAACCACTCCGTCGCACCTGCCCATGCTAGCAGCTCCAGTGGTCCTCTGGGAACGATTCAGCACCAAGTGGACAAGACTCCAACTGGCCTTTCTAACGACACTTCCGCCGCTGATGTGGACGAGAAAGAAGGCGAAGCTGTCATGTCCCGCACTGCCGCTGTCGTACTCCTGCTTGGCTCCACGGCTCTGGTCGCCATTTGTGCTGAGTTCATGGTCGACGCTATTCCAGGAATGATCAAAGACTCGTCTGTCAGCGAAGCTTTCATCGGTTTGATCATTCTGCCGATCGTGGGTAACGCGGCAGAGCACGTCACTGCGGTCACAGTTGCTGCCAAGAACAAGATGGATCTTGCGATTGGCATTGCTGTAGGCAGCTCGATCCAGATTGCCTTGTTCGTGACTCCCATCGTCGTCCTGCTTGGATGGGCTCTGAGTACGGACATGAGTCTCTACTTCAATATCTTCGAGACTGTCAGTCTGTTTGTGACCGTGTTTGTCGTTAACTTTCTGGTCCTAGACGGCAGAAGCAACTATTTGGAAGGCAGTCTGTTGATCGCGGCGTATGTGATCATCGCCGTGGCCGCGTTCTTTTACCCTGCCTCAGCCAGTCAAAGTAACATTGGGGGTGGTGGAGTGGCAGGTGCAGGGAGCAGTTAGAAGAACTTCTACACTCAGGTCGCAGACGACAGCGACAGAACACGATGGCGTGGCGAGGCGAAGCGCCTGGTAGATTTTAGAACGTCGTCATTTTGCTTCGCGGGTTGGTCAGGTATGCTTTTGCAACGGCATTACGACAAGAAGAAGATGGGTACTTTCACACATGGGCGATTCACTTGGAACATTCACACGCTACAAGAGTTTGTTATACAACGGACAGCCAGACAAGACAATACTATGTGTCGCAAGACGTGCATGCCGGCTGCTCTCTCTCTCTCCCCCCTCTCTCACACTCAATTCGATATATGCATTTTACCTATGGTTATTAAGACCTAAGTGTTGACCGGTTATATACAGTACGGTATATATAGTACAGTATATATAGTACTAATCCGGAGCGCTCTAGGAGAGAAAAAGAACACAGGAGGAGGATATCACCCATCCAGGTTTCAAACTACATGGACCCGTTTCAAGTCATTTGAGTAGTTACAGGTATGTAGTTACACACAAACATACGCTTTCCTCCCCAGTGTGAATTATTATTGAACAAACCCCCAGCTATCTCTTGCTCTCCCTCTCTCTCACAGAGATGCTTTGTGGGGGTTTGTACCATAGGAGAGAAAAGCAAACAAACAGATAACAAAAAACCACACTTCGCCTGTGATGATGCTCGCAATAACTCTGCTGACCCGACCTGACCTGACCGAGATGGCCTCCATTCCCGTCGTTGCGCCTCTGGTGTTTCGCCCATTCTCATTCTGATTTCGTTCGCCCTGAAAAGTGTACGCGCGAGACAGCATGTTGTAGCTTCCGTCGAGAGTCCATTGTTCTGTGGATGAGTGCTTGCCCATCCCAGTGATCTCTCTGTCGTAAGCAGACAACCCCGCCGGACACCCCTCCGAAAAACAGTAAAACATTACCTGAACGCCAGTGTTGCCTGCCTAATGCACGTTCGAAACTTCCCACCTTGCATCCCGCGGGTACGCTCCAAAACCTGTGCCCGAAAAAGAGAAAAAATCATGAATCGCGCTGCACTGGGAATTTGCTGGGCAATGTCGCAAAGAAGGAGTAGTCTGCCTCGCTAACAGATGAAAGAGTCGTTCGTGATGATGAAAGAAAATTCCCATCCTGTACAGTTCTACAGCATGAGAAGAAAGAGAGGGCTCCATAGAGAAAGAGAGAGAAGGCCTCCATAGGGGGTATCGTTGATGCGTATTTAGTCGACTTGATTGCTCGCTCGCTGTCTTATCACGCCTTGCATCTCGCTTGCCTTTGCGTCTTGGCAGCACTTGCTTTTTGACGCCATATCAAATGCACTTCGTGATCTCATCGCATCGTACTGCACTGCTGCTTTCGCTCAAATATCATCGAGCATGCCGTGGTTGAAGTCGCCATCGGCGCTCTCGGTCTTGGCGCTGGTAGGCTCCAGACCGCTCATTCTGTCTCCCGCTTTGTTGCTGAAGGTACGAGACAGGCCGTTGTTATCGATACCATACATGCCTTCATTGCGGTCGGCGTAATGCTGTTCCAGGGTACTCTCGTCCACGAATGTGAAGCCCTTGAACTGGTTCTGCATAGTGGGACTGAGGGGCGTGCTTTCATCGTGAATGCCGCTGGCGAGTGCTGCAGCTCTGGCATTCAACGAGTTCTGATCGCCAGAAGTCAAAGCATTGGTGAATTCCGGGTCAAAGTTGCTGGTGTCGAGCTCGCCCTTCAACTTGGGCTTGAAAGGTGGCGCGATGGACTTCTTGCCGAGCGCGACCCAGTCGATGTCGTTGAAGAACGGATGAGCCATGAGCTCTTCGGCGTCAGCCTTCGCTCCCAATCGATGTGCCGGGTTCCGGTTGAGCAAGCCCTTCACAAAGCTGCGCCCTTCCGCTGACAGCGCGTCTCTCGGGAAGCGCACTTTGCCAAAAGCGATGTTCTTGTACATCTGCTGCGTGTCCTCGGCGTAAAAGGGGGACCAGCCACAGCACATCTCAAAGACCAACACGCCGAGTGACCAGAAATCCACCATCTTGGTGTATCCTTGCTCGTCCAGAAGCACTTCCGGAGCCAGGTACTCCGTCGTACCACAGAAGGTATTGGTGGTGTCATTCTTGGCGAGATTCGCCTTGGACAGGCCGAAGTCGCACAGTGCGATGTGTCCATTCGCATCGAGCAAAATGTTCTCCGGCTTCAGATCGCGGTATACAATGTCGTGCTGGTGCAAATGGCGCAGCGCAAGGATGAGCTCGGCAATGTAGAACTTGGCTCTTTCTTCCACAAATCGACCCTCTTTCTGCAGATGCCAGAAGAGTTCACCACCCGACATGTAGTCTGTCACCAGGTACAGATCTGCAGCAGTCTGGAAGGAGAACTTCAAGCCGACGATGAAAGGTGACTCTGTCGTCGCTGTTCGGACGAGAATGTTACGCTCCCCGATCGTATGTTGAATCTCCTTCTTCTGGACAATGACCTTCTTGGAGAGCACTTTCATGGCATAGATGCGCTTCGTGTCTCGCTTCCGCACCTGGAAGACTTGACCGAAGGTGCCCTTGCCGATCAGCTTGAGAATCTCAAAGTCGTCCGGTCCGAAACTCTTCTTGCCTGCAATGTGGAATGCAAGCTTGATGTGCAGCTCGCCCGACACCGTCTCGTCCAGACCCTCTCGCGGCTGGAGCTTGAACCAGTCTTCGTGCTGATGCTCGTAGTCGCTCAAATCGAGCGGCATTCGCACATGTCCGATGAACGACTCGTTGTTAGCGCGGTCGTACACGGAGATGTCGATCTCGTTGTTGTCGCCCACCACATCAAACGTCGCCTTGTGCCTCCACACGGGGTCTGTCGTCTCTTGCTGCTTGTAATGCAAGCCTCTCCGCAGATCCGCAATATTCGTCTGACTGGTCTGTCTGCTCTTCAAGCCAGGAATCGCCATGGCCACACCCTGTCCGCTGCCCATGCGCTTCATGGCCACACCTTTCGCCAAGTTCTCTTCATGTGGCTTGTCATCGTCAATCGCCATCTCATCTTCCTTGGGTCCACCAGAGATGTCCTCGTTCAGCTGGAAGATGCAGACCACATACGGATCCGTTGCTGGTTTCAGTCCTCTGCCCTCTTCGATGCTGATCTCCAACTGCCCTCGGAGCGAGCCAATAACAGCACCTTGGGAGTTACTCGAACTCGATCGACTCGATTTGGTGGATTTGGCGGCTTTCGCGTGCGAGACATCGTCTTTGTTCGATCTGCTTGCGAGTGATCCGGATCGAGGAGTCTGCGGTGGGGTGTTCTGAGATTCGCCCTGCATTAGCACCTTTTCTTGCGCACGAGGCCATGAAGGTGGTGGAGAGATGGAACGCGTAGCAGATGGAGTGTCTGAAGCGGGTGCTGCATCAGACGTGGGATTGGAAATGTGCGCAGTAGCAGCATCAGTCAAAGTGAGAACGCTAGAGAGGGTAGAGGACAGAGTGTCCCGGCGCAAGTGTGACGGGACGCCAGCCAGACTCTTCTTCCGCTCGCCGCCGGAGTGCGTGCGGTTAGAAGAAGCTGAGGCATCTTCGCCAGCGCCGCCCAGCGCATCGTCCATTCGCAAGAATGATGGGGAGTTGGAGAGGGGAGGCGTGGGAAGAAGAGTGTGTGGTGAGCCTGCAGCGTCGGCGTGGTGCTTCTCGTGCGGTAGCAGCGGAGGCGAAGCCCACTGCGAGCTGCGCCGACTCTGTGGCAAACTGGTGGTGGTAGTGGTTGTGTTGGAGGGAGCTAGACTGCCGCTCACCAGCGCCTGGTGCAGAGCCGCGACTGCTGGACTCTGCCCCTGGCGCGCCTGCTGCTGCAACCGATCTTTCTCTTCTGGGGCGCGCGACTGCTCCTGCATGTATGGCTGTGCACGTGCTGGGGGTGCTGTGGTAGTGCTGGTGGTGCTGGTGCTGGTCTCGGGGGCCTGGAAAGAGTCACGAACCTGAGCAAAATAACTATTCACTAATTGGGGGAGGCGTTTGTCGTGGTGAGCATCGGGACGCGGCGTCGCGGTGCCATTGGGCGGAGTCGAAGCACCACTGCCAATGTGGTCATGGTGATCGTCGTCGGCGGCGGCCATGGTCGCTCTGCTGTGCGGGAAGAGAATGTCAGCTGTGGCGATCTCCTGATGTGTCTCGCAGTCTCGCGGCGGTCTCGTGGCACCAGCGGGAAATTCAAGCTGTGCACGACGGAGCAAGACAGGAGGAAGCAGGGCTCATTGATCCAGTATGTAGGTATAGTCTCAGGGTCCATCCAGCATTTCCCAGGGATACCAGCGGGCGGATTGCGAAATTGACTACGTCTGTGATTCGTGTCTGAGGTAGATCCGAATGCCAAGCCGAGGATGTGGCGTGAGAGGCAATCCGAAGCAAAATTGAAAATCCGATCACAGGACAGGGCAGGGCAGAGCAGGGCAGGGCAGGGCAAGGGCACCCCACTCGCCACCAGCTGATGAATTGCCGGCTTCGAGCAGCTCGACTGTATGCCGGGGCTCAAGATGGTTTATGTGTTTGCAGCTTTGGGAGATGGTTTGTGGTCCTGGCGAGTTTGCGTGTCTGTTTGGGACTCGGTGCAACCACCGATCTGCCGTCGCACAGTACCGCGTCCAGAGATGCTGTAGAGCAGTCTAGGTCCGAGGATCTCTGGTGGCCGGGACGAGATCTGGAGAAGGGTGCCAAGGAGACCGTTCGATGACGTGAACGAGAAGGGCACGATAGGAGAGACGGGTGGATGTACTGCAATCAATCACAAGGAGGAGAGACGAGAGACTTACCCATGCATGAGGGACTGACGCAGCAAGTCGACTGCGCCGTGCTGGCCGAAAGCGTCGCTGGAGTGGGACATGGTGCTGACTGCGCGCAGGCCGAGCAGCGAGCTCGGTGGTGGTAGTGCTGTCGACGCGGCGGCGGCGGCGGTGGTGGTGGAGCTGGCCCGTTCAGACGCGATGTTGGTGGTGGACAAGGTAGGCACCGCGCTGGAGCTCTTCGACGAGACGTGACCAGGGCGGCGTGGAGCAGCAGAGCGGCGATGAGGTCGAGCAGTAATAGTAACGGGCGAGGGTTCTCTTGACACCGCTTTAGAAGAACGCGGACGCTCGCGTGGGTTTCTTACCTCCTCCACGGCGAAGTCTGGTCGGCTGAGCGAGCTTCACATGCGGAAGCGCCAGCCGGTTCTTCGTCGGGTTTGTGTTTCCCTTGGAGGGATATGACGGAGGTGGTGCGGACTCCGCCGTCGAGCTCTCTCTCAGAGCCGTGAACTACAGCGAGAACGCGAGGATTCGGGGCGGTTGTTCCGATGAGTTCCAAGGTTGTCGTTCTCGTTGTGGTGGTGGTGGTGGTGGTTGTTGATGTTGTAATGTTTTGGAAGTGCAACACGAGGAAGCCGAACAGAGAGTGTTTGCGTCAGTGAGCTCGTCGAGCCTCTGTTGCTTGACTCGCCGCACGTGAATGGAACGATGATGCTGATGATGATGCTGATGATGCTGCTGCTGATGATGGCAGGGTGGCTGTCAAACAGCAGCAAAGTTTGTCGGTTGCACGGGAATAACAAGCAGACGGACGAACGAAGTTATTATAGCCTGACAGCCTGTGTCTGTCTACTGCCGAAGCTGCCAAGGGTAAGGGTGAGGAGGTGTTCTGAAAGGTTTATTGTTTGATCTCTCTGCGAGAAAGTCGGGGATGGGCTGCTCTTCCACCATAGGTATCTCTCTACCTGCTGGCAATGATAGGAGGGAGTGTGAGTAGCCAGACCTAGAACAACTACAATGTACCTTACCGATAAGCCGGAAAAGTGTCGCCGTGCCTCTGCCCTGGCCTGGCTCGATTCGTTCACAGGTTTCTCTCGCATGCAGAAGCTCAATTCGCTCCCACTGTTAAGGCACGCACGCACGCACGCACGCACGCACTCACCCACGCATGCAGAGAGCCGTGGCGAGAAGTGCACCGCCCAGTAGAAGTCAGGTACAGGTACCTCGCAAGTGTTCATCAGCTGCTTCTGACAAGCAGCAAGAAGCAGCGCATGTGTGAGCCCAGGAGTCACGGGCAGGCCGAAATGGACAAAGGAGGCCTATCCCTCGGAACGTTGCACGACTCCCACCTATATTTATGGACAGGCAACAAAAAGAATATGCATAAAAACAGGACATGAGGTCTGATTTACCGTCGCATGTTCCCGTGATTTTGCGGGCGGTGGATGCGTATGACTTGCTTTTGGGCACAGGGCTGTGGCTACATGTAGGTACAGGTCGGTAAGGTCATTTGCCTTACGTTATGGAACTGCAGGAGGAAGAAGAAGAAGAAGAAGAAGGCAAAGCAGGTTGCTTCCTCCTGCTTCCTCCTTTGACCGGACAGCGGAGTACCTGTACCTACCTACCTGACCTTGCCTACATACTCGAGAACGTGCGACTATCCATACCGGCTACAAAAGCTGAGAGAGGGAGGAATCCTCAGCTCGTCAACTACATGATTACTCACCGCCACCATCTCTTCTCCATGCATACCTCCTATCCTCGCACAAAATCACTGATAATACCGAATATCAACTTTCTCCCCATCTTTCCACAAAGGCCAGAGCCAAGCCAAGCAAGCAAAAAACCGTCGATCCGCCTCCCCGAAATATAATAAGAAAAACTGGGCCCAACCACGCCACCGGTCGTACAACATCCCATCCCATCCCACCGTTCCACCACCAACCCCTCTCCTCTCCTCTCCAACAAAAAAAAAGGCCTCTTTTTTTTCGGAAACCGGTAAAGGCAAAACTCTTGCTTGCTTGCAGGGGTGGAAAAAAAAAACTGCTGCCAGTCTGGCCTTAAGCCGTTGCGTATGTAGAAACGGGCTACCGTACCTTACTTTACGTTGCCTTGCCTTGCCTTACCAGGTAGGTACATTTGTCTATGTGTAAGGTATCATGTGGTCTAGAACAACCGGTGTTTGGGGGCAGTGCTGTCACGTTGCGGTGCGATGTAGTTTGGTATACTTACTTATGCCGGGAGTGGCTTTTTTGGGGGGTGTTACAACGTTGAGGTGGGAGGATGAAATACCGTACATACCTTACCTTACCTTACGGTACCGGTCAAATTGGTGGTCCTGGATTTTTTGGAAGTCAGAAGCTGAAATTGATGTCTAAGGTACCTACTCTAATCACTGCCACGCACGCACGGACTCATGTGGGCTCGCGAGAGACGCGTTTTTTGGGGGGATAGGTGTTTATACCTGATGAGATAAACATACTATAGTAGTCCCATAGCAAAGGAAAGGAATTGAGAGAGAAAAGAAAGAAAGAGTGACTTCATCAAATGCATCCACGAGCTAATAAAAGAAAGAGATATATATCTCTACAGCTTACTACCACCAACATCCTTCGCCTTCATCTTCGCCCGTCCATTACTCAAGCACACCTTACCCGTCTGCTTGACCTTGACCTGGAATCGGATCTCTTCCCAACCCTCGCCATCTTTATCTCCCGTTCTCCAAATCTCCGTGACAGTGATATCACCGGGCTTGACAGGCGAAGCGAATCGTGCTCCATATTCTTTGATACTCGCAGGATCTCCGCCTCCGATCAACTTGACGAGGGCATGAGCGCTTGTGTTCCACGAGTAGAGTCCATGAATGATGACACCACCGAAGCCTAGTGGGGGTTAAGGTAGTTAGCATGAATCCCTCTCTCTACCTCAGATCTCTCCCCATCGTCATCATCAAAGAAGAAAGAAAATAGAAAAGAAAAAAACAAATACGACTCACCCATCTTCTTGCCCGGCGTCGGATCAATATGCAAAGGATTATAATCTCCATTCAACCGATACAACACCGCCGTCTCCTCACTCGTCTGATTCTCCCACACCACATCCGGCGCCTTGCCCTCAGGAGGAGGAAAATTCTTCGTCTTAGGACCCTTCGGCCCACCCCAACCTCCCTGCCCGACAAAAAACGCACTCCCAATCGCACTCACATAGACCTCATTAGTCTCAGCATCAACAATATCCGTTTGAGTTTCCAATACAGTCCCAGGTTTCCCTTTATCATAGACACCAATGACTTTATTTTTCGAGAGAAACTTTCTGCCGGCGGAGCTGGTGGGGAGGGGCTTGTAGAAGATCATTTTGCGTTCGCCGTCGAGGACGCGTGTGCTGTCGAGTTGGGGCACGTTGGGGATGGAGGGGCGAGAGTCATGTTGTGCGGCGTAGAAGTCGATGACTTCTTGCGTGGATTGCTTGAAGGGGAGGATGATGGGGTAGGTTGGGAAGACGGCGAAGTTGGGGTGGAGTTCCTGTGATTATTCTCGAATCAGATGGGATTGAATGCGGTGGGTGAGGCATCAGGCTGTGATGATGGATGGGAGGGGACGGGACTGGAGTGAATGGGACGTACGTAGAGAAAGTGAAGCTCATCGGCGGTGGCTCCAATGCTGGCTGCGAAGAGGAGGACGTCACGCTTCAGCCATGATACTTCCACGGGGGCACTCTCGTGGCCGGCTCCTGGGTTTGATTCGCCCATATTTGGTCAGGTAGGTAGTGAAGAAATGTATAATAGAGGTATGTTATTGTGTTGATGGTAATATGGGAAAGACTCGAGTGATATGGATAGTAGTCCTCAAATACTCGAGCTGGCGTTGCCGGGCTTAGCTATAGCTCTTTACATGTGAAGACCTCGGCTGTCAAGCAAGACCCGAATATGTGCCTCAATTACCACTAAAACTAAACCGACTGCACTTGAACACGGCATTTCTTGGTCATCATATTACAGAATCTCATCTGGAAAGTCATTGTGATTACGCTATGCTGCACTTCTCCATAGCTGATTACCTTGCAATCTGTCTGCAAATGATCAATTGCTGTCCGCGCACGACGCAGCTCCAGCGTATCGCGCAAGACAACCGCCTCCTTTTAGCAAAACGCGACTTTTTCCATTTCACTGGCATCATTGCTGGCGCTCAGGCGAATCACTCTTGCTGCTGCTGCTTTCAGAGGTCTCTACACCTATGGTAGAAGCTTGATCGAGGTCAATCAATGCCTGATCTGCTTTTACAGCCTCAATCTTCTTCTCTACATCCTGAACACTTCTGCTCAATTGCTTCGACCATAGAGCAACATACTTGCCCTTTTGCTCGAAGAGCTCCTCGTGTGTACCAGACTCCACAATCTTGCCGTCGTGAATGACCAGAATCAGATCAGCGTGCTGAATGGTCGACAGCCGATGTGCGACAATGAATGTCGTTCGGCCAGCGGTCAGACGCTTGAAAGCGCTCTGAATCACCGCTTCGGTCTCAGCATCAATCATGCTCGTGGCTTCGTCCAGGAGCACAATCTTGGGCTGACGCAGGATAGCTCGTGCAATGGCTACACGCTGAAGCTCACCACCTGAAAGCTTGACGCCGCGCTCGCCTACCATGGCCTTGTAGCCATCGGGAAATGTCTCGATTTTGTCGTGAATGGCGGCAGCTTTACAAGCTTCCTTGACTTCTGCATCGGTGGCGTCTAGGCGAGCATAGCGGACGTTGTCCATGATGGACACGTTGAAGAGAGATGGATCTTGCGGCACCATGCCGAAAGCGTCGCGTAGACTGTCCAGTGTCACATCTCGAAGGTCTTGCCCATCAATTCGGATGGCGCCGCCATTGACATCGTAGTATCGGTACAGGAGCTTCAAAATGGTCGATTTGCCGCCCCCAGTCTCACCACAGATTGCGACCGTCTTGCCAGGCTTGACCGTGAAGTTGACATCCTTGAGCGTTTGCTTTCGCTTGTCGTAGAAGAAGTCGACGTGATCGAAGCGGACTTCACCTGAACGGACATCCAGGTTCTTCGCATCAGGCTTGTCTACCACTGTCGGCTCCGTTTTGAGTAGCTGCAAGAGGCGCTCCGAGTCAATCACCATGGAAGAGACCTTACGGATCGAGTAAGATACACTCATGAGTGGAAGCTCGATCGAGCGCCAATAGGTCACCAGTGTGATGAAATTTCCAACTGGTGCAGATCCCTGCGAGACACGATACGCGGCGAGAGCTACGGCAGCCAGACGTCCAGTGAGCAGAGTTGCAGACTGTGCTGCAGCTCCGCAGTAATATGCCAGCCAATACCGCCAGAGTGCGAGGATGTAGCTCTCTACGGTGTCGGTATATCGGCGAGTCTCGTACTCACTCCTATTAAAGTGCGAGACGGTCTGCCAATTATTGATGGCTTCATTCTGAACCTTGCTCTCGTTCCGCCAGGCAGTATTGTAGTCGCGTCGCCGCTTAATGCTCCAGCTCGTGACCTTTGCACCAATCCAGATGTATAGGAATCCAATCGCAATGAGGATGATACCCATGTAGATATCAAAGAGATGTGTGACATACCAAAAGGCCAGTATCAGATCGAAGAACATGGGTATGATTTCGAACAGGAAGAAGTCGATCAAGTCCTGGAGGTTGGTCCCTTGATCAATCGCTCGAATGAGCTCGCCCGAGTTCTTCTCGTTGTGAAAGTCCATGGACAAGCACATGATGTGTTTGAAGGCAGTGGTGGACAACGCCTTGAAGCCATACTGCTGCACAGGCATCTGCACGATAGATTTGGCGAGCTGTAGCCCGGCAGAGGATTGGAATGCGGCCAGCAGCATCCAGGTGCCAATAGCTCGCCATGGGACGACCCCTGTGCCGGCATCTTTGGCCAGTTCATTGGTGATAATACCGAGTTGCCGTGGTACAAGAATCACAAGAGCGCGCTCAGCAAGGATCACGAAGCCGATCGCGAAGTAGCATGCTTGAACAACACGGTCTTTGCGTGGCAACAGGATCCAGAAGAAGATCTTGAAATCGGCGAGATACTTCAGCCAGCTTCCGGACTCTTTGAGCCGCTTTTTCTGCTGGGCTTTGAGCTCTTTGTCGGCGTCCGGGATGTCTGTCTCTGAGTCAAATTCGGCGTCGTCGTTGACCTCTTCTGTTGCAGTCTCATTCTCAGTGGCGTCAAAAAGACTGGGTGTGGACGCCACCTTCGCATTGCCATTCGTGCCATTCCCGCTATTGGCGGCGCCATTGGCGTACAGTATGCCGTGCGCCCCATGTTCAGCAAGAAGAGCCTCACTCTCGTCGTCCAGCCTGATACCTGGGTCGCGATCCTTGAGCGCAATCCACGCCATGGCTAATGACAGAGAGACCAGACTGGCAGCGCGCACCAGGCATGCGATCATGCGCAGTTGCGAAAAGCCGCCGTCTTTTCCGTGATCCACGGCCGCCTGAAGAACGAAAAGTGGTATTTCGAATCCACCAGCGACAAGCCATGAACCAACATATGGATGCCATAGTGGTGTTGCGTTCTCTGCAATGCCGACTGCAATGGACCCATGCAATACGAAGAGGAGTACCAGATAAACAACATAGTCTTGTGATGCTGCCCATCCTGGTCTCCGCACCGCGTGCAGCACTGCTGATATGCCCTCAGCGATGACTGTCGCCACCACGACAGACTGCAGTATGATGGCGGGCCATCGTCGAGATCTCCGTCCGGCACGTTTGGAGGGTTCTTGTAGCAGACATGCGGCCAGTGTCTTTGCCAGAGCGAAGTATGCCGTGGTCGCGGCCGGGGCCAGGTAGTGCAACACTATGATACTGTTCCGCGTGCTCGCCATGCCGTCGCCACGCATATCAATGCTCCCTGTCACATGCGGTGTGTACCCGCCCTCCGAAGCAGCCTTGTGGTGCGTAGTGGAAATCACAGTCGGAATCTCGCGTGATTGATCCAGATGAGGCAGTAGGTTTTCCGCTGTCTGGTCAGATATACCATCCTTCGTGGGACTGGATGGATGTGTGATGAGGGAGTCGATATTTTTTCTGGTTGAGCAGGTAGCAGACTTGCCTTTTTGGCAGTAGTGGTAGCGATTGAGGCGGCGGTGTTACCCGTGAAGGTTTGGGTTGGTTGTTTAGCAAACGTCGTGACGCCTGCAGCATGCCGATGTGCAGCCTGAGGAGAGTCGCACTTTTGCCTGTGTCTTTTGCAACGATCAGCAAGCGAATGGCGACAGTGGCCCGATCGGTGTGTGTTCCTTCAGAAAGGGATTGATTACCTGAGATTCTGAGAATACCGTATGCGACGCTCTGGCCACTGTCAATAATGTAATGTCGTCTGACTACGTCGTTATTGCGGCGTCTGTCATCGGTACCAAGTACAGGTAACCAAGTATTGCGGCTCCTTACAGTGCACTAACTTCAATACTCTCTAGCAGAGCCGTGTCTCATCGGACGTCTCTCCCGTCCTGCTTTTTTTTTGTTCCCATAGTTCCTTTTCTATTCTGCCCGGTCCTGTCTGCTGCTGTTCTCTCTCCTGTTCTCTCTCTCTCCTATCCTATCCTCTCCTGTCCTCTCCTGTCCTCTCCGGGCTATCCTCTCATGCCGATCTGATGATGCCTGTCACTGTACCAGCTGCCCCTCTGCAACCTTTTGACCCCCCGGACGCAGGATTTTGGGGCGTGGGAGGGAACCAAACCTAGGGTAGGCAACGAACGTTTTGACAACCATTGATTGCATCTGTTCTGGCTCGGCAAGTCGGCGGCACAAGCGGCAGCCGAGTGCACCGTACCTAGTAGTCAGTCGGCCACTCTTGATCTGTGATCTGATCCGCTTCGCCTTGCATAGAGGCACAGGTATAGCGCAAGCATTGCCGCAGACGATCCTACGTAAGTAACATGGCGGTGAGAACGGAGACAGAGGGTGAGTCTGTGCAAAGAGACATGGAGCGTGCGGAAAAGCAGCCAGATGAAATTTTGGCTTCCGGACTTGTGCCCGGTAGTATGAGAAAGGCGAGGCGAGGCTCCTGGCTGGGAGACTGTGGGTCCAGTAGTGTGGGAGTGCTTTACCGTTGGTTCTCATAAGCATCACGTGCATGCGAGCCGAGTCCGCGGGGAAGCCAAGTCTCACAGCCAACTCACCCCTGGCCTGCCCTGCATCCCATCCTCATTTTCATTCTCATTCTCATCCTCCTTTCTGCCTCTTTTCTGCTTCTTCTCTGTCTCTTCTTCTCTGCCTCTTCTTCTCTGCCTCGTCTCTGCCTCTTCTCTGCCTCTTCCTCGCCCTACAAACACTTCACTTGGGAGAGCAACGGGGAACGGAGATACATATTGAGGGGTTTAAATCCTCTTTTTTCATTGTGCTGCTATGTTACATCTTGCCCGAGGACACCAGGCCCCGGGCGCCAACCTGCGGACCTTGCGGCCGTAACGCATTGAGCAATCTGCCTCTTCCTCGAGGCCATATTCATGTGTACTCACCTCATCCATGAGGCGCCTTCTGTGCAAACGAGTGTGTGACTGCACGGCTTCTGCATAAGCCTGGTGCACGAGCGTTGTAAGTCCTGTCTCTTCGTGTGTTCTGTTCTCTAATCTTCTGTCTCCTTTTTTCTGTTTTCTGTTCTGTGTTTCAGTGACAAACGCCATAAGCCACGATCAATCATGCTCGAATAGTAGTACAGGGGAATATTCAGTGGCCACGCCGGACCTCCATGCTCGCAGTCGCCCAGTGAAAGCGCAGGTCACGCCGGACCATGTTCGTAGTTGCGCAGTGAAAGCACAAGTCGCGCCAGAACACCATGCTCGAATCGCTCAGTGCAATGCAAGCGGACCCGACTCCAGTCGCTCGAAGAAGCAACCGGATTGCTGCACAGCTCGTGTACGGAGAGAAGAAGAAGTCGCTCAATCTGTGTCGGGAGTAGACGCGCCACCCTCGGCCTCCTCATAGTCGACAGTGGAACAAGTATCGACCGTGGCGGGCGACGATTGATGGCCAAAAGGCAGGCCGGCAGAACGGCGAGTGGGCATGCGGAGAGTCTCCTCGTGGTCGACAGTGACCGACGTATCGATGGTTTCGGTGGAGGATCGACGACGAACCCGCTGGCCACCGGAACCGGGAGGTATAACATCAAACGACTCCCGCACGGCAGTGTAGGTTCGATGTCCTCCAAATCCCGGAAAACCGAATGGGCTTGCAAATGCCCGGCGGATCTCTGCCGGGGTGGCGGCGCCGATATTACCATCTACAGTGGTGTTGACGCCATCGTAGATGTAAGGATCACCTGCCAGCACGACTGCCCCATCTTGGTTGCGTTCGGTGGCAAGGACAGGGTCCAAATTGCCTCTCGTTTCGACAGCTGCCAAATTGAACTCGAAGCCGTGCGGATATCGATCACGGCGACGACCAAGACGCGGAGCATTCTCGACAACCGCTGGGTGACCGCCGGCACGGAGACGACCGGAAAGTCGGCGCATGTGGGCACGACGAAAAGCAGCCACTGCAGCTGGCGAGATTCCGCGCGTGGTGCTGCTGGGACCTGGCAAGATGGCACTGACCTCAGCTGGGGTTGGTGGGGGGGCTAGCAGCGGTGTGCGCTCTGTAGCGAGGTCAGAAGAAGTGGGCGAAGACGAGTCGAGAGACGACTCGCCGGATGCTGAAGGAGGGTCGCTGGAGCCTTCGGACGAGGCAGATGCGTCAGATTCGGCCCATCGAACACAGCCCCTCTCGAAACAATCATGGACGAGGCAGCTCATACCAGTGTCAGCCTCAAGCTCTGCACGGGTCACGGTTCCGATAGGACCGTCAAGAAAGCTTGCAGCCTGCTGGGAATCGATTAGCAATGAGAGGAAACGGGTTTGAGCTGAGGATCTTACTGATATGACCAACTTGATGGTGCGTCGGCGCTCTGCATCTGGCTTTGGGTGATCATCTATGGCCAGCGACTTGTTTCCCCAATGGGTATTGGTCATGGTGCAAGCAGCATAGATGTTGAGCATTCCGTGATAGTAGGAGAAGATCATCAATACCGGGATGAAAATCATGTCCTGTGGGTGACGGCAGTAGTGCGGAATCATCTTCAGGTTCTTTGCCATGAAGATCCAGCAGCCGAGCGCGATCCAGAAATTCTGGGAGACCGACGGACCACCAACAGCGGCGTAAAGGAGCATGGCCAGGATTGACTCGCAGAGTACGGCTGGGGTCTGGAATTGGCTGATGTAGATGACATACAGTCCCCACCACATCTTGAGGGAGTACCAGTACGTCTCATTCTCCATTACGGTGAAGTTACCACGCCAGTGGGCTCTTGCCCAACGAAGGCACTGGGCATTGTATCCCTTCATGTCTGGCTCAACCGTGGTCTCGAGGATGGCACGGCTGTCTGACTGAATCTTGATCTTCCAATTCTTCTTGTAGACGTAGCGAGTCAAACACTTGTCATCGTCGGAGTTGAGCGGCTTGCCGCGCCATTCATCATTGACGAAATACTCGTAGAATTCGGGGTCTTTCAAGATGTCGGTCCGGTATGCGGCGGTCCGACCGGAAAGGGTGGAAATGGAGCCATCGATGGCGTTGCTCGCACAGTTGTTCCAGACGCGGCGCTCTAGGTAGTTGATGCCGAGCATGTTCACGATACCAGGACGGTTGTTGCGGACGACACGCTGGCGAGTACCACCAGCGCCGACACAGGGGTCGTCGAAGACGGCGAGCAAGTACTGAAGATACATTGAGTTTGGCCAGAAAACGTCGTCGTCAGCGAGGATCGTGAATCTACTCTTGATGCAGGGCAGAGCACGAAGAATCTGGTGCCGCTTGTTGAGTTCTCCGACGCCGATGACATGCACCTTGCTGTCGTGGAAGCCGTTCTCATAGCACATGTTGCGCGCAAGCGGCGCCGTATCGTTCGAGGTGACGACAAAGATCTCCGATGGGTTGCAGTCGAGCATGCGTTGAATGCAGTCCGCAAGCTCCGATGGTTTTTTCAAGGTGGTCGGGATGATGATGCTAGCATCCTGACCGCTGCAAGCCCATGGACTTGAGGCAAGCTTGACGCGCTTCCAGAACACCCAGGTGCCGATGGCGACGACGGTGCGAATGTAGCGGAAGGAGAACGTGAGGAGGAACACCGTGAGGAAGACTTTGTTGGTGAGCGCGCCATAGTCAATGACTTCCTGGTCGGTCAGGTTGGTGTGGGCGGTGTGGGCGGTGCGCTCAGGGATGAACATGGCTGTCGGCGCCATGCTGATGGTTTGTGTTGCTGCGCTGCTGATGCGTAGGCAAGGGGTACTAGATGAGAGATGCGTGGCAGTGTCAATGGCAGAATTGAAGTCGATGGTGTTGTCGTGGTCAGTTTTGCTGAAGGGGGCCGCGCTGTCGCAGGTTTGATGGACAGCGGTATCGTTGACAATGCGCGCTGCCTGTCCAATGTGTGCTTCCAAGTGAAGGACGGGCTGGGCCATGCGTCTTGGTATTGAGTATGGTTGTCGAGCTTTGCACGAACACAATTGGAGCAGGCAAAAGCCGTGCAGCAAGAGTCCCGCGCTGGAAGACGGATCGACCTATGCGGCGGTACCGCTGTTGGACAGCAGCAGTTGGTGATTAGGTGGTTATGAAGGGGCCGTCGGTGGCTCGTCAGTACCTCCTCGAGGTGATGTTGTCGGTACGACAATGCCACGCGAAGAAGTTGAAGTAGAACGAAGAGCGCCGGCGGCTGCTTTGAAGTCGCTGTCGAGCGAGTGGGCAAGTACAAAGGGGGATGCTGGTGCAGGACAATGGTCTTGTCGAAGGTTGTCAAGTGGCGGAGGTTGCTGTCAAGGGGTTGAGGTTGCTGTCAGTGCGAGACAGTTGGTGGTCAGAGGAGTGCGAGATATCGGTTGTGCGAGGGAGGACTGTGAGGTGACTACTGTCGAATTCAAGCTGGGTGCTTCACAGCTCTACGTGGTGCACGTGCCAAGACACGTCTAAACAACGGAGCGCGCGATCACTCCAGCATTATCACAGTATGCGTGGAAAACTGCGCAGCTTCAGGGGGCGAGGGACACATTGCACAGCACGAGAACCATCCAGCAAAGCTACTCCAGCGCGACGTTGATCGATCTCGTGGTGAAGAGACTAGGGGCGATGAATGGCATTGGAGACTCGCGCCTCCCGCTTCAAGTGAAGCTTGTCCGGCACGCCCCTGCCTGGAAGACGCGCTAGAGGTCGCCCTAGAGCCTGGTCTGCGCGTCCTGTCAGGACTCTTGTCGACGTGCTGGACGACGCGGATCAGCACTGCGGCTGTACTTCACGACACTGGGGATCTAGCAAAGCAACGACAGCTCTGCGGCCGCCGGAGCCATCGAGTACCAATGGTCACTGGGCCCGACTCGAGGAGGGAACAACACCCGAGCGAGGCCACGGTATGCACTCAGCAGCAGACAGCGAGAGCCATCACTCAGCGCCAACTCCTAGGTACGCATGCAACAGAGTACTCAGTACCTTGATACTAGCACTAACCATAAGAGCGCCCACAGAGTGTTTGCAAACCCGCCTCGAGCAGCCTTGTGCCCGTCACACTGCCCGTCCGCTCCTCCGCACGATCGAGGACTCGGCCACCACCCTGAAAGCAGAAGGTCCCTAGTTGCCATTGGTCGGTGTGAGGCAGGCGGGTGTATACAGCGTTCACTCGATCGGGAGAAGACTGTTCGTGAGGGGGGCTCATTTATTAGCTGGCTCCAAAGCCTTCAGAAAGACCATCACCGACAACAGCCATCGCTACAGAGCAAGGCCCACTACTACACCGGCTCGCTATGTGCGAGCTTAACTACGGCGCTGCCTCCGAACTGCGCCATAACGAGCTTCTGTTCGCTCAGGCGGCACTTGACCCGCAGCCTGATCATCGACAAGAAGCGTAAGTGCTTTAACGGCCATGGCCTCACCTAACAGCTGGCAGCGCCGACTAGCTCGATACCCTATTCCTCCAGCCATTAGACTCAGCAACCACATCCTCGAGCATAATCAATGTAGCAAGCTCGCGGAGACAGGAGGACTCCTCGAGTCTCCATTTAGCAGGGATTCCGTGTTGCTTGGCCGGGAATGGCATGGAGAGGCAAGAGGAGGTTCGTGATTGTTGCTCTGAGCATTGCATTAAGAGTTGAGCTGGGCCTACCGTATGCAAACACACATTGGCCATCGCAGCTCTCTTGTTGGCCCGGGAGTGCAGCACGCACCAGGAACATTGGGGTTCAGATCGGTCAGCCAGCACAACATAGATCATACTCAGTTAGACCCAGCAAGCACAAAGCATACTTGCAGGGTATAGCTGCTGAGCGCCGCTCTACACATTTTCCAGGCTGGCATGAACAACTCCACAGATGCCTGTGGCCGCCAAGTCATGACCACATTGTGATCGAATACCTCATGCAACATGCATGCCAGGCGGTTCTGTTGCTTGCGTTATATCCCTGGCGACCAGTGGACGCGCCAAGTACATGTAATCCAGTGGTTACCCGGCACCCTCAATGCTCGCAGCGGCACGCGCCTCCCTCTCGCCCGAAGGCTTCTTTACTTGGTACCTTGACAAGACTGATGGATGTGCTATTAGGTGAACACTAGGTACATTTGACTCTGGGATCAAGCTACGAATTGTCTCAACATAAGCTCTGAATATGGCTCTGCCGCAAGTATCCGACAGAACAGCACATTACGCGGTGGAATAGTCCTCTTCTTCTACGTACAAAGTGTCCGCTTTTTGAATTTCTTTCGAGTCTTCAGATGATAAAACAATCAATACTACCATTACGGGGGAAGTTGGCGGCTGAGAAGTTTGGGGGTTGGCGAGGTAACGACGTTTATGTCTGAGGATCAGAAATACCGGTACCTGATGAGTATATTCTCTACATAGGGAGGGCACCTTTGATGCAAGCGTAATGGCGCAAAAAGATGTCTGCTGCGAATATTGTTATACTGTGCCTTGCTACGTATTTTTGGGTTGAAGCATAAACGATATATGAAGTGAGGTGAAGTGAATGTGCTCCGGATCGGGAAAGTGGAGAGTCCGGCCCGATGGCGTGGAGAGGTGAAGGTGGAGGCGGGCAAGTGGAGGGCGGGGGCATTCTTCTAGTCGAAGTGGAGCTGATACACTGCTCAAATACATGTACCTTCACTTGCACTTGACACGTTCCTGACCAAACATTGCCTTGCGAGCTCTTTTTGGATTTTGTTCTGCATCCTCTCATACCATCACCCTCGACATCAGACTGCTTTCGAAGAGACCCACGACCATTGCAATCATGGCTGTCACTGCAGCAGATAGTGTGCCCGAGACGAAGAATCTGGCAGACATATACCCCGAGGATGCTCTCAAGAGTCAGAGTACGAGATGGAATTCGTTGCTCAAGAGTTTTCAAGAGACATACAATAAGAGCCCAGACTTTGTGTCAAGAAGTCCGGGCAGAGTCAACATCATTGGCGAGGTGTGTGTTGCTGGACATAAATCTGCTGTAGCGGCAAGCAGGGGGAGAGAGAGCGAGAGAGTCGCTGCAACTGCAACTGCGGAAGTCTACATGGAATGTGAAAGCTAAGTATGTATATAGCATATCGATTACTCCTTGTACGAAGTCTTGCCCATGGCCGTGACAGAAGATGTCTTACTCGCTGTGTCTGTGCACAAGAATGAGTCTGGCCCCAGCACGATCCGTCTATCCAATGTACACTCCCACAAGTTCGAGGCGCGAGAGTTTGATATCCCCGACACAGGAGATGTACACATCGATTCGACCACGCTAGAGTGGACGAATTACTTCAAATCTGGCTTGGTTGGCGCCACGGAACTACTACGAAAGAAGTCGGAAGAGTTCAAGTGCAGTGTTGGCATGGATATTTTGGCAGATGGGACTGTGCCCTCGGGGGGTGGCTTGTCGAGCAGTGCTGCATTTGTGTGTGCCAGTGCATTGGCAGTCATGAAGGCCAACGGTGTGGAGAAGGTGGACAAGAAGGAGCTTGTCGAGCTCGCAATCGTGTCAGAGCGTGCAGTGGGAGTCAACTCAGGGGGCATGGATCAATCCGCCTCAGTCTTTCCACTGCAAGGCTCAGCGCTATACGTCTCGTTCGTGCCTGAACTTTCAGCCAGGAATGTACAATTCCCTGAGCTCAAGTCGCCTCTCACATTTGTCATTGCACAATCGTTCGTGGCAGCAGACAAGCATACCACCGGTCCAGTCTGCTATAACCTCCGCGTCGTCGAGGTCACATTAGCAGCTCTGGTTCTGTCGAAGATCTTCCGTCTTCAAAGTCTCCCCGCAGATTCCGGTCCTCTGGGAGTCAGCTTACGAGGCTTCCACGACACGTACTTTCAAGAAAAAGAAGATATCAAAGACAATCACCAAACATCCAAAGAGGACTTCAAAAAACAGCTACAGGATCTCATCCACAAAGTCGACCAATATCTCCCTCAAGAAGAAGGCTACACCCGCGAACAACTCTCCGACATCTTAGACATCAGCATCGAAGAGCTCGAGCAGAAGTACATGTCCAAATTCCCCATCCGAGCAGAGAAGTTCAAGCTCCGACAACGTGCCTTCCACGTCTTCAGCGAAGCCAGTCGTGTCATCGCCTTCATGGAACTCTTGAACTCCCCACCTCCCCAAACCGACGCAGAAAACGCTGACCTCCTCAAATCTCTGGGTGAACTCATGAACGAGACGCAAGATTCTTGTCGAGACATCTTTGAGAACTCATGTCCCGAGTTAGATGAACTATGCACGCTCGCGCGATCTGCGGGCTCATATGGAAGTCGTTTGACGGGTGCGGGATGGGGTGGATGTTCAGTGCATCTGGTGCCGAATGAGAAGGTGGAAGCTGTCAAGGCGAAGTGGATTCAAGAGTATTATCAAAAGAAGTTTCCTGACATGACGAAGGAGAAGTTGGAGGAGGCTATTGTTGTCAGTAAGCCAGGGAGTGGGAGTGCGGTGTTTTTGGTGGAGGGAAGGAGTGAGTTGTGAGAGAAGCAGAGAGACAGAGATATTTTTCTGATGTCTCCGGGACTTTTTAATATTTTAAAAACGTGCTGAATGTATCTAGGCAAGTGCATGCATGCATCACATGGGCACGAGTGAATTCGCATGTATCTTCCAGTGACTGATTGTTACAGAACCACAAAGGCCATGTTTGTTTCACTCTTACCCTGTGCCTTCTCTTTTGTTTCTACTGCTCTCTGCTCTACAACACTACGTTCGTAGTATCTGCCTATCCGCCCTCAAGATATCAGTCTGAACACAGACTAACACACACATTCAGGCACCCAAGCCACCTACCTGTCCATTGACCAGCAAGAGCAGTGAAGATCCAGCTATGGTAAAAACCCAACACCTCCTCCCCACGACTCATCAAGTCTCCTTTGACTAACCCCACTCTCTTCTCCTCTCCGCAGGCCTCTCCTCAGAACGCACCCAAAGGAACCCGCTCCTCTAAGACCACCATCTACACAATCCAAGATCTCCCCCAGCACATCCCTCCTCCTCCTCCTCCTCCTTCTCCTCCTCCTCCTCCTCCTCCTCCTCCTCCTCCTCCTCCTCCTCCTCCTCCCACCATCCAGAAACCAACATCCCACTCAGCAGCCGACGCCGACGACAACGACCGCGAGAAGGAGAAGAAGCACAATTCTCCCCCAACACAGCAGGAACAGCAGCAACAGCAGCGCAAACTTCAGGAACAACAGAAAAAGCAACAAGAGTTCTTTCACGAACAAGCCAGCCTCATCGTCGACCTCTTACATTTCATTAGCGATTTCGAGAAACTGCAATTGGGAAATCATGCTATGGCGTGGTTGAATACGCAGAAAGAAGCTGGTGAGTACAGTTATCCATTTCATGAAGTGATGAGTCATGGATGTTTTGTGTTTTGTGTTTGTGTGTGCTAATTTTTTCATCTTCATTACAGGGAATGATGTGCAAAAGGTCCAGGCGCAGAGCGACATGTTTCGGGAGGCGGCCAAGAGGTATGGATTGCCGTTGTGGATGCATGCGTTGGATACTTTGGATGTGATGGAGGCGCAGAAGAGGGGGGTGGGGGATAGGGTGAAGGAGGATGCGGAGAGGAAGCAGGAGAGACAGGAGAAGAGACAGGAGAAGAGGAAGACGAGACGGACTAAGAGGCAGTCGAAGAACTTATGATGAGGGTCTTCAGTCAGCAGCAGTACATACTGTAGTAGGCTACGGTGTTACCAATCGATGATATCTTCGTGTTGCCAGAACTCGCCTGTTTTGTTGCCAATATCATGCAGGGCCAGCGTCACCGGAGTTTGTGCTCCTTCATCGACAGTCTTTCGACCCCCGCCCTTGGTCATGTCTGTTTTCACATATCCCGGACAGCAGGCATTCACCAATATGTCCCGACCTCTTTGCTTCTCCTCCGCAGCGATGACTTTCGTAAAGGCGATCTCGCCTGCTTTGCTGACAGCATAAGCTGCAGAGGGGAAGCCTGCCTCCTTCTCACGACCATCGCTGACTGCTTGTTGAAACTGCTGCATGATGGAAGTGACTGCCGGGACGTCCTTTTTGCTGGCATCGAGGAATGCTTTGCTGATCTCATCGGAGTATTTGTTCAGCTTGCCAGCCATACTGCAGACATTGACGAGCCTTCCACCGTTCTTGATAAGTGGCAAGAAGTCTTGTGTCGCTTCGAGGGAGCCATAGTAGTTGGTCTGTAGCGTCTCTTTCACCACATTGGCGTCGAAGCCTTGAAGAGCGATGCCAGCGTTGTTGATGACCACATCTACACCGTCGGGATGCTGCTGCTTCAGATAGTCTCTGAAGTCCTGGATGCTCTTGGTCTGACTGATGTCGAGTGGGTGGAATGTGATGGTTGTATTTCCGCCATCCTCTTTCAAGACCTTTGCTTTCTTCAGCTGAGGGTCGTTGTTGAGCTCCTTGACCGCAGCCGCTCCTCGTTCCGCAGACCTAGCCGTCAAATAGATGAGGAAAGACGATGATTTGAGAGGCGATTCGGGGTACTGCAAGGCGAGTTGTCGGACTATATGAGCCGTCAGCGGAGAGCTATGGTTAGATGGCATGGGCATTGGCATGGCATACCAATGGCCAGGCCAATGCCTTTGTTGGCGCCTGTCACGGCGGCCACACGAGAGGGAGCTGCCATGTCGATGGTGATGTTGGATGGTATACAGTCATGTCGACAGTATTCATGAGGAGGTAGAGAGGTGGTGGTGGTGGATGGATGGATCAACAACGCGTCGTCCCAAATGTGCTCGTCACTCCCAGTCCCACTCCCAGTCCCGCTGCCCAGTCGCTGCCGATCCACAGACAATTGGCTCTTTCTTCTCCCATGCACAATGACGCTACACAATAACGATTACCTGCTACGCTCCCAGTAGCCAGGTCCCTTAACCTTGCCTGGTGCACGTCCAACAACAGCCACAATCACGTACTACCCGACCTCAATCGCACCAGTTGGCTGGACCAGCTCGATCTCCTCCTCCTCCTCCACTCCATTCCCCTCCACACACCTGACTCGTCCATCTTTCCTCGGACTACCACCCGTTCACCTACCGAATACCTCCTTTTCCCTTGAATGTCGGAAGACGCGTCCGGCGACACGCTGGGACCGCTCAAAACACGTACCACCGCGACTGGCGAGCTGCCCCCACAGCCCGGAGGATTATTGAAGAAACGCTCGACTTTCCCCAGATCTATCAGCGAATTGGTGACGAATCAGCTGGTTCCTGGAACCATGGCTAAAAGTCAGGCGCTGAACACCAATATGGGTGTCGACTACATCATTAGCTACCGCTTCGAGCCTACAGGTGCGACGGCCTTGGTGTTATGAATGAGACAGGCGTGGGCTAACGCAGCATTCAGACAAGGCAAATGCTGCAGCAGGATTCGAGAGGCTCTGCCAGAAGCTCTCTGCAGTGGGATTAGCCACCGAAGTCCGCAATGGAGATCAGAACTCGGTCCTGCTGTTCGTGCAGGTGGCCAGCGAGGAGCACATGTTCGCAGAAGTTTACAGAAGCAGAGTCAAGGACTGGATCCACGGGGTACAGTCGAAGGAGCCTCCCGAAGATGTTCGTGCCTCTCTGGAGCAGGAGCCGCTCACAGACGCTGAACGCCAGCGCATTATCTACCAAATGATCACCAATCCAGAGCATGAAGGTGGGGCTGGCATTCGAGTCAAGTCGCAGGAATGGAAGTACGTCGAGAGCATATTCGCTCTTCACGATCATACTTTCAATAAGGTCTGGCTGAAGAAGTGGGCCACGCAGTACGCCATCAAGTCCGAAGACCTGGACGACATTCGAAATCGTTTCGGCGAGAAGGTGGCCTTCTACTTTGCCTTTGAACAGACGTACTTTAACTTTCTGATCTTCCCGACTGCATTCGGGGCGTTCGCGTACCTCTTCCTGGGATCGTTCAGCCCCATCTACGCCATCGTACTATGCCTGTGGTCGATTGTGTTCGTGGAGTGGTGGAGGCACCAGGAGCGGGACCTCTCCATAAGATGGGGGGTTCGTGGTGTTAGCAACATTGAAAGTAAGCGACACGAGTTCCAGCCTACGATAGAGGTGGAAGACCCAGCCACTGGAGAGACGGTCAAGATCTTCCCATGGGACGAGCGACTCAAGCGGCAAGCACTGCAATTCCCATTCGCCATCGTTGCCATCCTGGCGCTTGGTGGTCTCATTTGCCTTTGCTTCGCGATTGAGATCTTCATCGGCGAGATATACGACGGTCCCGGCAAGTCCGTCTTGACGTTCACGCCCACTGTGATTCTGACCACCTGCTTGCCCCTGATCACTGGTGCCCTCAGCACAACGGCACAGCGCTTGAACGACTTCGAGAACTACGAAACGGAGACTGCAAATGGACGCGCTCTGACGGCCAAGCTATTCATCTTGGACTTCATCACGTCATACATGGGCATCATCCTCACAGCTTTTGTCTATGTACCATTTGGTAGCGTGCTTGCGCCGTACTTGGACGTCTTCAGCAGACTGTTTGCCACCGAAGCGGCACGAGCCAAGACCGCTAAGGGCGGTCAATACACGATCAACCCAGATCGGCTTCGCAAGCAGACCATCTATTTCGCCGTGACGGCATCTATCGTTAACTTCGCCATGGAGGTCATCGTGCCTTACCTCAAGCGCCAAGGTGTCCTGAAGTTCAAGGAGATCAAGGCCAGCCGGACTGGAAAAGCACCTGAGCAGTCCGACGCCGTCATTGATGCCCCGCCAGAAGAGAAGGAGTTCCTCGATCGTGTTCGCAGCGAAGCGGAGCTGCCTACGTACGACGTGTACACTGATCTACGCGAGATGATCATACAGTTCGGCTATCTTTCCCTGTTCTCTGTGGTATGGCCTCTTGTCCCGGCTAGCTACCTGGTGAACAATTGGTTCGAGCTACGCGCAGATGCTGTAAAGATTTGCGTGGAGATGCAGCGCCCTACGCCTTGGCGTGCGGACACGATCGGGCCGTGGCTCGATGCCTTATCATTCCTGACTTGGCTCGGCAGTATTACCATGTCGGCTCTGACCTACATGTTCTCGAATGAAGGTGTAGGCCCAGATGGTCGACCGCACGATATCAAAGGATGGGGGCTGCTCCTCTCCATTTTCTTCAGCGAGCACCTGTACTTATTCGTGCACGGCCTCGTCCGGAGCGCGATTCAGAAGATTGACTCTCCAGGTCGCCAAAAGGAACGACGCGACCGTTACCTGGCTCGACAGAAGCTGGTGCAGAACAGTTTGGCGAAGTTGCCAAGTGTGCCCAACATCAGTGAGAACGACACCCCGATTACGAGAGAGTCACTAGAGGAGGATGCGCGGCGTGCCAGTCAGAATGCCGCGACGCCAATTGAGCGGTTCTGGTCGAGGCAGCGTGGCTGGCGAGAGTCGGCGAAGATGGGCAAGGTCTTCATCGAGAAGTACAACGACCCCGCTGCGCATGCGGATGAGAAAAAGGAGCTGTGATTGAATCTGGCCGCGGAAGGTCGGCTTGTGACCAAAAGCACGTGGACACTTGGGAGTATAACACGGATGCATTACTACCTAGCAAGGCGTTGAGTGGGATATGAGAATGATTGGCATACATTGAGACGAACGACCTGGGTAGTCCCTATGCAAAAGAAGCCTGAGGCAATGTTCTTGACACTCTGACAAATTCTGTCCAAACCTCTCGAGCACTCTGATGTTCAACACTTCTCATACCTGTATTCTAGAAACCACTCGATGCTATTGACGATACTTTGCACTCCGTGAATGTGTTATATCCTACCTACATACTCGACTCCTCTCTAGCTATACCTTGAAGGGTCATCCCCATACCTTATTGAAGCTACGGAAAATTTTAATGCTTTCTGAACAGACAGCCCAGCCCCACTTAGATTCGTCCATCTATCACAAGAAAACTTCACATACATAACGAGAATCATAGACCTAGGTACATAATTGTAGTATCAAAAGACACATAAAAAATGCGCGCAAAGAGGTGAAGGCCTACCTACCTACCTAGGTTTCCCCCGACTTCGGATCCTTTTCTCTCTTGCCAAGTCCACTCGGGCGCCAAGTTTGGGAAAGCGAAAGCCGAACTCGGCGATTTGGGACAACGACATGTCCTGCATTCCGAATCTCGATAGAAACGATTTACATTCATTGCTTCATCAATTTTCGTGGGAATTTTTGGGAATTTTTTTTGGTGGGAATGTGTGGTGGGGAATACTTGAGTTTGTTATGTAGGGCTGGGTGGTTTGCGGTGTGTATACCTACAGGTACGTGTACTTGCGACGCGGAAATGATGATGATTGTTTGACGAGCGTAGGTAGGTAGGATGCGATCCTATTGCGAGTTGGGAAAGATGTCAACCTCTCGGTCAATGAATATTGTTGTGCTTGGAACTGCAGTATGTGTTGGTTCAAGCAGCTTGCCTGGGAGTCTTGAGCTCTCTACTTCTGCGTCTGCTCTGAACAGAAGGAAGTGTGAAAGCCTACCCCCTGGACGATCATCAAATGTGCGAAAAACGCTAGATACTCGATTATGCCTTTGGTAGCGCCACGGGCCTCCTTCATCAATAATATGCTCGAACAGACAGACTTTGATGGGTATGGTAAACCGCTCTATCACCTCATCAGCTGGGCTCTGCTGAAGAGGAGATACACACACCAACATGAGATTCGCAGGAGCAAAAAAAAAGAAGAAATTACCTCTGAACTTTCTCCTCCTCATCGTCGCCACCACCGTGGTCTTGGAAGTCGTCTTTCCATCTTCTTCCATCTTTGCCTGTGAAAAGGGAGAGAGGGAGGGAGGGGCATTCATTGACCTTTCTTCTTGATGTTGAAGTTGACTCCCTAGGTGTGCGGTACCTACTGAGTAAATTCCTTCCCTCCATCAGCTGAAGTGGCTCGTCTGGGGAGATTTCTCTCTGTCTATGCTCCACTGAATTCATCCATCCAATCCATCCAGCATTGTCTCTACGCCCTGCCACGTCGCTGCGTATTTTCTGCCTCTCTTCTCTCGCGGAGAATCCCACCGTCAAAAATCATGTGCAGTGAGTGGTATCAAACTACGCTGACGAGCGAGAATGCATACACCGGGGAAAACTCGTCCTCGCAAGACTTCATGAACTATACACTGGGGTGTCGCGCGTTGGAGAGCGGAGTGGAAGAGCGGCTTGAAGTGGGACAGGGTGAAAAACACAGCTGAATGTGCCCGACAGGGTCGATTCTCGTGCGCTCGTCTCGACGAATACAGTCTCGGACACTGCTCAAGACGGCGTAAGGGAGGTACCGTGAGTGCGTGTTCCCCCTGATATGAAGCTGGCAAGATGCAGATACGACAGGGTGATGATACCACTTTCACGTCGACTACTACCTACCTACCTATGTATCTCCATCTACCCTACGTCCGCCTCCTCCCAAATGTGTACTCTCGCTGCCCCAGGCATCAGCTTCTGGCCCAATTCCCACCATGCCCCCCGTTGGCCAGGCGTTGTGATTCCATCACGCCATTTTTTGATCGGCGATGAGCGTGAGTGAATTTGACTCATGATAGCTGTTCCAGCACTTAATAGCTGTTCCAGTACTTTACGCCGTGCAAGAAGGTTTGCTCGCTGCTGTTTCCTTGGAAATAGTGGATACCAATAGAAATTGCGAGCTTGCTATGACACACACCAGTGAGAATTGTAGCCAGAAGGTTCCACGCAAAAACTGGGACAGCGAGCGGTATGTCTGGTCAACACCATGGCTTCGCACAGCAGTATACTGCGTGCGAGGGTGGTAGTAATGGAGGAAAAGTCTCTGGTGCATGTCTCTGATATATTCCCCTGATTTCTGGCTTCATTTCACTTGCCCAGGAGGCCTACCAACAGCTTTGTAGAGCGCGCTGGCCGATATCATGGACACCATCCCTATCAGTGAATGCGTCGCAGCAGCCTCGTGCCGGTTTTGAGTCATGCAGCAAACTTGTTACTGTCGTCGTCCTTCACTCAATTGTGAGCCGATCTTGCCTAAAGCGGCCTAGCGTGAGCAACATGCTTTTCGCGCTAGCGCACAGCGCCAGCTGTGAAGCAAACATGCAGCCCGATTAGGCCGTCAACAACGGCCAGGACTTCTGACGAGCTGGGCAGCGCGTAAGCGAGAAACGCAGTATATATACCCACCTTTCTTCCTCTTTTTTCTTCTTCCTTTCCTCAACATCCAAAGCCCACATTGAGCAACATCCAGTCCAGTGGCCACTCCCTCCCTCCCTCCTCCTCCTCCCATCCCCACCTGCAGTGCTGCTGCCGATCACCGCCATGTTCTTGAGTCACCGCCATGCTCTCCATGTTATCGTACCTGCAGTGCTGCTGCCGATCACCGCCATGTTCTTGAGTCCCCGCCATGCTCTCCATGTTATCGTCGAACCGACATCCGCACACGTCGACGCCGACTGCTCTGCAAGATGGCAACTTGCAGAGGTTTTGCGACCGAATTCAACAACGCTGCGAAAAAAGCCAGTACAGCGAGACTGCCGCGAAAGCCGACCGCACACGAGGTTGCCGCCAGTGATCCTAACCGCGTTGCACTGAATTCGGCACCACCAAAAAATCGACAAGAGAGGCCGATCCGAGCGTTTTGCTTTTTTTGAATTTCGCGCGAAATTGACAGTGCGAAAACAGCCGCGAAAACGGCCAAGGCCGCGAGGCAGCCGACCAGCTGCCACCAGAAAGCCGATATAGCGAGAGAGAAAAGCCGGTCACCTGCCACCAGAAAGCCAATCACCTGCCATGAGAAAGCCGATCACCTGCCATAAGATCACCCGCCAAAAGCCAGTCCACGAGACTGCCCCGAAAGCCGGCCGCTACCGCCTCGAGAAAGCCGATCGCGAGATCGCCCCGAAAGCCGACCACATACGAGGTTGATCACCTGCCGACTGCTATAAGAAAGCCGATCACCCGCCAAAAGCCAGTCCACGAGACTGCCCCGAAAGCCGGCCGCTACCGCCTCGAGAAAGCCGATCGCGAGATCGCCCCGAAAACCGACGTACGAGGTTGATCACCACACGAGGCACCACCAAAATTCGGCGAGATCATGGCTTGGCAGGCGGCAGGTGGCAGGTGACAGGTGGTGGTCATAGTGATGGTTGTCATGGTAGTCGTTGATGGTTGATGTTGACAAGCTGCACACACACAAACACACACACACACACACACACACACACACACACACACAGAGGCAAGCAGGCAAGAGGGGGCATCAACAGTTGGGTCGTCACCGACCTGACTTTGGAGCTCACCGCCTTAGTAGTATACCATTGTTGTGGCCGTCGTTGTGCCCCCTCACCGTTATTCTTCCTCGTCGTCGCCCTCCCTCACCGTCATCCATCGTCGTCGTCGCCCTCCTTCGTCGTTAGCCCTCCTCATCGTCGCCGTCTCTTGTCGTCACCGTCCCTCGCAGTCATTCGTCCTCGTCGTCGCCCTCCCTCGTCGTCGCCTTTCCTCGCCGTCATCCATCCTCGCCGTCATCCATCCTCGCCGTCGCCGTCACTCCCTCACTGCTACCCCTCCTCACCGTCGCCGTCTCTTATCGTCATCATCCCTCACCGTCATCGGTCCTCATCGTCATCGGTCCTCGTCGTCACCGTCCCTCACCGTCATCTGTCCTGGTCGTCGCCGTCCCTCACCGTCTCCCTCACCGTCATCCGTCCTTGTCGTCACCATCACACTTGCTCATCGTCGCCATGCCCCACCGTCACCCGCCCGTCGCCCTCCCTCATCACCACCCATTCTTATCGTCGTCCATGCAAATCATCACATCACCGTCATCCCTGCTCATCATCCACTCTGGTAATTCCCTTCCACCACCCACCCCCTTTCCACCTCCACCTCCACCTCTTCACCCTCACAACTCATCACAACATCACAACTTCACAACTTCATCACCAGCTCTGCTCCAACTCTTCACCGAAAAGACAGTAGTGCCATTGTGAAAAAGAAAATCACATAGAAATTTACTGTGATTATGCATATCCTTTTATCATTTCGCGCACATCTTGACGCACATGTCTTCACGCTGGTGGCAAAGTGGTAGGTGGAAAGATAGGGTTAAGTGTTATAAATTGAGGAAGATAAGTAAGTCAAAAAAGAGTAAGAAGAGTCAGAGGAGCAGAAGGAGTAGTGAGTGAGGTGAGGTGAGGTGAGGTAGGATGAGATGAGGTCGACACCGAGTCAGTACCCCGGTCATCCATCGGACGGGACTAACCTAGGCGGGCGGGCGGCTGGGAAGGGAAAGATCGAGGTTCTATTCGCATCTTGCTCGCTGTGTAATGTACCAGTAGTCAGGCAATGTCAATTAGGTCAGGTACCTTAGGTAGGTATGGACTCAGGTACATGCAGTGGTTTCGATCGGGAAACTACCTGCCCATAGTAGCCACATGTCAGGTACATATAAGGTACATGTAGGTACTTATGCATTACCCTTATGCTTTGTCATAGGACCCCAATTCTCTCTTGGGTTCTGCTGATATCGCACCAGTCGTTTCGCAGATCTGTCTCGACCGAGAACTTCATCAAAAACGACTTTTCGTCGGGCTTTGACTTTTTCTTCCTCGTCATTCGTTGCAACAGCTGCAGTAGCAGCAGAAACAGCAGTATTAGTATGAATGGCAGAAGAAGAGTCTGCCTGATTCTCGGTCGTAATAGCGGGAGTGCTGTCCTTGGAAGAAGCAGTCGTTTCAGGGTTCGCCGCCTTGGTCGCAGCTTCCTCAGCCGCCCAAGCTTCTCTCGCCCGCTTCATAATGGTATAGCCCGCGCTCCCTTCTTTTAATGCGCCTTCTTTGACGGGATGTCTCTGTCGCGTCCACTCCGTCATGACGTGCCAAATAGCACTCCATGGTGCGTCCGTCTTGATACTCCCAGCTTGGCAATGCGAGCGAGTCGCTCTGTACCCAGCGTGGCGAAGTGCACCGCGTATTGCAGCGTCTGGAGGTGCGACGCAGTGGATTGCTTTGCTTACTGCAGAAGGATTGAAGAAGAAGGGATGGAGATCGAGGGTTTCTGGTGGCACTTTGGGGACGACTTCGTCGGAATCGCTTCTCTGAGAGGAGGGCTTGTATGATAAGACTTCGTCATTGACCTGAAGTTCTTCGAGCGCTGTGGACAGCATGCCTTCAATTCGTGGTTTGGTCTTGTAGACTTCGGCATCGACAGTTTCGAGATCCTCGAGAATCTTTCCTACGAAAGCTGCATTGTGAATAGGCCCTGCCCACATGGGTCCGGCCAGGTGTCTCTTGGATCCACAGTGCTCGCAGAGGTGGTCGACAGGAGGTCCTTGCCCAATGGTATGCTTCCACCAGACTTGTTCGTTCTTGCCAATCTGTTTTGTGTTCCGTCCTCGCATGTTGATGGTCCAGGCTCCGCAACCGTGATCACAGCCGAGGACGTCCATGGTCTTGCCGAAGAGAAATTTGACGTCGGCCGGAGACTTTCTGACTCGGATGAAGGTTCGGATGTAGAAATCGATGCTGAGTGAAAGAAGAGGCTCTATTGCGAGACCTTGCTTTGCTGCAGCTGTGGCGACTGAGTTGATGATCAAGCGGAGACCGCCTTCGTGCATGTGAGGGCCTTTGATTGGAGCTCCTCCGTACAAAGACCACGTCTTCTCGCAATAGCCGGTCGAGGCAAAGACTCCAGAGTCTGTGCAAGTGACGCACAGCAATCCACCCTCATTCAGGGACTGAAGCGCTGCATCTATGAAGGGCGCTGCGGTGCCGTATGGATCCAGGTCGACCACATCATACTTTTGATTGACGTGCTGTGGACCATGTGTGCCTGGTTCGGCATATGCGACACGATACATGTGGCCTATCGCATTGTCCAAATTTGGTGTGATCTTGGAGGCCAGGCCGTTGTGTTCTACATTCAATTTCATACTCTCGATGGCGCTGGGATTCATATCATTTGCAACCACTGCGGAGACATACGGGATCTCATGTGCATACCGAAGTGCACGAAGCCCTGTGGCAGACAGCGCGTCCAGAATCCGAAAACGAGGCCCAGTTTGAACCTTTGTCACTTCGGACTTCTGCTCTAGTTCTACATCCGCCGTCGATTGTAGCTCTGATGGACCAGTCACCTGAGCAGATTCTATCTCCACTGCCACAGCACTCGTAGGCACCACCTCGACTTGGATCGCGTTGCTTTCTGCAGCAGTACCATTGGCAGTGGGCTCCTTCTCTGGATTTACAGGGCCCGCATCAGTCTTTCGTAGCTTCACGCCACCCTCATCGCGCTCACCAGGAATTTTCCGCTTATTGTTACTCTTCTTCTCATTCTTCTGACGATGTTTTTCTTTCTGCACCTTCTTCCGGTGCAGAAAGTCATCCCCAAAAGCTTTGATAGCCAGCACACTGAGATCGCGATTGAACTGTTGGATGGGATTGTAAAAAACACTCTGTGCCTTGACACCTTCATCGGCCTTGCCCTTCGCTTTTGCTTGTTGCGGTGGAGTGACGTGTTGTTGTGTATTTGGAGGGATCAAGATGTAGGCTTGTCCCTCTCGGATGGTTTCATATGTCTTTCCATTGTGTTCGATGAGTTGTCCTGCTGCTGGCTTTGCGCCCAGAGGCACCGCGATGGCGGAATTTGCCATGCTGCAGCGGGCAGCCGGAGATAAAATAGAAACGGGGGAGAAGGAACACCGCAGACTCCTACCTGTTGCGAAGATCCAGCTAGCAGATCGGAGAGGAGTCCGCAGCATTCGTTCCTAGGAACATTTGCGTCGTTTGCGAAGTGCGAAGTGAAGATATGTAGGAGTGATGGTGAAGGGTGTGAGACACGGGAGTGTGAAGGAAGAATTTCTCGGGAGCTAGCCAATATTTTAGGCGCATCCAGCTCCTCTTCTCTTCTTGAATCGCACACACATCCTCACCCACCACATCACCCTCACAACATGGCCGCCGTTCAGATCACGGCCGCGCTGCCGACGCTGCCGGAAGGCTGGACCGCTGAGAAGGACTTCAAGGTTGTTGGACAGCTGTCGGCGCCCACACAGAGAGCCCTCGAGCCTGTGGGCCCTCACTACCTCGCACACGCCCGCAGAAAGCGACACAGGCGCACGTTCTCTGAGGTATGTCTCCTATTACCCCAATGTAGATAAGAAATAACTACTGATATCAGCCAGGACGAGAAACTCCAAGCCGAGCAGAATGTGAAAAAGGTCGAGCAGGTGGTCAACGATGATATCGACGAGGTGACGGATCCTATGCTACTCAACCGCGAGGCCAAGGACTGGAAGCAGCAAGATCACTATGCCATCATGGGTCTGTCCAAGTTCAGATACAAGGCCACCGAAGACCAGATCAAGCGTGCTCACCGCAAGGCTGTCCTCCTTCACCACCCCGACAAGAAGGCCGCGCAGGGACAGTCCGAAAACGACCAGTTCTTCAAGTGCATTCAGCGAGCCACCGACATCCTCCTCGACCCTGTCAAGCGCCGACAATTCGATTCCGTCGACGAGGCTGCCGATAGAGAGCCCCCGAGTAAGAAGGATGTGCAGAAGAAGGGCTTCTACAAGGCGTGGGCACCTGTCTTTGAGGCCGAATCTCGCTTCAGCAAGGTGAAGCCTGTGCCCAAACTCGGCAACGAAAGTAGCACAAAGGAGGAAGTCGAGGCATTTTACAACTTCTGGTACAGCTTCGACTCGTGGCGATCTTTCGAGTATCTGGACGAGGAGGTGCCAGATGACAACGAGAGCCGTGACCAGAAGCGTCACATGGAGCGCAAGAACAACAATGCACGAAAAAAGAGAAAGAACGAGGATGTTCAGCGTCTGCGTGAGCTGGTCGACCAGGCCTTGGCTGCGGACGAGCGCCCGAAGAAGTTCAGACAGGAGAAGAACAAGGACAAGAATGCGAAGAAGGCTGCTGCCGAGGCCGCTGACAAGGCCGCCAAGGAAGAGGCTCTTCGCAAGAAAGAGGAAGAGGCGGCTGCTGCCAAAGAGAAGGAGGCCAGCGAGAAGGCGGCACGAGAGGACGCGAAGAAGGGCAAGGAGGCAGCAAAGAACGCGGCGAAGAAGAACAAGCGTGTCATTCGTCAAGCACCCAAGGATGTCAGCTATTTTGCCGATGGCGAGCCCAGCGCAGCGCAGATTGATGGCGTGCTGAACGAAGTCGACTCGGTGATTCTCAAGCTCGATAACGAAGAGATTGCAGAGCTTGCTGCTCAGCTCAATGGTAAGAAGGACAAGACGGCTGTGAAGGGCGTCTTCAGCGCTCAGGTGGAGAAGCTTGTGTCGGCTGGAAAGGCCAAAGAGGGCGATTACAAGAACTTGGTGTAGATGGAATACAGGCATGCATCTCGTAGGAGGCGGGCGTTCCGATAGAAGGAGTCTTGTATGACCATAGATGAACACGAAAAGCGTCAACTGTCACACTACACAGTACTGTACTTTTTACTTCAGGACGATTCGTCTACGGCATGACTCGGACCATGGGGACCCTTTTTGCATGGACCCTTGTTGGATGCCGCGTGACAAGAGTGAATCCAACAGCGTCCCAGATGTGCTTGACGTGTTCGTGGTGGTGTGGCATTGTTGACGTCGGCCTCTTCCATCTCTGCTCCTTTGCTGTAGTCCATGACCACCGTTGACCTGATGACTTGCAATCACAAGAAGTCGTATAGATTCGAACTCCAGCGATACCGATCTTGGTGCCGAGATCACCATCTCCACACCCCACCGGACGCCATGCCATGCCATGCCATGGCTCTCCAGTATCTTGCCGCAATGGCTTGCATCCCACTTCATCTGATACCGACTTTGCCTTTACGAGACGACAGAACACCATGAACATGCGCCCACGACAGAATCTGCTCTGAAGCAAGACTTCTTTCGCCCCACACTCATCGCCACATCTCGCGCCCATTGACGCAAACATCAAACAACTTCCACCAATACCTGAGGCAGTGCTGAAACGATATACTGCTTCCAGCGCGGGAAATAATGTCCAACGAGCCTTCGCCGCTCTCAGGCACGCCGGTGCAAAGAGCCATCGGATCGGCGACGGCCTCAATTGAGCATAGTCCGCACAGTCAACCATCGGCCAGCGGCACCACTCTACTGCCCACTCGTTCGATACCCAATGCGCCGCTGGACGGACCAGCAGCTGTAGCGTCTTTCGTCCCCGCTTGGCGCAGACCTACAAACAATATCGACGGCGGGAGCGAGGCAGTACGACGACCCAGCGTGCAATTCGTTCCTAGCAAGTCCACTTCAGGCTCGCGCTCCAGCAGTGCGAATCCCCCTTCTGTCCGCCGAAGCACGGGAGCACATGCGAGTCGTACTACTGCTCAACTGCCCGCAGGCAGACGACTGAGCAGTCCTCCGCCGCCAGCACAATTCCGACCTTCTGTCAGTTTCGATACCTTCTCCAACCCTGCCGCGAGCGACTTTAGCTTGACCCTCAATCGCAAACACCGCGACTACGAGTACACCAAAAGATCGCGAACGTTCCTCTGCGGGACAGATACCAATGACTACTCGGATACTGCGCTGGAATGGCTCATTGACGAGCTGGTCGACGATGGCGACGAAGTCGTCTGTCTACGCGTGGTGGAGAAGGACAGCAAAGAAGCGTCTACCTGGTCGCGTGGCCAGGGTAAGGCAGGCTACAGAAAAGAGGCAGAGCGGTTTCTAGAGGAAATTGAAAAGAAGAATACAGATGACCGAGCGATCAGTCTGGTTTTGGAATTCAGCATCGGGGGAGTGCAAGATACTATCCAGAAGATGATTCGCATATACGAACCAGCCATGTTGGTGGTCGGCACACGAGGTAGAAGCTTGACCGGTTACCAAGGACTCCTCTCCAGCGGCAGTGTGTCGAAATACTGTCTCCAATACAGTCCCGTGCCCGTAATTGTCGTCCGACCCAGTCGCAAGCGAGAAGCCAAGAAAAAGAAGCGATTGGAAGATCCCAGCCGACAAAGCTATCGAGATATTCTCGACAAATCCGACGACGCTCCCCCCGGCAGAGGCACACATTTACTTGACGAGAAGAACCGACTCTCAATTATGGGTTCAGAACTCGGCGCTCTCGGCCGACTAGATGTGCACGATGACGAAGCACGACGAGTCGCCGAAGCCATCGGCTACAGACCTGTCGCCAACATCAGCGAACCTCACGAACCCACTGGCGGAAGCAGCTCACTCTCGCGCCTCTCTTCCACTCGATCCGAAAATTCTACTGCTGATGACGTCCGATCTCCGCCGACGCGAATTATGAAGTCTCCTTCACTCGGCATCATGGAATCCCCCGTCAACAGCGATGAAGAAGGCGAATTCGACGACGAAGAAGAACTGACTCCCGCAGCGGAAGCTATGCGCATTGCACGGGAAACTGCCATGCAGATTCGGGATGAAGTCAAAGAGGATCAGGAGGAGAGGGCCAAGAGAGGTCGAAGCCGGAGTCGACCTGATGATGGAGAGGAGAGTAGTGGAGGGGGAGGAGCGGCGATTTTGGATATTTTTGAGAAATTGAATAAGGGATTGAAGAATTGAAGAGAAAACATGAGTACCTGGGAAGTAGGTAGTAGCGTATACACAATTGTCAAAGAAGAAGAAGAAGACTCGGGTATTACAATCATTTCAGAACTGAAAGAATCGATCGCTCTATAAGAGAGTACAACATGTACCTCCTATTCGCTTCTTCTATTCTAACTCGTCTCCAATTCGTCTCTTTTTTGTTCTTCACTTTCACTTCCCCTCTCTTGGCAAAACCACGTCAAAAAGAGAAGAAAAAAAGAAAGAAAAAGAAACTGTGATTTCGTCATTTATCTGATTTTCTCTCTCTCTCTCTCTCTCTCTCTCTCTCTCTGACCGCGGACCGAATCACATACATACCATACATACATGACCCGAAATAAAGAACAGCTAGCTAGCTAACCTTTCTATAAACATCATCAAGTTTTCTATTATATTCTAAACAGAGTGGAGTAGACATATGACATAGTACTTTATAAGAGCATTAAAATCTTCTTCAATTTATAATTTTCCTGATGCATTTTCATTTTCATTTCATTTTCATTTCATTTCCTGTTGTTGTTGTATCTAGCTGTAGATACTTTTTTGTATTTTCATCTGCTGCTGACGCTGCTCCCGTCCGTCTAACTTCATAGCAGAAGAGGAGAGGAGAGAAAATTCTCTCACCCACCAAACATCTTGTTGAACCATTTATCTGCGGAATTCTTGTATGGTTGTGGGATGAAGGTGCGAGTATACTGTATTTCGAAGGGTCCCGAAGGGGAAGGATTAGTATTAGTATTATATTGGTGGGAGATGAACGAAAAAGATAGGAAAAAAAAAACATACCTCCTCAATCTCCTCCCTCTCCCCCTTCAAATCCACCTCCTCAGGCGCATACCACCTCGTCCTCTTGACAACCTTCCACCCCACAAACAACACCGGAAACAAAAACACCATAAAATAACTAAACAGAAACGTCTGCACCTCCCAAAACCCCGGCAAAAAAACTGTATACCCCCCCACAATCGCCATCACACCCGTCCACACCAATCCATACACAGCCACATATGGTTGCCCCCACGCTTTGTACGGCAGAGTTTCTCTGTTGATTCCTTGAGCATGTAGAGCGCGATACCACATGAGGAAAGTAAAACACATAATAGCGAAATTGATCAACTGAGAAGCGGTAATGAGATTAACGAACCAACCCAGAACTTTTGCAGATCCGGAAGATACAGACAAAAAAGCCAGCAAGCAAATTGCCAGTACGGCGAGAACGCAAGTATAAGGGACTCCGATACGATTTGTTTTGGTGAAAATTCTCGGAGCTTTTCCTTCGAGAGCGAGGCCGAAGAGACTGCGGGAGGCGCAATACATGTAAGAATTTCCTGCGGAAAAAGCTGAAGCGAGGACGAGGGCGTTGACGATGTGTGGAAGGACTCCGATTTGGAGACGGTTCATGGCGACGACGTAAGGGGAGGCTGCTGCTCCTGGTAGGCCGGAGGAGAAGGCGGCGGTGAGTTCGGGGTCGTTGTAGGGGACGAGAATTCCGACGCAGAGAGCGCCGAGGACGAAGAAGGTGGTGAGGCGATAGAAGACGGCATTGTAGGCTTTGGGGAGGACGATTCGAGGGTTTTCGGCTTCGCCGGCGGACATGGAGACGTAGTCGGGACCGGCGATGACAAAGGAGGCTTGGATGAGACATTGGAGGAAACCGAGAAAATAGGCCAAGTTGGGTTTGCCGGAAATTCCAGAGACTTCGGTGTATAAGGGTTTGAAAGCTCCAGGAGAATTCCAATAGCGGAATCCGAAGCGATCTCCTAGGGGGTTTCCGCCTAACATGGTCACAAAGGTGAAGATGATTAAACCGATGATTAATAGGACTTTCCCCAACGCGGCCCAGAATTCTACTTCGCCGTACCATTTGACATTGACGAGATTGATGGCGCCGTAGAGGATGATGATGATGAGCACCAGAGCCCAGGTGGGAAGGGCGGTGGACCAATAGTGGATGATGACATCGCAGGCGGTGATTTCAAAGGGGACTAAGATGGCTTCGAAGATGAAGAAATTCCATCCGGCGGCGAAACCAAAGGCTTCGTCGACGTAGCGGCCGGCGAATCGGATAAAGGGGGACGAGATGGGGAGGTAGGTAACCATTTCGGCGAGGCAGAGGGTTACGGCGAGGACGACTGTGCACCTTTTTTCTTCGTTAGTATTTACTGTATGGAGTTTTGGAGAGGAGCAGGAGGATACCAAAAAGTAAAAGCAATAAACAAACTCGCCGGTCCTCCATTCAGCAATCCTCGACCAATTTGTACATAGAGCGCAGTTCCAATAGTGCCTCCAATTCCAATGAGTTGAATATGTCGCGGTTTGAGCTGACGATGGGTATTATCGTGAATTCCACTAATGTTGTGCGAAGCGATGGAAGCAGCAGAAGTGGACATTCGACGTTCGACGTCGCTGCCGTCGTATTTCGGGGGGATTTCTGTTGTGATGCCATAGTCTTGTTTTTTGCTTGCAGAATGATTCTTTTCATTCTCTACTCCCACGCCATCGTCGCCGCCGCCGTTGCCGCCGCTGGTATCGGTGCGCTTGAAGGGGAATCTCTGTTTGAAGGGAGAGGACATGGCTGGTATGCGGGGGAAAGGTCGAGTCGGGTCGGGTTGTAGTCGTCGTAACTAGGTAGTTTCTGTTATACCATGCCCACAAATTCCGAACTGTGTCCTGTCATCAATTGGAGTAAGGGTACGACAGTGAGTGAGTAGGTGAGTAGATGTTCTCCACGACTCTCTCTTTTTTTTGAGAAAATACAAAAACTACAAGATAACCTACTACATGCATACATACATCATTCAGCCCCGATATGAGAGATAAGACGCCTTCAAGAAAAAGAGGGGAAGAGTGGCGTAAATCCCAGTCCTGGGCATCGCATCCTTTGATTGTAACTCGTCCAAACAACGACGACAGAGAAACTATCACAGGATTGCCAAGATGAACTAGTCAAAGTATAGAAAAATTCATCTAGACGTGTCCCTAGTATCAAAAAGATCGCAGGGCAAGAATAATCATATCGAATAACCCGTTGTCAACAACATATCCCTTCCCACTCCATCCATCCATCCATCCATCCATCCATCCATACAGTATACACTACCTAACCGACTACCCCACCACAGCACAGCACGGCACCCCTACAACCACCAACGACCACCACCAGAAAGCAAAATCCCTTGGCATACATCTTCTAGCCCCATTCACCTGCATTCACCTCCTCGGAGTGGCCGCGAGAGAATAAAAAGTCAATTCGCTAGTCAAAAGCTTTATTTCCACCAATTTCATACCTACCTGTTCCTGTATGCGTGGAACGGTGGAACATGTGAAATACAAGACAAAAGACAAGACGGCTAGGTACTGTAGGAGGTACTTCTTGGAGGTACATTAAAAGACTTTTTCTAGAAGACGGGAGAGACTACGACATGCTGTCCTGTCCTGCCCACGTGGTTAATAACTTGGTATTTGAGACAGAAAAGCTGAAAAAGCTGATGAAAAAGCTGAAAAAGTATATATACCTATGTACATGGTATGTGGCGTATGTGGCGTACGCGAGAGAGAAGTTCTGGAACATGTGTGCATGGCATGGCATGTATATGTACATTGTCTAATAAGCGAACAAGCGAACAAGACAGGTCGTTTTCGTATCGTGAGGTAGGAGGTAGGAGGTACATATATACATTAGCTTGGGAGGTAGAGGTAGGTGCAGTGTGCAAAGGGATCATGTAGAAAGGTATGTAAGGTAGGTAATAATAATACAACAAGTAGGTCAAGTAGTCCCCCAATCTGAGTAGGCACATTCAGCTCCGCCGAGCTGGGATAGCCTACTACTAAGGTACCGGTACTACACAATATCCAAATCATCATCATCATCGTCGTCGTCATCGTCATTATACAGCTTCTGCTGCTGCTGTCCAGGTAAACTCTCCCTCCCAGGCTCCCTAATCCCTTTGTCAAGCATAAATCGAGCTCTCTTCTTCGTAGGACTCTGACTCCCCGAACTTCGCACGGTACTGCCACCACCATCCTCACTTTCTCTCGCCCGCACCAGATTCGACCGTAATGTCGTCTGTCCACGCTCCGGACTGGCCAATCTGCTGTTGCCCTCCTTTGGTTGCAGCAGACCAGCTTTCTTCGCTCCACCCCACCCCATGGCGTTGGAAGACTTGTTCGCCGTACTTCTGCTCGACATGGATACCGCTCCCAGCCCGAAATGTTTCTTGCGATCCTTGGCAGGCTCCAGACTAATTTGATCCGACTTCCTCGCCAGCAATCCCAGTTCGGCCGCCGATTTCTTGCTAAAGAGCGATTCGCGAGCTTCTTCTGCACTGCTCAGAACTTTCGTGTGGCTCGTGGTCAACGTGGTGCGGACGTGTTTGGAGTTCCTCATCATCTCCGCGCCCGTCCCATGCCCCATCTGTCCGAGCTGTTTTGCAATGTCGCGATCTTTCTGTGCAGCCGCCACCCGTTTTCGAGATGCCTCTTCGCCCATCATATCGTCGTAGATTCGTTTATCATCATCATCCAACAAGCTCGCTGCGCTCTTGCCTCCCGTTCCCCCAACACTGTACAACGTTCCATATTCTCGGTGGTGCGTCACCCCCTTCGCATCCTTCTTCGACCGTTCTCCCGCCCGACCAGTGGCAATCCGTCTCCCTCTCTTAAAAGTAGCGTCGCCATCTTTGGTGCCATCGTTGAACATGGTGTTGACCTCCATTCTTCCCTTTCGAGCTTTCTCGATTTGGAGATTGATGTGGAACTCGCACGCTTCGGCTTTGCGGGTGTCGATCCATTCACCACACGGTTCGCCATTCTTCTTGATGGCGCTGCAGTATCCGAGATCGCGAGCGCTGCCAATTTCCATGACACAGTCTTCCGAGCTGCCCAACTTGATGGAGAATTTCCCGCTGTGCTGGTTGCCTTTGGGCGGCAGGATCGCCGGATTCATGATCGCGAGCAACGTACCTGGAGTCAGTTTCCAGAACTGGTTAAAGGCTGTGCCAAACAAGAAGCAGTCAATCTCCCATTTCAGATCGCAGAGATGGAGAACCATGAATTTGTTCTTGGGTGCCTCCAATTGATCTTCGCCATGCTTGTCCGTACTTCGATGCGTCTGAGCATGATCAAAGGGGCTTGATTTGGAGGCTAGCACGGCAAACACAACATAGTCGGCTTCACAGTCTGGAGGCTCATAGTCGGGGGATTTGACTTCGCGTAACAGCCTGGGTAAGGTATACACCTCTCGATTGGCCATCTCTCGGGCCACCACTTCATGTCCAATAAGCCGCTTCTTGAGGTGGATCTTCGAGAACGGGTCATAGCCTGTGCTTCCGCCGGTATCGTCGACGTCTGGTATCGTCTCATCTTCCGGTTCCTCGTGACCCGTGCCATTCTCTGCACCACCAGCACTACCTGCCCAGATCTTGCTGGCCTGCGGTCGGGAAGTGATCTCGCAGCGAGCCTGTCGCGTCGAGGATGACTGCGAGATGGTGGACTCCGATCGCACATGTCTCGCAGGTACCCGCCCCGCGGTTGCATCACGACCAGCCTCGGCCAGCCTCGAGATACGCCCAGTCGATGATGGCCCTGATCTTGCACTACTACCTGACCTGGAACTGACAGTTGACTCTGTCCTAACGTGACCAAAACCTGAACTTCGTACTTCCTTCAGCCTATCTTGCTTGGCCTGTTTCTGCTCGTCCTTCTGCTTGCTTTCTGCCAGTCGCTGGCTGAAGCTGGAGACTTTCGCTGGCTCCTCTTTTGCTGCTCGCAGCGCATGCAGAGATGTGGAGCGCTTGATCTGGTTCGGATCTCGAGGCCTCTTCAGTGACACATCTGCGGCCCTAGGGTTTGCAGTCAAGCCAAGTCTTGCTCGCGCTGGGGAAACATCCGTGCCTGGTCTCTGGTCTGAGGAGGGCGAAAGCGGGACCTGTATTGCAGGTTGTGGCAGAGCAGACTCGTACAATTTCCGAGGAGAAGCTGACGTTGAAGGGCGCATGCTGTCTTCATTCTTGCGCAGTCCATTGCTATTACTCTTTGTGGAGCCGGATCTCTGCAGCTTCTTCAATCTCAGCTTGGCCTGTATCTCTGCCAGCTTCAGCTGTAACGTCTCCTCGTCCTCGTCCTCATCCTCATCCTCCTCATCCTCGTCGCCTCCAGCCAAATCCCTCAGCATCTGACTGCTGCGCACGTTATTTCTGCCCGGACTGGGACTCGGTGATCTTTCCTCCTCGTCGTTCCGGCTCTTGTAGTCTTGCCATTTCTTCCTTCCACTCGGCGAGGACAACAGTGCTTGGAAGGGCGATCGGGGCGGCCATTGGGACGTGTTCTTCGAGGGAGAGACCTGAGCGCGTGGAGACTCGCGGACCACGACCATTTTGTCTTGTTTGGTGCTTCATAAGCCTGAATATGCTCTAACAATGTTGCATAGAGGCATGTTGTTGTTGTTTCAAATTCAAGAAGCTTGGTAGGTTTCACCCTCCATGCATGAATCCGTCGCGGGTCGCGGAAGCGACGCGTTTACGCGTCAAAGAAGACGCGACTTCTTCTCATCCTGAACTTAGCCGGCTCGACATCCACACAACAACCATCAATTGATCCCGGAATAGAAGTGACTCTGGTCCGCTTGAGAATAAGGGCATATGTGTGTATATATATCGATATATACATGAATCTACCATGGCCAGAACACGCGCCTCCAAGCCCGCGGCGAATGCCAAAAACGACGGAGCAGCACCAACATCGACGAAGCCGACATTGAAGAAGAAGCTGGACGCGCCCGTCAACACACCACCGCAGCTCTTCATCTTACCCAAACACGCATCAACGGCCGCGCGCATCGCCAGCATCCCGAACCCGTCCACGTTATCGCCTAGTCGATACTTCATTTGCCCGGACCAGGGATTCCACGAATTCACCAAGATTGCCGCTCCCAAAGCACAAAAGAGGAGCTGGCTGCTGGCTCCAGATCGATCAGCACAGGTAGAAGAGGCGCAGAAGAATGACGATGGCTATGTGTTGCAGACGCCCGACATGTTGGTTGCGACACCAATCGACCCTCTTTTCCTGCTTCTGCCAGCTCTGATGGGAGAGGAGACGGGAGCACAGGAGTTCATGGCGTCTTCTGACTACACTGCGAAACTGGGCGAATCTGCACCGCAGTTGAGGAGTCTGCTCGAATCAGACAGCACGAAGACGCTGGAGCGCATCTTTGAAAGTAGAGTGGAAGCTGTGAGCGACTGCATGGACATGGGAGACGAGAAGATGTATGCCCTGTCTCTTCCAAAACTGGTCAAGGAGCTCGTCAGCAAAGCAAGGCGAATGTCAGCCAGAGGCCTGCCTGCGACCATGGAAGAGCACTTCGTCAGACAGGCCCTGGACGTCCCCGTCCTGAGCGTAAAGCGAGAGGAAAGTGGCTTCAGTATGGCCAGTGAAGACTCTGTAGAAGGAGCTGAGAGCCAGCCTCCATCCGGAGCCGATTCTCAAGAATCGACAACAACTACTACAAGCGTGGAACCAACCGCCACGTCCATTTCCATCACCTCCACCAACGACACATGCAAGGAAATCGCAGATCTGCTTCGCCTCCGAGTAGCTCTGAACTTCGTCCTGACTTCCTACATCCTACCCAAACTCAAAAAACGCCTGGACCCTTTACTCTTGGACCCAAAAGTCATAGATATAGATTTCGCTCCTCTGGACAAACAGCTTGCGCATATTGCTCAACTGAAGAAGGATGCTCAGGCATTACGTTCTCTGAGCGACAATATTTCCAGAAAGCGTGCTCACGAGGTGGACGAGGAAGCCGGAGAGAGGGCTGCAGAGAAGAAGCGTAAGCTGGAAGAGGAAGAGAAGAAGAAGAAGAATATCAGTCAAGGCGTCAAGAGGTTGGCCAAGGCTGATACGAGTGGCATGAAGAAGATGAGTAGCTTCTTCACCAAGATGCCGCCTGCTAAGACAGCGAAGAAGTGACTATGAAGGCGTGATGAGTATATGATCAGCACGAGAAGACTGTTTGTGCTCCCACAGCTTGGACATGAAGATTCGAAATTCGGACCTTGAGGAACCAGAATATCGAAGGTCCATCCCGTCGTGCTCGACTGTCACACTCGTGCGCTCCTCGTGGCTAGGAATTGCCTGCCTTGTGCTACTGGAGCGACCAACGATCAGCTCCACGCTCTTTTCGCAACCAAGGCAACTGCTGTTATACTACTACACTCGCATTAGCCAAAAATGCTGCGGAAGTCGTCGCCAGGATGAGAGAGTGACGACGGAGAGAGCCATTGGAGTCATGTATTGAACCAGAGCAGGACGAGCAGCGTCCTCCAGGATTCTACCCCGGACATGTGGGAGGAGCTACCCGCACAACCGACTTGGATGGATACGAAGGCTATAATGGATCCAATCGAGTTGTTCGCTTTGCGTAATGCGATACGTTGGTCCCAGTGGTTGGAAAGAACCAGATTGCCAGCGAATCATCGCCTAGTCCAATTTGGGATACATTTACGGTCTTGCAAGAGTAACGATCTAGTCTTGAATTCCATAATTCCTTCCTCTCTCACTCTAATGAAAAGGAATACGATATCAATATGATGAGGTACCTTGCCGGATGGTCATTCGCGCATGCCACGTTCCTGCGTGCGCCGCATTCCTACCACAATGGAAAAGAAACCGTTCCTGTGGGCTCAGATCGTGCAGATGCAGCCCCCCTGCAGCCACAAATTCCCCAAAATATGCAATTCAGCGCCGCTTCGCATTAACTTCAAACATACCTCTCGCTCTTCTACCAACAGCATCTCGGTCTTTTGCCAGATCTAGAAACAACACTTAGTTGAATCGTCCACCTTGCCATGTCCTCGACGCCGTCATTGAATCTTTTCTCAGCCGAATACGGATGTCCCCTTTGTTAGCTGACTCCATTGTCCACAGCCTTACCAAATGCACTCCTCCCAGCCATGCTACTCCTCAATGCAGCAAGAATTAATACTGGGGTCGAACGAGAAGTCTGGATCAGTTTTGATTTCCCATTGATCTATACCATTTAACCTCCCGTGAAGGAAGTCTCAACATACATACTTCTCGTGAGGCTGGCGACGAAGAGACATGTTCGAATGGCCCAATCTACGCCATCCCATTCCTCCAGATATCTCAACGACTGGCGGGAGACTATAATGGACTGGAACAGCAACATGATGCAGATGATGAGACCGTACAGCGCCGCGAGCGATTTTGTTGAGAAGATACAACGTCTACGATCGAATTCGACGTATCTGGTTGTTGTCGTTTCGCTGTCCTTTTTTACTGTGAGTTAGGACTTGGAATGGATTCATGAAGGCCGTATTCTTCAGGAGCTAATGCTTATCTGTCACAGGATTTACTGGCGTATGGTGTCGTAAGTCTGGCCATATATCAGAAGAAGAAATGAAGGCTAGCATGAGCCAAGCTCACTCGATGTCCCCGTTCAGATCGTTCCTGTCTTACCTACTGCGCTCATTACACGAGCAGGCGTGGAACCAGGTCATGGTAAGTCCCATGACACTAACTAGCAAGAGATCCCACAAAATTCCTTCTGCCACGAATGACATTTGCGAATCATAAAAGAAAAGGCATACTAACCTCCTCTATTTCCCCCAAACAGAAGGCTTCTGGATCTCCATCCTCCTCATCTGCGAATCCGCCTCCGCCCTCATCGCCAGTCCCATCGCAGGCCATCTCGTCGACGCACACGACACTCGCAAAACCTTCTTCCTCCTCGCCATCGCTCTGCTCTTCGGCTCCATCCTCTGGACCGCATTATCCACTTCCATCCCCTTATTCATCCTCGGCCGATGTATCCAGGGCGCGGCGACAGCTTGGGTACGAGTCTCCGGCTTCGCAATGGTGGCGGATGTCATCCCCGAAGAGAAAATCGCGGTGACGTTGGGTTGGTTGGGCGCTGCGAATACGGCTGGTTTCACGGTGGGGCCGGTTTTGGGGGGAGTGTTGTTTACGTATGGAGGTTGGTGGACGGTATTTGGGACGTTGTTGGGGATGTTGTTTTTGGATTTTTGTTTGAGGTGTACGGTTACGGAGCGGAAAAGGGTGATTGAAGAGGAGGATGAGTATGAGGGGGAAGGGGAAAGGGAAGATGAAATTGAGGTTGAGGGTGAGAATACTACTATTTATGATCATGATGATGAAGCTATCCTGCAGCCAACAGTGCCGCGGAAGATGAAGAAGAAGGAAAAGAAGAAGAGGGAAAATGGCTTGATCGTTCTAGCGCGCCAACCTAGGATGATATGCATGCTCTGTGGAGTGGTTACCTCGGGGATCCTAATCTCTTCGTTTGATGCAGTAAGTCCTCAAAAGAAGGGGTAGTGTTCTTTCTGTGGATTCCCTCACTAATGACTTTCATCATAGACCTTACCTCTCTTCGTCCAAGATCGCTTCCACTGGGATGCTTTAGGCCAGGGTCTGATCTTTTTACCCACAGCATTACCAGCCCTCCTCGATCCTGTCTACGGTAAGTTTTGCATAGCAGCAGCAGCGACAGCCACAACAAACCCATAACCCCCAAGAAAAGCAACACCCACTAACAATTTTTCTTCCCCCAGGCTACCTCATAAACAAATTCGGCGTCCGCAAATGCGCCACCACCGCCTTCCTCGTCCTATGCCCCATCCTGCTCAGTCTTCGCTTCATCACCACCTCCACCCTCCTCCACAAAACTCTCCTCATCACCCTCCTCACCCTCCTCGGCAGCGCCCTCAACGTCGCCGACGTCTCCCTCCTCGTCGAAACCGACGATGTCGTGCGCCACCTCCGAGAAACTCAACCACAACTCCTCAGTCCCCGAGGCGCTATCGCGCAGTCCTTTGGCTTGCAGACGATGGGATATCATCTAGGGGTCTTGTTGGGGCCTCTCGGGGCGGGAATGTTGAATCAGTATGAAGGGTGGGAGTGGATGACGGTTGCGTTGGGGGCGTTGGCGGGGTGTATGGCGGGAGTGATGTTGGGGGTGGGGAAGAAAAAGAATAGGAAAGGTCGAGGAGGGGAAGAAGAGTTGGGAGATGGGGAGGATCAGGAGGTGGAAATGCAGGGGTTGATGGGCACGAGGAGAGGTGGAGGAGGAAAAAGGGGGGAAGGGCAGTGGGTGGAAGAGTCGGTGGAGAGATTGGGGAAAACACATATTCCTCGTAGACTTCCTCTTCCTTGACCTTGACTTTGGTACATACAGCGTGGGAATGTGGCATGCATGGTAGTTTTTCACCTTTTTTTTCGTTCGTTCGTTCAGTCTGATCTGATCTGATCTGATTGATTCATCGTTCATCTGTATCTGTTCGCACCTATAAAGAAAACACTTATAACCCACCCAACCTCTGAGCTACGCAGTGAAATAACTTCACACACTATCATCATCCATCCACCGAAGCCAATCTCACCTTTCCTTAATGAACTTCCCCATAACAAACTTGCAACGGAATCCTCAACTTCGTCACCTCATAATTATGATTATTCTTATCATCATTACAAGCTAGAGAAACTTCCAAATCAATCACATGTCTTCTACTTAGCAATGGAGACCAGAAATCTGGAATCACCAAAGAAGAGGGTGGTAGTTGTTGTTTTTGTTGCTGTTTGGAATGGTGTTGATGGTGTTGATGTGGATGTGGATGGAGAAAAAATGGGATTTTCAGGGAGTGGGTAGAGATTTCTTCTTCTTCTTCTTCTTCTGAATTGGAGGGTTTGCAGGGTTTGGAGAAGGAGGACGACGAGGACGAGGAAGAAATTTTCGATTCATCTGGCAAAGGAAAAGAAAATTCATCAGCTGGGAGAATTTTTGGCAAAAGTAGTAAAAAATATCGAAAAACTTGAACAATTTTTTGTTTTGTTTTAAAGAATCTGGAAAACTCACCTTCACTCTCCTCATAATCATCATCTTCTTCTTCGTCTTCTTCCTTAGAACCAAGCCTCTTCCACCCCTCCAATTTTCCGGTATAAACCTGTCCATCAATTTTCTCCTGTCTGATAATCGCGATATCATCATCATGATCATCCTTTCCATGACGATGGCGCTCAATTCCTCTGTGTACAGGATGAATGGCATGCATGACCGGCAGAGCAGGTTCACGCATGATGAAGGTGAGAGTCCTGAGTTTGGCTTTGATGGTAAAGGTATTTGGAAGAGGAGGAGGAGTGTTACGGAGGTTTCTTTGTTCCATTGAAGAAGAAGAAAAAGAAGGGGTGACTTTTCTTCTTCTTCGTGCGAGCATGAGGAGGATTTCGATGGTGGTGCTAGCGGGGCTCTGGCGTATCTGATGATGATGATGATGATGATGATGATGAGGTGTTATGATTACTGGAGGGGGCTCTTGCGTGATGATGCCCAGTCTGCTGCTGCTGCTGCTGAGAGTGAGTGGAGTTCCGCCGGGCTGTGATTGCAGTATCTTGTTCACGCGAAGAGTATAATCTTCGGGAAAGTCTTCTACGGGAAATGAAGTAGGAGGAGATGTGAGTGTGGGCACATAGTGGAACATTTTCGTGGTGGAGGATATGAGCTTGTTCTCCACGTGTGCAGAGGCAATGAGGGTATATGTGATTTCGTAATACGCGGTAGAGCCAGATTTGAATGCATCGGACCAGTGCCGTTGGGCGTTTTTGGAATCTAAGGAGGGGAGGAGTTGTTGACTGAGAGTGGAAGTCGTGGTGAGGTAGGATGCTCGGGGAAGGTGTTGTAGATTGAAGGCGAAGGGTAGTTCGATTTCTGTGCGGAGATGGATGTTTTCACACTCGCACAGAACGTGAGAGAGGAACTAGGACATGTCAACATCACACACCCAAATCAGTCGGAATCAGTGTTGACTCACGGTATGTGCTTCATGGTTCGCATTCGAACTCATAGACTGGCTGGCATCATCGATCGTCCTGGTTTTGACGCTACCTAAAGCAACTCAGCACCACCGACCACATAGCAATACCATTCACGACTGACCTTGAACGATAATCCTGCAACGAAGTCCCGTCAAGGGTTTCTTCGAATAGAACCGGGCTTTGCCAGTAATTGGTTCGGGACCCCAAAAGGTTCGCGTATCGATGCGCGATGTAGCATCATCATCCTGTCCTATGAAGATCCTAGCGTCGACCGCTTGTGAAGATCGCCAGCGAGGAGGCATGGTGGCGTCCGTGTGCTTGCTAGGTGTCGTAAATGGAATACGCCGCCACAAGTGAAAACGAGAAAACTAGCTAGTGCTCATATCTCGGTCAGCGTCACGATCACCTGCCGGCATAGGCGCAACTACGAGAGAGAGATTAGTGCCATATCAGGCCTATCTATACATCACCACCACCTATCTCATCAAGGGTACGCCAGGTCATATGGTGGTATACTTCCTGCTGCCACAATAAGCTTCATGGTCGGCGGCATTCTCGGGGTCCCCTTTCTAATTGCAGTGTGCAACAGTGAACTGGCAGACTTGCGGAGGATTCTGCACGGAGTCCAGATCTTCTCCGACACACAACCACGACAACGTAGTGGGCACGTTTCGAAGACGAAAGTGGTAAAAAGGGTGCCACAGCCGGGGACAATCGCTCTGTTGTTGTTATAGACATTTGAGTTTGCCAGGATCGTTCTATATGACCCTAGCATCAGCTGAAGGTCCCTATCGCATATCCGTTCGGGGTGCTCGCCGTCGGGCCGCGCTTAGATGTGACTCGTCTCGATGGAGAAGAGGACTGGAACAGGGACACATAATATGAATTCGAGTAATGTACTTCGCAAAAGGTGGTATCGTGCGCAAACAGAATCATCAGCAAGCAAGTGACAAGGCCTCCCATTTTCTCTCATTAACCAATAATGTGGTCAATCCCTTGGTTCTCTCATGTTCACTCAAAGATCCAGGAATTCATCGTCCCACATCCTCCCCGCGTGATCCAAAGCCTCCCCAAAACCACCAACAACCTTCGTAGTGGCGCCGGTAACAGCAGTAGCAGTAGCTTTGACCCACTCACTGTACGGTGTCCCTGTCACAGAACTCTCTGCAAGTCTGCCTCCTGCAGCGCCAGCACCGGCGGAAGTAGGAATGCTCATCACAGGCGGTGTCGAAACCCCGAAAATGGTGTGCAGCACAGGCTCAAGCAGCTCTTCAATCCACCTCCCAACAGGGTATTCGATCCAGCCTGCCCACCGGAAAGGCTTCAATAGTAAAGCTGGGAGTGCAAAAGGAAAGTGGACTTCGGCGATTCGACTGTAGCCCCATGGATCGGAAAGGGATGATTCGATCCAGTACCAGAGAATGAATGATAAGACAGCCCAGCCGACCGCGGTGGGCCGGGGTCTGTCGTGATTAGGACCGGTGTAGGTGAAGAAGAACTCTCGAGTTTCGGTCCAGAGAGCCGAGTAGACGGAGGTGAATGAGCCGCCACAGTGTTCGCATATGGTGCGAAAATCGTGCGGTTGAGTGTAAGGCTTGAGGTGGCGAGGCCAGTGTGGGGCCTGGTCACCTTTGACGTGATGTATTTCGCGAATCTGTTCATCATTGGCGTCAGCCTCTTCGTTTTTGACTTGTTGGCCTGTCGCATTCTCGATCTGATTCTCTATTCGCCTGATACCGCGTGAAGCGTCTTTGATCGTAGTGCGCGTGTTGCGAAGTCGCTTATTGAGTGCTTCAAGAGCGAGGGCTTCCTGTCTGCGGTCTTTCTCAGTTTGTGTGAGATGCTTGAGATTTTCAGCGTCTGGGGGAACATCTCTGGTAACATCTTCCGCAGTGTTAGAGCTCGTCCGTTCGAGGTCGGGGTGGACAATGTTCTCCAGAGAGGCAATTGTGCTTTCACCAAGCTGAGGATCTCGAGTTGCTCTCGCACCTGAAACCACTGCTTCTAGTGCAGACTTTGGGTGAGACGGCTCCGACAGTACTCTCCTAGGATCACGAGAGCTTGCTGATGATGACTTCAAAGCTAAGCCTCGTGCAGGCTGAGTATCCTCTGCAGCTTGCTGCAGCTCGTCAGCTGTATCGATCGATGCCCCAGTCACAACAGAAGTCTTGTGCGGCTGCTCCCCATCTTGCGGTGCTGGCTTTGCTTCAATCTCTGCGACCTCTTCTCTTCTTGCCTTCTCATCGTGAATGCGCACTCGCCGCGCCTCTGTTCGCGACACAGCATTGCGAGTCGTAGTGCTTCTGTCGGCAGTGGAGCGAAGCGCTTCTGCTACATTGCTGAGCGGAGCTGCGTTCGGTTTGACAGCTTCATCGGCTACCTTCTTGTCTTGGCCAGGACTGGGCGACAAGCTCGATACACGCGCAAGTTTTCTCAGCAGTGCAATCGAGTCGTTGCGCGAATGTGAATGCGACTGCATCTGATCTCTCCCCAGCGCGGGTTCCTTTGCAGTATTCGAGCCTTCTTCGACAGCATTAGGAACATTTTCCTTGTCGCTCAGCCGCCTCTCTCTCCGCCTTGCCACCCTACTAGCAAGGTCCAAGGACGGCGCGCTGCCGGGTCTATCCAAAACTTCTGACATTCTCCTCCTCGAGTCTCCATGCTTCCCGGTGTCCTTGGTCTCCCCTTTCATCAGCTCATCGATCTTCCTGTCTCTGCGATTTACAGCAGCAGGCGTCGAGACGAGCATGCTCGCATCGTTGAAGTCCAAGTCTTCGCCATCGCTGTGGGTTGTCTGGATTGTAGTATTCATATGGCGCATCGAGTTGGGACTTGACATGATCCTCTTGCGGGTCATTGAGGGCGGCGTATCCTCCACGCTCGGTAAGACACCAACACCTCCAGGACTCAGCACGGGATGCTCATCGCCTGTGTACAGCGTCTGGTGCGGCCAAATAGAGTCTTTATCCTGCCTCACAATCCTATACTCATCCGACACTGATCTCCGCTGCCATTCCCTCTTCTTTGCCCGTCTGCCCCATTCCTGCGGCACGTTAAGCGCAGGTGTCAGCCGGTTGTCTCCTTCACTCGCGATTCTCTGGTGAGCAGATCGCGTCTCGGTCGTGATTGTCGTCGTGCCTTCCAGCGTCAATACTGGGTCTGTCGTCTTCGGTCGTACCGGTCGCGGTCTTGCGCGTGGAAACAGTTGTCGAGTGCCGTCATTCTGGTTGAGAGCGCGTTTCTCCCGCTGAGCAGCCAAGAGCTTCCTCCCAAAGTCGTCCGTCTCATTATCGTTCAATGCGCTCAAGTCGACGGAATCTGAACTCCTGTCATCCCCGTCCTGCACGCGAACCTTATCCATTGCGCCCGTCGCGTCGACCGTTAGGGGAGTTTCGAGACGTTGTCGCGCCCTGGTATACCGCTGCCGAGTAGATGCCACGTAGGTTGTAGTTGCTGTGTAACTCATTATTCTGCATGTGCCATACTCCCGCTGAAAATGCCACTGCCAATGGGAGAAGAGAGAAGTCGTGTTGAATTGTTTATTCGTTAAATCATTAATTCACATCTGACCCGCGTCGCCCTGCGTGGAGCTCATCCCTGTCGCACATCGTTGCCAAGAACTGCAGGACCGCCCCACTCTCGCGCAACGTCAGGCAGGTGCAACCACGTTATAGTAAGGTACATGTAGCATTTCATTTACTTGTGCTGCTTTCCTACGCGTTGAAAGGAAATCCATAACACTCATACACCAAGACCACGACCGCTACCACCACCATCATGTCCATCGCCGGCGCTCGCAGCAACATCGACATCAATTGGCGCACAATCGACATTGACGCCCTCGATCCCGAATCCTCGTCCAACTTCGATCTCACAACTCTCACGCCAGCAATCACACCCATTTCAGCCGCCGAGGTCCAAACGCTCGCTGGCCAGATACGGCAACTTCTCCGAGGTGGAGACTCAGAAGGGGCATTGAGAGGCGCATTAGAGAATGTGCCATACGGAGCAGACGAAGGCGGGAAGGTAGGCAACAACAACAACAACCACACAACTCGCATCCAGGCAGCAAAAACATGATACAGGGGACGGGCTGATGTTGATATACATATTTGTCATTAGGCAATCCATCTAGCGACAGTCACAGAGATTCTGCAATCGATCCGACAAGCAGAAATCACGCCGATATGTCAACGAATCTCGCAGTCGGAAGGCGGCTCGGAAGTGTTGGATACATTGATGAAGTACTTGTACAAGGGCATGGCAAAGGATGCTCCGAGTGGAGGAGGACGGGGGACGCCACAGAGTGTGACACCACAGGCTACGGGGTTCAGTCAGATTGGTGGGAGAAGTTTTGGTCAAGCTCAGGAGGGTGGTGCACAGGCGATGAGTGTGTTGCTGAGCTGGCATGAGAAGGTAAGTGTCCCGAGAGAGAAGGGTGTTGTGGATGAAGGAGTGCTGACGACTGGACTTGTAGCTCATTGAGCTGGTTGGACCTGGCAGCATTGTCAGAGTCATGTCAGATCGGAGGACGGTTTGAGCCTGGCGAATCACCACTGGGTAGGCCATAGAAGCTCATACCGCGGGCTAGGGTTCACCTGGTCCAGCGAAAATGCGATGACACCAGTCGCCAATGAAAAAACAAGCCTCGCAGCTGATGACCTCCTTGCTACAGCACAAAGCTAGTACAAATATATCATGGTCTCAAACCGGGGCTAGGCGCTCAACAAAGACGCAACTCACATTTTATACTGATCTTCAAAAGTATATCGTGCACTGCTACCTGCCTTAGGTACTGATGAAGACTGAGGAATTTCTGCTACCTGCTTACAGACTCTGTTTCTACACTTGAGGTCCATTTACATCAACCAGTAAGGTAAGTATCAGCACAGAAAGAATATGTACCTGTTTCTATATTTCATACTCCATTCATATCTCTCGTACCCTTCCTTCTTTTCCATCCCTCCCTACAACTCATCATGTTTCCCCCCTGCCTCCTGATCAGCCACTTTCTTTGCAGGTCTCACCTCCACCCCACAAACAGCAGGCGTCCCCAACTCAATCCGATACACACATTTCTCCTCCTCCATGATTTTCCAAATTTCATTTTCCTCACTACACGCCAAAATCACCGTCGCAGACCGATTCGGTCCATTCCAGCAATGTTGCCCATTCTCATGCTTCATGGCAATTCTCTCTCCCGTGCCCAATCCTTTTCCATTACTCGGCAACTCCTCATCGACATAGATGGTTTCGATTCTCGTGAAGGATCCCATATTCGTCGCTCCACCGCCCTTTTTCGATTTCTGATTCGTGCGGCCCAGGAAGCAGAATTCGTACGTATATTCGCCGGAGTCTTTGCTGACGCAGGTATCTTTGAGGGCGCGGAAGACTCCGTCCGGGCCAAAGTCTTTGGCGAGGTCGTCGGAATGTTCGGTGTGGGATTTTCGCGCATCGGCGAGTGCTTTTTCTGCCGCTTTGAGACGTTCGCGAGCTGCGGTGACTTTTTTGGTTTCGGTGCCGGAGTTATTGTTGGCGAGGATGCCGTTGTCGATGAGGGTTTGGCGGAGATTGCGGAGGTTTTCGTCTATGAATGTGCGGAGGGAAGATGGGAGGTAGGCGGTGAAGGAGAATACTGTGAAAGCGTGTTAGAAATATGAAAGAGAGAGAGAGACAGAAGGGATTGAAGACTGGTGGGGGGCTTGGGAGGCACTTACAACCTTCAGTGTCGCTCTCATCCTCCACATATTCCTCCCAGTCCAGTCCATTCTCCGAGTCCTCCTTGATCAGCTCCGCGATGTCACGCTCCGCAGCAGCGTTGGGCTCTTGGCCGAGTGTGTGGCTTGCAGCATAATCTTCCCAAGCTCTCACCGCCCGCTTCACTCCCTCATCGTTGAAATTGGGGTTGTACTCCTCCTTGAACGTAGCAAGCAGACCTTCCAGCTGCTTCAACCTGTCTCGATTCGACTCTAACTCTCCTCTTGTCGATTTCAAATGATTCCTCAACTCATCCATTCTCGCACGCGCCAATTCCACCAACTGACTCAATTTCCCGCCTTTCCCAGGCCCAGCCTTCACAGTCTTGCCAGCTTCACTCCTCTGCACATCCTTCAACTCTTGCTCCATGTTTCTCACTTTAATCTCCGCAGCTCCAATCTCCGTTCCCAAACTCTGCAATCGATCCTCCACGGCCTTTCGTAGCCTCTGCGCCTCCACCACCAGCTCAGCTCGTTTCTTGCTCGCAGCATTCAAACTCTTCTGTCGCGCTTCGTCGTGTTTTCTCCATTCTTGACCAATCTCCGCGCACTTATCTGGGCACTTGACCAGACCTTCCCACTCCTCGCTGCCATCACAGCAGAGCTCGTAGTCGCAGATGCCATCATTGACGTTGGAAAACGAGACGTAGCTGGGCCGATGGCCTTTGTTTTTGCAGTAGAATCCTGGCAGGCTGTTGGTGCCATTCGCAGGGTTTTCCAATGTATGTGGTGAGAGGGGCGAAAGGTGCGCACATGCTGCGGTGCCGGGTTCGTCTGAGCCGTCGGGACAATCGCAGTAGTCGTCGTTGACGCGAGAGAAGGGGATGCTGGTCGCAGGGTTGGTGATGCAGTTGAATGAAGGAGAGGAGGTCGTGTCGTCGTAGAATTTGGCAACTTTTGGTTTTGTTCGGGGTCAGTCAGTTGTGGGAGATGCAAACAGGCATTGGGTTACTATAGAGAGAGAGGGGGGGAGAGGGTTATGCATACATTCAGGTCCTACACCTCGTGGACGAGCAGCCTGTGACAGGGCAACACACTCGAGTGCCACCAGGGCTACTGCGCTTGTTTTCATGGTGGTTGGCTAAAGGGAACGTGGTGGTGGAAAGGATGAACATTTATTAACATTGACAGCTTGCCAGACCATGAGGTCGAGCTTGAGCTCGAAGCCAAGACTCAGGAGCAACTCCACTACCTTACTACCTGCATCAGCGTTTTTTTTATCTCGATGCTCTGTTCAACACTTTACAGATCACCTACAAGAGTGCAATGGCAAAGAGAACAAGATCGAAAGAGAAAAGACAAGACGAAGCTCATATGACCTACTAGTTCTGATTCCCATTGCTATTATCTCCTGTCGATATATTCTCAAGCTACACTTCTCCACCCCCATCCGCCTTTACTGACTCTACACACACAAATCAATGCTCCCGCAGCAACTGTCATCACACCACCATAGGCCCAAGTACTCGCATATCCACTGTCGTCCAAGATGGCCCCCGAGATCGGCGTGCCCACCAACAGTCCTATACTCGTGACCGCAAAACCCATGCCCATTCGCGTTCCAATCAGTCCTCGATTTTTGGTGATGTGAACGTAAATCGTCGCGGGTAAAGAGACGAATGTGCCGGAGAAGAAACCGTATAAAGCGGCAATGGCAGCTACCGATCCAAAGGACTTGGCTGCGATGAGACAGAGACAGAGGATTCCGGTCATGAAGGTGCAGGGAATGATGACGTTGAAGGGCCCGATCCGGTCTGCTACAAGGTTAGGCAGAACTCGGCCGAAAGTGCTGGCCGCGTTGATGATGGCGAGGAGGTAGAAGGCGAGGTCGGGAGAGGTTCCGAGAGAAAGGGCGTAGGATTGGATGTAGAAGAAGGGAGTCTAACACACGTTTTCGTTCGATATTGTCAGTTTGAGGCCAAAATTGTCAGCATGATGGGGGAGTTGTGGTGGGGTGGTAAAAGCGTACGTATAATCCCAAAAAGCCGATAAACGTCCCGAACACGAAGAAGATGTAGGGGATCTCCTTCCAGGCTGACAGATCAAACATCTTTCTCCTCCCCGCCGGCAAGACTCGAACACGAATGACGGCATTGCTGATTCCCAAAGTCCCCAAAGAGATGAATCCGAGCACTCGCACCGCCCAAGGAAAGCCAATGGCGGGCTGCAATCGATAAAATGCGACTGGATAGATCACTCCCCCAATACTCGACCCTGCAGCAGCAATTCCCACAGCTGTGGCGAGACGTGTACTGAAATACGTGCTCAACACCGCCACACCAGGTATAAACAAACATCCCGTCCCAATGCCGATGCAAACCGCCTGCGAGAGAATGACTTGGTAGTATTCTGTACAGAGAGAGAGCATCATGGTTCCGAAGACTACGAGAAATGTGCCCACAGCCACGAGTGTACGAACATAGCCTGCGTCATAGATGGGTCCAGTCAGAGATCCCACTAGCATCAACAGTGTTCCTTGCAGAGAGCCAATCCAGGAGATGGCACTGGGAGTGGAGCTGGCGAGAAGGCCGGTCTCGTAGTATGTTTGGTAAGTTCCGAACGTGTTGATGATTCCCCAGGTATTCATGAATAAGAAGAAACTGGAGAGGACTTGTAACCAGGCCCAGAGACCTCCATTGGGAACGTGTTTGATGTTGTGGACACTGGGTTTGGAAGAGGCTTGGGTGCCCACTCGTTGCAGCGCTTCGACATTGTTGCCGTCTTTTTCGTCGGGGAAAACGTCCTGGTTGTCGTCGTCGTGTTGCGTGAAGGGTGGTTCGGCGGCCTCGATGATGACCTCTTTTTGATGCTCCGAGAGATGTGATTCCGGGCTGCTGTCTTCGGCAGGCTGGTCACTATCCGCTGACTTTTCTCCCTCGAACTCCTTGTCCTTGCCGAGATCACTTGCAGAAGATCGCGACATTCCCATTTCCTTGCTATTCTTGGCGCCCTTGCTAGGAACTAATTAACTTCCGGTCTCGGTCTCTGGGAACTGGGGTAGAACGAAATATTCCCGGTGTTGACCAAGCGCAATTTCGTGACAAGGGACTTGTGAGATGATGCTGGTTCCTGGTAACAAACAAAGCCTTTGTCCTTTGGTCTTCACCACCGAAGCAATCTGAAGTGAAGTTGGAGATGGAAAGACAAAACAGCACCTCCTCCTCCTCCTCCTACGTACTATTTTCCTTGGACGTTCTTGCGCATGCTCAAGACCGAGGAGGAGCCATCCCTGACGTTCGGCAGATGGCGCCGCTCGCTACGTGTGCCGCATTTCCGGTTGTGGGAAACAATCTTCACTTTTGTTGGCTCTCTCATGGCATCGCTCATCATGAGACATGAAGTATCAGTTCTCGCGTCAACAACGATCATCGCATGGAATACTAAGGTAGGTACATGCACATGTATGCCTTCATGACATCTCCATCTGGATGGTCTGGACACGACTATGGGCCGAGAAGATGGGAGAAGATGGGAAGCTCTGGCATTTGGTGCCGGCACCACGGGACGTTTCTGAACATGCAGTAAGGTAGGTACATGTACACGCCAAAGTACATGCACGTCGGCAGTGCAACAACGCATTTGTCCACGCGTGGAAGCCTTCTGGACGCGTGCAGTCACGCCCTGCTATGGATGATCCAACCCGAACACCATCTCACCGCCCTATCACGAACATTGCCGAAGGACCGTGAGGAATGCACCGCACCGCACCACCGCAGCAGCAATAGACTCTCTTTGCTGCAGAGAACAATGCATTGTTCGGCCAAACTCGTGGTCGAAGATCCAAACCCTCTACCCATCTGCGACTTTCACTAATCATCACCATCACCGCACATCTCATGTGCTCTTCCCATAGTGTGAGTCCAGTAACTGAGGGACCACGCCGTCCAGATGTTCCACGATGGCGTCCGGGCCTCTCTCGACCTGCAGCCCGTGAGGAATGGCATAGGTAGCAATATCTGGAATAATCTTCTTGGCAATTCCCTGGATTTCTGCTGCTTGTTCGGAAGTCCACATGGATGCACAGAAGAGCACCTGCGGTTGATGTTTGGTGACAGCACCTTCTACTTCCTCGATCGCTACCCTGCTTGTCAGCCTCTTTGCTCAGCGAAGCATGTGGAAGGGGAAGATGTACTCTCGCAGTTGTGAACGTGCTGAATCTCATATCTGTCCTTGAGGTCGTCGGCTACTCGTCCGACCAGACGCTTCGCACGCTCAGGCGCTGTGTTGACTGTCACCAGCTTGTATGGACCTCGGGGAGCCTGAGAACCTGTCATGTTGATGGCTTGTAGACGGAACTATTCTTGTTGGTTCTGGTGATTGTGAGGCTTGTGAGAGACGTGGAAACGACCATATATTGCCTACACAAAAGGCAGAAGGCAGAAGGCGTGGTGCCATGAGGCTCTTAAAGCCGATGAGCGCATGGTTTCGGTCGTCGACCGAGATCGCCACCTTATCCAGTGGCTCTCCATTGTCTAGACTCAACTCGACGTCGTCGGTAATAAGAGACTGTCAACGCGGAACCAATCTTTGGGATCAGGACACGAAGGTCTGGTGTGCGCCCTTAAATCCGACGTCTCGGACGACGAATGTCCGCCGAGCGATCGGAGAAGCCGAGCAATTCCGCACCTGTACCGGACTTCACTTCCATATAATTGCAGTTGGTATTAATGACGACTACAGGCACGTGGAGCGGCAGATGCGGGAAGCTGTTCCACGAGCACCAGAATATAGAAAGGTCTACCTCGACCCTCCTAGCTAAGTGAAAGACAACGTCCACCGCCAAGGCCTGAACCGTCAGACGTCTTCTCAAGATGACTACAAACGGCACGAATAATGCCCAGGTTGATGAAGAGCTTGCATCGGCCTTCAGACAGCACTTACCAGATCTAACCTCACCTCGCTTCGTCAAAACCGCGCAGCAGAGTCCGTACGAGTACTCCGAAGCGTTCCAGCAAAAACAACATCCCCCTTGGCTGTACCGGCTGACGAAAGCATGGGAGGATCTGCTGGAAGATCCATTCCAGGGCGTGACGATTGATGGCACGTCTCATCGCGACCGAGATCCATCACCATTGCTGACCAGAGAAACAGGCACTGTTCGTCAAGGAGTATACAAGAAAGAAGACTTTCAAGGAGCTTCTATTGACAAGATCGTGCAAGCCACGAATACTGCGCTGGGACAGCTAAACTCGGAGCAGAGCAAAAAGGTTCGGTATCCCTTGAACGCGAAGCAATGGCGCTGCTGGTCAAACCCTGAGTTTCTGCTGCGTCCCTTTGGTCTCCGACTGGAAGAACTCCCAGAGGAGACCGCACAGTCCATCCTGGGCGTCTTGGAGGCTACGTTCTCCAAACAAGGATACCAGAAAGCGCTCGCAGCGATCCGTATCAACCACTTTCTAGGAGAGGTGTGCAAGGTGCCTCGAATCATGAATCAGTATTCGTACAACTTCCTGCTGTTCGGTGAGCCCTCTACAGACAAGCCATGGGGCTGGTCGCTCTACGGCCACCACCTCTGCCTCAACGTCTATCTCCACGGCTCGCAGATCGTGATCTCGCCTTACTTCACAGGAGCGGAGCCTAATCTAATCGACGAGGGTCCTTGGAAAGGCACACAAATTCTGCATACGCAAGGCGATCTGGGCTTGCGGCTGATGCAGTCGTTACCAAAAGAGAAACAGCAGATTGTGCAGACCTACAAGCTGATGCGAGACCCCAAGATGCTTCAAAGTGGAGATTTGAAGGTTGATCGATGGAATCAAGATGATCAGCGACACTTGTGTGGAGCATTCCGCGACAACCGAGTGGTGCCGTACGAGGGTGTCAAGGTCTCTGAAATGACCGCTGAGCAGCAAGACATCGTTCTCGAGATTGCGGACGAGTTCTTGCTCTATTATCCTGACGAAACGCGACAGAAGCAAAAGCAGCAAATCAAAAAGCATTTTGAGGAAACCTACTTCAGCTGGATTGGAGGATATGGTGACCACGACGCTTTCTACTACCGGATACAAAGTCCTGTCATCGTTCTGGAGTTCGATCACCACTCTGGAGTCTTTTTGGCAAACACCGAGCCTGCCAAGTTTCACACGCATACCATCTGTAGAATGCCTAATGCGGGTGACTACGGTCAGGCACTGCGGGATGAACAAGATCGTCTACAATAGAAGAGAGCTAATTGAAACCTCTCATCAATTTGGTCGCCTTGTAACTGCCCAGGCGAGCATGATGATTACACGCATATGAACAACTGCAATCGATATCATACTCAACCGGGTAATTCAATGGCCCCTCCAGCATTCCCGTCCGATCTCGTCGCCCAGCTCGCGTACCACGTGATATCAAAGCCCTTCGTGTCCGCCTCTTCAACAGCCTCTGAGACGACATGATCAAAGTGATCGAGATCAGCTTTGCTGCGACTAGCGCCGCACGCGCCCTTGAGTTGCTCAAGCCAAGCCATTCCCAACTCTCTCATATGAAACTCTGCGCCCTCTCCGATCCGACTCACAGCCTTCTTCACCCTCACATCCACCAGTCGCACGCCAGACCTGTGGCTCGCAGCATTAAGTACAGCAGCCAAATCCCCACCCAGACTCCCATGACCACCACCTGATGAAAACCCATTCCCCAACAACTTGAACAACCTCCGACTTGCCGCATCCATCTCATCATCATCATCATCATTCCCGTTCCCCTCTAAACAACACCCCACCAGCAAAATCCCCCCTCCAGGTTTTACTAACCGTAACAACCTCCCCGTCCCCTCCACCGCCCGTTCCCAATCCCCCCGACTCCCCTCTACCACCGTCCGATCCCGCACCAAATCAAAATATCCATGCAAATCCTCTGGCCACTCATCATCCTCCTCCTCCTCCTCCTCACCATCCTCACCAAATCCATTTTTTCTCCTCGAGAAAGAACAAGAAGAAGAACATCTTTGCGTCATCGTCGGCATCATCATCAAAAATCGCATATTCCTCGGAATGGAAAAAGGTCGTTGTTCCGCAGGTAGAATCTCAAAATCTGTTCCAACGAGATCTGCTTCTTCGGGGTGCTGGAGTTGGGAACGGAGATCGTGGAGCCAGGAACCGTCGCCTGTGTTGATGTCTAAGGCGCGGAAGTTGGGGTGCGTGAGGTTGGTGGTGAGTGGGGTGATGTTGCCGAAGGCGCGTTTGAGGAGTTCGTGGGCGGGATTGGGAGGGGTGGCGATGGTGGTGGGTTTGGATATCATGATTCGTATTATTCTTTGTTTCTTATTATGATTTATTCACTTGTGATGATTCTCGGTTGGGTAGATCAGATAGGTAGGAAAGGAAAGGTAATATCGTCTATTCTTCTTCCTGTTGTTTGTCGTTTGTTCCTCTCTCTCTGTATACCTAAGGTAACAAAGAAAAATTCACATATGAAAAAAAAAAGAAACAATTTCCAGAACAATTCCAGAACAACCTTTTCATCACAAATCTACTACATGTACCTTACCTATAAGAAAAAAGATCTTATCCGTTACAAACCTCATCTCTATCTCATCTCCTTCTCTCCTCCCCATCCCTGTCGCAAGTCCGTATAAGTACTTTCATCATAGGTACCTCCTAGTAGTTCCCTTCGTTTTCCTGCATATTCAAGGTACCTACCTACCTCCTAGGTTCGAAACTTACCTTTTTGTTTCGATGTTGGAAAGCAAGCCAAACGGGGACTTTTTGAAACACCTACTTATTCGCTAATCTAACCCGTCCGAACAGAACAGACCTTGAGCTAGGTAGCTAGGTTACGTACGTACGTAACGCATTATTGAGGTAAGACAAGGAACAACCGAAACTGCGTGCGAGAGAAGTAGAGGTGTAGAATTAGATGTTTGGATAAGGTAAGGTTAGAGGTATACAGGCTACGGAAGAACGTTTCAGCGTGCAGGTCCTACTTCATTTCCTGTTTTTTTTTTCCTCGTTTCAATTTTTTTGACTTTTGCTTCTATAATACGAATCGTAGGTCAAATCGATACCGAGGGGTTTTTTCTTCTTATCGGAAATGGAATAGTATACCCGCTGGTTGGTTTCGCTTGTTTGATTACTTAGAAAAGAGAGAGAGAGAGAGAGAGAGAGAGAAAGAGAGAGCGTCGCGAAGAGATCATCGGAAAAACGAAAAGGGGATAATATCGAAGAACTCAAGACTGCCGGAAGACTCGTACATCAAGACTCCTTGAGTATAACGAACTATCGGGGCAAACTAAAGAATTCTATCTATTTACTGCTTCGCGAACGAACGAACGAACGAACGAACGAACGAAGCTACTAGTAGCGTCGTATACGCTTCCGTTAGGAATACGACTATCAAGATTCATAAGTCGCAAGTAACAACAGAAGTAAAGTAATAATGTTCGCTAGCCTTGTATATCGGAGAGCAATATATAAGATAGGTATTTCCTACCTACAAGACCTTTTTAGTTGTTTTAGAAATCTCAATACGACTAGATCTAGTCTAATAGGATTTTCCTTTTCTAATTTAGAGTAGAAGTAAAGAATCTAGAGGAAGAGTAATTAATAGAGACCAAAGTCTCGGATCTATATCGTTTGCAAAGGTTTTTGAAGACTTCGCTTACTATACGGTTTCTACTTTCAAAATCTATATAGCGAAAAAGATCTCGAGAGACTTGACCGCAAATTCGTATAGTAGAGGGGGAGAGAGGAGGAGAGATCGATTATCTATGCTTAAGATGATCCGCTTCGATTCGAAGTAGCTCTTTTCGGAATACAGTTGAGACCTTATTATTATCGTTACTTCGTAACTTGTGTTCCGCAATAGAAGGGCTTCGAAAAATAATACCGTTCTGTACGAACGCGGATCCGTACCAGGTATGTTCGATTCTAAGCATGTAGTAAGATGCCTTGTATAAGAAGTACCGTACATACAGTATCTCTAGCAACAGTTTCCAGCTCATCAGCTGATTTTATTTTTCTTGGGCAAGATACCTTAATTGCTGTAGCTTTTGAATGTAACTACCTAGGTACGTACATTACCGGTAGGTACGTATCTTCATGGAATGTACTCATAAGTGCTCGGAGAATTCTCGTGATATATTCGCTACGACACAGGCACTGCTTGGTTTCTCGTGCTATCTGATGTAGTCGTTGTGCGCAAAGGTTGGTTAGTAGTAGTTTGCGATCGTATATCCAGGTCCGTGGAGTAGTGTAGGTGAGATATGAGAGACACCTTTTTAGATTAATCACACAATATGCCTGAGAGGTGTGGTGAACCGTGAGCGTTGGTTCTGTAGGTAAGTTTTGGTACCAATTGACATACTGGCCTACCTACCTAGGTATGCCTGGTAAAGCCTGGTATGTCTCATTCCAACAAAACTCCAACCAACATGAAAAACTACCCCAGGCCTGTGGAAGGGGGAGCTTTGGGGTACAGGAGTCTTGGTATTTCGGCCCTGGCGTCAGCAATAAATTTTAGTCGTAAAATAAAGCAGCACGCCCGCCCGCCATTTTCTTTTCTGCTCTTAAGTAATAGGCTCAGTCTGTCGCCTCCAATCTGTCTAGTGGTTACCCCCAAACACGAACGACATCAACATACCCACGGCCCAAACATGCATTTCACCTACCTGATTATCGCCACTTTTGTACACATGGCGCTTTCCAACCCTGGTGAGGGTGGAGAAGACCCTGGAGGAGGAGGAGGAGGATGGGGATTCGACCCAGAGTGCTGCTCCCAGAATCCTAATTGTGATGATATCCCAAATGTAAGTCAGGAGCAAGTCGCAGCTTTGGAAGAAAAGAAGGAACCTGACTGACAGACGTGACTAGTGTTGCTGGGCTGACGTACGATCTTCCCGTCGCTCTTTTCCTCTTCTTATGCGAGTAGACTAAAAAGTGTTTTTAGTGTTAAAAGAAAAGAAACCCACATCACCTACGGGTTCCCGGCGTCAGCAAGTCGCGCAAGTGATGGGTCGTTCGACGCTTGCGACTTGTGTAAACAACTGGTATATGTACCAAGACTGTTCAGATCACGCCTTCTCCAACCAAGAAAAGCCGGCCCGAAGTGGTAGATGGATCCGCATCATTGCTCACACGACAAGGACGAAACTCGCCAATGCAACCTTCTTTTCTACATTAACCGAATTCATCTCTGCGCAAATTCGACGACCGCTGCGAGACACGGGGAAGGTGGTTAGCAGCTATGGAGGATAAGCGTACTCTTCAACGCTCAGCGGAGATGGTTTGACTTCTTGAAAGGGTGAGACTAGGTATTGTTGGCAGAGTCTGTTTGCCCGCAGCTTGTAATCCACTAATTCAACTTGTTGATTGCGCCAATGAAATCTGCTTGAAGCAGCTTCTATCCTGTAGGCGATCTCGTAGATGGCCTATTGTACTCCAGTAAAGAATGTCGCGAACTCTTGCACAGTCTAAAGCGAGTCTGGTTCTTTCCGGTTCAATGCGGGCACTTCGTGTCCATGTCGTGGGATGTTGCTACCATTGGTCGTGCGACATCGTCGTGTAAGATGACCAAAGTTGCCGAATCGTATGCCCAGATATCTGTCGCTCTGACAACACGGTTCAAGCTTAGGCAGCTATGTGCCACGAGCAGACTACGAGTTGCACCACCAGATATCCCGCTCAGCAGAAAAGGATCCTTGGCAATAACAGTGATTCATTCATATCAGCTGTGTAAAGCAGCCGTTCTCTATAACTCTGTCGCCCATGATTCCCCGCCACTGCTCGTCTTCGCTCAAGAACTTTGCCGGTGGACATTGTGCACCTCGATCATTCCCGCTCGAGTTGGCGCATCGCGGCTTGAGCCCAGCTGACCGCGGCACAGTACGGTTTGGAGAGCCAAGTGGCTATGTGTGCCATACCTCTCCTTCTCTCTTAGAACCCGGAAAGGGAGTACTATCCAATTGACGGACGCGGTCCTCTCTATTGGAGCCAAGACACGACTTTCAGGCATGGTCGGTCTACTGATTGATATCCCTCTCTTTCGATGCGTTTTTCTCTTTTGCTTTATTTTCTCTCGCCAAAGCCCTGGCCGCCTTTTGCCATGCAGTCTTCATTGCCCTGCGCTCCTCTGGCGTCCGCGACACTGTGAATCTCTCAATACGAGCTGGCCCGACTCAGATTCATCGCATTATATAGTGCTCTCGAGCTTCATGACACAGTCGACTCGAAGCGATGCCGAGCTTGGAGGGAGAGACAGGGTGAACATACCATGCGGCTGTAACACATTTCCCTTTTTTTGGGTCCGCCCCCCTGATAGGGTGTTGACTGCAGGCTCGATTTCGGAGAAATCGTGTTTCTCCCCTTCGCCGAGAGTCTTCTCGATGTTTGGGAGCCTCCCAGCTTCAATGGACGCCTAGTCCTGTGACTCGCCAGTGTACTTCTCTCCAGCTTTCTTGAACAGATCGTCCTGCATTTTCTGGAGCTCTTCTGCACTCAGTCCACTGTTCTCGATCTTCGTTTGCTTCTTCTCGCGTCTCGCGCTTTCCGCCTTGAACCCATCTGCAACCTTCCCAAGCTCTTCGTTGTAGTCGCCAAAGCCCAGTTCCTCGAGGGCCTTGAAGATATGGTCGGCACCGATGGTCTTTTTCGCTTCTTTCTCGGCGATTTCGTTGGCTTCGGAGGAAATCAGATTGATGAACTCGACAGAGGCATCGATCAACAGGTCCCGCGTATCTTTGGCGAAAGACATGGTGCCGTTGCCATCTTTGAGAGAGGGATTCGTCGCGAGGACTTCGTTGATAATCTTCTGTACTGTAGCCTTAGGCAGGGAGAGATCCTCATTGCCTGGTGAACTTGTTAGTTGTGGTGGTGGAGGTGAGTTGGTGGTCGCTTAAATGTGAGACATGCCTCCAAACTCCTTGTCAGACATGGTCGTGGGTGGATGAACGGTATGGTATGGTGGTGAGGCTAACGCGATGGTTTCGTCTATCGCGCGAGGTTGTTGGTATTGTCGAGTATGGAATGTTATACAGTACCTACCTAAGGTAAGTACAGAGGAAGAGGTTAACACACGCAAGCTGGTCGCGTCAGCCAAAGTTATCTGTATTCTCACGCAGTTCGGCCCGGCCTTCCGAGGAATCTGTGCTCTTCTTGGCGTGGGCAGCTCTTTGCTCAAACTTTCTTGCTCTCCATTTCTGCTTCTTCACTTCACCAACCTCGCATCAACCTCGACCATCCGCCGCCGGCGCACACAACATCACTGGTAAGCCCATCGCTCCACTCACCTCCGTCGTTTCACCTGATGAACCGTTGTCGCCCCTATCATACCAACGAGCTCCTATTGAGAGCTTCTGTGGTGATTGACCGAGACGCCAAATCTCTGGCTGAATGAAACTTCCTCTTCACAATCTCTATTCTTGCATGGCTTGCTTGAGCTTCAGCTGATATGTGCGCAGTGTCACTATGATCGTTGCAACAGCGCCCACGATGCCGATTCGAGATTGAAGAGCTTGACAGTTGGCGGAGTACTGCATAGCCGATGAGAACCTTTCCTCGTCATCAGACTCCAGGCGCGTGTAGCGACGAATACTGCCACAGCACCAACGTTCTACGCTGGGACACGATAGCTGGCGGCAGCATATATACTTGCCACACTCGATGGTGGCCGCCAGCCGATTCATAAAGGGTGAGCATAGACACACAAACTCCGACAATACCCCCGACACAATGATTAACACAACATGTACTATCAAATACCGATCTATCATGACGGAACAAACTGGTTCGATTAAATGAGCACTGTCGCCGCCAACGCCCTCACAGCACTATGAAGGACACCTCGCGGGCACACAGCTGACAATGGCGAAAGTAGTTTACGTTTCATTCGAGTCGACTACAGCAATTTCAACTCCGGTATGTATACACTTCGTTCTCCCACTTTCTGCAATGATGCTACCAAACATTCCATGCTAAACCTGACGGCTTCGGCCTCGTGTTGATCACAATGTATAATTCTTTTCATCTTTCGACTGAGCTCCAACCAAAAAATGCATTCGAAAATCGTTACGAGTTGATGGTCGCATCGCTGACATGTGCGGCAGGTAGGTCTTATGTGCGTGTGAACACTGTCGGCAATTTGTGCTGCTTCTCTCAACCAGCTGTTGAGGGCTCGTGGACTTATGAGTATACATTTTACTAGATAGCCCATGAACATATGCCATCATCTTTTATACCTCAGAAAGACCGAACTTAACCCATGGAGGCCAGTGTTGGTGTGTGGGTGTAGGTCTCGAAGGATCAAAACTCAATGGCACAGGCGAGACTGGCACCCCACCCTCATGGCTACCTCAGGTACCTTTAGCTCCAGTAGTTTCTTCGAACAAAACAACATCACCGTTTTCTACAACGCCAGAAATGTCCAAAGTGATAGTCGTCACAGGCGCCTCCCGAGGCATTGGCCTTGCCATTTCGCACTACCTCCTCCAACATTCGCACAAAGTCACCCTCGTCGCCCGCTCCGAAGCACCCCTCCGTGACCTCGAAGGGCAATACCCCGACCAGACCGCTATCCTTACCGGTGACCTCGCCGACTTATCCTTGGGCCAAAAGGCCATCAATCTCACCATCCAAACCTTTGGCAAACTAGACGGCGTCATCGTGAACCATGGAACGCTCGACCCCGTCAGCAGAGTAGCAGATTCTTCCGCCGAAGCGTGGAGAAACGCATACAACATCAACTTCTTCTCCGCCGTCGCCCTCGCCACCGCTGCAATCCCCCATCTCCGCTCCACCACAGGCACCATCCTCTTCACCTCCTCCGGCGCCGCTGCAACCGCTTACCCAACATGGGGTGCATACGGCTCTAGCAAAGCCGCTCTGAACCATTTAGCACAGAGTATCGCGGCGGAAGAGAAAGAGGCGGGAGTCACGTCTATGGCGATTCGACCGGGAGTGGTGGACACGGAAATGCAGAGGGAGATTCGAGAGAAACATCATGAGGTGATGGAGGAGAGTGATCGAAAGAGGTTCAAGGAGTTGAAGGATACGGGGGCGTTGCTGAGACCTGAGCAGCCCGGGTGGGTTATGGCCAAGTTGGTCTTGGAGGCGCCGAGGGAGTTGAGTGGGAAGTTTTTGAGCTGGAATGCGGAGGAGTTGAAGGCGTTTCAGGAGGGTTGAAGGACTGTGGGTTTGCGTCCTGGTGCTAGCTTCCTGAGGTTGCTGCTGTCAAAAGGCGCCATTATCCAAGGATACAATGGCAGCGTCAGTACTCCGAGATGGCGTGCTTCTGCGCTGTAGTCCATCGAACGACCTGCGTTCTCCTGTACTGTTGACTGTGGATCTTAGGTATTGAGTCAGTCCCTCCTCGTCGTTCACATGGCGAAACCCTCGCCTTCCCTGGCAGTTCCACAACACCAGAGCTACCTACTACCATCCTGCGGCAGTCTACACGATCTGGTCACAGAACAGAAAATGCAAATGATCTCAGCTGTTTGCTACTCAGCTCAGCTGGGGAGAGCGGGTGGAGCTTTGTGAGACGTATGACTGGACGAACCAACATATGCACTCGAACGCAGGGTCTAAGGATAGCATTTTGGCATAGCATTATGCTGTAACTGCTGAGCTTGTACAAGGTCCTGTCATGTATACGGAGAACTTTGCCGAAGCCGAGATTAAGGCACAGTATTGATAGTCGTTTGACAATCAATATAGCATGTTGGCTCTCCGGTGAAGACGCTTTCTGGAAAGCACACAAGCGGCGCAGACACGAAGCGCACTCGGTCTGTGACCAAAAAGGAATCTCCGAAGCGGGCACAAGCGGTATAAGGTAGACATCATCCTATATTCCTTCGCGTTGTAACCTCATCTATGTCGAAAGACAGCTGAATAAGGAAGGAGGGTAGAAGGCTCCAGGGCTAATATGAGTGCCTTTATGGCAATCTATGCATAGGGTATGCTGACAGCATATGTGGACTCTACAGAAACGTCCCCTGGCAGATCGTTATGTACGCGACTTGCCCTGCCGTACATCCATTAGCCATCCTCGAGGCCCCAGACTCACAGCTCAACTGGGTTCGAGAAGAACAACGTCATGGCTTCATGCAAGCCATATTACAGACAACTATACCAGCAGACCAAGTGGGGACAATCTACCGACAGCTGGCGGCGTTTCTAGCATCTCACTACTGTATTTTTCCACTCCGACAAATATGCTCTCGATCTTCATTATCAAAAGCGGAGCAGCGTGGCAGGACTGTGCCGCACGAAATCTGCATCCGCTTGCGGGTGTGTGTTACAGTAAGACGGATACAGAGGGCATAGCTATGGTATGGTATGATATGATATATGCCATAGCTATGCCACAAGCAATGTCCAAGCATCGACGCGAGCCCAGAGGAGTGCTTGATCCGGGCCTTGACTCAGCGCCAAGCCGCTACTTGATTGGACCGCGGACTCGCTTCCATCTCTTGTCTAGGTTTTGTTCACTTGACTTGCGCTCCTTCGCCATCACCGTCCAGTCCCAGCATTAGTATTGGCCGCTTTTCATCGCTGGCCCTCACTTCGCACCGGGGGATGGGTGTGTGAGGGTCCGAGACATACATGGCCACCGCACTGCTGGTAATGGTGGTCCATGGTAGAATTGCTTCGCAGCTCGCCGTGGCAACAATTCGGAGCCAACCAATATCCACTTCGTGCATGAGGTTGTAGTCGCACAAGCAGACCTAAGTACTCCCACCCTTCCACCATCCGTTGTGTTTTGATTTCTCTTTCTCTCGTCAACTTCTTGCGAGCAACGATAATGGCACAGAACCACGAAGACCCCGTCGTCGAGCTTCATTCCGCCCTTCAGCAGCGCAGTGCACTCGGCGGCGGCACCACCACTACCGACGGCATCGCTGGCCCTGCGGACATGACTGGCGCTCAGCTTCCGGCCATCGCGCATGAAAAGGGCGATAGGCTTGATGCCGAGCACCAGCACGACCATTCGCCGGATGAGGCTGAGCCGACCGAGCACGAGAAGAAGACGCTGCGACACATCGGCGACCAGTTTCCTGCCTCAGCATTCCTCATCGCAATCGTGGAGCTGTGCGAGCGCTTCACTTGTATGCCATCCCAAGCTTCATGCCCCACGGACGCTGTACTCACGCGAAACTCTAGACTACGGCTGTCAGGGTCTATTCCAGAATTACATTAGCAACAGGCCTGGCGGACAAGATGGGCCACGAGGTCTAGGCTTGGGTCATGTCGGTGCTACTGGCCTGAATCTCTTCTTCCAGTTCTTCTCATACGTGACACGTAAGCGCATTCGATCGACATGTTGCTGTCAGACGTACTGACACAATCAGCCATATTCGGTGCCATTATTGCGGACCAGTACTTGGGCAAGTACAAGACCATCCTCATTTTCGCCGGCATTTACTGGTGTGGCATACTCATCCTCTGGACAACCGCTCTGCCGACCGCAATCGACCATGGTGCTGCACTTGGCGGCTATGTGACTGCGATCGTCGTGATTGCATTTGGTACAGGTGGCATCAAGTCAAACATTGCTCCGCTGATTGCAGATCAATACACGAGGCGCCTTCAGGCTATCAAGACTTTGCCCACCGGAGAGCGTGTGATCATCGATCCTGCCATCACTTATCAACGCATTTACATGGTGGTGAGTTGACGGAGACTCGAAGGGTTTCATTTGTGGCAGCTTCAGCTCACTAGACTGTAGTTCTATGGGTGCATTAACATCGGAAGTCTCTCGCTGCTCGCCACTCCCTTCATGGAAAAGTACAAGGGATTTTGGACCGCCTTCCTCCTATGCTTCTGCATGTTCAACATTGGAGTAGTCGTCCTTGTGACCTGCCGGAAACGCTACATCGACCGGCCACCACAAGGATCCATCATCACAGACGCATTCAAGGCCATTGGTATCATGATTGCCAACCGCGACACCAATGCCGCAAAGCCCACCTGGCGCGCCACCAATGGCAAGACGAAGCCAGTGGCTTGGAACGACCACTTCGTTGACGAGCTGAAGCGTGCCCTACGTGCCTGCAAGGTGTTCTGCTTCTACCCTGTCTTCTGGGTCGTCTATGGCCAGTTCTCTAGCAACTTTGTCAGTCAGGCTGCGCAAATGGAGGGTCATGGTATGATTTCGACCCCCTTTTCCGCACTTTACCTCGACTCATTGCTGACTTATGCCCCTCACTGTAGGAATGCCAAATGATCTGATGCAGGTACGAACTCCACATGAGCAGACCATCTTCAGAAAGACACTTGCTGATTTCTTCCATGTAGAACTTTGATCCCATCTCCATCATCATCTTCATACCCATCCTCGACAAATTGGTCTACCCCGTGCTACGCAAATATCACATCGAGCTGAAGCCCATTGCACGAATCACCATTGGCTTCGTCCTCGCTTCCATCTGTGTCGCCTACGCCGCCATCGTACAACACATCATCTACAGCGCGGGACCATGCTACGGCTCACCAGGAAAGTGTCCAGCGGGCATGATTGGAGAGTCCTCGCTCCCAAACCACGTCCACATCGTAGTCCAGACACCCGCATACGTCTTCATCGGTCTCGCAGAAATCTTCATCTCGGTCACCGGGCTCGAATACGCATACACCAAAGCCCCACCATCGATGAAATCCTTCGTCCAGTCCATGTACCTCTTCACCAACGCCATTGGATCCGCCCTTTCTGAAGCTCTCATCCCCGCCACGGGAGATCCTGCTATCATGTGGATGTATACGGGCGTCTCTATCGCGTCGTTTCTCACTGCGATTGTTTTTTGGTTTACGTTTCATCATTATGATCTGCAAGAGGATGAGATGAATGCGTTGGATGCTCATGATTATTCGGAGAAGACGAGTGAGGCGGGGAGTGTGGCGGCGGATCATCATTATCGACCTGCGACGAATGCGGATGAGAAGATTTGAAATGTATCCATGATGATGATGATGATGATGATGTTGTTGTTATTGTTGTCAGGATACAGTTCCAAATAAAAGACCGCCAGGTAGCACAGAACACTCTTATGGCTCATTCTCTCTCCCTCTTTCCCTCTCTCTCTCCCTCTCTCTCTCTAAATTCATGAAATTCTTTTCTTTTCGTCCATACAACACTAGAGAACATCTACATCTCAAACTACAAAAAAGTCTGCCGCCAGTTCCATATTACTGACACTGCTGCATATATCTAAGATGGATGTTACTGAAATCGGCACCAGCCATCACTGCTCTTGGCGGTACAAACGAAATTTTTGTAAGACTACTCAATTCAGGTACTTATGGTCTCTGTCTGGATAATGGATGGGGAATCAACATCTCTCTCTCTCTCCCCCCCTCTATTCTGATCAAATACAGCCCAATCAAACCGCCAGATTGGTGGTGGTGGTGGTTGTCGTTGTTATTATTATTATTATTCTCACCACTCCTCAAACTAAATACATATATAAGGTACATACATGCATACATACAACTCTCTCTCCTACTATAGAGAAAAAAAAAACAATTCACGCCTCAAATCTCTCATACCTAGCTAGGTATGCCAGCAGCAGCTTTTAAAAAATTAAAAAACAACTCTCAAGAGGCTTACCTAGATACCGGCCTCTTTACAGGCAGACCATAGGAAATATCACACCGTCTCAAGTCTCTTCTCATCAAGATCTTCATTATCCATGATCCATCGCATGTCATTACGTGAAAATATATCCATTTTACATAAATACATACATATATGACATTTTTCATCATTAACTAACAGGTAATATCGCCATAAGGGCCGTCTGTCCATGGAATCTATAACTGTCTTTTATAAATGATGTTATCGTAATCCTTTCATTCCTTCGCCTCTCCTGTTTTTTTCAGGAAGGGAAAGACGATTCACTCCCTTTCTCCCGCCCTCACTCCCTCCTCACCATGGGTGAAAGTTGGAAGTTTTGGATCTTTTCCAACGCCACGCGAGCTCGAGTATGATGTCGTTGAAAAGCCGTGCTACCCTTTTGAGGGGGAGAGAGGAATTATTCGATGCCGTGAGATGATGATGATGCTGATTGTTGTTGAAAAGCGAAGAAAGGGAAAAGGGGATCTAAAAACAAGGCATTGGTTAGCCATCCACATCAAAAAAGGAAGAAAAGAAAAAGAGTGGAAAAAAAATTCATCACATACAAACCTAACCCGCCTTCCCACACTCATCTTCCCCCCTTTTCTTCCACCGGCCCGCCTTCCCACCATTTAATAAACCTCATGAGGCGTACAAGTCGCATTAGCCGGGTAATCACACCACTTGGCGTTATCGTTCCACCTCAGTCCGACCGGACAATCCATACGATACGCAATTCCCGTCTGGTAGCCATCCAAAGGTTGACAGTGGAGAAATCCTGCGCAGTTGTTGTCGTCTGGGTAGAGGCAGTCTTTGGGGCCCAAGCACTTCGTATTCATCATATCTGCGGCGGGACAGGTGAAGGTGGTGTCGACCGATCCTGCTTGGGGGTAGGCGAGGACTGATGAGGTGGAGAGGGCGAGGAGGAGGAGGGTGGGGGAGAACATTTTGCGGTTGGGTTGGGTTGGGTTGGGTTGTGTGGGTTTGGTTGTGGTGGAGATTTGTTCCGGTTGAGAGTGGAGTGTATGTGTGAGTGTGTGTGTTGTTCGAAGTGCGTTTGATGAGAGTTGTTGTTGGATCTAGGGAGAAGAGAAAGGGGAAGAATTTAAGTGATATTAAACCAACATCAGAACAGGACCAGGCTCTCTTGTTGTCGTTCACGACTCGTTGTGAAGGGTGACCTACTAACAATTGACAATTCTATAGGGTTCCCCCCATCCATGTGAAGCTTGGAGTGTTACTAGCAGGGTGAGATGAAATTTGTTGTTACCATGTATAGATCCTTGCCGAGGGCAGAAAATAGCACCTGACAGGTTCTGTTGCGAAGCGATCCGGTAGGTGGTAGGATCATCCGAAGATGCTTCTCCATTTTCAAAAGTATTGATTAAGTATTGAGAACTTCGGAACGCGCGCAGAAGGATCAAAAATGTGCTTCGAAGCGTCGCATGCATTCGATCAGTATACTCAGGTAGTCACACCAACACGAGCGCTTCATCTCTGTAAAAGCTTCTCTGTATCGTTCTCGCAGACAAGCCGGCCGACCGGCCCGTGGTGCACTTAGAGTTTCAATGCCTAGTATCAACTTAGCAACAGTAATGGTATAGATTACTGCTGGATCACTGATCACATAACGTGGAAAGCAAAAAATGCAGACAGTTTCGTATTGCCCCGTCCACCTTGTAAAATGCCATGCCCCTAGCAGCTCGGAAGTCATAGGGAGCAAGCTTCGGCTAGACCGGTTCAAGCAACAGCAGGTGTCGTCCTGGTTGAACACGCTCAAGCCTCAAGGGTGGAGCGCAGACACGTGCGACGGACCCTAGTGTGTCCGTCCGTCTTGGTATGGAGTGGCCTTGTGGTCTGGAGGTGCAAGGTCCTTCTCCTAGGATGGTCGGTAGCTGACGCCTGACGGCATACGCAGTAATGCACGTATATTCGCTTCGAAGTCATTTCAGCGTTGGACATCGTGTCGACCTGGAAACATCACTCCAAACAGAACCACCTAGCTCGCCAAGTTCTCACTCTCAGCAACAGACAACCCCGCAAGATATTTCCGGCCAGTCTAGGTGGTAGGTATGAGACAGTAAACAGGTAATCTTGGGTCAACTACTTCGTAATGGCACGAGGATGGCCACCACTTCCAGAGTATTCGCAAGGTGGAAAAGCTTCGATGACAGCTTCTTCATCAGCATCAGAATCTCGAGCCGAGTTGTCTTAGCTCATGGAACGGTACTTGCCGCGATATTTGTGGCTCGGCCTCGCGCCAGTGTTTAGCTTCCCCAGTATGCTTCGCATTCGTGTAACCCGCGCCGTGCAACCGAGAGCTCTTTGATGCTTAAGGAGTCCTAGTCGCAGGCGTTCGAATAATTCGAGACTCGCCTGACCGAGACAAGCATACATATGCTCAAAGGTGTAAGCCAATAGTGGCGTGCGGAATGTCGAAGCCCATGATCCCTATAGGAGGTAGCGTTGCAAACGACCTTCTATTCCTTACCAGTGCTTCTCGTCGACGTGGCTGAGTAAATCAGCAGTAAAGTTAGGGAACCAATAGGGCTCGAAGCAGCCTTCATGTGCTGAGTGTGATTCGCCATGTCCGTAGACCTCGCGCGGTGCGATGAGAGCTGATGGCAATCAAGGCGAAAGTGGTACACTAGACCAAGTACACTGTGGTGACTGTGCAAAGCAAACAAGTCACTATCACGAGTTAGCGCTTGCTTTATCAGCACTGCTTGCCATTTCTCTCGCGCATGTTGGTTCCACTCACCTGCCTTGGAAAGCCACTCACTGGAAAGTGATGGAGAGACATCTCCGTCGGTTGTCAAGTCAAGAGTACCTCCTAGCACGATCCACTTCCGTTCTTGCCAGGAGCCGGACCGTTGCGAGAAGTTGCATACCAGGAGAAAGACTCAGGTTCGCTTGGTGTGGTATAGCCATTCGATCATTAGTGCAGTCCTAGCCTGCTGACGTTACAACTAAGTCTTTCGTTCGTTAGTATTTCGGAAACGATCTTTCCAGTGCCCAAGCTGAGACTGATGCCCCATGGACCATGTCCAGCACAAACGAAGACGCCTCCAGATTCCATGACACCAGCTCCTAACTTGTCATCTGAGATTTGAGCCAATATGGGATTGCCACTCCTCGTCACCGGTCTGAAGCATAAGCCTTCTCGCACGACTGCGAAGTCTGTGCCAATCATCTGCTCTGTCACTCGCCGTACCTCTTCGACGGCAGCAGGGTCTGTCTCCGCGTCTGTGGGCAGGGCTGGTAGTGGTGTAGTGGAAGAGTTGAGACCAGCAATATAAATCTCCTCGCCAGATCGGCTGAACATCTCAGGTGACCAGGCATCCGAAGTACTTGCAAATACCGCATGGCATCCATCAGCTTCATGTTCTGCAGTCCAGCGTGGAGATCGTACGACGAGGCTATATCCTGCTAGCTGGCTCACTGGTATCTGTACCGACGATTCGGGGAAGAGTTCAGCAAAGACTCGAGAAGTCCAGGCTCCGGCGGTGATGAGTAGCCGTTTACATGGCAAAATCTGTTCCGATCCATCAGCTCCACGCATCACCACACCATTTAGCAGTCCTCCATCGTCTCTTGAGATTTTGATCGCCCTCGCAGGCTGATGCAGTTGCACACCTCTTTGTAGACTCTTTTCCAACAAAAATTCACACAACCTCTTGGGATCAACTTGCGCCACGCCACGATCTTCGCTGATAGTTTCCACTCTGTTGCCCTCCCACTTCCTCATCCAGCCTGGACCACTCCCATCGGTATAGTGCTCTACCAGATCTGCCGTGGCAACTGCCGCCCTGCTGCCCCCATGCTCCAACCATGACTTTCTCTTCTTTTTCTTCCCTGGTGCAGCGATCACCGTCACAGAGCTTGCAGTGCTACGGCTATAACCCCAGTGTTTCTTTCCGTCATACTCCTCAGCCAACTCTCGGTGTAGTCTGAAACTCAACTCTCCCAGTTCTGCAGTCGCAGGATCGAACCAATCTTCAGCAAGGAAGCCTCCTGCCTTGCCAGATGCTGAAGCGAACAGCTCTGGACACGGATCGATGAGGTGGATGGAGTCTCTTGCATGTTGTGGCGACTGGGATAGATAATAGGCTGTTGAAGTGCCTATAACGCCGGCACCGAGAATGACTGTGCCCGTCATGTTGATACCGGTAACGATATGTCATTAGTAGTAGGAGGAGGAGGAGGAGGAGGAGGAGGAGGAAGAGGACCGAGAGAGGTACTGAACCTCGTTGCCGATGCTGTGCTGGAGATGAGGAGATACGGCTGCACTCACTTGTGACTAGTTATGTATCGTCCTTTGACAGCTACCTCACTGCTGAGCATCTCATAGCACTCAACGCGTCGCCTGGAGAAGGATATTCCGCCTCGTACAGTGAAGGACCGATCTCGCTCAGCTGATGAATCTTGGCACCGGTATCGGTATGGGCCGTCTCCTCCAGACCTCACTCATGGCTGAGGGATACATGTATCAGACCGCTGCAGACCCTTCTATATCGAAAATCAGATATCGGACTCTATAAACACCCTGCATGAGAGCCTCGAATAATGACAGTCCGACTCATGAGCGCAATGCCTCCACTGTCCGCTGTAAAAGAACATATCCAAAGAACACTTGGCTGTCTCCCTGACCAGCCTAGTGGTACTTGATAAGTATTTTCTTCATCAAGATTGGTATCGAGAACGGTCCTCCAAATTTTCGCACTGGCATCACAGATTCAGATCAGCATGAGTAGCGAGCCCAACGAGCTCCTGGATTGATGACCAGATTCCATCCCATGGAGTCCGAATTTCCATCTTCAAGATTCTTCACAATGCGGAACAAACACGTTGGAGATGAGATGCAAAAAGTGAAGAACAACACATTGCCAAACACATGTGACCTCTGTGCGCGTTTCTTGACGAATATTCGGGTCTGTGATGACTCTGTTACCAGCGAGCAGCACAAGCTACTGGCCGTTGGCAGCGATATCTAGCCCCTCTGGGAGCTCGATGAAGACTTCTTTAACATCTTCACAGCCGCCGATCATGTCATCGGCCAGAAGAGAGAGGCAGTCACATCAAAACCGCGGAGACACAGCAGACAGCGCGACACCAGGACTGCCGAACTTGGAGGAGGAAGAGGAGGAGGGAACAGATCGGTATTCGATATCCTCTGGGGGTGGATTGACGGACTTTTGCAACACGCCTCCCACATTAGAGTAGAGGTTCGCACTTCGCTGCACATATTTCTCGACCATAACAGGATCCTGCTATTGGCTGCGGGAAGGTGAGAACGTCGTCACAGTGGGTGTCAATAACGCGGTTGCATACAGTGGGTCGAATTTCAGGGTGCTGCAGTCGTGAGTTTGTGCCTCACGTATGTTGTATGTAGCTTATGCAGATCTGGCGGGCACAAGTCGGACGTTTTGACACGCATTTGCCGTGGAGATGACATCCGGACCGGCGAGCACAAAGACTGATTGATGCTTGTGTGTGGACCTGTCAAGCTATGAGCGGAAATTGAGTGGCATCACTGTATCATCAATCAGTTCCCTTTGAAGAAGTATCAGCTGTGGAGTGATACATGTAGCTGAGGACTATACCTACCTGGTGGACATTATCGATCGAGCTTAGCGCGCCGCCTGCGTTTGGCGCGACTTCTTTTCACACCGTCTCTTTCTTCACTTCACACCTACCTCCTCCCTTAGTCTGATATCAGAAGAGCCCGTCCGCAAGGATGGACCGCCGCCGTCGGCCGCGCGCGGTGTATCAAACACCATGGCCCTTCACTGGACACCGTCCTGGGCTCCTGGCGATTGCACGTCACCGAGCCGTGGGCACAGATTATTAAGGCGAGAAACTACGAGGCACCGGTTGGACTCGAATCACACGCAGAACAGACTTGCAAGCGTGCTGACCAGATCCCTGAAATGCACTTGCATCATTCACGACGGACCATGATGAGAGAGCTCACCAGCGGACGATCATGTGCTCGCCTCGCACAATAATACAATTGTCAGGGCGAACGGAAAGAATCCTGCGATCGGGTGAATACCGGACAACGTGTGGACGCGCCTGACGAAATCGCCGTGGTTCCATCTGCCGAGCACTACAGATCCAGCACACGGCTTCCAGCGGTAGAAATTGATTGGGCGGCTGCAAGTAGCTGGCTGCTCATCAGAGCCTCGATGGCCACATGTGTAGCTATAGGGTGGCAGCATCGTGACCACTCAGGTACTTACTTGCTGCATGACGCTCTTGCTGGATTCACATCGTGGGGGCGCCAGCTCACAATACCGTAGATCTATCCGGAGTTACGCCAAGCATCTTAGCTGTGTGGTAATAGTGGGCTCGGTACTGACACAGCCTTCACATAGATGTATCCACCAAAAAGGCGCAGGCAGGGTGTTTTGTGGCTCCCGATTTCTGGTCCGGAGGCAGTACGAGAAGCACAGATGACAGGCTTTGCTCGACCCGACAAGCTGATTCGACACAGTTGCAAGAACACCCAGAGCGGCCTTTTTTCCTCTGGTTGCGAATCGATAGTCAGTTCTGCGGTATGGCCAGCGCAGTGAGCCGGGCACTGCATCAGCCTGCAGACTCTCCGCAAGCGAGCGATTGAATTCGATGGATCTTCGCAGACATGGGTCTTCCATCTCTAGGTGCCCATTGGCTTTACCAGACCCCCCCTTGTAACCATTTTGCGTCTGTTTCGCATCTCTTGTCAGAACCAACAACAACAACAATAAAAATCCACGTGATGAAGCGACACCCGCCTCAAGACTAGCCCTGCGAGTGGGGCCCCGGCCAATACTGGGACAGATGTTGGAAAGAGAAACAAAAAAAAAACTCAGACTTTTGCATGCAGTAAAAGCTTGGCTCCTGACCACGATCTGACTCCTACAAGTCAATAAAGTGTAGTAGATCCCGGGCCTTCTTCCCTGTTGGTCGTGGTCACGGATGCTCGACATGGAAGAGACGAGATTGCGTGCGCATGGCACAACTTCGCTTCTTCTCTATACATCGCTTCGAAGTTGCTGGCCCCGTGTTAGTTTGCGACACGAAGCACTTCCCGAGGAAAGGTTGCCGGCACATGCGGATCCAAAACTGGGGTTGGACACACATCCAGCTTACTGGAAAAGAAAACGTCTCCATGTACTACTGTACTGTACTACTATACTACTACATACCTTATTTACCTTAGTACCTATCTATGTACACGAGGACACACCCAAAACACACACGGGGCACGAATCCCTTTTCGGCCATCTCGCCGTGTATTACGTTTCTTGTCATCGTCGTCGTCGTCGTCGTCGTCGGTCTTGTCACGAATTCACTACTGTATACGACAGGTATCCAAGCCTCCGATGTGATGCCAATACCCTTTTCGCGCTTACTAGGTCGGTCGGTAGGCTTTTTGATTTCGTTTGGAGTAGGCCCCGTCTCACACTACTACTGTACAGTAGGAGGAATACTGGAGCGCTACCTTAACTGTATGTAGTACTGATCAGAAACTTTTGCGCAAGAAAAATTCTGCTCCCCTACCGTTCTTATTATCGTATGGTTCTCATCACACAATTTTTTTCCTACTAGAACGTGATCGGATAAGTCACATCGTCGCAAGACTACTGTATATCGGCGGCGTCGTAGAGGAGCGGCGGCGGTGCATTCCTTCTACGGAAAATGTTTTTATTTCTATCTGAATTTTTTTTCTTAATACGATGACTGCTTGGTTCCAGGCCCTCTCTATACGAAAGAACTTTTTTTTGTATACGTACGTACGTACGAAGGTGTCTTTTGGAGGGGAAAGAGAAAGCTACTGTTGTTACCTTGTGCTGTTGTACGGGTTTTTGCTTCGTATAGTGTCAAGTCAGTCAGTTTGTACGAACGAACGAACGAACGAACGAACGAACGAACGAACGAAACGGAAACGAAACGAAGGGCTTGCAGGTAAGAGAAAGAGAGAGTAAGAGACAGAGAGAGAGAGTAGGTGTGGCTGACGCACAACTATAGTGACCACACTACCTCCTACAGACTATTTGATCCTCAACACTAAAAAGGTCCGCTAGACGCTAACTACTACTTTTCTTTTTCCCGTCCAAGCTACGCCGCTACGCCGCTACGGGTGTGGCTATGTCCATTATGCACACTATATTGGCAGTGATGAATTTTTTTTCCCTATAGCCACGTGCAGTCTAGACAATAGCTTCCTACTAGGTTAGTAGCTCCTCTCTCTACGCCTTCCCGCCAAAAGAAAGAGAAAATGACTTGGTGAATTTTTTTTTTCTTGCTGTTTTTTAGAGTGAAGATGGTGATCTAGGCCTCTGGGCTGTCTTTTGGGGATAGAGGTTCAACATACAAGAAAAAATGAAAAATTGGAGACATCTCCGCTAGTAAATGTGTTTCGTGCCCCCAACATATAGCGGAGGACATTTCATGCATAAGGACAGCTGAAGTGTACGCACCTCGAACGTTCTACTAGCCAATATCACGCATGCCCTTTCTGAGAGAGAGAGGAGAAAAGTCTCTCGGTCTTCTCAGCGCGTATAGAACAACCGCATCCTACATTCGGCCAGTCAGACACGCTCGTGTAACCTCAGCGTATACGTAACATCTATACGCCTCTACCGACAAGAGGCTGAGTCCATCTGAGGAAGAAAAAAAAAGTCTATCTCCACTTTTGACGACATGACACGACACGACACGACACGACACGACTCGACACGACAGAAGATCCCAGTTCAGCTACGAAACTTCTTTTTTTTTTACGGAGAAAGTAGGTCAGGTAGTTAGCCTTACGCCAACTTTTGTGAATTGGGTTGTTGCAAAAAAGAATAAAAAAAAAGCGAAAACGAAGGCAGAAAAGCCGGCCCGGCCGTACTAGGTGTACTTCGGGACCGAGTATACTAGGTACATCGTTTCGTATTCCGGGCTCACGAGACTCATTATTCCTGCGCCTTCTTCACTTCTCATCACAGCCTTTTTTTGACTTGAGAGAGAGAGCAGGCGGCACGGCATACGGCACACGGCACAAGCTCCATTAGCTACCTCCACTACCTCCACTACCAATAGTAAAATATTTTTGTGGCTACGATGCGGCTGATCGCAAAAACGTGGCTTTTTGTTACGTGCTTTTGGCGGGGCTTTTTTTTTTTTCCTTTTTGGAAGCAAAGCAGTGCCTCGTTCGGATTAACCTACCCACTACCTCCTAGGAAGCATCTTCGATACGTGGCGGACGGAGAGTTTTCCGAGAAAAGAAAAAAGAAATGCCTTCTAGACTAGATGGGACAGAGTAGTACAGTACAGTGTTATGCTACATACACATCTGTATGCACAGACAGAAAATCATCCTAAGCGCCGCCGAACTAGCCGTCCCTCCGCCCATCCGTCCCTGTTGGAAACTTTCATATTTGGTCTCGAAAGTGCCAGAAAAGGTATAGGTATATGTACTCAAGTACTCAACAGGAATCAACAGGAACGTACTTGCTCGCTTGCCTTGGCTTGCCTTGCTCCCGGCTATATAAAGCAATAGGAGAGACAAGACAAGGCAAGGCAAGGTAGGGCAAGACAACTTTTGTAAAGACAAGAGAGACATACATTAGACGTTGGGTTCGGCAATAAAGTGCTGACTGTACTGTACAAAGTATATGATTGATACAAACTCGCCGGGCTGTATGTACCTCTGTACTTGGAGGTTTTTTTTCTACCTAAACGGGAAACCCTTTTCTTTTTTTTTGGTCGATTATAGACAATCATACGAGCTAGAGTCATGTCGAGAAAGTACATGTACAGAAAGAAAACACCGCTGCGCTACGAGGAGGTATACTTTTTCGCCTCGTGGCTCTACTACTAGTAAAAAGCGAAAGTGAAAGAGAAAGGTCAAGTATAACAGAAAAAAAAAGGTTCGACGCTTGGATGTTTTCGCTAGGCAAGTAAATAACGTGTTGGTTGGTTGGTTCGTCGGGTCCCTCTAAGCGGATCATTCGAGACGACTGCACTACCTCCTTTCAACTTTCAACAACAGATTTTTTTGATCCAAACAAGGAGGCCGAGTAGAGTCTACTGTTTTTATAACGGAAGAAAGAAACATACGACAAAACGGGATAGAACTCTTCGTCGCAAAATGTGACCGGCAAGGCAGAGCAAGGCAAAAGGCAAAAGACAAAGACAAGACAAAAAAGCGTTTTTTCTTGCTAGCTAGGACGCGAATGTACCAGGTAGGTACCAGGTACCTTGGCAACTGTTGTACCTCCTATGTGTGTATGTCGTTGAGAGTTTTGACGTTGGTTCGAATTCCTTTTACCTTACCTTACCTCACCGACCTACTAGGTACATGTACCTAGGAGGTAGGGAGGCGAGGCTAAACGAAAAAGGAAGGTTCTACGTACGTAATGATGAATGGATTTTTTTTTTCCTTTCGGGATCAGATGAGATGAGATGAATCTGATGAGATGGAGAGATGAGAGATGGGAGATGAATTGGGCAAGGCAAGGCAAGGCAGGCGAGACAAGCCAAAAGGGGAAAAGAAAAAAAAAAAAGGCAACAAGAGGACAACTGTTCTCGTTACCTACACTCTGTCTCGAGCCCTAAAAGTTCTTTTTTTTGGTTCTTCTCCTTGCATTTTTTTTCTAGGGCTAGATGATCATGACCCATCATCATCATCATTTCCCGCCAAGATGACGCCTAGACCAAAAGGCAAAAGGCAAAAGACTAAAAAAAAAAAAAACTCAACGGGCAAAAGGTAAGGCGCCGATTAGAAAAAAGAAAAAAAAAAAAAAAAAAAAAAAAAAAAAAAAAAAAAAAAAAAAAAACCGGGAA